ATGTTAAAATAAAAAAAAAAACAACTATTTTTCTGTTTAAAATAAGTACCTATATGTTTACGTATAGGTCTTTCTAAAACGATTACCCCTGCACTAAACCATGTTAAATTTTATATTTTTACGTAATTTAAAACAAAATTTGTATTTTAATATTATTAATATTATACATAGTTTCTATGTTCCATCATAGGTAAAGAACATGTTACATACGTATATTCGATGCTATCAACCTGTTGATAATAATTATTTTAGGCATACGGTGAATGGCTGAAATAACGAAAAATGAATATTAATTGTCTAACCCGTGTATAACAGTATGGGATATATTATACTTATTAATTAGGTAGGTAGTTAAATAGGAGACAGGTTTTTAAAATGTCTTTGGGGGCTAAACATATTACTTTTGAACTTGTTGAACATTTTTAATTTTAAACATTTTTCCAAAAACATAAAATACAAAACCGCATTACCTATTTTGAATCGATTTTGTCATTAGATAATAATTAAATTGTATACAATACTAAAAGACTACGTTAATAAGTATAGTAATATTATTATTGCCTGACATTGAAAAATTAAAGAATAGAAATTAGAATATTAAACTGACAGCTAGGTACCGAGACACATTATAACACATTATCTGCTCGACTTTTTTATAGTCGGCTGTAATATTATCAGATAAATCTGATATTATCGGATTTTCAACTAAGATGGTCGACTCATATTGACTATATTGTGCAATTAAGTCGTACTTTTTTTTTTGTTTTTAATGATCTGCATATTTTATATATATACATCTATACAAAATAAACACCAGCTGAGAATTATTTATAATTTATGTATCATTTGTGCTATCAGTTATTTTATATGGGAGGGGCCTACAATGTCCATTTAATCAGAGTTAGAATAATTATGAATAGGAATATTAGATTTAGTTTAAGATTAAATAGTTTTACAAATACTGATTTTTTATAGGAGGAATTTAATTTGCTAAATTTTGATAAATTACTTAACAAATGTATCCTTTTAACAGATTATAAACATAAAAAATACTTTCCAACATTCCATCATAGTTATAATACTAAATTCAAAATAAAGATCAATATAAATGTGCCAGGTTATGGTAAACATTTTGGTACCAAGAGTTGCTTGAATCGTGCAATAATGCTCTACAGGAATTTAAATATAAACATTTCTAATTTTTCTAGCTTTAATCTATTCAAGTACTATGTATTAAGTTTATTTAATTTAACCATTATCCATCAAGTTATCTACTTTGCATAGTTTCCAATATAAAATTTAAATTTAAATAGACTAAAGGTTACTAAAAATTGTATCATATCGTCTCTCGATACTATTCATTTTTATTGTATCTTCATTTTTATTACATTTTAACTTTACTTTATAACTTTAAAAACTGCTCCCTAAGCACAAGCTTTGTTTATCGAGGGTGCTACAACAGTGGCGGATTGGGACATTAAGGACCCGGGATGCGCTCTTTATAAGGAACCTGAGCTGTAGTCTATTGGTAGAAACAATTTTATAGGGACCTTAGCTCTTTAAAATATGTATTATAAAGTAAATAAATATATAAATAAAAAATGTGTGTAAAAAAATAAAAAATAAATAAATGGAGTGTTATGATAAGTGTATTATACGATCTGTTTCGAATTAAAAATTCATAATCAGGTAATGTTAAAAACGCGATACCCTTTTTTTGAAAATTCTGGTATATATAAACACTAGAGTAATAAAAAATTATTTTTCAAGATTCGTATATTCCAGACTTTTACATTCCAGGTTTGTACGGTACAATTTTCGATAACCGTAAAACCCTGGATTCAAGATTTGTACTTTCCAGATTTGTACACTCGAGGTTTGTAAATTCCAGATTTTTACACGCTCCCATTTATAAAATATAGATATCATTTAATAAAAAAAATAATTTTCTTAAAATCTTAATTTTTTTCTTAAATTTACAGCAAAATAACAACTTTGATGGAAGTAAATCGTCACTCTTACCAAGCTTACCTCAGCTTCATTTTTTGCATGAGTCCAAACAGACTTAATAATATAAAAATTAATTTACCTTTTTGGAAACTAGCATTCCCAGGTGCACTATAAAAAAATAAAAATTATTGTTCGGCGTTCACCATTCAATAAAATATATGATATGTGTGAGACGTACGTTAGGTTGGGTACGTTTTTGTCTTGCACAAAATAAAAATAATCAAACAACTATGGTAGTGAACAATAATAAATGACAATAAAACACGATAAGGTTTTATTTGCATAATATTAATCTTTCAGAGCGAAATTCAAAAACAAAACAAAATTCGTGTTATCGCTGATTTTTATAATATATCGTTGGAACTTGGAAAATAGTTTCTATAAATAAATACTGTCTCTTACGCAGAATATAAGTGCTCATTATTCGCGTAGGTACATCAATAAAAAATATTTAATTTTTACCATATTATCACTCTATATCGGGAATAATTACAGTGCAGCATATTGCCCATGTATGCACTATGGCAGTGAGCTACCTATAGTATTTATCAATCAATGGTAATAAATAACAATAATAAATAATGATAAATTATTAATAGCGTTTTTTCAGACCCACTACACTGACAAATAATTCTTCTAACCAATTTGTTTAAATAATTTTTCCAAGTACACATTGAGCCCGTACAAGTTAAGGCCCGGGATGCGATCGCATCCCGACATCCCTTGCTAGTCCACCACTGTGTTACAATATTGTATTCTAATATTTATCTAATGTCAAATTGTTGATGTTGCAAAATAAACCGTTTATTATTATTATTATTATTAAAATAATTTCGGCTTAAATATTTGTTTGTTGAATGCTGAAATATGATTCTGGGTTTAGCTGATTTATTTTCGGATCTTAGATTCTGAGTGTAGCGAAGAAATGAAGAATGTATTGGTTTTACAAGGATGTTTTTTTTTTTTACATTATATGCACATTTTTTTTACCAGAAAGCTTACTCCAATGTATACGACGTAGACCCCTTTTCTGAAAGGAAATTTTCTTGGGGTGGTACTCTAAGGAGGTAATTTTTCGATTTTCTCATCAAATGTGACAAATCGAAAAAAAAAAGGAGTAAAAACGGGAAAATGTATGAAATATTACGATTTATTTTTCTGTAAACAACTTTTCTACCAGCAATTTTGCTCCGATTTACAATGATAGCACTTTTTTAAAAGGAAATCTGACTGAGAAGATACCTACTTTAGAAAGGTAATTTTTTTATTTTTCCAATAAATGGAAAAAGAACATGGGAAAAACGATTTCTCTAAAGTACCTACCCAGTGAAATTTCAAAAACATTGCTATCATTAAAAGTTGGAGCAAAATTACTGGTAGAAAAGTTGTCCACAGAAAAGTAAATAAATAAATAAACATCTTTGTAAAACCATAAGCTTCTTTGTTCCACTATGAATCTAAAACTTGGTACTGGTTCACTAGTAACATAAAATAAGTAAATGCCTAAACACAAAAGAAAATCTTTAACTAATTATATAAAAAAAAAACGTATTCCTAGGTACATTGACTACTTCAAAAAAGGAACATATTGAATTATTTATTCAGTGGTATTAATCTGATAATAGTATAATATGAAGGGATTTATTTGATAAGAAATAAATACTAAAAATTATAAAAGTTTCCATGAAAAATATTTATTTTCATGAAATGTATGCAGGATTTATCGAAAATATGGTCGCGGACCTGATTTCGCTCCACTCAAAATCTATAGGCACCTATATAATAGGTATTACAATAGTACTGTGATAATAATGAGGTAATGACCGACCATTCTTGAATATAGAATGGTTGTTAATTTATAATTAGGTAGTTAGGTATAGTAGGTATAGGTACCGCAACCAAATCAGTTATAAATGGATACCTAATAAAGAAAATTAGACACAATTATAATTTATATTTATATCTATTATTACCCGTCAATTAAATATCTATTTGAAACGTTAACTAGGTACTGTCTATATTTTATACAGTATATTATCAACAGACAATATAGAAATATAGACACTTGATCAGCTGATCGATTTTTTGGTTACCTGCGATTTGTAGTATGATCTTAAGAAAATGGTTCCTTTAACCAACCTGATGTTATAAGTTTGATTCCACGTCATGGGTCATAAGACCCCTTAGATTAAATAAACTATTTGTAAATTAAAATTGTAAATCTGTTCGAACCTGAGACCATTGGAATAGAACGTAAGGTATGGTGTGAATACCACTGTGCTAACTTATACAGTTCAAGATTTTTGTTAAAGGTTTCTAAATTTAAGATTCCGAGCGTAGCGAGCGAGCTATTGGTTTTACAATGTTATTTATTTTAGATTCCAAGCGTATTCGTTTTACAATGCTGTTTATTTCTTTCTTTGTTCTAGTTTGTGGACACATTTTTTTCTAGTAAACTTGCTCAGAGTTTTACGTGTAGCAAGTTTTCTGAAAGCTCAATTTGTCTATGTTGTACTCTAAAAAAGTAATTTTTTGATTTTTGATGCCATTATTTTAAATAAAAGGACTTAATTGAGAAAAACTTAGGAAAACGTACAATTTTATGATTTTATAAAATTTTTTTAAAGAAAACATGATTTAATCGAAAAATCACAAGACACCTTTTTTGTACCCTATTTAATTTATTTTCTTATGGTATCATTGCTAAAACTTTTGAGCTTTTAAGGAATTTGAATTTTAGTTGTTTACTATAATTCAGTTATAAATACACGTAGATTTGAAACTTGGAATAATACTTATATTGGAATTACGTAGACTTGGTAAAATTTCTAAAATTATCGACTTTTTTTTTTAATTATCTTTTTGAAATCAAATTTAAATGAGAATCGTAAAAAAAAATTACAGCACTTCAAATTATGTATTACTAAATTGTGCTCGGAATCGCTTGAAATTAATTTTGTGCAAAAGTTTTACAAAAATAAAATAGCAAATAAAGTCAGTAAATGTTCTGTAAAACACTTTAATACATACATTTTTTTACAAGATACATTCAATAGTTGTTAATTTATTTAGTTTTACATATTAATAAAAAAAATAAGAATTAGTCATACTTATGTACATTTATAAAATCACAACAAATGATATTATTTACAAAATATTAAATAACATTTACATTATATTCATGATCAGGTCCCTTAACACAAAACAAATGACAAGAATTTTGCATAAGATCTAATTCATCCTGATTAGAGATCTGTTAAGACCCAATGATCGTGCTCTACTATTTCGATCACTTGAAGAACTTCTATTATAAAAACCTACATTTGTTGGAGATGGTGGAGTTTGAGGGCCTAAAATATGATTCATAATTTAATATATACAAATTTATTTTTAATTTAAAAAAATATTATTTAACAGTATACTATACTCACTCTTGATGAGAGGAATATATCTATTATTCAACGAAAATCCATAACAGTAAACTGAAAATAAAATTTAAATGTAATTGCTATATGATAATAGTTTATATACAATACTTATCTACTAAATAGAAAAAATTATAATTATATTTACCAACTAAAGAAGTTATAATAATTATAACCAAACTAATAATGTATGGATTGGAAAATATACTGTTTGAAAAACCAGAAAAAATACTGAATATTGTTGATTGTTGAATTTTTTTGGTGTTTTGTTGATGATCATTAGACAATTTAACTCTTGAAAAATCATTTTCATTTAATGAACGGGATGTCACAACTGGTATCTATAATAAAATTAAAATAAATAATTTCTATAAACATAGCAAAAATAGTTCACTAACCTTTACAGTTTGATCAGTTAAATTTGAAGTCACAAAAATATGAAGGTTAAAATGTTTGGCATTCCAAAAGTCATCATTTACATTAAATAAATACACTTTTTCATTCTCGTTTTCACTTGAAAGTATAGGAAGTACTAATGAATCATTACTAGAAGTAACCTAATACATTAAAAAGTAAGTTTTACTAATAAAAGTAATAAAATTAAAATAATTAGTTCTACTTACTTCAATTTGTGATAGTACTTTAGCTAAACCAATTAAAGTGAGTTTGTCTTTACCACTGAACTGGCCAAAAAACAATTCTTTCTTGTCGATAAAAACTGATGGTAAAAATGTAATATCCCTTTGTTCAGTAAATATACCATCAGCAGATACTTGAATAACAATTTTAGCCTGAAAGAGGCTCAATTCTTGGTCAATAATTGTGATGGGTGTGAGTTGACAACTGTAAAAACCTAAAAGGGGAAAAAAATGTTTTATAAATTTCATTGGTATAATGAGTTTAGATAAATACCTGTTTTTGTGTTAAAATGAGGACTAACATTAAACACACGACTTATTGAGGGAGTTTTTACTTGGTTTGACAAAATAGATTCAAAGTGGACATCACATATGAATGGGAAACGTTTAATAGTATTTTCACGATTTGAACAATCATCATCACGCCATTCCCACATATTTCCTTTTTTATTTTTAATCAGTGAAATGGATTCTTGTTCGTTTAGTAAAATTAATGGAATATCAACAATATCACTGTTACTTAAAATCTTTTTGCTTATGGGCAAAATTATTATCTAAAATTACATAAGGGCATTCCATTAGTTTATAAATAATTATAACAATAATAATTCCATACAGTTTTAATTGGTAAAATATTGATACTTGTAGATGTTGTGAATTTATTATTAGAATATGTTACAAAAACTTCTGACGGTGCCATAGCTACACCTAATCCAGAGGAACTATCAATGGCTAATGTTTTTATGTTATCTGACAACCATTTACTAGAATCTTCCTCATTGAATTTTACTGGCATTAAAAAACATATAACATCTCCAACAGTAACAGCTGCCTGCAATTACAATATATTACAAATTGCATATTAATTTATTTTAAGTACTGTTATTCTATTTTAAAGTAACTAAAACAGAATAATTGCATACCATATATTATTGAATCAACAAATAAATATTTTAAAATAATTATAACAGATTGAAGTGAATTTAAAATTATTTCAAAAATAAAATAGTATTTTTGTTTAAAACATTATGCACATACTTTATTTGGATAAATGAGATGTTCAACATGGAATTTAATATAATCTTCTTTAAAATGATACACTCCATCATCCCAAATTTTTAATATTATTTCTCCAGATTCAAATAAAGAAACATCCATAATATGCTTTTGATTCCCAGGAGTCATTGATATCTTTATAAAATACAAATGTAAATTATATAAAGTAATGTATATTCAATTTCATCATAATCATTATTGTACCTTATTTTGAATACTTGCTAGGTATTTTAAATCAGAATTAACTGCTTTAAATTGTACTCCTTTTTCATCATGATATGAAGTAATTAATTTTAAATTCATTCCACTAGGGAGAACTGACATTTGTGAAGGTTCTTTTGAATTGATATCAGTTTCAATATTAATCATAACATAATTCACTCGTTTCACCTAAAATTATTTAATAATTAAATTATCAGTACTTTTAGAAACATTTATTTTAATACAAATTGGATTTACTTCGACAGGTACATCCAAAGATTGCACAATATCAAAATCTTCTATTGAACTTATAGATACATGAGCATGTCCAAGTTCATCTGTTGTTCTAACAATTCCAGAGTTTTCGTCTACAGACATTGTATGAATACTGTTCTTAGAATGCCCTATTAATCGGAAAAATTGTTTGGCTATCTAGTGAAAAAAATAAAAAAAATAAATGCACAGCTAATATCAACATTAGCTGACATCAAGACATTTCTGTTTTTATCAGAAATGTAACAAAAACGCGGCCAAGAGGAAGACCTCACCAGAGATGGTTAGACAGGGTAAAGAAGGATATTTTAAATACTGACAACTCAAAACGATTAGATGACGCAATGGACCGGAATGGATGGAGAAACTTGGTGGAAGCATGCAAAAGGCCTTAAAGGGTTGTATAGCATATAAAAAAAAAAAAAAAAAAAAAAAAAAAATTATCAACAAAATACAAATATTACTTACTTTGTTTTTATTAGTCATTAGTGTGAATTCAGTATTTGGAGTAACTAATAAACTGTTTAATAAAAGATCATGTGAAACCAAACGTAATTCTTCATAGATAGTAATATCAATGAAATTTGTAAAGATAACTTTTGTAGATGGATCTGATACAGTAACACTAATTCTTGTATTACCCACTTTCACAGCACGAATACGAACTGATATTCTATCTTGTTCACGTACCTAATATTTTTATTTTAACAAATTATTGACATCAACTAAAAGTATAATTAATTATATAGATATAGAATTGTGTTTAATCTACATTTTTATCTTATAAAATAATACACAATATGCAATTTTAAAATTAAATATTTACCAGTATTCCAGTATTTTCTAAAATATCATAAATTTGAACAATTCCAGCAGAAGATATGGTCCAATGGAAAATTAGTGATGGCTGAATAGTACCAATTATAATTGGACTTAGCACGTCTGGTACACCACGAACCCAAGCCGGCATAACTTCTCCGACTTTTAATTTTAATAACGGTACTTCAATTTTAATGTTATTTAGTTTAATAACTCTAATTGTAATTGTATCTTTAGAATATATAACTTTCATTCCACTTAATACATCAGCACCAACAGCCATACCAGTTATTGTAGCAGTTCCTATTTTTAAACCTTTGACAATTCCTACATTTGAAACCTTAGTTATTTGTTCATCATCAGGTAAAAACTCAAATACACATTCTAAATGTGGTCCACCGGTAATTGTTAGCTGATAACTTGATCCAACAGCTAAAGTTAAATTTTTAGGAGACAACAGTAATTGAGAATACACTTGAATAGAAGCAGTTGGTGAACGAATATCTTTTATTGGATATGTATCAGCAACAAAATATATATTTGTTTTCCCTAATGAAGATCCCGTTATTGAAAATTCTGTCTGATATTTCTGTTCAAATAAGCTGGGTTCAGGTTTAATTGTCAATACGGAATTCACTTCAATTACTGGTCGAATATTGACTACTCCTGGTAGAATAGGAAGATTATGACCTTCGGAATCATACAGTTTTACAATAGCTCGTATGGTTTGTCCAATTTCAACAAAAGTATTTGTTACTAATTCCACGCGATAAATATTTCGTACTTTAAATGTAGCTTCAACTGACTTTGATTTTACACAAATATCTCTAATGTTAACAACTAAATCTCCTGGAGCCAATGGAGTTACATCTATTTGTCTTCCACCAGTATGAGATACTTTAGCTACTTTTTGTGTACTCTGATGTATTCTGAAGTAACCACTTCCTTGACTAATATAAAGTGATTTTGTAATTTCTGGATTATAAACAACTAAAATCTCATTGTATGTTAATAGAGGATTATCAAATAAAAGTATAGACATGGAATGTTTAATTTTTGGAATTATTTCCAACAGTTCATTATTAGGTGTTAAAAAAGAACTAAATCGCGAGTTATTTGGAATAACAAATGGTTTTTTATACCCTGTTAACTGATAAACAGCTTCAGTGGAGCCTTCTTTATTTAAGGGCTCTAAAATACTATAATGATAGTTAGGGAATGAAAAACCATACTCAGTTTTTTCATTTAAGCCAAGAGAAGTGACAACTCTTACAAGATCAGGATCTGCAATGACCCAGCTAGCATTTATCATTGTTGCATTATCAAAAATATTACCATCCTCATCAATTACATTAATTTGAACAAATAATTTTTCATATATATAAGCAAATATATGATTTGAAGACTTGGAAATTGGACAATTTTCTTCATTATCTGCAACGAATACTTTTACAAATTTTGGTGATGCACATAACACTTCAACTGATGTCTGTGCTATTGTTTCTAATTTCATTTCATTACCAATTGGAATGCTTTTAATAGTTAAATTGGCTTGGGTTGATCCAAAACTTTCACATGTAATTAAGTATGCATACGTTTTATGTCCATCAACATCACGAACGACACTAAGTTCTTTAAATGTTACCAGATTTTCATCAATTTCAAATTCTACTTTATAACCAACACTATGGCCAAGCCATGGTTGAGGACCTCCATAGAACAACAATGTTGTGGAACAACCAGGTGCTAAAATTGTACGTTTGGCTTCTGGGCGTAATGGAACTAATTTTTTGTATGTACTTACCACAACTGTTGCTTTTAAAATTGTATTAATAGTATGAAACGAAACAGTTACTTTAGTAGAACCGACAGACTCTGAGCTTATAGAAAATGCAGCACAGGAGTTATTTAAATAAGAGTCAACATTATGTTTTATTGTAAATTGAGAGTCTTCAATTTCAATTTTAAATTGATTATGGTTGCATGTAGTAATACTTATTTCTTCTTCGTGATTGGGTATTTTCACAAATAATTGCATATATAAAATAATGTGTTTGCCCACTTCTTGTTCTACTGGCTGACCAATTATTTTTAAATTATCTGGCGAAAGAACATAAATATTAGCACCATCTTTATTTAATGAATCCCTGGTCATGGTAGCTGATATATATGTCTTTCCTAATCCTTGAACTGTGACAAGTCCTGTAGATGATACAGTACTTGTAGTTAAATCATTACTATTCCAACTATATTTTTTATCTCCACCAGTAGCTTCCAATAAAAATTGTAATCTGAAATTTAAGGAATAAATTATATATTAGAGTTTTGAACTATAACCATTGTTCTTAAATCAATAGAAAAATACTTCATATTAGAATCAATGAAACAAATGTGTTACTTTGCATTAAGATATTCCCATAGTTTTATTTAGATAACTGTTATTAATTTTAGATGCAATTGTAGTATTTAGTAAATTATATACTTGTACAAGTATATAGGTCTTTACAACGTAAATCAAAAAAAAAAAAAAAATTAAATTGTGAAGCAAATTTCTGATAAAATGTACAATAATATAGAGCCAACAGATAAAACATATTAAGTTATAGACATTGGTAAACTTAAATTGAATATAGCATATAGAAGATTTCACAAAAAGTGACTTCTGACGGGAGTGTGACTGGTGACGCAATTTCTGAAAAATAGTGGTTCTTAATATTGACCAGTAGAGCCTGTAAGTAGTTCTATGAAACAACAGGTGGCCGAACAACAATATCATTATTGTTTGACAGATGTTTAAAAGCCCCTGTGTCAAAATGTCCATCAGCCGTGCTACCTTTTTTTGGGCTACTTTTTTTGAAATCAACTATAGTCTTAATAATGTTTATGATTATAAATATGAAAATACCTATAATTTTTATTTTATTTAATCAAGAAAAGAATATCTATATTCTTTTAATTTTGTTAAACAGTACATGTAATAATAATTTATTTTTATAATAATTATAATTTAGTATCAATATAAATGTCAAAAACTATGAACTTTGAAATAGTAAAGATTAATTTTAAATTTTGCATATAACTCTTAAATTTTAAAGGAATTTATAAACAGATTCTTTTGTTTACATAATTACCCATTATTTTGCTTCGCATGCCATGGAAAAATAATTACATTTGGTGTAACTTTCACTTTTGAATAAATAGTTACTGTAGTTTGAGCAGATGATTTGAAATCATGGTATGGTTCTATTAATGTTGCATCTATTTTTGGTGTACCTAATTTAATAGGCTGTACAATAGCATACGTTCCATTACTAGCCATATTCAATATTTTAAAATACTCCTTGGGTAAATTCATCACAATTTTAACGTTAGATCCAATATTAATAGACTGATTGTGACTGAAAGAAAAATATATAAATAATGAATAAAAAACAAAAAATGAATTATCATTAATATTATATGCTATACTTATTGAATAGATGAACTTCCAATTCGTATAAACCATTAATAATTAAATTATGTCGATTACAAGGTTTAACAATAATTGACAAATAATCAATTTTAGAGACACTTATAAAACTGCTAATTGATTTGGGAATGGTATCATTTTTAGATTCTGCATGATAATCTATTAAATTTAACCTAATTTGACCACTTTTAAGACCTCGGAAAAGGCCAGAATCATTTTCAATTTTTAATGAATCTATAGTTGAAGATGGATCCATTTCAATTGAATATTGATTGGAAGGAAGTTTAATCTTGACTAATTTTTCATTTTGTATCTAATGCAAATAATAAATTTCATCAAATATTGAAAAACAGACAACATTTAAAATATTAGTTTACTTGATATATGTCAATTTGGATAAGATCGCCAGGTAGAATTGCAACATATGATGGTTCAAGTCTTAGATTCGCAATTACTGATAATTCAACTTGTGTAGTAGGCTCATCATATAAAAATAATTTTACTGAAACCTAAACAAAAAGTTATAGGCTTATTAAAAATTACTTTAGATTATTAAATAGTATTAGACATACTAATGCTAATCCAGTTTTAACACCTTCGACAAGAACCATATGGCCTTGTCTATTTTTCTGATCTAATTCATACAGATCTGGTGGAGTTCTATATGAAGAATCTTTAAACGGAATAAACTTTAAAACAGTATTTATTGAACTTTTAAGTACTTTTATAGACCACTGAAATTCTACACCATCTAATGATGTAAATTGGTTACCTAAGAAAAAAGAAAAATGACTAAATATTACCTACATATGGAACAAATAACTTATAATTATTTTGGGTACATACAAAGAAAATAATTTTTCGTTTACATTAAATATAAATTTTTATTTCAGTTTGAAATCAAATGTTTTCACTTTCATCTCAGCTATTTGGAGTTGGCTAGCTTCATCATAAACTTTCACTTAACCTAATCTCTCAAATTATCCTTGCAAATAATACAAGCCACCTACATATCATTCTCAATCACATCCAACTACCTCTTTTTTTATGATATACCCAAACCATCTCAATCTATTTTGTCTTATTTTAGTTACATTCATTCTGTTCTATTTTTCTATCTACTGTACACTCCAAACCATAGAATATAATCGGTTAGAAAACAAATTTAATTTATATAAGTTAAAAAAATTAAGAATCATAAAATGCAAAATAATGGAACAAATCTAGTTTAGGGCCCAATCTTTTTTTTCAAATTTTTTTTTTTTTCTAAAACATGTGTTTTTAAATACATAATCCATTTATATAATCAAAACTTACCTATTATACTTACTTTTAAAGTTATTGTACATAAAGCATTTTGGTGCACCTAGAGACCTGGTCACTCGCTTGCTCAGACTATTTTAATCAAATATAACCCTAGATTTAACGTGCAAAATCACATCAGGTAAGCAATAGGAAAACTAAACCAGATAGATTTATTCAGACTTCAATAAAAAAAATTTTTTTATCGAAATATCAATAAATATAAATCATAATGATAATTTTAAAAAATGTTTATTTTCAACAACATTTTGGATTAATTCCAAATGGATTGGTATTTTTCAAGGTTTATATACAATAACTTCAAAAATAAGTATGACAGATAAATTATGATTTTACCAATGGGTTAAGCATTAAAAAACACATTTTGAAAAATAAAATTCAAAAACGAGCTTGGGTACTAAACTAGATTTATACAGGTAATTTATGTACTTAAAAAAAATGAATTATATATCATAAGTACCTTGGTCATCAAATGCAGATACTTCAAAAAGTTCAGGTGCATCACCGACAAATAGCTCTCTAGTTTTAGTCACAATTTGTAACGATGCTATAGTATCAACAATAACATCACAGCGAATTGTTTCGCCTGTAATGGCATCTTCTGCAAATATAATGGCTATTTGACGAACCTTCTCGTTGGACAAGGAAGACACAGAAGCTTTACTTGAACATTCAAGAGTTGGATTCATATCCAACGGAACGAGTTTGATAACATTGTCTCCCCTGAATATTGACCTGTAGAAACATTGAACAACCAATTTTAAATAAAATGAACAGTATTAATAAAAATATTAACACCAACAATTGTTTAGAAAGATTTACTGTACTTATTAATACCTTTATAAAAACATTTCAAAATACATACCACTTATAGCAGCCATCATCTGTCACTTCTATATTAAAATTCACAGTAAATGTGTCGAACACCGGTAATAATACACGAGGAACATTGAGCTTAGAACCGAAAGTGTAATTAAGACAAATAATACACAAAAGGACTGACACAAACTTCATCGTAAACATTACTTGGGTTATACCTATATAATTATACTAAAACATAATGAATACTATCACAGAATACGGAAATTAATAAATAGTTCTCCAGTGTTTAACTAATCAATTTAAAAATAAAACATAGCAAAAAGAAATAAAGTAATATATGAATATACAATATTATTAGCTCGACTATTTAATATGCTTACGAACAACTAACCGTTAAACATATCGTAAAAGTATCCATATTCAATATTGCCCTTCGTCTGTCGGTTATATTTTCTAAAACTTAACCTCAAAGTTCTTATCTATTATCATATCTCATAAACCTGTTCCATGGTTTGTTATCTATAGTATATTGGTTACCATGGTTGTAAAAAGAATAATGAAATTATTAAATAATATAAATTATGAAATAAGTTTAATTAAACTTTAAACTAAAATATACAGATTCTAGAGTTTAGGTATACAATACACGTAACAGACGACCGGCGTCTGCCATCCGGTTTTTTGTATTAGTTATAGGGCTAAAATCTTTGTTTTCAGACACGTCCCTATGGGTGAGAAGGTGGCGATTGCTCCCCCCCCATAAACCATGTGATGATCTTTTATGCTATACAAAATATCCATAATTACAAATAAGTACAAATTCAACTGATTCGAAATGCCATAAAGATGATTTGGGATCTTGGAAATACTTTGATTGAAACAAGAATGAAACACTAATTTATAAATTTTAATAAATATTCTCTCAAAGGTGAGATAGAATTATCGAAAACTAAGTGGACACAACCAAAGATTTAAAAAAATAATATATTTTTAGATTCAAAATTCGAAATGATTAATTTAATTTAAATTTTAGATTCTGAGTGTAGCGAAGAATGTACCTATTGGATTTACAAAGATGGTTTTTTTTTATACTGTGGCAAAAATTTTTACCAGAAATCTTGCTTTAATATGTAAGTGTAGCACCTTTTTTGAAAGCAAATATTGTCATATTGACTAGATGGTACTTTAAGAAGGCCCTACAATTTTCAAAAGGTGCCTGTCAACCAAATTTTATGTCTAGTGACTTACAACTTTTTAAAAAAAAAAAATACATTTTCTATAATAAAATACTATTTACTATCAGTCTATCATTTTTGTTATTCTACATACTAACACATAAAATATTTTGTTAATTACCTAACTATATGGTGGTGTAATCTAGGCCTGAATAATATTTCTATAGTTAAATTTAAAGATACTAAAAATATTGTATATTATTAATTGTAAATAGATAATATAGATTTTTTTAAATTATATAAATATTTAATTGGGGAGGACTAACCTTCACCCTATTTAAAGGAAATTTTTTGGTTCATTAAGTGGCATCGGCGTGGTAGATTGGCCGTTGCTGCTGATGAAATCTATTCACGTCTATAGATGTAAAGGTTTTAAGTTTTTATTTACAAAAGCGGTGGTATTCAAGAATAAAAATTGTTCGTCAACCCCTTCCCTCCTTCGAATTGACCCGAAGACACCACTGAGCAATACTATAAACCGAGGTCCGCTCAGAATCGTTTTTTGTTGGCAATGCTTAAATTTGCTTAGATACAGATATTCATTAAATATCCCTCAATATCCTACAATCCCAACTTCTTATCTATAACAGTGGTTAACCCATCATGCGAAGCATGTCCATCCGGTTTTCTTATCAATCATTAATTTTAAATTTAATATTTTCGCCCCCCTTCCTAGTTAATGTTTAAAGACACTCATGTTTGTTTTCGGCTATTTTTTTACATTTTGAGAAACATTATCTAAATTTAATCGGCTGTATTTCAGTTAATATTAGATTTAAAAATTCGTTTTACCAAGCAAATTGAATGCTCTACAACTTTTCACTATACTATAATACATAATATATGCTTAGTTTATGTCTCGTCACTGATACAGATAATAGATAGCAGTGGCACTCGTTAATAATGATGTCTTCAACTCGTAGTACGCGTTTATCATGCAGTAGCTCTATCCTTAGTATATGATCTAAGACCGTGATCTAAATATAAACCACGGTCTTAGATTATAGATAAACCATAGACCTAATCTATGGGGCTATGGTTGTAACATTGTTGTCAAAATTTGTGATAACTTGCTTATGTTTATAAACAAATTCAATTCTAAAACATGATTGGAGTGGCTTTTAATGATGTTTAATCGAGTTTGCGTAGTTATTATACAACTCGAATAATACATTAATTATTTGATCGATACGATTATTGTCTGCATGAAGATATTGCATGTGCCATCGTCCGTTCGGATTTTTAATTCAAATCTGTTTGGCGTGTTCGACTTCAGGTACCAGAAATTCAAAACGCAAATTGACGGCTAAAATAACAAAATTTCAGTAATCGATAGCTTTTTGTAATTAACTAATTTACATAGTTTACGAGTAAAACTGTTCAAAAATGAAGAAAAAAGTACTATTAATGGGTAAGAGTGGTTCTGGGAAAACCAGCATGAGATCTATAATATTTGCTAACTATATAGCAAAAGATACTAGACGACTAGGGGCAACTATTGACGTTGAACATTCTCATGTTAGGTTTCTTGGAAATTTGGTACTCAATCTTTGGGATTGTGGAGGACAAGAAGCTTTTATGGAAAATTATTTTGTTAGTCAGCGAGAGAATATATTTCGTAATGTAGAAGTACTTATTTATGTATTTGATGTTGAAAGTCGTGACGAGGAATTAAGAAGAGATTTGAGATATTACCAGACTTGTCTAAGTGCCATTTATGAAAATTCTCCAACTGCTAAAGTATTTTGTTTAATACATAAAATGGATTTGCTGCAAGAGGACCAAAGAGATAAGATATTTTCAGAGCGTGAAAATGAAATAATAAACATGTCCAAACCTGTGCAAGTTACTTGTTTCAAGACATCTATTTGGGATGAAACACTATACAGAGCTTGGTCTTCAATTGTATATAAATTAATACCCAATGTTAAAGAACTAGAACAGAGTCTTAAGTTATTTGCAGAACTAATGGACGGCGATGAAGTGTTATTGTTTGAACGTGCAACGTTTCTTGTTATATCTCATTGTCAACGCAATTTACAACGTGATATTCATAGGTTTGAAAAAGTGTCTAATATTATAAAACAATTCAAACTAAGTTGTAGCAAAGTAGCAGCTCAATTTCAAAGTATGGAAGTGAGAAATTCTAATTTTGCTGCTTTCATAGATTTATTTACAACCAATACATATATAATGGTAATTATGTCAGATCCACACATTCCTTCAGCAGCAACTTTATTGAATATAAAAAATGCTCGGAAACATTTTGAAAAATTAGAACGCACAAGCCAAGCCCAGCAAAGGTCAGAACAATCAAGTAAGTATAAATAAATAAAAACTTGGTTGTTAGTTCAGAATAAAATGTATTATAAAAATGTTTATTTGTTATTTTTTGATATAGTATAATCATTTATTTAGTTTTAAGTTATTTAAAAATAATTGTTCATTATTATTATTATAGGTAATAGCTAGTTTATCTATTTATACAAGTTATAATATCTGTTTTGATTTCTCCAGTTAATATTACTATTAAGATATATGCCTTCGTGATTAAGATTATGCTAAAAAAATTTTTATATTAACATTTTGGTATTGTAAAAAATTTCAATTGATACATTCATTGTTCTTTATAGGCACATATTCAGTATTTAATATTTAACAATATTTACTTGAAAATGTGCTAATTGACAAACTGTTTTGAAATAGTTTTATAAACTATTTTGCACATTGACATATAATTAACAAGAATTGTTATTATAAGTCATTCAATTTATGCAAAAGTTATTTATTTGTTAAAAATAGGGAACATCAAAATATCGTAGAAAATTAGTATTTTAACAAATATATTGTACGTATATTAAAAAAAAAAAAAAAAGTAGTTTAAGATTTAATTAAATAAAATTAAAAGTTTATTATTGATTAAGAACCATTTTAAATATGTTTAAAGCCTTTGAAAATTTTTTTTTTTTTTATAGCATATGGCTTTGGTGTAAATATTAAGTGATCCAAATATAATAACAATAAACAAAAATACAAATTCAATATAAGTAAAAATAAAAAATAAAAATTGTTAAAAATTGTAAGACAAAAGTGATAAATAATGTATATTGTTCATAAAATGAAAAAATTGTATTTCATTCTAAAAATTTAACTGTTTAATTATTCAGTACAGAGACTACATTAAAAATTATTTTTGTCATTTTAACTATCCAGTTAATACTGTTCTTTAAATATATATTAATTAAAAAAATGCATAACAAATATTTGATGGTATAGCATCAATGATAACATTATTTACACCTTATAATTTTTCAAAAACAGAAACAATATCACAGTTCACTTAAAACCCATGCAGCAAATGCATATAATTTAAATTTAGTATGAATTTATTAAAATTGCAATTTTTTGTTTGAAAACTTAAAATAATTGTGATTTTGTTTGTGTACATTTTTTGATATAATCGGTTAGTTCAGCAACTAATTTGTGTCCTTGACTCAGTCAAATTTTTTATAGTTTTATATTATTTTATGATGTATAATCAAGATGCAACTAGACCACTAACTTTGTGAGTAGTAAAATTATAGATTTATCACAGCCTTGTTCCCACAATCCCCTTTAGATGACATTTATAATCAACAACTACATGTTTCATTTTCAAATTTTTTTTTTTGTCTGTAGGTAAGCTGTATTTTTTCTGCTTATTAATTATGAAATATGTGGATAAAATATTGAGTACTATAAAAAAAACTTATTGGGTAATTTTGTGGGTACTAATTTACTAATTTTAAACTAGAAGGTGCTGAAGACCTCCTATGGCTCCCCTAGTAGCGCCTATGTTTATATTATAATAATGAATCAATTATTAGGTTAGATAATAAATCTTTCATTTAGAAACTCGCAAATGATTGGCACATACCAAAACTGCTGAATCTCTGTAAACACAGCTAATGACTGTTCTAACACAATATGATACTATTGGCAATATAAGATAAAATCGACATCTTTCAATACACATTCTTCTTCACCTTAATTCCAATTTATTGAGGTTGTTCATCCTGGTCCTAAACTTTAACTTGACTCGATCTTTCACTTTTTATACACTGGATGTATTTATATAATTCTTATCAGATCCAACCAGATCATTTTTGGTTAAAATTCTTACAGCATATGATTCATCTCTTCTCATGACATACCCAAACAATCTCAATCTTTTTTCCCCTGATTTTTGTATAATCAAAGCCACGCCAATTCTACCTTTTATTGTCATTAGCTGCCTTGTTTCGTTCCTCTAAACTCATACTTTATATATAAGTACTGTTTTATTTTTACTTATCCTTTAAATAAAGATGTTTCTTTTATTCAAGTGCTAATCTTAAATCCTTAAAATTATTGCTATTTCCAATTTTTCTTCTATTTAAGCTGTATCATCTGCAAACACTATGTACTATGGTACCTCCTCTCACCTGTTGATTCTGATGTCTAAGATGGGATGATCTACCCAAGTCTTTGCTTAGAACTCCCCATTATATTTGACAGAATTTTGCACTGGCTGTTAACATAACACAACCCTATTTGTCATCTACTACAGCAGATAGATACCATAGGATTATTCTAATCCCTTCTCACAGAAAATACCATTACAATCAATCAATGATACAATAATAAAATATAAACACAAACACTACAAAACTATAAAAGATGTTTATTAATTTTTAAATAATGCTTATATGAGGTAGGTAATTAAGAATTAAATATACCAAATATATATATATATATTTTTTTTTGACTTTAAGCTTCATCAAATATACAATAATTTTTATAAATAACTGATAATGAAAAACATAATAATCTTAGACTACTTGAGTATACTTCAAATAACTCATCTATAACATAAACAATAATTATTATAAAATATATTATAATGTTTGCAATATGTATAATAATTATAATACATCTTTAGATTGCATAAATAAAATTATTTTTATATTAATTGCTTAAATTAATAGTTTTAAACTTGAATTAAACTAAATACTTTTAAATAAATGTGTTTAGGACATATCCACATATTCGTCTTCACTAAAATACCTTTGAACATACTCTTCAGCAAACCTGAAAAATAAATATTTAACATTACAATAATATAATAATATTTAACAATAAATATAGGTAGCTAAAGAAAAACTAACACATGATGGATGGGTTGAAGGGAAGGTAAGATACAGAGGGGAATTGTGTATTCAGCGAAACCTATCTTAATAGACAACTGTATATAACGGACAAAATAATAAGGTCCCGGAGTCACAGTATTTTAATACCCACTATATAATTACCTCAGTAGGTACAAATCGTCTGTAGGAATAATCGCCACAAAAAGTAGGTAATAATATTAAATAATATAACCAAAGATAGGTTATCTATCATTGAGGCACAAAAATCATATTTTATTTTAAAATGCCTAAGCAATTAATAATTAATTACGTGATACCTATACAAATTGGAAATCTGAAATACGTTGTTTAATTTTATTAGTTGGAATGAGCACAATCACCTGTGAACGCGGCACGGTTTTTTCTGTATAATATACCTTTTTATATATTTGTATAAGCTCGTATTTATAACTAATTGTTAAATAATGGTTTGGTTAATTGCTTTAGTCCAAAAAGTAATATAAGGTTTAAATTTTACTTTTTTCTTATATATCTTGGAAGTATCTACAGAAAGGAAGGGAAATTTGTATTGTTTAAAATTTTTATTAACACGCATATGTAAAAATAATAGTGAAATATAGATTTAAAACAATGAATACAATTTTTTCTATTCAATGAATTATAATATAGTACGAATCATTACATAAATTTGGCAATTCATACCCACTGAGGTAATATTATATATGTGAGGTATCAATCACCTGTTACACCGACAAAAAGATAGGCATTCCAATGTATTTCGACTTGTCTATAACGGATAACTATCTTAGTTCATAAACAAATGTGTATCATGTATACACCATACCACGCAACATTGTCACCGATTATGACAGATTACATGTTTGATAATAAGGATAAAGTTAATTGTGAGGAGGAAAATAACTAAAAACATATAAAAAAGTAAAGCTATACAGCGTTTATTCTGTATCACTTCGCTATTATAGTGTTGTACATTTTTCTTTGTTCATTTAAATTTTTTCTTTGAAATGTGACTCGTAGCTGTCAGTTATATACAAGTTTCACTGTGTACATGTATGCAATGATTAACCATTGCTAACAAAAAACTATTTTAAAAAGAACTTGGTTATACATATTTTAAAAGGCCATAATAATTTTTTTTTTCGTCAAAATTTATATGAAATAAAAAAAATACTACATTAAACTTGTTCTCGTTGACAACTAAGTACAACTTATAATGAACCTCCTATTAAATTTTCAAGTAATTAATATTTATAAAATCACAAAAATGACTCAAATGTTTTGAAAATTTTACCATGTACACAAAAGGCAAATGCTGTTCAAATTTCAAGTCTCTAAGAGCATTTAAGCCTGAAGTATAACCAAAATAAAAAAAAATTAATTATAAAAGCATTATTTTAGTAAATTTTCCTGTTTTCCCCCACTTATTAGGAAAATAAAAAAATAACTTCCCTCAAGTACTTCCACCCCAGAAAAATTTCCTTTCAGAAGAGATGCTACACTTGATACTTCGAAGAAAGATTTTTGGTAGAATCTTTGTATACAGTATATATATATATATATACTATATACATATACTAAAAACGGGCTGATATTAGGGACAGGTGCGGCCAATGTTATAGATGAGAAGATGGGAAGGTAGGATACATAAGGTTATTACATTTATATCTGTACGCAACGATAAACCATTGCGGATGAAAGACGATTCCGAATGCAGTTCGGTAACACATAATAATTTGAAATGCCACAATTATTTTTAACCTAACCTTCCTATGAATTTTCTCGATTATTATGAAAACTAATTAAAAAATCAAAAAACGACCTGTATTATTAAAAACAAGATTAATAATTCAACAAAAAAGTCTCTTGTAGTTTTTTTTTCAATTGGAGCCATATTTGTGCTAGAAAACATAGTAGGTACTTATTTAAAATACCGCTTTGAAAATCAAAAAATGACCAATGTATTTACTAAGTAGATAAAATTGACTTTCAGAAAACATGCTACACTTATACAACGGAGTAAGTATTTTATGATAAAAGTGGTCTACAGTATATAAATAAAAAAATAAAGTACTATTGTAAAAAAAAGGAAAAAAAGTAGTCCGATGATTTTGAAAAGTTTACCACGTCTAGGTAAGTTTAATATAAGTATTATAAGTATAATTAATATAAATATTATTAAGTTTCAAGTGTATACATATTTATAACCAAATTACAGCAAAAAACTCCTTAAAAGTTTTGGGGATGATATCGTAAGAAAGTAAATCAAAACGGCAACAGAAAGGGTGTCTTGTAATTTTTTGATTAAATCATTTTTTCTGGTAGAAAACGTCAGTGTTTTTATAAAATAATGAAATCATGAAATTGTACATTTTCCTACGTTTTTTCTCAGTTAAGTGGTTTTATATAAAAAATGATGTGTAAAATCAAAAAATGACTTCACTAAAGTACAATCTAGATAACTCGAGTTTTCAGAAAAGGTGCTACACTTATACATGGAAGTAAGTTAACTAGGAAAATCCATGTCCACAGACCAGAAAAAAAAAATAAAAAAAATAGACAGTATTGTAAAACCAATAGTTCTCTCGCTACGCTCGGAATCTAAAATAAGACAATATTAACATCATTGTAAAACTGATACATTCCTCACTCCACTCAAAATCTAATAAACACCAACAATAAATAAAATGTATTACAACTATTATTTCTTTTTTTTAAGTTGTATAAGTAAACTTAAGTAATACTTATACAATTTATAATATTTATATCAAAATTATGGCAAAAAGAGAATTGAAGAAATTTACGAAGAATGAGCCTTGAAAGTCCGAAAAGCTGTTATGATGATGATAAGCCTATTATAGGCTATCCTACAAAAGGACAGAATCTTTCCATACATTCTTAGCTCCGGTCAATCCAGTAGTAAATCAAACTGTTATAACCCCTTTTATATGACCAAATGTAATGAAGTTGCAGTGTAACATAGAGATGGTGACTAGTTTTGGTTGGCACGAGGTTACTTCTCTCGTGTTCCTAAATTATTTTTCATTGAGGTCTAGAATTTCCCAAACTAGCTGTAGTCCATTAATGATTCCAACGCCTTTTTATATCTCATATCAATTTTATTGATAAAAACGAGAACTTGTCAAGATTGGTGAGAAAAAACAAAATTCACCATCAATTCATTTATAAATGTGAACAATTTTGTTTGTTCATGATTTATTTAATAGAAATAGATCATTGAATGATATATGAAAACAATAGATATTTATTTAATTTATTGAACTATTGGACAATAGGTATTAAACGATTCATTAGCCACTCAACATACACTTCATTTAAAAAAAAAATGTTTAATATATTCAATACATCCAGAACAAAAAACATGTTTACTTATTTACAAGCATAACTACAGTTGTAAACCTATAATTTTTCATTAATTAAACATTCTGAATATTTATCGATCGTACAAAATATACTAATTCATTGCATATTTCTGTTCATTCAGAAAAACCAATTGTTTAATGAATTAGGTCATTTATGATTGATAAATGCATAGTTTATAGTCTACCATTTGGTAACTTTCAATTTACATTATACAATATACAATTACAACAAAATTGATACTTACATCAAAAAATCTTCAGTCTTTGAAAAAATACTTGCTAATCTTGCATTAGAAATATGCTCGTAATCTTCCAAATATGATGGGAAGTCAACTGAAAAACAAAAGAGGAATTAATTATAGCAAAATTAAGTTATTTCTAATTGTTATACAAAATGATTAAGGTATATAAATCACATACTGGATAAAATATTCAATAGTTCATACAAAATTATAAAATCTCTTCTCCTTCACTTCATCTCTATAGTGTTGGGATCAGTTACCCTGGTCCTTAATTTCAAATATAACACAGTCGGTCTCACAACACTTGTAGAATTTACATAAGTCTCATTTGAAATTGCTTGCAACAAAACACTTGACACTTCTCTCCACTTTACCCAGTCACACATAATTTTATGTTACACATTCTCTTCATTTTTTGTCCCCGCATACATTAGAGATAAGATAATTCGGCCAAGCCTTGTTTGGGACTCTGCTTTTTTATCACATGATCATTGGTACTTTGAAACAACTCGAGTTCTACATTTTTTTTCATTCTTTATTCTTCACTGATATTACCTGACCCAAAGATTTTTTTCAATATTTCTCTATCCAATATTAAAAATTTATTTTAGTCTAGTTTTCTTAGTGGCTATGTTTTCGCTCCACACAGGATTACAGGACAGATCAGTATAATATATAATTGCCTTTTTAGTTCTTTAGATAATAATTGGGAACCTAATATCTTAGCTAATAGTAAAACTTAGTACTAGGGTTGTCACCTCTCAGGGTTTCACCCAAGTATTCCAGTTTTCCCATATAAATCTACAGACTACGGGTTCAGTGAATTATTCACTGAAGGTGACAACTCTACTTATTATCCATCTGTATTCTAACTGTAAATTCTCGGGTTGTGTGCTTAGTTCCTTCAAACTAGGCAACAGAATTTGATACGGTTTTTAATATCATTCAGAATTTTACAGAAAATGATATATATATTTAAATATATGCACATTATTATACTTATAGAAAATAGAGGAAATTCAATTTTTTGCAATCAATAAATTATTTTCATAATAACCAAAGGAATTTTCTTATTTGGGTTATAGTTTAATAATTAATAGAACATAAACACAACATGCAATTATAAATGGAATGAAAAAGGTAAAAGGTAATTTTTGTTTAAAGGCAAATTTAAAAAAGACACACCATACTTTATACAATCGGTGGACCACCATTGTAGATGAAGAGTTGAGAAGGTAAGATATAGAGGGGAACTTAATGTATATCTGTAAGTAAAGGTAAATCATTGCTAACGCAAAACATTTCTAAATGGAGCTTGGCTAATAAAATTATTTTTTCAACAATATATGTGTAATATTATAGTAAATATATACATATATATATATATTGAAAATATTTGTATGGACCAGTAACAGGATTTGTTCCACATGATTTTTTACTAAAAAGATTTGATATTAAAATTCTGATAAAAAAAAAAAAAAAAATTACATTAAACTAAATTTTTTCTGTTTTGACCACAAAACACAGACTTCTAATAAACCTCTTGTTCAATTTTCAAACATATCTATTTAGTCTGACAACTTAATCCACAGAGTAAGTATTATGTAATATTACTCATGAAATTAAAATGTCTATAAAAAGCTCAAAAATGGCTCAAATGTTTTTAGTTTTACCACATCTAGAGAGGCAAATATAAGTTTCTGTTCGAATTTTAAGTCATTACGAATATTTTTAAATTTATTACAAATGCATTAATTTAGTAAATTGTCCAGTTTTTTCCGACATTTTATACTGGTTTTTTCAAGATTTTATGAAAACCATTTGGAAAACTAATAAATGACGATCTCCCTAAAGTAATTATGTAGATAGAATGTTATTTTAGAAAAATACTACAGTTGATACATCAAGTGAAATTTCTGGTAGAAAAGTTTGCAGAAAAAAAATGAGGGGTATTTTTTTGTATAAAATAATCCGAGTGATGGCTTGGGTTTCTAAGTATACCCAAAATGAATTTGAATTTAGGGGGAAAAAATGCAAACAATTTTCGTCAAAATTTGATATTAAAATATTCTTCTATATAAAAAAAAAAAAAATTACTAAATTAAGCTTGAATATAAAATTTTTTTTAACAAAATGTACAACTTTTTTAATGATCCTTCTGTTAAATTTTTAAGTATTTCAGTTTAATCTTACAATTTTGGCATAGTTGTACCTATCAAATAAGACTTAGTAGAAAACTCAAAAAATTTAAATGTCTATAAATAGCTCAAAAACGACTAAAACTTTACCATGTTTAGAAAAGACAAATATAAGTACTTTGTCCAAATTTCAAGTTTAAAAGTCCCACACGGATATTTATAACTGAATTTCAACAATTTTTTATAAAAACTTTTTTAGTGGCTATAAATATTATAAGCATAATTTTCACAAATTTCCCGGTTTTTCTAGATATCATAAAAACCACTTGGAAAATCAAAAAAAAAAAAACCTCTTTAAAGTACCATTTAGACTATTTCCTTTCAAAAATATGTTTGTCACAGTGTAAAAAAAAAAAAAAAAAAAAAGCATATTGTAAAAACAATACATTCCTTGCTACTCTATGAATTTAAAAGAAAAATAAATACATTTTCAATTAAATTTTTGGTTTATAGTGAGGAAATAAAATATTTAAAAATACACATTAAAGATATTTAATAAATGTATAAAACATTCATTTATTAAGGCTTTTTTGTGTATGAAGTCTACTCATTATTATAAAAAATTGTTTGTAAAAAGGCACACATAAGTTTAACAGACCCAATAATCGTAGAAGATATGTAGGATGATAAACATGATGCCAGTATACATTTTTAGGAACCAAGATATTTGAAAATATATCTCCTCCTATTGATCCATTTTCCATTTTTGTAATTAAATGATCTGTAGCCTATAACAATATAAATAATAAAATATAATCAAAATGTATTTATATAGATCAGTGGCGTCACAAACTTTAAATAATATCAGTATAGCAAATCATTTTTTACAATCCCCCAATACAGCAATTTATATAATAATCATAGCCATTAAAATATAGTTACATATACGTTTAGCAACATATCCCTCTTAATCATTCAAATTTCACAAAAAACTAATCATCTACCTTACAAAATTCAGAAACAGCTACTTCTGAAAATCATAGTTTGTTACGCCACTGATATAGATCATGTCCACAGAAACATAGACCACATATCTCAGTACTTTATACTTACTTTAGAATTCTGTTTAGGGTACATAAAACTAGACTACTGGGGTAAAAATTTGTTTAATTTGTATATTCCGCCAATGAGAATCACAACTTCACTTGTTTAAAATAGGAACCCCTAATTTGAATATCATACTCAGATTTATTAAATTTTGTGAATTCATTTTGATGTATCAACATTTATTCTCATTCCGAAATTGACTGAATAATAAGACACAATTAAAATGTAATTATTATAAGTTTTTTTTTATAGCAAACAATGCAAAATAAATAAATGTATATATTTTAATAAATTAAAAATGTTTATAGTTTAAATTGGAAGTGGAACTGCTTGCTTTAACACATTTTCAAACAATTAATAAAAAAAAAAATTATGAACATACTTCACATGACGGATTGTCCACTGTTGTAGGTGAGAAGTTGGAAAGGTAGGATACATAAGGTTGTTTCATTTATATTTATAAGTAACAATAAACCATTGCTTGATGAAAGACGATTCCAAGCGCAGTTCGGTAATACATAATTTGAAGTACCGTATTTTTTTTTTTTTTGTGATTTTTATTTAAATTTAATTTCAAAACGTTTATTGAAAAAAAAAATAGTCTGATGATTTTGAAAATGTAACCACATCTAGGTAAGTCTAATATAAGTATTTTTTTACCAAGTTTCAAGTTTCTAAATGTATTTATAACTGAATTAAAGCAAAAAAAAAACCCAAAAATTAAAATTCCTTAAAACTTCAAAAGTTTAGGCAACAATACCGTAAAAAAATGTAAATCAAAGAGTTCCTAGTAATTTTTTGATTAAATCTTTTTTTCTGGTAGAAAACAGACGTGTTTTTATAAAATAATGAAATTGTACATGTTTTTTTTACTATGTTTTTTCTCACTTAGTAAAACTACTTATGTTTTTTCTCACTTAAGTAGTTTTATATAAAAAATGACGTTTAAAATCAAAAAATGACTTCACTAAAGTACAATCTAGATAACTTGAGTTTTCAGAAAAGGTACTACACTTGTACATCAGAGTAAGTTAACTAGAAAAAACCATGTCCACAAACCAGGAAAAAAAAATAGACAGCATTATAAAATCAATTGCTCACTCGCTACGCTCGGAATCTAAAATACCTACATACGTGGTATGTATAATATGTATTGTATAAATGTATTTCTTTTTTAATTAAAAAAAATAGCAAAAAATATCTGTCTGTAATTATAATTAATTTATGTTCAAAAATAAAAAAATAAACTTGATATTTTAATCACTTAATTTTTCAAGTCCAGCGTAAGATCCTTTCCCGCTTAAAACGCTTTAGAGTGCTGTTCTCTTAAAAAGCATCTTAAGCAGCTTCTATTGTATAACAATGTAAATTAACTGAAACCTCAAAATTGACGGGGAAAACCGATAGAAATGTTTATTAAATATTATTTAATAATCAGTAATATTATTAAGTATTAGAGAAATATTAAAGAAATGTGTTTAATTACATAATATAAATTACCTTTTTGGGTAGTCCAAATTGTAATTCTTCATGGTACAACAACTGTTCATGAATTAGTAAATTGAAATATTGCGTCCATGTTAAACTCATTAGCAATGCATCTTCCCTATAAAAATTTTTTTTTTTTTAAAAGAAATGATACTGTTATAGGCAAGTAGTTGGGAAGGTAGGATACAAAAAGTTATTTTATATCTACAATTTCTATAATCAACAATAAATTATTGCTTATGAAAAAAAAGATCCAGAGTGAAAAACGTTTATTCTTGATTTGATAGGGGTCATAATAATTATGATTTTCATCAAAATTTAATCATAAAACCATTAAATATTATAACATTATACTGAAACTATTAGTCGTTTTCAAATGATGCATCATGATACCCATTCCAGAAGCACCACGGCTCATATTAAAAGAAAAACTATAAATGGCCAAATTTAATCCTATAAAGGCACTAAAAACCCTAAAAAGTTTGGGGATCACTATACCAATAAAACAAAATTATTACCTTGTTACTTGGTCTTCATCCATTTTCGAACATACATAGCTACGTAATAATCGTTCAACGGTACAATCTTTTGGAAATTGTAATACCTAACAAAAAGTAAACACAATTATACACATGGAAAGTATATTAATTATCAATACATACTTTATTACTATGTTTAATACAGACATAGTCGTCAGCGAGTATATTTTGAAAAACATTTGGCATAGTTATTTTTGATATTATTCTTGTCTCCTGAGGTGGTTCGTCTGTGTGCAATGCATTTAATAATGTCATCTGTTCAAGCAAATTTGAGATAAACTCATCATCCATTTCTTCAGATGATTCTTCATCACTTTCACTTTCATCATCTACATCAGATTCATCTAAACTTTCACTTAAATCATTTCCATCAGTCGCACTTGACTCATCATCAATTTCGTCAGATTCATATATTTGGTTGGTTTCATCAATTTCTTCATTAAATTCTTCATCAATTCCTCCATCAAATTCTCCACCAATTTCTCCATCAAATTCTCCATCAAATTCTCCATCAAATTCTCCATCAAATTCTCCATCAGATTCTTCATCAAATTCTTCATCAGATTCTTCATCAGATTCTTCATCAGATTCTTCATTCATTTCTTCATCAATTTCTTCATCAATTTCTTCATCACTATCTACATGTCCACATGTACAACATACTTTATCTACTTCTTCAGTTTCATCTGTTTCATCTGTTTCATCTGTTTCTTCTGTTTCTTCTGTTTCTTCTGTTTCTTCAATTTCATCAATTTCTTCACTTCCATAAATTTCTACGGTTACATTAATTTCTCTAGATTCATTCATTTTTTTAGTTTCATAAATTTCTTCAGTTTCATTAATTTCTTCAGTTTCATTAATTTCTTCAGTTTCATTAATTTCTTCAGTTTCATCAATTTCTTCAGTTTCATCAATTTCTTCAGTTTCATCAATTTTTTCAGTTTCGCCTATATCTTCAGTCTCATTATTTTCTTCAGTTACATCAATTTGTTCAGTTACATCTAATTTGTCAGTTGTATTTATTACTTCAGTTGGATCTATTTTTTCAGTTGCAACTATTTCTTCAGTAACATCTAATTTTTCAGTCGCCTCAATTTTTTCAGTTGTGTCTAATTGTTCAATAACATTTATATTTTCTATTGTTTCAATCAATTTGGGTGCCTCAATTCCTTCAGTAATAATATTATCATTTTCTTTGGTTGCTCCAATCAAATTTGTTAAGCCATTTACTTCAGGTGTTCCAAAAGACTTAGTTGTTTCTTCTGTTAATTTAGACATTTCAGTTACTTCAGTTGTTTCAGTTATTTCAGTCATTTCAGTTACTTCAGATGTTTCAGTTACTTCAGTCATTTCAGTTACTTCAGTCATTTCTGTTACTTTAGTCATTTCAGTTACTTCAGTCATTTCAGTTACTTCAGATGTTCCAGTTACTTCAGATGTTTCAGTTACTTTAGTTGTTTCAGTTGTTCCAATTTTTCTTTCTTCAGTTATATCAAGTTTAGAAGCAATACTAATTTTTGGAGGACGGCCTAAGTGGAACAAATAATATATTTTGTTATGATAAATAATTAAAATAAAATAAAAGTTCAGTAAAAAATAAATAAATTGCCTCGTTTTTTTGGTTTGGATTCTTGTGGAGATGGAATGTTTATCACTATATTAAACTCTGATGGAATTTCAGAAGATTTACGTTTTCTTCCTTTTACAGTGGGTGTAGTATTTTTTTGTAAATTTCGAACAGCTTCTTCTTTAACAATGACATTACTTGACCGTTTTGTTGCCCCCTTTTTTGTGTGTGAACTATGTATAAAAATTGAAATAAATTAATTTAACAAATTATAATACCTAATTATAAAGGGTACTTGTTTAATATTGTCCCGCTCAGTTTAGTTATGATACACTCGGTATGATATAATTTTAACTCATTAATTTTCCATCTCGGGTGTAAGCTTATATTGGACTAGTAATTAAAAAAAAAAAAACTCCCAATTTGTTAGCAAAACCGCGTGGTAGTGGATACCACATATTTATTACAGTGGCGGAGCTATAACAAACAAGAACCTTATAAAAATAGTTATTTATTTCAAATTATTTACTGTATTTCTTTTAGTGAAGCCATTTTGTTCATATTAGCACTATTCACTGCTAATACTCGATCGTCGTCTACCCATTCTTCCCATTTGCTATTCCAACCTTTATAATGGATAAAATATTGAGCTTTTCCTTCTGTTGTCTTTCTCCGTTCTAAGCATTTTGCTTCATACAACATTGGTCCGTGATAACACAATAAACTATCACCTAATTAAAATAAATAATATTATCATCAAACTTTCTACACAACTTAACTATACCTACACATTTAAAAAATCTACTTAAAAGTACTAAACCATTTCATATAGCACAATTTAAAATTGTATAAAAATACAAAATAGATTTATATTTGTATAATAAGTTGCTTATACAACGGTTTAATGTTGACAGTGTTTATTTTAAATTCTGAATGGAGCAAAGAAGATTATAGTTTTAAAAAGATGTTCATTTTTGTATCTGTGCGCAACTTTTCTATCAGCAATTTTGCTCAAACTTTTAATTTTTTTAAATGGAAATTTCACTAGGGAGTAACTTTAGAGAGGTCATTTTTCGATTTTCTGAGTTTTCCAGAAAAATGTGAAAAACCCTAATAAAACATGGGAAAATTGATACAATATTATACAAATATTATTAAAGAAAATATAAAGCCTAGGTATTTAATTATTTTACCATAAAATGATATATGTATATATTGTTAACAAAGCATCTCTATCAACTGAACTCTGCTCAGAATCGTTTTTTTGAAAACAATGATTTATCGTTGCTTACAAGTAAACATTAAATCTATAACAGTGGCTGCACCCGTCCCCATTATCCTAGGAATCTATCTTTTTTCTTTAAATAGTTTAAATGGTAGATTTTAAACAATAAAACTTAAAATTCTTTATAAAATAAAATAATTTTAATCCAAAATTTAGGAATGTTGAGGATGAAAGGAAGTAATTCTGTTCACATTATTTAATTTTTTACCGTATCAATTATTTTTTGAATGTACTATTCAGACAGTGTTTAGTTTTTTTTTTTCAACATACACAATCTTATCACAATAAACACAAGATTTCTTTTCATTCCCTTTATTTTCAGTGTGTGTAACTTGTTGGATATTTCTTATAATGCAATGGTACCTACCACAAATATTGTCAACACCAAATTATTTACAATTAAGGATACTAAATATATCTAACTATACAAAACAGGACATATTTTGGGATCCTTTAATAACATTTGCAAATTGAAAAAGTACAAATAAAAATAGTTTAATAATTTTTGAATGGCAATACCAATTATAGACAAAGTAGAAATTAATTTGACAAGACACAGATATGAGTTTTAACAATGTTGATTGACAAACGATTTTATTTAACCCAAATCTATTATTGGTCAAAATATCGAACCATCTGAATGCACCATACATAAATATATTTTCACCATAAGTTGATTAGATTATTTCATTGCTTGACAAAACTGAGCATGAAATAAATGAAACGATGATTTTAACTCATTAAGTTCATGACAGCATTATCTAAATGTACTCGTGTAAATTATGAAGCCTCTATATCATACATTAAAATAAGTAATGGAATTGTATGAATTACCTATGTTGTACACCTTGTCAATAATTATAAATTATACTGGTAGCAACATTAATGATAGATTTCCTATACTTACCCTCGGCGAATCGATAGTTATTTGCCATTGTTTAATTAAAAACTAACAACTAAGAGAATATATTTAACATAGATAGAGAAATTCAATTATTAGATCAAATTACAAATTAAAAACAATGACACACTAAGAACCGTAGACATTATACCATTGATGCTTATACTAAATACTAATAGAAACGAAAACGAAACTCATATGGCTCCAGCATTATGAGCTGTATGGTAACCATAGGACAATGGTGGAAATATATCGCAGTGATGTAGCCCGCCTTGACACCAGGTGTACTAATTTTACAATAATACGCTAATGAAAATTATCGTACTCTTATTGTACATGTCACATAATCAACGGTTTTACTGTAAATAATTGTAATTTATATTTTGTGCTAATAAGCGAGTCGTATATACTCTTAATATTGAATTGGAGCATCGGGCAGTTAAGTATACTTGGTACTTAAATATTCAGAAAATAGGTAATTGCTTAACTTACAGTCACTCAATCAATGAAAAGCGCCCACTATCTTTCTACACCCGGTGGGTAATCATTTCGTGTCTATTAGTATAAGGTCTTTGCTAATAAAAGAAAAAACTTGTTTACATTAAATAGTAGCATGAATTATAAATACTAGTATTTATAATCAATAATAGTACGTATCAGGTATTTAGGTAAATCGTTAATACTACATTTTGTAGTCAAGTACACGTACATATAGCTAGCCGGGCGTCGGGCACTTTTCCAGTAGATAAGAATCCGAAGATAACAAAATCTGAATCAGATACACCAACTTAAAAACTAAATTGAGTTGGTCTCTACGCCGCATATCCCGCCTTGCTAAAGTCCACCCTTCGTTCTTACACTAATACTTGGTTAATAAATACCACCAATACCTAATTACCTAGCTCTTTTTTTTTTAGATTCCGAGCGTAGCGAGAGAGCTATTAATTTTACTTAGATGTTTATTGATTTATTTTTTTATTTTAGAGTCTAGGGTCCACAGTCTAGAATCTAGATTGTGGACACGTTTTTTCCTTGTAAATTTGCTCCGATGTATAAATGTAGCACTTTTTCTCAAAACTTAAGTTGTCTAGATGATACTTTAGAGAGGACATTTTCTGATTTTCGACGTTATTTTTTAAATAAAAGCACTTAAGTGGGAAGAAACATTGAAAAACGTACGATTTCACGATTTCGTTATTTTATAAAAATACGGACGTTTTCTTCCAGAAAAAATGATTTAATCGAAAAATCACAACACATTTCTTGTTCCCTTTTTGATTTACTTTCTTACGGTATCATTGAGGTTTTAAGGAATTTTAATTTTATGGAGTTTTTTGCTGTGTTTCAATTATAAATACATGTAGAGACTTGAAACTTGGTAATAATACTTATATTGGACTTACACGACGTGATAAGATTTAAACAAAAATCGCAAAAAAAATTAAAGCATTTCAAATTATAAATTATCGAATTGCGCTCGGAATCGTCTTTCGTCAAGCAATAGTTTATCGTTACAGATATCAATGAAATAACCTTATAAATCCTACCTTCCCAACTTCTCACATACAACAGTGGCCGCTCCCATCCCCAGTATCAGCTTTTTTTTTTTTGGACTGTAAACAATATTTACTCTTAATGAACTTGCTCAAAAGTAACGAACATAGAACCTTTTCTGAAAGATCTAGTTTGTACTTTAAATAGGTAATTTTTTGATTTTCGTCGCCATTTTTGAAATAGCACTCAAGTAGCAAAAAATGTAGAAAAACGTACACTTTCTCTTTTACATTATTTTAATAAACAGGAACGATGTTTTCTACCAGAAACAGTACTCTAATGAAAAAATGATAAGAAACCTTTTTTGTTGCATTTTGGATCTAGTTTCTTATAGTTACATTTACAAAACTTTTGAGCTATTTATTGGCATTTTAAATTTTGGTAGTTTTATTGCTGTAATTCGATTATAAATATTTATAGATAATTAAAACTTGTTAGGAATACTTATCCTGAAGGACTTATTTAGACGTGGTAAAATTTTCAAAATATTCCGATCACTTTTTTTTAATTTTTTTACAATGGTAATTTCTTTTAAGCTCTAAACCACATTTATCCAAGAAAACTTGCTTTGATGTAGAAGTGTAACACATTTTCTGAAAATAAATTGTACCTGATCGGTACTTACAGAAGTCATTTTTTGATTTTCGAATTGGTATTAAAAATATAGGTGATTAACAGGAAAAATACGTATTATTTTTTCATGATTTATTACGAATTCGTTACTTTAAATAAATACGGATGACGTTTTCTAACACAAATATGGCTTCAATAGAAAAACCACACGAGACATTTTTTTTTGCATTCTTGATCTAGTTCTAAATGGTTTAATTATACATATATATAACCATATAGATAACTAGATCAAAAATGCAAAAAAAAAAAAATGGCTCATGTGGTTTTTCTATATATATATAGGGCGCGTACCGTTTCAATAATTGTAAGAGCTTTAATATGACATTAATAATAGCGTTTTTATCCGTCGGGCTCCAGCCGACATCTGTAGTATGTTTTGTGCGCCGTCGTAGCGGTCGTAGGTACATGCTTTTGTGTAGCGAGCTTCATTTATGCTCGATTTTCATGCTCGGTGTCTTCAAAAATCGGGTAAATCCCGAGGCTTCAACCTCGTGATATCGTGCGTACATTTTGGCCAAGATCTGGCCTAGCTTAGCCAGATACTTGAACCTAAACTGTCCAGCTACTAGTCTTACATAGTCCAAGATTTATGGCAGTCTAGTGGTCCGAAACCGGTCATTATTTGTATGGATCGAATCGGCGCGACACCCCGGACCCGGTGAGCTCCCTCGCGGGTGGAAAATCGTGAGTTTTTAATTTTAATCCGTTATCACTAATAAAACCGGCCATCTAAATAAATAAATCTAATTATTGTTATCGTTTGGTACACTAATGAAATGTAAAAAAAAATTTAGATTTTATAAATAGTAATAATAATATTCAAAACTTACATTTGACCCAACTATAATTTATACTAAACAAATTCATAAATGGATAACAAATTTGAAAAACATCAAACCTAAAGTCCAAAAGAAAATATTATTAAAATCCGATTACAAAATAGAGGCTCCACACTTACATCCATTCATAAAATAACAAACAAGATCCGATTCGTCCAGTAATTAACTTTAAAACTGTTTCAGCTTATAACTTTGGTAAATACTTAGATTCTCTCATAAAAGAAAAGTTAAACATGAATACTGATACTTCTATAAAAAACATTTGTGATTTTATTTAAAACATCAATAAAGTTAATATTGAGCCAGGTTACAAAATGATTTCTCTTTGCGTTAAAAATTTATATACACCCATTCCTAAATACGAAACAATACGTTTTTAAATAAATAAACATATACATAGTGATAAATTGAATACGAACGAAGCACAAGAAATTATTCAATCTACAAATGTAATTATTGATCAAAACTGTTTCCAATATAATAATAAATTATATTCGCAAAAAGAAGGGTTAGTTATGGGTGGTCCGTTAAATGCACTTTTATCTGAAATTTACGTGCAAAATTATGAAACTAATAATATTATTATATTATTAACAACAAAATATACAGTCCATATATAAAAGCATATTATAGATTTTTTGAAGATACTTTCATTTTGTCTGAAATTCAAATAGACAAGCAGAATATTTAGTTAACTATTTAAACAAAATAAATGAAATCAATCAATTTATACTGGAAATACAAATAAATAATCAATTTAATTTCTTAGGCCTTACAGTTTCTATAATAAATTTGATCTTAGTATTTACAGGAAACCTACAAAAACTGATGCTATAATAGGTTTCTAATCACCTTTATTCTCAAAAAATGCTTGAACAGTTGAATATATTCCATTAAATAAACATAATTATCAACACGAGCTCAATATTATCTTTAATATAGCCAAAAGAAATAATTTCAATTTAAATACTATTAAAAAAAGACTTCCTAGAATAATGGAAATGGTTGCAGTCACTGTTATAGGTAATTTAAAGTATATCTGTAAGCAACGATAAAACATTACTAACGAAAAAATGATTCTGAGCGCAATTCAGTTGATAGTGATGCTGTGTTAACAATATGTATGTCATATTATGATAAAACAATTAAATAGGCATTATATATTTTCTTTAATAGTATTTATTTAATATTGTATCGATTTTCCCGTTTTTCCTGGTTTTCCCATGTTTTTTCCTGGATTATCACATTTGCTAGGAAAATCAGAAAAAAATTATTGATAGAAAAGTTGTAAACAGATAAAAAAGGCCATAATATTTTTTTACTAATACCTACATTTCGTACATTCTCCGTTTTTCCGACATTTTATTCCGGTTTTTCCCAATTGAAAAATTACAAAAATGACCTTCCTAAACCGTGAAGATAAAATTTGCTTTCAGAAAATAAACTACACTTGATACATGGGAGCAAGATTTCTGGTAGAAAAGTTTGCACTACAAATCGAGGGGTATAATCGATAGCTTAAATTTGTTTTAAACTTTACCATGTCTAGAAAAGACAAATAAATGTTTTACGTCAAAATTTTAAGTCTCTACGAATATTTTCAACTGAATTACAATAAATAACAAAATTGATAAAATAATAAAAGCATTAATTTCGTACATTTCCGGTTTTTCTTAAGTTTTATCCTGGTTTTTCCCAGATATTATGAAAACCTATTAAAAAATCAAAAAATGACCTACCAAAAGTACCAGCTGGATAATATTTTCTTTCAGAAATCAAAAATACTGCTACGCGTATAAATCTGAGCAAAATTTCTAGTCGAATTTTTGTAAACAGTATAAAAAAAAATAAACATCTTAGTAAAACCAATACATTCTTCGCTCCACTCAGAATCTAAAATGCATAAACCTATTAAAGAAAAAAAAATTCATAACTCACCAAATAATGTTGTTAACTATTATAATATGAAATATCAAAATAATATGTCAAACGAATTCGCTAAAATTCTAAATAATTATATAAATAATGTAAAAATCGCTAATAATAATTTAATCAAATATGTAAATAATAGACCAAAAACTTCAAAAAAAATCCCCCTTCTTTTGAAAATGCTGGTATATATAAACTTAAATGTAACCATAATAAATTTTATATAGGTAAGATCAAGGCTGGGCATTAACGCATTAATAAGGTAAAGTTAAGTTATTTTTTTATGATTATTAACTTAATTATTCACTTTAGGAGTTTTTGAATTAATTTTTATTAACTTGAGTTAATTTTACATTTAAAGTGTTAAGCTTTTTTAAATTTTAATTACTATATGATATATTATGTATTCAAATTTTCGTATAAAATATAAATATTAAATACCTATATTATGATATATTATTACAAATATTATTAATGCCCGTTATTTTTTTGGCTGTCGTCACTAGTTGGTGGTTGCAGCTATAGATATACTTATTATTATTAATTATTATAAACTATTTATGTTGTATATTTATTTTATAGGTACTTTATCGTTATTGTTTACTATTTTTATACTAGTTATTACGAATTAATAATATTGTATGGAACAGGAACGTCATTTTAGTTTTTCTTAGGTTGGGGCAACATTTTTATCGGCCCAATGTTCATTTACAAATATAAATATTTTTTTCAAAACACTTAGATTAACACTTATAAAACAGAAACAACACAAATATTATAAACCTTCACATTTTTTTCTTGGTAGTCAGTTCAGACGATTCATTATTAGTAAAGGTAGGTAGTTACATAAAAAAAAAAAAAAAAAAAAAAAACAGATAATTAAATAGATTTTGCAAGCAAAAATGTTTTGTTAAAATAAAAGTACTCATTAAAATAGTTGAATGACAGTGATATGAATGCATGATATATGGATTACTAAGTTTTTGTGTTCAAAATTTCTGATTTTATCATTAACACGTTTAACGCCGCTGACGCGTATAAGCGTCAACTAAGTTTATTTCATTGGGCCAGCGACACGTTTACGCGTCAGTAACGTGTATGTTTGTATCTGCCATAATTTAATCAGTTTTATTTTAATAATCTCTGAAATGTACACAGGTTGTAGACAATAAACTCTAAATTTAAATCTATAATTGGTTTGATATATAGTACCATTGATTATAAATACCATAATATTATAAAATCAATGATATTACTTAATAAGGGTCACATAAATATAAATTTACTGTGCATACGGGCATAAATTTAATATCGACAATACGTGTTATTACAGGTTATTATGATATTGCTATCATTAGGTTTTTTTTTTTTTATCATATGGTATGGCATGCAAGCGTTACAAACTAGATACAGTTGTATAATTCACAGAAACAATACAACAATATTAATCATTAAAATTAATGCTATGGGTAACTTTTCCATGTTGTCATCAGTTAAGGTGTCTAAATTTTGATGTCAAGTGTCCTTACCCATTTGATCGCGTTATCGGTGGCTTAGTGGATTTCTTCCACTGTCCCGTTAAAGGCGCGGAGAAGGCAATCACTTATTATGTGAGAGATGGACTGTAAAGAGTGGCCGCAGTCTAAGTCTGGACAATCTTATTTTCCATTTATGTAGCATCTCTCCGGAGCGACCATGTCCTGTGCGTAGTCGATTTAGTATTACCCACTCGTGGCGTACTAGATGTTATCCAGGGACTGGGATATCTAGGCTCTTAATTAGGCTACAGTTATCTATGCTGGAATTCTGCTATTTTAGTTTCCATTGATCCATACCATCATACCGGTTTTCAATGAGTTTTTTGAAATTAGATAAGCAGGTTTTCTAGATTTCAGTCTAAGGTTCTGGTTTGAAGTGTCTTGATGTAATGGATAGGATGTGATGTGTTTGATAAATATTTAGACCATTCTCTGCATGCAGCATTTTTCGCCGGATATATGGTGGTAGCATGTTGCAGAGAACTGGGAGCTATTCTGTCGCAGTCGATTTAACAATACCAGAGATAATGCGCATAGAATGATTAAGTTGAACATCGATCTTGTAACAATGCGAACTATTTATCCACACTGGAGAAGCATACTCTGCAGCAGAGTAGACTAGCGCTAAGGCCGACGTTCTCAATGTGAGCATTGCTGCTCCCCAGGAAGTACCAGCTAGATGGGGAGCGCCCCGTATACGCTTCCCCGTAGTGCACCCTGTTAACAATTAATAAAACTCTATTTTATCAATTGGCTAAAGTATACGGACCTTTGATTAGCGAACTGTGCTCCTAGCATCTCCCGCCTATTATTCAGTAAACAAACGGCATTAAGTATTAAGTAATTGAACTATATTTTAAACTTTCTATCGGAAAAGGCGATTGCATTTCTTCACAAAAATCGCTTTCCGAACATTATAGAGTTTATTAACACCAAACGAGAAAATATAATTTGATGGAATGTAAAATGTTAAGCGATAAATAAATTATGAAAATTACTATTTTGTCGAAAAACAAACAATTTTTATTCGCTTAACATTTTATATTTTTTTAAAATTAATTTTAAAAAATCTGTTTGTTTACTTCACATTAGAATTATTATTTCACTAAAATATAGACAAATACACAAAAAAAAAAAGACCGATATACTTCACACGATGGGTGCTGCCACTTTTGTTGGTTAGTTGGGAATGTAGGATATATGTAGAGAGGAAATTAATTTGTATCTGTAAGCAACGATAAATCCATTGCTAACAAAAAAACGATTCTCAGTGGAGTTCAGTTGATAGTGTTGCTTTGTCAACATTAAATTTCATATTATAGTAAAATAATTAAATAGACATAAATTTTCTTAAATAATATTTGTTTAATATTTAATTATTTATTGTGAAAACTCCTGGAAAAAACAAAAAAAACCTCCCTAAAATACCTTCCCAGTCAGATTTTCTTTCAGGAAAAATGGTATTGTAAATCGGATTAAAATTGCTAGAAGGAAAGTTGTCCACAGAAAAAGAAATAAATAAACATCTTTGTAAAACCATAAGCTTCTACACCACTCAGAATCCAAAATGTCCCTTTAGAATTAGATATGTAAAATGTCAGTTTTTAAAAATAGTTTTTTACGGTTAATGAGTTTTTACTCTATGCCGTTGATATACAGGGGAGGAAGGAGGGTGTAAAATATTATGTATATTATATATACATATCCCACTTTTTCTCCCCATTTTTGAACATGAGCATTAACACATAAACACTGGAACCACTAGCGATGTCCATACGAAATTTGAGTCCTAGAACCATCCCTGGATTAAACTCATATTAATCTATTTTATCTATGCTTTTCTCATATCAAGAAACACCATAACACAGAGTTTCCTACATTGAATGGTTCGGTCTTGCTGCCTCCTTTACACAATCCAACATGCACCTAATTGCATTGGACCGTCCTTTTGTAAAAACCCAAACTGCCTTTCATTGATCCCATTTGTTTCGTCAACCAAATGAGCATTGAGATACGCCAGTAGTAGCCTCTCTAATAATTTGCCGGTGGTATTTAGTAGACTAAACGGTCTAAAGCTTGATGGGTCATTGATTGACTTGCCCAGGCTCTCTCCAGGTTTCAGGAGATAACTGTTGGTGAAGACAGGTTATGTATAAATACATAACCAATTTTAATGTAGTTTAGTTACAATCTTATCTACTGATTAGTCATAAACTTGCAGATTACATCACGTTTTATATGTCGGCAATCCATATCTAAATCTTTAAGATAACCAGTTGTAATGTAGGTTGGTACTTAAATATTAATTTCACTAAATAAATATAATAAGTATTTATACAGTTTACATATTATAATGCTTTTGTTCTTTTTTTGTAAAAGTAATAAATTACAATAAAATTACTAGGAATGTAATAATTGTAGTTCTTAAAAGCCCTAACTGCTATTAGTCTGTCTGCAATAACCTTGAAAAACTGCCAGCTATTTGAAAAAACTAACAAGTAGTTTGCTACCCTATCGCAAAGAATCTAGTCTTTAGGCAAAAAGACTAATTTTCCATATGGCCTACATGTATAAAATGATAAACTGAGGTATAAACACACAGTTTAAACTTTGCACTATCCACTTTAAATCTTGGTGATAAGAAAAAAAACAGTATTTAAATTTATTTAATTTTACACAGACAAGGAAGTTCCCTTTTTTGAAGATAAATATCACCTAGCAACAACTATTAACTGTGATAGGGATAAAGTTGAACTTGGAAAATACTGGATAATTCTGCTTTTATGTACAAAACAGTGCTAACAAAATATTGGAATGACACAAGTGTACAATACGACTGAATTAATACTTGATAGCATAGATTTGTCCTTGATGAACAGAAATTTGTTATGTCGCACAGTTGTATGACAGAAAGATTATTTTTAAGTATGAAGTTTTAATAAGATTAATAATATTATTATGTGATTAAAACAACAGTTTAACATAGTTATTATAATATTATAATTTGTTCAAATATGTATGTTAATAACAAATATTTGCATCACAAAATAATGATAATTTAAACGAGGAACATTTTTATCTAACGTTTAAAAAGTACACATTATTTGTACATATATTATATACAGAATACAAAACATTATATATGTACCTATATATATATATATATATATATATATAAAAAAATACAATCAAAATAAAAAAATGTTTATGAAGTAGATTCATAACTATTAAATGTAAAATGTACAAGCAGTTTCACCAAGAAAAATATACATTTATATTATCAACAAGAGGGAGTACAATACTTTTTTGTAGTATTGAGGAAGACTAAAATCCTATCATTAAGCAATGTATAATCATAACACGCTTGAGTTTTATCACACCCTTCAAAATAAATCAGTCTGTATTATATAATATTGTTAAATACTAATTAACACACCAAATTCACACTTCTGCTCCTAAATCTAAAACGCCTGCTTCAGCTATGGGAACATACCGTTCATCGATCTTGATCAGTAATATAGTTTTATCTACATGAGACCGCTTAGACAAATCACGGTGATTTGGAATCCATTGGTGTACTACCTAAAAAAAAATATTACAAACTCATTTTCCAACACTCCTCGATATTATTATAAATAATTACCAATCCTTCCATTCCTTTTTCTGGTAACCAATCTTTCCAATGATTTCGACCACCTCTTATTCTCATTATCTCATCGGGCCACACCACATCTATTCTTCGACCCAAGTTTATTGCATCATACACTTGTAATGGATCTAAAATCTATTACAAATGAAATTAATTAGTTTAAGTTATTGATTTTTTTTATAAACATCTAAATACAGTGAAAGTGTTGTAAACTCACCAAGACTCTATGTTGGATTGGAGAATTATCATTTGGGTTACTGTCAACTGATGTTTGTGGCGAATTTGTAATTGGGGACTGTGACAATAATCCAGCCAAGTTGGCTAAACCTGCAGAACTAGGTTTACCGGCTACATTAGCTGTACTACCTCTTGTACCACCACTTCTACTACTGATACTACCACCTACACCACTACCACTTCCACTCATTTCTATTGACTGACTTCCTGGTGTTCTAGTACCATATGCGGAATGCCTATTGAACTGTGTCATGGCATACACACCCTCGTGTCCAAATCCACCTTCATCATGTGACTGCAATGAACTGCCACTCGAACAACCTTCGACGCATCTAATTTTTAATCTAGTAAATCAATATTCATTAATTACAATTTGTATAAATATTAGTACTAAAACTTTACCTTGACCACACACTGACAATAGTTTTTTTAATTTTTCCCATACTAATTGAACCACCTACAAGCGATGATAACTGTTCGTTTGTCTCAGCATAGGAAGTAGTCAATGGAGAGACAAAAATTGGATAACCGATGGGTTGGTCACATGATGAATTGATGATGTTGCGTAAAGCTTGTTTAGCGTTTTGTATACTTCCACGTTCAGGATTACGATTTCTAAGATACACGAGTTCTTGTTGCTGTCCCGCCCAAAGGCCTCGGACACATTCACGGTTAATTTTTATAACACGAAAACTTAAGAACCGTTTGTTCAACATAATTACTTTATACTCGTCTGAACCTTCATCCATTATATGTCTATTAAATATAAAATAGTTTATTATTTTACCTTCAATTTTAAGAGGATATCATGCTGGCCAGACGTAAAGCATAGCATATTTGCATTCAGTAGGACCAATTTTGTGTAGTTAGGTTAGGTTAGTTTTTATGGTTAAATTGAATTGACTTATCATAAAATTTAAAGGTAAGAAAATTATCTGTTTTGTAGGTCAGTTTTTTTATATTTAAACTTTTCAATTGTAATATTTTATACTTATGCCTCATCTAAAAAATAAAATATAAAAATAATGGATCTACAAAACACAGAAAACATTATTGCTTTTAAATTTGATAATAGGTCAATCCACTTCAAAATTAAGATTAACAACAATAATAAAATTGGTCCTGGTTGTACACAACTTTGGTATATTGTGTATTTGGAAGATGTAGACAAAACATACTGGTATCATGTTCTCTTAAACATGGTTTACACTGGGTAAAAATTAATTTTATACACATTTATGAAATTCCAGTTAAATCGACAAGAACTAAACATTTGAAATATAATACAGTTTCTATGGCTTTAGAATATTTCTTGTGTCTTTACCTTAAAGCAAGTAACGATGGCATTCCTGACAAAACCGCATTTCTCCACACTGGATCACCTTCATGTGATATAACTATATTTCTTTGATGGTCGTTTATAGCATTGTATAAAGCAGCTGGATCTTCGTACTCATCAGGTACCATAAAATGATTCTGCATATTATTAAAACAGTAATTGATTTAATTTGCATAATGTTTGTATAAATAAATAAAATATACTTGATGAAGCTTCAGAGACATCCTTATTGCTGGCGCCAATACTTTACGCATTAAGTCCATGTCTGTAAATATCCATTCATCTCTTGCTGATGTAATTCGGAAATCTCCTTTAAAAAGGGCATGGAGACCATACAGGAAAAATTCGACACTAGTAATTATTAAATAAATATATATATTAGTAAGTATATTTAAACCTATTGTTTGATGATTAATATTGATTATTATATGTAACATACCTCGACATAGTAGTGTGGGATGCTAAACCCAGTGATCGTCTTCCCAATAAGCTTAGCGCAAAGCACAATGACACCAATAAGGAATCTTTTCCTTTCTCTATTACAATTTTTCTAATCTATAAATAAGGTATAAAAATAAATGTGGTAACACTTGAAGTTTCTTACTGGTAAAAAAAATGTGATTAATATTATTTTAAACATACATTTTCAGTTTGAAATGCACAAAATCGAATCCACTCTAAGTAGTATTGACAAAAACTATTTCGAGTAACACCACAGGAAAGCAAATCATAATCTTCATCAATATTTATATTAAAAACTGGATCAAGATCTATAAAACTTTTGTCCAATGTTGGCTTAAGTCCTTCTTTTATCTCATCTGATGCTAACCACTGTTGTAGTTTTGGCGATCTTATAGCATAATATATAATACTCTAAATCAAAAATATTAAAATTATATAAATATTACACAAAATAAAATATTTAAGCGATTTCTAGAAATTTACCTTTATATAATAGCTAACCAATACTTTCCGAAAATCAAATACTTGTAACATTGATGAAGCATTTATATCCGATATATTGTATCCTTGTACAACATATTTGGCTGCTACTACTTGCCAAGCAAGCCAACGCTGTCCAAGTGCAGCATTTAGAGATAATATGTGAGGAAAATGTCCAGGTTCACAACAACAACATCCTTAAATAATAATTGGGTCTAAAAGCACTGTATGGATTATCATTTCACAATTTTATGCACATAAGACCATGCATGATAATGATACTGATGATACTTAATGATAATGATGCATGTCATGATAAATGACAAGCATTAAAAATAATATTAATAGATTTAAAATTTTTTTAGATTTCATGCATTACGTATAACATGTAACTAAAGCACGTATCTGTCTTTGAATAAATAAATTATTTTTTATTTTTCGTAAATGCAATTGTATGTTTTTAAAGGACTTGGCTTTCTTTAATATAACTAAATTTGGTATCACATTTTAAAAAGGGCAAAATAAAAGTTATAAACAAAATATGTATAGTTATTAATTATAGATACATTTTTTTAGTTCATTTTAGTTCATACCTTCATTATCTTCAACACCTTCAGATATAGCTTCTACTTCTCTTTGCTGACAGTAAGTTCCTCGAAACTCAAGTCCACGAATTTGGAAAGTAACTAAATTGTTTCCCATTTCAACAATATGCACGAGACAATTCAAATAATCAGATGCTAAGACGAAACAGTCACCTTGTGACACATTCCCCCAGCGGCCCAATACAAGATCCCCACAAAGTGTATTTTGTAGTAGTCGAGTAAGGTGTTCGTAAAATATTGAATTTAGATTATTGTCATCAGCACCAAGGTTTCTTTCTAAATGCGACGATAATTTAGTATTTGTATGATCAACTCTTCTTGTGTTATAATCTCGTTCCCAAAACTTTACGGGTCTTGGATAAGATGTTAAAAAAATAGCACTTCCTAAACATAATATAAATAATGAATATTTTTTTTTTAAATTAAATTTACTATTATTTACATACCTAAAAACGGATACAGTGGTGAAGAAACCACTGCAGATAAAAATGCTTGAAGAAACATCATTGCAGAATGAGGAACAGAAAATGGTTGTGCAAAAGCATGAAATGCTGAACCCCAAGTAATTTGCCATGGAGCTATGTAAGTAATTATAAATTGCAACTATTTCACATTATATATATAGAAAAAAAAAAAAAAAAAAAAGTTAGTTTGTACAAACAACTGATATAAAATAATTGACTACAATGAATCACCTTAAGTAAAAACTCGAAGATTTTATCGTAGGCAATGGCAGTAAGGTAGTAGTCAATAATAAAAGTTTCAGAACATTTTACATAGTCTAGTTGAAAAAATAATACTGCAAACGCTAGTATATTATACTGATTTGATTGTTGAGAAAATGAACATCGTAAACATTTAAGTGCACATATAGACAATACTAAAGAACCTAAGAGAACTCCCAATTTATTTACAACAATAACACTGTCAGATGTCAAACAGCCAATAAACATCAATGGATAAAGAACATTTCGTTCAAAGAAGCACAAGTATACATAAATCTATAATATTTCAAAGATTACTAAGTAAACATTAAAATCATTTTTATATGTATTCATTTTTATTAATACTTACTTTTTCAAACCACATAATTTTAGCCAATTGCTTAACCTCATATTGATTATACTCTGATGGTTTTAATACAGGATGAGCAATACACAACCAAGGCAATTGTTTTCTTAATTGAGGGATTATGTAATGTAAGATAAATCCAACACTGAAAGTTGTACACCACATTACCTATAAATTATTAATTACTAATTAGCCTAATATAAAATAGTTTATAGATGTCAATATTATGTTCTTCTCTATATTTATTTTTTAGTTAATTGTCAAAAACTATTTGCTTACTGGATTTAGTTCAGGTTGAAGAGCAGAAAAAATATTGCTGGAATGAATAGCAAAAACAATAAGACTAATAATTGGACAAAAAATTAAATCAGTCTTCAGCCTTGCATTTATTGTGTCTTGCAATTGTTTTGGCCAATTATCTTGTATTTCAATTTCGTCGTCCAATTCTAAATATGATCAAATATCAAATACATAATAAACACATTGTTAATTCCAAGATTTTAAAGGTTTATTATAATTTTTAGTACTAATTATTGTAAAATATTCTATATACCAGACTTAGATTGCTCTTCACACTCGCCTTCCTTTTGTTCAGAGCCCTTTTTCTTTGATTTTTCTGTTTCTTTTCTAGGTTTAGGACATTCCACATCAGGTCTTGAAAATATATCTTCATTGGGCCATAAATAAGTTTTCAAAACATTTAATATAGGAGCTGGATCACTGGAGCTGCGACTTAAATGGTAGGCAAAGGCAGTGAGAAGTGCACAGTACAAGGAGAAAAACACATTTCTCGATGATCCAGACCATTCGTTTAATGCCACGTACGCAATTCCATATAAAATAGACACAGCAAAACAACTTCGTAGAACACAATAAGCAGATGCTTTAAGTGAACTAGTTGCATTGCCACCAAATAAATGTATATCTATTTGTTCTAAGGTATACATAAAAAAAGTGTTTACTTGAGGCAATAATCCCAAACTAAAAGCAATAGGTAAGAATAGTAAAAATTTTGAGAAAAAATCACGTAAAGTTTCTAATATATATAATATATGTAAAGTAAATCCATAAAATTTTATCTGGTAAAATGTTCGACCAGAGGTCAGTTGAATGTGTGTTAAAAGAAGTATGGCTGAAAATAATATAAAGTACACTGGGCGACTATAAACTACGATTTTGTTAAAACCGTGTGTAGGAGATGCCACATCTGGTTGTACAGATTTCACTAAGGAATATTGACAACCAGCCATAACAAAACAAAAAACAATTGCATGAACATCTCTATAGAATTGGTAGTACAACACTGAGGCACCCAGAACTGCAACTAATGTGGCAAGAATAATGGTAATAAATAATTCCAGTAATGTTAAATTTCGATCAATAGCAGTTAACAATGCAAGACGATCAAAGCGAATTTTAAAACACATTTTCTTAACCGGTTTGTATGGATAATATCGTTTGGGTTTTAGCATTCCAATGTTAGGATCGAGAAGATCAAATCGTAGCTGTCGTTGTATTGCTGGAAATTCATCTTGATAATCTGTTGTAATTTCATGTTCATGTTCCAAGCTTTCTTCAACCGGTGTTATAATTGGTGATATGTTGAAATGTCGGTAACGGTGTGGTTGATTTTGTAACCAAAATGCTTCTTCATGTTCTAATTGTTGTTGATAACTAGGACGAGGGGGAAAGGGATATCTTACAGGTGAGTGATTAAAAACGAGATCATCTATAGAATCATCCTGCCGAGATGTTGATGGGAATGATTTAATTATCGAAGAATTGTTATTTAACATATCTCGAAAAGTATAAGTCATCCAATGACCATTTTCATCACGAAAGAAATGTACAGATCTATATTATAAATAAATTTAACATTATTTTACTCATTAGTTATATGTACAAAAATATTTTCTATACTAACCCTTCTGATGTATCTTCAGGACAAGCAGAAAAATTAACACTGTCACAATTTGGATCACGAGATCTTATACGGCGATCAGTTCTAGTAACAATAAATTATTATTTTAAACAGTTTAAATACATGAAGATAACAGTACCTGGCATGTTGATGTCTTATTCGACCTCTATTTCTTCCTCGGCCATGAAGAACATCACCAATATGATCTATTGCAACTTCATTTTTCACTGTAATCAAAGTTTGATTTTGTTGAATTTCAGCTGTTGGATTAATAGCTGGTTCTGAACTTGTTGGCAGAAGAGAACTAAGTTCGTTATGAGAACCAGCAGATGATGATGCACCTTCATTCACATTTAATGTAGTCATTCTGTAATTTATCAATTACAACCAAATTTATTAACCTTTATTTTATACTATTCAGTTTATTTAACTATCCAATTTAATATATTCTGAGCTATATAAATGTGATTTTAAATTTATATTTTTTAGTAACATATCAAATTTCAATTATATGTATACTTTATACTTATTCTTTATTAAACTAATTTTTAATTAAAAATAAAATGCTTGAATATTTGATTAATCATATAGCACAATAAAATAAAAAAATTAATTTAAAAATTAATAAATGGTAGGTAATATCATTTATTTTAAATTTATTACAAAGGTTATTTTATAATTTTAAGTTAATTAAACTATAAAAATGTTTCCATGGCACAACAAATTTCATTCTGATTCTCCGTAATAGTTAATAAATATCTAAAGATATTTGTAGAGTAAAACTCACGCATCAGGTCTACTGAGTGTGCTGTTGGCAATCCATTCATCAGTTACTGTTGGATAACTTTTAGATTCTGTACCACAATCCATATCACTTTTAATCTTATCGCACATACATCTTCTAGATTCTGTTTAAATAAATATTGATTATGTTACAAAATATAAATATAAATAAATCAAAATAATGTAATGATCGCTTTAAATTTATATTAAAATTAAACCAATCTAATGTCAATTGTACAGCATAAATACATTATGACAATATTTTTAATAATAGGTACATATTTTTTACCATTTGTTTTTAAATAGTAAAACACAATAAGACCTCTGCAGAGAGTAATTAATAGATAAAATTATAATATTGCTTTTGTAATTTTGAAATAACATTATTGATAAACAGAAAGTTGATTTTGTACTAAGAAAAAATTATTACCATTTGATTTGTTTTTATTAATTCTACGGTGTCTTTTTCTATCCGAATCATTTTTAACACTCAGGTGAGGAGTTGAAGTTGCTTTTCTCTTTTTATTTGTTTTTTTTGCTAAAACAACATAATTTAATAACTTTAATAATATCAATTCAGCAAAAATATAATATAATAATAATAATTTATTTTTTTGTCAAAGTTACGATTATATACTTTTATTTAAAATTCTTTATTAAAATAATTTTTGCTATGTTCACCACTAAGGAAACCTCTATTGGTAATACACAAGAAAATAATCTGAGCTACAAATATATGTAAATAATAATAATAATAATAATAATAATAATAATAATAATAATAATAATAATAATAAAAATATACATAACGATTGATATTAGTATATGTAATTGATTAAAATCTAGATACATTTTTGGCTAAAAAAGAAATAAATAACTTAATATAAATGTTGAGTAAAATATGAATAAAGGAATAAAAAAAAAGGAGTACACTGTTTTTTATTTTATTAAATATAAATTCAACGAGATTTTTCCCAAATAAATAAAATATAAAAACGTATATAATTCTAAACCAAATGCTAAATTTATTGTACGGTACTTAATTAGAGTAACATATATACAGGTAACAATTGTATTGGTAATATCTTAAATAAGTATAAGGACTTAACAAGTTTTTTAAATGATAGGGTGCTTTACTTAGTAATTTGAGTCCACATGGCACAAAATATTGACTTACTTTACTAGTCTGTTTGGGCTATTATTAGATTGTGTTCGAAACATGTAGTTATTGTACATATAATTTATTGTTTTAAGTTTGAATATTATGTAATAGAGGGGTTTGCTATAGTTTAAATGTTACATAATAAGTACATTAAAATCTTTAAATAACTTATTTGACGGATAAGTTTTAGGCTTTTTAGAATTATTTTAATTATATTTTTTGCGTTATTAATAGTTTATTATTCAATTTAATACTCAGACCACAAATAGATAGCAACAGTGACGCATCACATGTGATGTCATAGTAGATACCTACACAATGCATTTTAAGTTATTTGAGCTAGTCGACAATTAATTATATACTAATAACGCTCTCAGGGACGCCAGAGTCAATGCTTCGCTTGCACAGTGAAGCCCACGCCCATGGATACAATTTGGCCGCAGACTACTATTCTTATTTTGGATAGAGTATATATATATATATAGTTTAAATATAAATAAAACGACAAAATTAAAAATGTGAATATTAAATGAACCTCACCATCTTTAACAGATTTTATTTTTGACACAGCACCAATGGTTTCAAATCCAACTGATAATGGAGCTGGAATTTCTTCTTTACTTCCATCTTTTGATTCAGATTTATTTCCTACAATAAATTAAATTTCTAATCTCATATAAATTTAAAAATATTAAAATAATTGTATTAATAATGATGAAGTAGAAATAATGTAATATAATAAACCCTTTGTGCGTGCTTGTACACTCACTAGAATTGTTATCTTCAGATGTAGTGGTATAGTCATCATCAGACAATGTAAAGTACCAGGGTCTTGATCTATTTTTTTCCATTTGTCTTACTTTATGCAGCGTGTTAAACATTTTGATTTATATTTTTGTACAGAATATGAATAATGAAACTAAATAATTAAGTTTTAAATGTATACAATTACCTTTAATATCACTAGATTCAGATTCACTTTCAGTATGTTCAAATAGCCATTCAATACCTAAAGTTTCTGGTGATTCCAGGGAAGGTTTTAGTTCAATTTCTAAATAAATAAAAAAAAACAATGTACATCATGTAAATCAGATTTGCTAGAAAATATTTTGTACTAATGGTTAAATTAATATATATATATATATAACATAAATTTCAAATTAATAATGATAACATACCTTTGGGTTTATTATCTTCTATAAATGCTACTTCAACATCACTGTCAGCTTTTAAAACTCCTTTAACTTCGGCACATATTTTTTTCCAATTATCTTCATGACTATTTAATAAAGGTGATCTACTGCCAGCTTCATCATCATCATCGCTATCAATTGTAGTGTGTATAATACCACGACTAGAACAATGCTCTTCACAGTGCTCAACAATTGGGTAATCAATATCACTTGACGTAAATACAAGTTGATAACTGGATGTTCTTCCTACTTCTGATATTAAAATTTATTTATATTAATCCGAATACAATGGATGTAGACAAGTTATTTATACCTTTATCTTTAGTAAAAGCATCACAAGAATTTGAATAGTCTGAACTAGTACATTTTGGATCTCTTTTGAATGCCAAATGGTTATTTTCATTGGTAAAGCAGTCCTATTTAAATAAATGTATTGAATAATTATTTCTGTAAACTATTATAAATCATACAATATTTTTAATTTAAACTGACCGTAGAAACTGTAATGAAATCTTGTCCCCGGTCATCTTGATATTTCCATATTTCTGAAAAACTTTGTAAATCTCCACGGCCATAACGTCTACTTCTAACTCCATCTTTTGTTTTTTCCAAAAAACTTTGATTATCTACATTCAAATAAATATAATTCAAAACTACTGTAGTACCAAAATTAGGAATCATATTAGAATCTTATTAATCTAAAATATACAACAGTTTAATTGTAACCATTTTGAAAAAAGAAATTTATGTAAATACAAATACTTTTATAACTATATATATATATTTTTTTATAACAAATCTGAGATTATTGTATTTTTTTTTTTTTTTGATTACCCAATAGTTGATATGACATACTTAAACTTTTATTAGGCCAATCACCTTTGATTTTTTCTTGGAGATGCAATCCAGAATCAGTACTTGTAGAACTACTTTGTCTTTCAACAGCTATACAAATTTAATTTACATGTTTTTATTTTTCCTAGTCAAATACTTTAAAGCATATAATATTTTACTTGGTTCATTTTGATGATATACTACACCAGATGTTGATGGTTCATTTCTGTCAGTACATTCCCTTCCACTGAGAACTTGCATTTCAATGCCCTCTTCTTCCCTAAAATTATAAACCAATATAATATTTTTATATACAAATTAGTTTATATTCTCAGAATATTACTTATTCGGTTCTTTAATGGGAGGGCGACGACATTCAAGTTCTATATTGCTATCCATTTTGGTGTCTTCTTCTACAATGTATTCGGTTGTGTCGAACATATGATGCAAAGACCAATTTACAAGTTTTATAATTGTTATTATTAAACTTACAGTACTCGAATACAGGATCCATATTAACATATCTGATAAATACTGTAAAACAAAAGTACAGATTTGTTATATACAATTGGATAATTAAACAAAAACAATAATAAATTACCAAATGTATAAAAAAAGGTAAAGAAAATAATAAGATCCACAAATATAGATGGAATGTATTGGTAAAAATACTGTGTTTTGGTTCGTAGTACCATCCTCCTGTAAACGATGCCCAAATTCCCTGGCGCAATATGTCCCAAAACTGAGAACCCATCTTCTCTACTAGTCATTTGTGCTTTATGTAACTTATCAATTTTGGATCTGAATATACATGTCTAAAAAAATACAAACAAAAATAACCTACATATTTATAGTCAGAAACTACAGTTTAATTGTATGATAAAGAGAACTTTTTTTTTTTTTTTTATCAAAGATTTAAATTAAACTTGCAAGGTATATTTATGGAAGGAATTTTTAATTGAATTTCATAATGTTATAGATAATCATGGTAATACAACTAAGGCACATTAATGAGGCATCTAGTTTAAAATCAGTTATAAGCAAATAAATGTTCAAAAATATTCTAGTTGGATAAAATGAGTTGGTTTCAAAATCATCCATCTTATATGTGATGTTCAGTTCAAAATGAAAAAAAATCTCCTTATAACAAATTTTAATACTGAACACCTCAATTATATGATATTCTAACCTTAATTATAATATTCCTATTTTGATAAAATAATTGAATAATAACAAGTAACAAAAATAATATTAAAAATGAAATGACCCTTGGTGATAATATTAAAAAAATATTAAAATAAAATTTATAATGGTAGGTATCTATTTAATAAACAATCAAATATTATGTAAACTATACATAAAATGAGATTATTTAGTACTTTTAAAAAATAATTTTCATAAAATATTATAATTATACAATTATCATCCAATAAAAATAGTAAATGTACAAAATATTTATTAAAGATGAAGACAATAGGCATTTTAAAGAATTTACACAATCGATCTAAAAGTAACACAATTTATTTTATAATATTAACAAATGTTTTAAATACTTTAACGAATCTAAAGTTAAAAACAAATAGACATTTCATAGTATAAAGGATAACAAAATTGAAAAAATTAAAAATTATAATTATGGATAAGTGTTAGCTATTAAAAAAAAAAAACCTTAACTTTTACAAATACACTGATGGTTTAATAAAAATCATATTCCTACAATTATGATAATTTCTAAAATTACCATAATTTTAAGTTTACTTAATTTCTTTTACTCAATGTGGCAGCAAAAATATTTACTTATATATTATGTAAAATGTATCAAATATATACCTAAACTACTTTGATTGCATCATTAACAAATAATTTTAAAACTACAGCATTAGAAATAAAGAATAAAGAAATTATAATCGATAAGGAACATTGATTTTAATTAAAATAATTATATCTAATTCTTGTAAATGCAATGCCATGGTTTTAAATATTTGAATGTACCTATCCCAAATAATACATAATAATATTATTTACAAAAAATATATACAAATTATGACGAACTTTACCTTTAATTTATGCAATTAGCAGCATACTGAAGTTTTTAATTATTACATACAAATTACATTAGAAAAATTAAAAGACAACTTATATTTCTAAACTTTTTGTAGGTATAATGATAAGTAAATAGAAAAAAGGTACAACAAAATACCAAGAGAAGAACCTTATCATGAATTTACGAATTGTATTATCAGTCTAATTGTAATCAGCTGCAGGATTTATCGTTACAAAACAAAAAAAACCCGCAGCTGTGTAAAGTACGGCTCGTGGTGAAGCAGCTGTATTTCCAAAATTGACAACCTGCTCGTATGGATAGCTTATCTTTTCTTTTCTTTTCTGATAAAAACTAAACCATTTGAAACTAATAACTATTACTATTTACATTTCATATTTTTGTTTGAAATTCAAGCACATGTAACATGTTGCTTTTTACTTTTTAACATTTTTTTTTAAACAGTTTTTATTAGTTTTATTTATTTAAAGTATCATCATATAAATAGGTATAGCAATTTTAATTTTTATACTTCCCTGCTCAAGTTTTTCAAAGAGTCCTAATTCATAAATAAATATATTTAAAATGGATTTTTGCCATACTCACGAAGAGAATAATGAAGAAGAGAAAAGGAGTTTCCAAAGAATAATAAGAGCATTTATGTTTTACAAGTAACAATAGCTTGTTATTAACTTGTGTATATCTACTTCCCTATTTTATTGATAATGGGAATTATTACAAAGAGTAGCTAACCAATAATTAATTTTTTTTTTTTATAAAATCAGCATATATATTTATATAATTAAACCTCATGCAACTTTTGTTTGGTCAATTTGTTCTTGGTAAAATCAATAAATAAACAGACAATTTAAATTTTATCAAAAGTACATGTATTTAGGATTTGTTCATCTTATAGCGATATTAGATATTTTTTATAAAAGTACACTTAATAAAAGTCACTCTATTCATGGTGGACGATTTTCCCTAAAAATAGAAAATGTTTTTTTTTATGTATATGCTATGGATAAAGTATGTATTACATACTGTATTCATTATCCCAATAAAGTGAACCTATTGAATAAAGTAAAAATATTTTAAAACGTTTATTTTGTGTAATTTATTTGGGGTATTTGTAAATTATCTACCACTGAGAAGATAAAATTCATACTTTAATAAAATAATGATTGTAGATAATTGTTTATTAAGTATTAATATTGATAAAATTTATTATAATTTTCATGTAATTTAATAGTTGTCATTTCATAAATTATTATTCTTTAATATTATTATGGTTTGGTTTTTACTACTGAAAAGAATCTGTAGGTACAATTGAACTACTTTTCAATTGAAGTACGTAGTACATAAATGGTGTCGCACTGACATTGCCATTTTACGATTATAATTTATTATTGTACTTATTTAAGGTGAATAATGTATATATTATGCTGTTCATATGGATAAGATATAGATTACCTGAGATAATATGTACGCTACTCATTATGTACTTTTATTCGTAACATATATATAATACAGTCAATGTGGTTCTGCTTGGGTAATACAAAGTGTAAATAAAAAAAATTTTTTTACATAAAGTGTGTAAATTTATATGTTTAATAGTATACATTTTTTTTTTATTATATGTGAATTGCTATATTTTTTACAAAGGAAAAAATACATTTTTTTCATTACAATTATTGGTGCTTCAGATTCTTCTCTCCTCATTATATACCCAAACGGTCACAGTTTATTTTGTCTACTATCAAAGCCACACTTAAGCTACCTCTTTATACACATATTGCATATTCTATCTTTCCACGCTACCACTTATCCACCTAAGCACTTTTAGCTCTGCTCATTCTCTGTTCTATTTTATGCCCATTACAACAGACGATACAATATAGATAATCTCACAGTCACCACACTTATAAAACTTAACTAACTAAAAAGATTATTTAAATTGATAATAAGGTTGAATCAAATTCGTATTTTCATCAATATATGAAAACAACCAATGTATGTAAGGTGGGAAATCAAATCAAGTAGAAGTTTAAGGCGAGGGTACCAAAATCCAAAGAGTTTTAATGAATCCGTAGAAAAAGAAGAATCAAATTTGTTTTGTTATGTGTGATAGTCCACATTGGCCATAACATGTACAAGGTGTTTAAAAATTTATATTACAGTTATTTTAACATCTAAACATTTTTTTTTTGGGGAGTTGGTGGTCAACTTTTAAAATTGAAATGGGGTATTATAGTATCCAAAATACCAAAAATAGATGAAGTTTTAGTTTAAATAAATTTTGGTGTTAAGATGTTTGATTTCCGTTAAACCATTGACGAGATTTTCTACTTTTTAGTTCGGGTAGGGTGAGAGTATGGAACACAATTCCAACAAAGCCGTGCTGTGCTACCACACAAGTGTATTTGACAAATTTAGCTATTGACAGGAGTTTTAGGTACAATACTTTTTGGTGCATCTAGGGAGTACCTAGAAATATAAATTAACAAAAAAAAACAAATAAATATGTACATACATTTATTTTATTGTTATATTTTAGATTCTAAGTGGAACAAAGAAGCTTATGGTTTAACAATAGTTATTTTTTTTTTATCTGTAAACAACTTTTCCAAAAGAAATTTTGCTCTAATTCACAAGTGTAGTACTTTTTTTGAAAGAAAAGTTGACTGAGGAGATACGTAGGTCGTTTTTTTGATTTTCTGATAAATTTTCCCTATATATTTGAAAAACAGGTAAAATGTACGAATGTATAGTAAAATATTATGGCCTTTTGTTTTCCTGTGGACAACTTTTCTACCAGCAATTTTGCTCCAATTTATGGTACACTTTTTCTGAAAAGAAATTTGACTGAGAAGGCACTTAATTTTTTTGATTTTTCTCAGTATATTGAAAAAAACAGGAGAGCGGGAAAATAGTTAAAATATTATTAAAGAAAAGGTTTAATGCATATTTAATTATCTTTCTACAATTTACATATATATTGTTAACAAAGCAACACTATCAACTGAATACCACTCAGAATCGTTTTTCGTTAGCAATGGTTTATTGTTGCTTACAGATATACATTAAATTTTTGTTTGTATCTTATCTTCCCAACTTTTCATCTACAACAATGACTGCACCGAAGTGCGAAGTATGTCCGCCTCTTTTGAGGATTGAAGTCAAAAACAATTTTGGCTCTTTAAATTAGTAGATTACCCATTTTAAATATATGTCTTTAAAATCAAAATTACACCTTTTAATAACTTTCTGGTATTATTTACAATTATTTTATTAGAGTAATACAACATTGAACATATTGTCAAATATCTATCCTAATTATATAGTAACTCTTGGTGCAACATAATAGAGTATTAGACATGTAGCAGATACCTACTGGAAGCATAAATTGGGAAAAATTTTCCTTGTATTTAACAGAAAACAATTACTTTTATAACTGATTCAATTTCCAGGTACTTACAATTTATGTGGAACTACCCACTTCATACAAAAATTAACTAGACAACCATTACATACGTATTTTGAGTCTGTTAGATTTAATATGTTAATTTATAACAGAAATTATATAAATTGTATACAATAGTCCAATCACTATATTAAAATAGTTGTACTATAATTTCAGCGTTCACAATACTGTATCTTGTCTCTTGAGAAGTTTTTTTAAGAATGGAAATTTATTTTATTTGATTAAATGTTTTTTTAAAATCAAGAATGAATTTTTTAAGTATGTACTTAAAGTTATCTAAATGATTACTGTTTTTATTAGTTTATGTTTACTTGTAGGTCGTAAAATAATCAAAAACCTATGTGTTTGGAAATAATGTATTCATAAATTCATTCAGTTTTAAGGAATAGTAAATACCAATACCAATTATCTGATTTATATTGGAATGTGAATACAAAATTTCCATTGCATTAACTAATGATCAAATTCCAAAAATAAAATAAATATTTTCTCTTTAATCATAGTCTGTATCAAAAATCAAGTAGTATCAATGTTTTAAGTAAATTTATAATCTCACTCACTCAGGGGTTTTGCAGCTACTTCCTATATAGTTGGTGTTCTTTTACAATAATTAAGTTAGGCAAAAGGAATAATATATTATTTCTGGAATGTTTTCTTAATGTTAATGAATGCATTCATCATGGAAATAATTAATGATTCATTACTTTTTTCAATTCGGGAATATTAATAAAAAATACATTTTTTAAACCCTACAAAGAGCTTATAATCTTTAAACAAAAGTACAACAAATGGAAAGCTCAGTTTTATTGAAGTTTATAATTCTACATAATATGTGTAATTCTTAAATGTGAATACTAATAATAAAATATGTTAGATACTGAGCATTGGTGCACATTCAGTTTAAAACTTAGGAATGCTAAAATTATTTACAATAGGTTATCACGGGAGGGCACCACAACCCCAACCTATTCAACATTTCAAAATAAAATTATTTATTACTTATACATTAAAAAACCAAAATTGAAATGATGAGATCCGATTTTCAATAATGAATCATTGCGTAATAAAAAACCATTAAAAAGGGATAGATACCTTCTTAAAAATATGAAAACAATTAACAAAAACTAACATTATAATATGATATTAATAATTATTAATATATTTTATATTTTATCAATACACATTAGTATAATAATAATTATTTATCTCATATCTGAATACTATTTGATTATTATATTTATGTGCTGGATTAATAAAAGACATTTAGAAAAGAAAACAATTGTATTGAGGAAAACAGTGTTAATATATCCTATACTAAAAAAATAGGACAATTGTGATGATTTACAGAAGCATCATTCTATTAAAGATTACTTATAAAGTTCTATCTAAGTGTGTATATCATGCAGAAATAAACTGTGGGTAGAAACCATTTTTAGAGATAATCAAGTGGGTTTTAGAAAACTGATATACTACAAATAAGATATTTAATTTTAAGCAAGTTTTCCAGATAATGTGAGAGTTTAACTACAAAGTTTTTGTTATATTTGTAATATTTATCAATTTTAAGAAGATATACATATTATTGTATACACAGAAAATCTCTCTTGAATATATAAAGACAGTTTAAACTACATGAAATTTTAATTCACTAATATTAATTTATTGTTCATGTGATATGCCCTACTCGGCATAGTTTTTAACTGGAAAAAAATATTTCTAATTTATGGAATAAAAAAAGAACTAAACATTTAAATTATTAATAGTTTTTTTTTTTTTTATTGTTTAAAATCTTAAATTATTATTTTCATATCCTTAATGTTAAATACTGATTATAAACCTACTCACTATAACAAATATGAAAATATATTGGTGTCTAATTGTTATTAAACGAACTATTGCTAAATGTGTAATACATTACTACTACATATTTTTATATAATAAAAAAATATGGCCTTTTTTTTATAATTTTTAATGAAAAAAATAAACCAAATTTACTTTAAACTTTTTGTATACAAATATTTTATTTTATTTATTTAAATTAACTAAATGATTATGTTATAATTGCACTAAGTATTATTAATTTTAGTTTTAAAATAATAGTAACATATTTCTTTCAGAACTCATTCTTTGAGCAGGCTCACCAAGACTATTCACTACTTGAGATCATTACCAGAACAACATCAAAGACTTTTAACAAACTATAGTAACAGTTTGGAGACTATACGAAATTGCATAGATTATAACTATAATGTTATATTGGGAATGGTTCAAGATAGTGCATATCTATTTGAAAATCAAAATACTCCCAGTCTGGATGGTTGGGTAATGATGAAAATTTATTAATTTGTCTTACTTGTGATTCTTTAGAAACATTTACCAATTGGTTATAGCATTCAACTGATGAGGTCAACAAGCCAATTGAAACTGACCTAGAAAAAGTTGAATCTACTTTAAAACAGTTGGTTCGAGATTGGAGCATTGAAGGTATTGAGGAGCGTAAAACCTGTTATAAACCTATAATTGATGAAATTTTAAAAGAGTTCCCATTGAAAAGGTATGTTTTAAATAATTTAAAAATTGTTCAACATTTTGTTAAACACAAAATTGTTGTTATAGTGTTTCAGCATCAGACATTAAAATTTTGGTACCCGGTGCAGGTCTTGGAAGACTAGTCTTTGAAATTGCAAAATTAGGTTACACTAGTCAAGGAAATGAGTTTTCTGTGTTCATGTTAATAGCATCAAATTTTGTATTAAACAAGTAATAATTGTTTAGCCATTATATTATTATTAAGTTGCTTTATTTTTACTATACTTTGTAGATGCAGGGGTGTTAATACTCATGTTCTTTTCCCGTGGATTCATCAGTGTGACAATAATTTGGAAACAAAACACCAAACTCAATGTATTACATTTCCTGATATCAATCCAGCTAAAGAGTTTCCAGAAAATGCAAGTATATCAATGGTTGCTGGAGATTTTTTACAAGTATTTACTTTCTCTATTAAAATGTGTTGTTTTGTTACCTTGTTCTTTATAATATATTTACATGATTATAGGTTTACACAAATAAAGATGAATGGAATTGCATTGCCACTTGTTTTTTTATCGATTGTGCTAACAATATAGTTGCATTCATTGAAACTATATATAAAATACTTAAACCTGGTGGAATATGGATCAATTTGGGGCCATTATTATATCATTACAGTAATATGTTTGATCAAAACTCTATTGAACCGAGTTATGAAGTTATAAAAGAAGTAATTAAAGGAATTGGTTTTCAATTTGAAGTAAGTGTCATTTATGTCTAATAACAAATTATAGAACAGTTATCAAAACATGTATCTATTTTTTTAGAAAGAAATACTGAATGTTCCCACCAAATATTCACAAAATCCACATTCTATGCTACAATATGAGTATAAAAGTGTTTATTTTGTATGTCGTAAACCAAAATTTAATTTGTCAGTTATGTATTCTGCTACTGAAAATGGACTCAATTACCCGACTGAAGATGAAGAAGAAGAAGAAGAGAAAGACGATGAAATTGACACAAGAAACTTTACTAGTGATATTGATGATCACTACGCATGAACAATTGAACATTCAATTGATAAAGACTTCATTTTTTAATTTTAAGTTATTTGTGATGATAATGGTAATATGGTAATAATATATTACAACATTTTGGTAACCTAAAACAAAAATAATTTGAATCTCAATCGATAAATGTAGTTCAGGTATATATCTGAAATTGAAATACAAAAATTCATTTTGTAATTTAAAACAATTATTCATTATGTTTTTTTTCTGGTTAATTATAACGTATAAGAAATGAATATCTATTAATGAGTTGTTTATAACAACAATCATGTATAATTTTACAACAAAAAAAATTTAAAACAACATTTGTTTATAAAATCAAAAACTGCATTGTAATAGTTACCCAAAATAACTACTTTATCTAAAGATAGATATAGTTAATAATTTGTTTATATATATACACATAATTTTATAGTATAAGAATTATTTATACAAAAACTAATATTTAAATGAACTTTTAATAATTGTACATTATCATACAAAACAAAAGTATAACTTAATGCAAGTATTTAAAAAAAAAAAAATCGGGAATTTTATTTTTTATGCACATAAAAATAATAAAATAAAAAGTATGAAAATATTTTATTTTATAATCTAATACATGTATGTATAGAATAAACAAAAAATGGAGCTTATACTTATATTAACTGAAAAGAAAAACAATTAAAATATTAATTAAGAAAAATATACTATTTGTATTTTGTATGTATATTATTAAAAAACATATCTACTTTTTCATCTGGATTCTGCTTTATGTTTGGGTGGCTTAAAAATTTTGATTTTTTTACTTGACTTTTTTGTTGATTCCTGAAATGCTTTCCAACTGTTCACTCTACTTTCCCTGGACTCCTATATTTATAAATTAAAAAAACTATAGTATTACAATTGTGTTTTATAGTTAAAAATATTTTTTAAATTATATTTCGGATATATTTAAAATGACACTCAATATTAGACACATGCAGTGATCCTTTTACATGAACTAGCATGATTATCTATGAAGATTTTAAGTAAAAATTGATATTATTATGAATATTAAAAGTTACAACCCATATATCAACTTTAAATTTTCAAATAACTATCCAAATGTGAAAACTTTTTTTTAAAAAATTTATATATTTTTTGAAATTTTAATAACATTATTAATTAAAGACATACTTCATATGATAGCTGCAGCCAATGTCAGGGAGATAGGATATCAAATTATTTTGAGTTCAAAGTAAGACTTTTAATGAGCTTCCTGTTAAATTTTCAAGTGGTAAGTCTAATAATTTTACCATAAAGTACCTACCGAATAAAAATTATGTACAAAATTCGCAAAATTTAAATGTCTATAAATAGCTTAAATTTTTATTGGAAATTTTACCATGTATAGAAAAGGCAAATATAAGTTTTTTGTCTGATTTTTAAGGCTCTACAAATATTTTTAACTGAATTACAACAAATAACAAAAATTAAGTATATTTTTTGTAAATTTTCCTTTAGGTTTTACAAAGATTTTTTTTTTTTTTTTTAATCCGCGCAACTTTTTTTCTAAAAGAATTGTTTGTATTTCTACGTGTAACACCTTTTCTGAAAGAAAATCGATGTGGTGAGGTAATTTTTCTATTTTCTTATGAGTTCTCATCAAGTGCGAAAAACTAGAAATTTTACAAAATTTAATGAATATAATTTACGAATTTTCTTTTCTGTGGACAACTTTTGCTTCAAATTTTAATAATAACAATGTTTCTAAAAGGAAACTTCACTAGAGAGGTACTTTTTCCCAGAAAATATGAAAAACCAGGATAAAACATGGGAAAAATGTAGGAAAATTGGGGAGAACATTAAAAAAATATGGAAAGGATATTTAATTATTTTACTATAAAATAACATATATATTGTTGATAAAGCATCAATTGAACTCTGCTCAAAATCACTGTTTTCCTAAACATTGGTCTATTGTTGCTTACAGATATACATTAAATTCCCACCTATATTCTACCTTCCCAACTTCCTACCTACATCAATGGCTAAACCAAACCCACATTATCTTACCTTCCTCTTTATAAAACTGTCGGGAAGATCAAAAAATTAGCTTCCTAAAGTACCACCCCAAGAAAAGGTTTACATTGTATACCTCTGAGCAATATTTCTGGTAGAATTTTTGTACGCAGTATAGAAAAATAAAAATAAAATCATCTTTGTAAAACTAATACATCTTAAATAGTTTCTACAAATTTTGATGTGCATAAACATAACCAATAATATTGAAAGAACTATGTATACATTATAACTAGGATCAACAATTTTATGTATTTATATATTTTCAATGTTATATTAAAAAAATAGCTAATTAATTCTAAAATGTGTCGTGACCTGATAGGTCTACCGGGTCATTAATTTAAGTGGATCCATTATCTTGGAAAGTATCAACTTTTTTCGAATTTTTATTATCCGTATACGAGATATTCCACTTTTAAGTTTGGATAGTAGGAGAGTATCATTTGTATCATTTGCGCGGTGTTAATAATGCACCATTACTCTCCTCCAACCTAAACTTAAAAATGGAATATTTGGTCAATGGTTTGACAGAAATCAAAAATGTCAACATTTATATTTATTTTAACTAATACTCCATCTATTGATGTAATTTTTAATATAGGTTACTATTTGAAAATCAAAAGCATGTGGTGGTTTTATCCCTAAAAATAAGAGGACAAAAAATAACATAAATATAACATTGTAGAGCAGCTGCTTGTTTCTTAAATGCTCTAGAAAACAAATTCCAGAAAAAGTTAATACTTTCTGAGATAAAGAGTGTATTTAAAATGGATCATCCAGGATAGTAAATTTCATATAAATATTAAATCACCAACAATTTCAGAGTTTACAATTATTATATTGAAATAATTCAGTATTAAGATTGACCATACAAAAAATAAAATAAAACTTACATCAAAGTTTTTTTGCCATTCCTTTGACATAGTTGCTTTTTGTTCTTCTTCAATTTCCTGTTCCCTTTTTCGTTTTCTCTCTTGAAGTTCTCTTGCTTCGTGATCTTTTCTTTTACGTTCGAGATCAGCAAATAGTTTACATGTTTGTACATAAATACTACGTTTCATAATAGCTGGATCATCTTCTTCAACTGATGTGTCTTTGCCTTCTTTTTTTAATTTTTTTCGTTTTTCTGCAATCATAAATTCTGTCATATCTTTAGCTTCCTGTATGATCTCAAGACATTTTTTTCTCGATTCATCATTATCAATTGTCCTCCATGCTCGGTTAACAGTTTCAAAAGCATTATTTGCTCTTTCTAAATCGTCTTGATTTTTATCTGGATGTACCAAAATAGATAGCTAGAATAATAAAATTTAAAAATTAATAATAATTATAATATTTAGAATAACAGATAAGTTTTCATAAGTGATATATGAATACAAATTATTAGTACCTCTCCCCAGAAATCGTTTTCTGGTTACAAAATTGAGCTATTCATATACCCATATATATATATTTGTTCTTGCTCAACCCATAATGTTGTTAAAAATAATAAGGAGTAATGAAAATAAAATGTATTACTAAAAAAATTATAGACATTGATTGACCAACTAATAACACACATTTTAGATTATTTGACTTATTACTATATATTAACTGTAATTAAACAACTACAGTAGTAATAAATACTAATAATATAAATTGTAAAAATAATTTAATTTTTAATTTTACTTTGATAAACCACTAGGCTTTATATATAACATAATATATATGAAATATAACAATTTAATTTTTTTATTTTTCATAATATTTATGTATTTACAATATTATATTCAATTAACTAAAATAATTTTGAGATTGAAGCTGATTTTAAATTAATAATAATACTTAGTACTTACTCTTTTATATTTTTTCCTTGCTTCGTCTAAAGGTGTATCATGTTCTAATTGAAGTACTTCATAAGGATTCAGATTGAAATATGAAGCTCCTGGACGCAAAAGTCTATCTATCTGTTGTTTGGATGTCAATACAGAATCACGTTTTTCAATTTCTTTTACCTGTAGATTAAATAATAAATATAATAATATAAACCACGGGCAAATGAAACTTTATTGTTTATTCAGAAACTTACTTCAGTGTAAAACTTGTCAAACTTTTCATTTTTTTTTGGTGATTCAGGTTCAGTCGACTTACTAGCCATATCACCCGACTATCTATAGTTACACACTTAAACTCTGTTAATACATTTTAAATGTATGGTAAAATTATAGTTTCCAAATAGTACCCCTAAAATATAAAGTACCTATTATATATATCTTTGAAGATGGCTTTCTTGGATTTGATACAGGATTATAATACGTATATTACTCTAGCAATAAATGATAAGAGCCCAGTGGTTTCCAAAATTAAAAAAATGGTTATTAAGACGATAGTTAAAAATTAAAGAAGCACAAATGTACGATAAGAAGCCAACTGAAAGACGGCAATGATTTGAGGTAGGTAAAAGCGTCCTAATTTGGAAATAATTTAAAAATCTATCACCACTCTCTAAACTGAACGAAAATATTGAAGAAAAGCAGTTTCTAAATCTATGCTCAAATTGCGGTTAATCGGCTCGCAAAAACGGCAGTCGCTTAGGGTAGACTGAGGTATTTAGACGTAAAGTAATACTTAGTCTTACTTAATATGATATAAATGATTTAATATCATGAAAATTGTATATATTTATTTAAAAAAACGGGCAAAAATTGAATACATTAGAAACATTTTTAATGCATTTACTCACCAACGTTTGACCTTAAGCTAAAGCCCGATTTTACCAATTATCCTGCTAGTAAGAGGCACTAGCAAAAAGTTTTAGAGCATTATAAAGTTATAATTTATAACTTATTAGTTATAATATAATTAGATATGTAAATTGAATATTCCATAAAATATTTAGGCATTTATATTGATTATCAACTTAAATAATGAATATTAATCACCTTAACAATATAATTTGTAATTTTTTTTTTATATTTTTGGTATCTTAAGAAATATCCTTTCTCCAAAACTTAGAGTGGGTACCTACTTACAATAAACAATACACATATAAATAAATTAAATATTACTATTAATTCCCTTTTAAAATTCAGTTTTTACAAACCAAGGTTATACCCAAATAATAATATTTACAAAGACTATAGTTTTAATAACTTAAATACACATTACTATAAACATGTTTGTTTATTTATGTTTAAGTATAAAGATATTATTACTTTTGTAGTGTATAATCATAATACAAGGTTTAAAAATACCGGCATACTAATGGGTAAGCCACTGTTGTAGGTGAGAAGTTGGGAAGGTAGTAGAGGGGAAATTTAATGTATATCTGAAATCAACGATTAATCATTGCTAACGAAAAACGATTCTTAACGGAGTTTAGTTGATAGTGTTTCTTTACCCTATTTAAACGTCCTTATGATCCTCATGATTATGCTTTATTCTCTAAACTCCGGGCTCTTTATAAACTCGAATCACAAAAATGTTACAAATCCTGCTTAACTCGTACTAAAGCCTCGCTGAGACAATATCCCCGCTCTTTCTGAACCTTTAATCGTAATGATAAGTCTAATAATTCCATTCCTAGAAATATTTTCTTTAATGATTTCTCCAGTTCCAACCCTGCCCAAATTCCAAATATTTTTTCTTCATACTTTAACTTTGTTTATACTACGTTGTTTACTGTTCATCCAGTTAATTTCCCATTTTTATATCACAACCTCCCTAGTAATTGTAGCTTTAGTATTTCGGATATTTATACTGGCTTCGATAAATTGAAAAATGTTAGGTCCACGGGCCCCGATAGCTTATCTGGAACTTTTCTTTATAACCTGAGAATCTGAGATCTTCTCTGTGTACTCCACAATTCACGAGACACCAATATTCCGCGCTCTATATTTATAAACATAAATTCTTCTAATCTGTAATGTTAAATATCTGACTTAAGGTTTGTTTTTATGGTTTTAAGTATGAAAAAACTTCTTTCACAACTTATTCGTGTAAAAGGTAAACGTATAATCTTCTTATTTGTACAAAATATCATAATTTGGTGGATGGATCACTTATATATGTAAGCACATGTAATCCATTTATTAGGTACGTTAATATTTATCAGGAGTAAAGCGAGGACAGTATTTAAATGGTTATTACTTCTACACATTTTGAGATCCCAAACTTCAGCCGCCTCCCAAATCTCGAATACTATTTGTGCTATTATCTAGAAGAGTGCTAAGCGAACACTCATATTGTCTCAGCGAATGTACAATTAGCAGGCACTGGTATAATACCTACAGATTACTGTAGCATTGGCGTCCCTCAAAATAATATGTATTTTTAATTATTATGATATTATATTATAGTTATTATAACTTATGATTTTAAATTCTGAGCGGAGCTCAAAAAATGATTTGATTTACAACTTCAACTATAATAATTCTAGTAGGAAAATTAATCAATTTGATATTTTTGGGTGATCGATTATTCGTATTTTTTGATTTATTATTATCTTATTTCATCTTTATTCAAAAATGAATAATTTTAGCATTTTCTATACATGGTTTCTATACTTTGGTTTCAATCCGTACAATCCGTTGCAGCTATCTTCCAAACTTCTCTATTTTTGCGGTGGATGGATAGTATTATATATAGACAATTTCACNTGTTCCTAGCAATTGTGAAAAATCGGGAAAAAACTGGGAAAATCAGTACAACATTAAACAAATATTATTAAAGAAAATATATAAAGCCTATTTAATTATTTTACTATAAAATGACATATATATTGTTGATAAAGCATCACTATCAACTGAACTATGCTCAGATTCGTTTTTGCGTAAGCAATGGTTTATTGTAGCTTACAGGTGTACATTAAATTATCTATAACAGTGGCTGAACCCGTCTCCATTATTCTAGGACGTCTTTTAGAAGTTATAAATATGAACGCCACTAGGCGTTACTTTGTTACTATGTTACTTTTGCACTATAATACAATGTGTTAAAATATTTGCTTTGATTTTAATGGCCTGCCAAAAATGTTCAAAATTCCCAATGTGGTCCCCAAAAAATATTAAATGGCGATCTCTGCTATAGATTATAGTTTATACCCATAGATACCACGAACTAAGATAATCTTGTTTATTGTTTATATTTGTAACCATGGAAAATAAGATAAATGAGTTTAGCGGGTTTACTGACAGCATTGACATTAGTAATAACATTTTTTAAATTAAATTTTGCGAATTGAATAATTTGTATTTTTTATCCTACTCGAAAAATGTTCTTAGATTTTTTTGTTTGACGGAAAAAAAAATGAGTCCGAAGTTTTTCATAACGGACCTTTTGTCTATGGACTTTGACTTATTACAATTACAGTGACCTCAGGAACGCGCTTCTTTAATAGGAACGAAGCTTAAAACGCGTTCCTTTTCAAATATAGGAACGAGGAATGGTTTATCAACATACATTCACCTTATTTCATTTAGTCCCTAAACCAGTATGTATATTCAATAATTGTATTTTTGTTAAAGCTAGATATAAGTATTTAGCCGTAAGTCGATCAAAAGAATTGTATTCAACTTACGATAGTTTCGACCAAATTAATTGTAAACGCTCACGTGATTTCCTACTATGTTCTGAAATCCATCCGTTACATCCTAGTAGTGGCAAACCCATCTGCGAAATTCTCTTATTGAAAGACTCTAAAGAGGTACCGACGGACTGTAATTTGTTGCGTGTTAAAATGGCCATTTCTGTTTTTCACAAACTCAAGTTTAAAAACGAATGGTTATATTCCACGGAGGGTGAAACATTGTTCGTCACATGTAGTGATGACAAACAGTTCTCCAGCCATATCATTGAGGGAATAGGGAAGATCACGTTAAACGAAACGTGCAAAGCTTATGCCACACGGGATATATTAATTCTAGGACACCTACACAATCAGGAGGAGTACCATGATTTTGTGCCTAGGTCAGTCATTCCAGATTTGGACCATTTATTACTATTAACTGATACCGGAGATACTATGAGAAATGAGCAGGGGATCGACAATCAAATGAGCGATCTAATAAGAGTCGCCAAAACCCAAGGCCAACTTATGAATGACAATTTGGTCAAGCAACTCGGGCATGACCAGCGTCGCGGCCATTATCTATTATATGTCGTTAGTGCTATCCTATTCATAGGATTGATCATACTAGCAGTAAAGTATAGTAATGAAGTCATCACAAAACGGGTCCAAGCAAGAACTCGGCGACCACACCGAGAGGGGATGGTTTAAACAAAGACCAACTACCAGTAGCAGAGGATTTAATGCCCAGAGTACGATACCCGACGCTAGATTTCCAATACTTCGAAGCCCAGGGACTTCATTCTAATGAGGGAGGAATGTAGTAAACCCATTTAAATTATATAATTACAAGCACGTCGAGGCCGATAACTATATCAGTAGTAGAATATCTGATTATCACAGAAGACCTCGACACGCGCTATGTACCAATTCTTTTTCCTTATTGCGTCCTTATTCTATTAAATTAACCTTCAGGAATCACGTAGCGTCCGCTGGATCTATATATATATATACGGGTCCTATTGTACACCTAAGGTAGAACGGTTCACGTTCAAGCCCTTGCGGACGAACTTCTGTTCCATCATTTTAGTTTTTATTTTCTATTTTGTTAAATTGTATGAGTTGTCAAATAAATTAATTAGTTATATGTATTTATAAATTAGGTTTTACTGTCCATCTCAATCCTCTACCACCAGCAGACGTCGGCGTCATTAAATAAATCGTATGAGCACAGAGCGTCAGCCCTGAGCTCACTATAGAAAGAGTTCCTATTTATGTGGAACGTGAACGCAAATTTTTGTTCCTTCTATTAGAAAAAAAAAAATGAAAGGCTCGTTATTTTACTAATAATATCGTTTAGTATTAGTATAACTTCGTCAATTACTAATTTAGTTATATACACAGACCTTATACTATGTCTATTGTTATAATATATAACCGTGATATAAACGGTATCGCGGTAATAATGGTTTAAAATGATAACAAACAACATAACTTATTTGATAATGACAAATGTCTAATTTACAAAACGATATATAATAACATTGTCAGTGTAATAATTTTTTTTGTATAATTAATAAAATATTATATTTTGAATTTTGAGAAAATTGATGTTGAATTATTTTTTTATTTTTTAAGATAGGAACTAGAAAATTAAATTTATTTAGATTTTCAATATGTAGATTCTTAGAAGTTAGAATAATTTCTAATTTTAGTTATCCTACCTTTCCAACTTCCTACTTACAACAGTTGCTGCATCCATTCCCGGTTACTTTTTTTTTATGAATATGTAATATGCTTATTCATAAAAAAACTTTCCTAACACTGTAGTATAGTTGTAAACATATTCGAATTTGGATATCCAGTTTACAGAATACTAGACATTATATGAACTGATTAACAATTACTAACACATGGATTTTCTTGAGGTGTAAAATGATAACTATAATTTACAGTTTGTGTTTATAATCTTTTTAATTTGTAAAAAAAATAAAAATAAAAAATCTATACATTTTATTAATTGTATATTTAAATGAGATTGCAATAATATTCTTTAAGTCATAGGAAGTGTCGATAATACGTGGCTTCTTTTATCAAAATTTCTTGTTATTTTTTTTCACTATCACATACGCTTATTTTACTTCTATTAGAATAGATTGTGTATTATATTTTAAAATTTAAAAAAAAATTGTATTCCATCAGAATCATAAAAAATGTTTTTAAATATTTTGTTAAATGAATGCTAGTTCAGAAAGTCAAAGGATGGAACTTCATCATACTGTTGTTGCTGTTGCGGTTGCATTGTTCTTGTTTGACCTCCAGGAACTTGTTGCATATTCATAATTTGATGTCTATATTGAGGTTGCTAATAAAGAAATTAAAAATTAAACAAAAATAAATGTATGCAATAGAAAAAATTGTTTAATCATATGTACTTGTTGTAATAAATGGCGAAGACCGGGATTACTGGATACTACAGGTCGTATTTGCATTCTCTGCTGTGGTGCACTGTTACCCATTATCTGTGGTGGTTGATTTCCAGGAACCATTTGTCTTGATTGTTGCTGTTGCTGTTGCTGTTGTTGCTGTTGGTGGATATGAAATTGTTGGGTTCTCAATTTATGCTGTTCTTCTTGTTGATGCTAAAATCAAATTGACTAATTATAGTAACTGAATAAATTATGGTATACAAATTACTATGCAATTAAAGTACTCTTTAAAACTTAACAATAGACCAACACACTGATTGTACTGAAAGTGTACTCACTTCCAATTGAGCTTTTAATATAGTCTCTTGCATTTGAGCATGTTCCAGATTTTGTTGCATTTGGGGCACATTCATTTGATTACGAATCTATACCATATTATTATACCATATAAGTATTTCTACCATATAAAACAATTGTTTACTTAACATACCTCAAGTTGTGATTTCAATATGTTTTCTTGCATTTGAGCTTGTTCTAAACGTTGTTGCATTTGGGGTATATTCATTTGATGACTTTGTATCTTAAATTGATAAATATATAGTATTATAAAATGAAAATAATAAAACTATTAAAGAACTAACAAATTTATCTAAGTTACCTCCATTTGAGACTTGTACTGTAATTCTTGTTGTTGTGCTGCTTCTAGTGTCTGTCGTAGCTGATGTATCTTAGCCAAGTTTTGTTTTCTAGCCATCTCAATATGTTCGCTGTATTGAGCTTGCGGTGGGCGAACTCCAACATTCCCAACTACTCCAGGACTCTGTAAACAAAGTGTTCTTATTCAAATTCCAGAAAATACAATACAAATTCACATTATTTAAAAAAAATATATTTTACTTGTATAGGCATATTAGTATTATTAACTGGTTGTCCAGTGGGTTGAGGATTAGACATCATTTGAACTGATGGACTATTGGAAACAACTTGATTCCCTTGAGGTGCAAAATTAGACCCCATCAAATCAGCTATAATAGAACAGATCAATAAAATTAAAATTATAATATATTTAATTATTTTAAAAATTACCCAAATTTGATTGTGGTTGAGTTTGCAAGGAAGCTGTTAAAGGATTGTTAGGCATAATTCCTGGCATCTGGTTAGATCCTGGTCCACCAGGCATATTTGGACCAGGTGGCAATTGCATTTGACCAGGCATATTTCCTTGAGACATACCCATTACATTCTTTAAACAAATAATAACAATTAATCAACAGGTATAAATTAATACCTATAAGTTTTTTTAACGAGAAACATAGTGTAAAAAATACCTTTTATAATAACATTATTTTAACATACTAACTTTTTAAATTTATCATTGAACAATTACTTACAATTAAGAAAAAAACATAACATACCAATTACTCAACAAAATTTTAAGAAAATATTGATGTTCACCATGTTTATTTAAAATACATATAAGGAAACATAAATATTTCATATGTTGAAACAACAATATTTTCTAATGAATATTCCACTTAAATATGTTGTACCTATAACATGGACAAATATCATAATATGATGCCATAGTCCACATTAAAATATTTAAAAGAATGTTGATGCCCAATGTTGTTCAAATAAAAATATAAATTTATATTAAACATATACTAGGTGATTCATTTAAGTGGGTACACTCATTATCTTGGAAAGTGTTTTTTGAAATTTGTTTTATAAAACATTTAAGAAACAAGCTGCTCTACAATTTTATATCTGTTATTTTTTGTCACCCTTTGTGTGTTAGTTAAAATAAATTTGAGTGTTTAAATTTTTTATTTCTGTCATGCCACTGACGAGATATTCTTTTTTAAGTGGAAGAAGAGTAGTGGTGCATTACTAACACACTGCGCGCGGTACCACCACACAATGATACTCCACTACTTTCCCCCAACCCAAACTTAAAAGTGGAATATTTCGTCAACAGTTGACAGAAAACAACAATTTCAGTAATAAAATTTATTTTAACTAATACTCCATTTATTTATGGAATTTTTAATATAGGTTGTCATTTGAAAATCAAAAGCTGGTAGTGGTTTTACTTCCTAAAGTGAGGGTGACAAAAAAAAAAAATGTAAATATAAAATTGTAAAACAGCTCGTTTCTAAAATGTTCTAGAAAACAAATCATTCGGAAAAAGTTAATACTTTCCAAGATGATGAGTGTACCCACTTAAATGGGATCACCTAGTATAACCAGTCTTTTTCTACTACTATAACCTATAATGTTTAAATGACTAATGGTTTTAACAAAACGTTACTTCTGAGAAATTTAAGGTTTATATTGCTGTAATACTTGGAAATAAAAATATTTTACAAATGGTTTTAGAAAAAAAAAATCCATAAATTTAATAACATTTATTTATTTTTTAATAAAAACAATTCGCTAAAAAGGGACGTATTTATGAGGGGGCTGTAAAGTCTCCAAAATTTTAATAAAATCTAATTTTCATGGTCTATGAGTTGCTGCAATATGCTTAAATTGTATTTTATTTATTTTAAATTTGTATCTTTATTTTGTTAACTCTTATTGCTCATGGACAAGACTTTAACACTAGAGAACGAATATTGGGCATCATAGACACAGTCACACGCTTTACTGAAAATAATTTCATCAATATTATTTTGTGTACCTGTACAATCTACCACAATAATAACCTTTGTGTTTGTAGGAAACCTAGTTCGCTGGTAGGAAAGGATTTTGAATTTATTTTTATAATTCTTCTTTATATTATATATAAATAAACAACTTAATTTTATTGTATATTTCGATCAGTCCCCTCATCCCCAAAATAAAATTCTGGATACAGCCCTGGTTTAAAATGTAAAATATGTATAAAAAAAAATGTGTTAAATTTATGTCATTATTGCTTACATAAGTTTTTCTTAATGCAAGACACTATTCTACATTTAAGTATTTAATGACTGGAATTGTCCCAACTACTTTAATCATTTAAAGCCACACTATTTTTTATATCCTAAGTTTTACTACTGAAATCAATCACATCAATAGGTTTATATTCGGATATTTAGCAGATGTTTACTTAGGATTTACGGGTATTCATTTATCATAACATACATAATCTACAATGAAGTCAGCATTATACAAAATAAAATTTGTAAAAAAGTATGCTGGTTATTACAGTGAGAAAAACTAGTTTGAAAATGAATCACCATTGAAACATTAGGATAAATACTAATAGCTCATAAAACCAAATTATATACATAAAGATTATTCTTTCAGATAGTTTTCAACAATTTTATTACAACACACAAATATCATCAGCCAAAGGTCTAAATGTCACCTACTAAAATAAAAGCATGTTGTTTATTCAATTTGCTATGCTGTAGTAATTTGTAACACACATTAACAGATAAGTTTGACACAATAGATGGTTTAAAAAATTGTTTATTTATTAATTTAAATATTTGTTTAAGTAATTTAGTACAAGTTTTAAGTTATTAAGATTCAAACTAATAGAGAAAAAGTAATGTATAAAACAATTAGGATTTAAAAGGTAGGTGTATACGAATATTTACATATTAAAAACTTGATTACAGATTAAAATTCTAAAAATGTATGTTTGCATTATATTAAGATAAAATACAGTTAAACTGAAAAAAAAAACACTTGACATGTAAAAATAAATTTGAATAAGACAATTTTTTTATGTCAAACAGTAATACTATTGGTGAATATAAGAACACATATTAAAAGAGTAAAAGTATTCTACCATTAACTCTTTTCTAGATTTATTGGAAAATTATAAAAACTACCATATTAAATACGAATACAATTTGCAAATTAGTTTAATAATTAAGTCAGTTGCATTATTATGTACAATCTTAACTTCTAAGTAAAAGAGATGTTGACAATATCTAATGTCTCTAAATTAAATCATACACAATACACTGGACAAAAAAAAAAAAAAAAAATATTTCTGAAGTTCATTTTATTATAAAATGAGTAGGTACAGAAATACTCATATGTAATATAGACCACAAAATGATTATTACATTTTTAAATGAAGGAAAATATTTTGTAGAACTGGAAAATCATGTCAAACTATGTTTTTTATATAATTATTATTTTGTTAAGTTTGAATAAAATATTGAATGTTACTATTTTCTCTCAACATAAGAACTAAGCTCAATTTCATTGGGCATTCGACCAATGGTGACATCAAATCTGTCTTGAACGCTGTTCAAAACCTTTGCATCAGTTTCTTCACAGATGAATGTAATTGCTAATCCTTTGGTACCAAAACGTCCAGCTCTTGCAACTCTGTGTAAATATGTATCTGTATCTTCTGGCATGTCATAGTTAATAACTATGTTTACACGTTCAATGTCCATTCCTCTGCCAAACAAATTGGTAGCTACAAGTATCCGTTTCTGGAAATCTTTAAATTCTTGATAGAACTTTAAACGATCTTGTTGAGACATACCACCATGCATTGCAACAGATGGGAAATTTTGTTCATTAAGTAATTCAGTCAATACTACACAACGTTGAACAGATTTCACAAAAATAATAACCTAAATTAAAAATTATTATTTATTAGTATTTAACTTTTATTAAATGAAAATACACTAATGCAATAACACATTCACTGTGGTTCATAATATAAGCATTATGTTTATATGTGGGGAATTTCCTTATTGAAAACCTAATTGAAATATCGATGTACGACATACATACAACATGTCTCATGAAGATAAACAAATTTTAATATTTCCGAAGGTAAAGATAATCAAATTCTGTTTTTTCATGTACCTTTAACTCACAGGGATAAAAACTACAAATATTTATATTGCACTTAGTTTTTTTTTAAAAAAAAAAAAAAATTAAAAATAATGTTATTTTATTATTTCTGAAGCATGTGAAGTAATCCATTTTCTAATGGATTATCATTTTTACAATTAACTGACTGTACATTTCTTTTCTCTGAGCTTAAAAAAATTATTAAATCACAAATTTAATAAAAATAAAAAGAAGATACATATAAATTTCCAGAAAATCAACTATAAAATAAAAATTTAAGTTATTTATAAGCATACAAAATTAACTGCAATATAAACAATTTTAGTCCTTATCTCTGTAATATAAAGGTATATATATATATATATATAAATATATAAACAAACATAAAAAATAAATTGATTATCTTTAATATTTAGGTATTACAATGGAAATCTTTGAGGGAAACACTGTATATGAGGGTATCAAAAGTATCAAAACTGATAGTATTACTTGTAAACTTAACATTGAAGAACACTAGCTGGCTTCTACGACTTCATTTAAGCACATTTGTTGTAAATTATCTATAAACTACATCATTTCATCAATATTTTTGTGTTAGGTGATTTTGTAATAATCCAAAAGAAAATTTACTTGGCAAGTTGTTGGGGGATTGAGAAGATTTCAGAAATGAAAAAAACAAATACTGAAAAATACTCATAAATTACTAAAGCTCATCAAGTTGCACTTCTTTTAATTTTATATTTACAAAATAATTACGAAAAATATATTTAAAAAATATACTAGTGAAATCAAAACAAAGAAGTTTATAGAGAATTAAAAAAAATAACAGATGAGATGAAGATGAAACAGAAACTGGTGATAATAATTCTACTGCTCTTTAATGGTCGGTTTATAAATAATACTATCATACTCATTTCTTTATTAGCACACAACACTCGTAGATTATATAAATGATATTTATTATCCGCTGAAAAAAACAAGTTAATCAATCATTAAATTGACATAAGTTATAGTGCATTAAAAATAAGGCATCATTGACGCCAATTAGCGTCAACCACAATGAATGTGTACATAAATAATAAGTAATTCAAGTTTACCTGATTAAATTCTAGTTCATCCAAAAGATCAAATAATTTCTTATTCTTTTCCTTTTCAGTGAGTTTGACATAGTATTGTTGGAGACCATGTAATGATAATTTTGCATCATCATCAACATATACCTCTAAAGGTTGTTGCATGAATTTTTTACAGACAGGCCGTATGTCCTTGCTAAGCGTAGCACTAAACATCATTACTTGTTTGTTAAATGGTGTGTTCTTGAATATTTCCTGGACATCACTTCGCATATGTAGTATTTCTAACATTTTATCACATTCATCCAAAATAAAATGCTTCAAGTTATTCAGAACCAATTTTTTTTTTCTGATAAGTTCCAATATCCGACCAGGAGTTCCTACAACTACATGAGGCTTGTTATTCTTGAGAGTATCTTCATCTTTTGTAATCGGTACACCACCAAAGAACACACTGACCTTGACAGCAGGCAAATATTTAGTAAACCGTTCAAATTCTTTACTGATCTGGAAAGCCAATTCTCTGGTGTGGCACAAAACTAGAGCATAAACTTCACTCTCATAGACCTCTAACTGTTGCAAAGTGGATAAGACAAACACTGCTGTTTTACCCATACCAGATTTGGCTTGACAAAGAATGTCCATGCCCAACATAGCCTGAGGAATACATTCATGTTGTACTTCAGATGGATGTTCAAAACCACAGTCAACAATCGCTCTCAATATTTCGGGTTTCAATAAAAAATCACGAAAACCCGAACTGTGGATAGATACATAGTTACCCTTCACTTCTTTCTTTGCTTGTTTTTTGTCATCATTTTCGACGGTTTCGGTTTGATCTTCTTCTTCGTAATCCAAAAGATCATCAGCATCTGCCATCTTTCTAGATAATCTGCTTTCTGGTGATGAATTAAACGAAACTAACAATGATTGTTAATGTAAAAAAACTCAAAACAATAAAGTTAATGTTAATACAGGATATTAATCGGCAAAACGACGCGTGTTTATATGGTTCATACAACAGACATTTTAGATCGGCGTTTTCAAACAGTGTGTGTACGTATAGGGAATGTAAACAATATTTTGGCAATACCAACATGATTTTCGTAATGTTATCAATGACTCATAGATGGCGCTAAGACAATAAGCACAAAGACAAAACAAAACTAATTTCATTGGGAATGGGTTAGGCATTAAAAATTTAAGTCTAATATTCGTCTTTAATTTTGATACATTATCAAAAAAGCTACAAATTACACGGTAAGCAGCTGCAGGTTTCCGACCCCAGTACTAAATAATAATTAGTAAAACCCTAATCTTAATTTAATTTAATTTTAAAACACATATTGATATATATTTTATTATGTATTAATTTGTCCAAAATAATAAATAAAATTAAATTTTTTTACTTAATGGATCAAACCAAATTTATAATTAAAAGATTACTATTTACTAAAAAATATTTCTAAACATTAATAATTAGAAACTTGAGTTTAACTTAGTTTAACTAGCTTATGGGTTTTATGTTAATATATTTTAATTTATTGTTAATACATAATTAAAAATAATGTTAGATCAATGTAATGGAATCTGCGTCACATGCTATCTCCACCAAAAACATATCTTTTGAAACCACAATCTACACCATTCCTTTTGGGGTTTTTTTTTCTTTTGAAATCCGAAAATGACTTTTAAATCTTATTATTGTTGAAACAAAATGTTGCAGAAAAAAAGAAAAAAACCAAATGGAGTTCTGTATTGGTTACTGGTTAGACCACACAATTTATATACATACATATATGTATATACATCAGTGTTTTAAAGGCTAAACTAGTTTATCCAGAAATTGGGTTTGGTCGGTACCATATACTTAACTATATACCTACAATAAGAGTTTACCATCAATATTTAACCAACATTTATCGTCAGAGACGTAGATAAAATACAACACAATCAACGTTTGTGTAGATAGCATACAACGTGAGTTCCAATATATAGATATTTTTGGATTACTATGACTATTATCATTTTTGCATAAATACAAGCTACACAGAAACTAAATACGCTTACCTACCAGTATTTATTTTATACTGTTAGAACATTTAAACATTCTATATAAATATATATATTTTTTTTCTTTAACATCATAACTATTAAAGAAAAAATATATTATACTTAAGAAATTCTTATTTTCTTTTCATTAATATATTTTATAGGTTTAAAATAATATAATTATAATATCAGTTGCACATATATATTATAAGTTATAAAGAAGAATAAAATTTAAAAGTAAAAGTAAAAATGTAACAATAAAAAAGATTAAAGATGAACCAATTTACCTGGCCTTGGCGTATCAAAGCTGTGGAAGCTTTTTGATGTTGTATAAGTTTGCGCAGTCTGTCGACAAAAGCAGCTTGATCATTTGGAATGAAACCAATGAAGGCTTTCCTATCTGGTGTATAAAGTAATATTAAAACTTTTACATCACAATTATGAGATGTCGGAGCGCTGTTGAAATGTACACATCCAGCCTACAAATTACAAATTTATATAAATATTGATGAACTATCATTTTTAAAAAAGAATCTTACATATCCACTAGTCATGTACTTTGTCAATGATTCTAATGCTTCACATGGCGTAGGTTGAAATACAACAGACTTTGAATCTTTTAAATGAGCACCTCCAATACTTCCAATTAAATTCTTAGGCATTAATTGCATTATCAATTTTTCTGGCCACGTTTCTGCTTTTCTGTAAATAAAAAAACATCATAAATATTAATTAAATTGGAATTTTAAAGAAGTAATGATACGTTACAGTTCTGGTTCTCCATTTTTTACAGTAGCTGATACTATACATGGTACATTTCTTGTTATTTTTGGTATTTCATTCAAAGGCTTAGACTTTTCTATCCATTCTAATGTTCCTGTCCAAATAGTTTGCCTTCCAGGCCCATTCTAATAACAGTAACATATTTAACATCATTTGTACATTAATTTATATTAACTATTAACATACTTGTTGTTGTTGAACCTGCTGCTGCTGCTGTTGTTGATTCATCATTCGTAAGGCTGCTTGTTGCTGTTGCTGCTGCTGCTGCTGCTGCTGCTGTTGTACTTGTTGTTGTTGTTGTTGTTGTACTTGTTGTTGTTGTTGAACTTGTTGCTGTTGCTGAACTTGTTGCTGCTGTTGAACTTGTTGGTGCTGAGTTTGTTGCGATGCCACTAAAAATTTATCTATTGTGAATAAGGCACAGATTTATATAAAATTTATCTATAAATATAATAAAATATAAAATGGAAGAGTAGATTATAATAGTCAATGAAAAATGTTTAACATGTAGTCATTACTCAAATCTAAGATTAGTAACAATTTACCTAAAATTAAATGTATGAAATAATTTACCCAACTTAACCTTAGTAAAATGCTAACATTTTATGTAGTACCAAAATAGATCATAATATAATTTTTTTTTATTTTTATACACTCATTTTTATTGTTTAGAGGACAAGAAAAACATACTCATTTATTTTTTAGTATATAATACTAGCGCACCATATCCTGAAGACATAGTCTCAGTGTATTACAAAAAAACTATTTTAAACAATTTGGTTGTATTTGTTAATAATATTTATTAATTAATAATGCATTTTGATTTAAATATAAGTAATAGAATTAAATTATATTACATAATAGTTAATTTTTTTTGTGTACAAAATATAGTACAGTGCTGCTGTAAAAACTAAAAATTAGAAAATAATATACAATTGAAGATGATGATTTCATAGATAAAAAACTAGTAAATTGACTTGAAACGTACATCTAAATGATTATTAGAAAAGTTTTAAAATTATATTTGAGACCTGAATATAGTGATGAAGTTAAGTTGGTTTTTTTTCTCCCAAATGAGTTTTTTTGTCAATAACAAAAGCTAATATTTGTTTACATGGTATCTTAAAAGATGTATATGTTTTAATGTTTTTTTTAAATTCCTAACACTTATTCTAAAAAATTACTTGAAACAAATTTTTAGATAAAAATAATATTTTGAACGTTTCACTTAGTACTTTAAGAAATTAAATTACAAAAATTGTACTTACTATCTAGTCTTTGTTGGAATGTGGGGGTTGTTAATTGTGCAATTAATGCACTTGCTTGGTTTGGACGTTGTTGTGATGTCATCATCCAAGTACGTGGTGTTTGATTTGGTCTTACAAAACCACCAGCATTTGGATATGGTTGGTTTGGAATTACATTACGGATCATTGGTTGTTGTGCTTGTTGTTGTTGCTGCTGTTGAGCAACAGCTACTGCTTGTTGAGCTGCCTGAATAGCTTGTTGTTGTTGATGTTGTTGTTGTTGTTGTTGATGTTGTTGTTGTTGATGTTGTTGTTGTTGATGTTGTTGTTGTTGTTGTTGTTGTTGTTGTTGATGTTGCTGTTGCTGCTGTTGTTGTTGTTGCTGTTGTTGTTGCTGAACTTGATTTTGCATTGCCAATACCTGATAAAAAGATAATTTTTTATTATAAAATGTATCCTTCATAATTTTCAAATATTTTAAGTACATTTAATTTGTTATTTTTATTGTAATGAAATTATTCCCTCAATTTACTCTATTTATTATATAAGATACGAGTAGTTAGACTAAAAATTATGAAGAAATATACCCATTCTCACATCTCTGTATACCTACACAAAAATAAAAATATGGATTGAAAGTTAAAAACCAAAATTTAATATTTTTATTTCAAAAATAATGGTAAAAAATTAATTACGGGTCAATACATAAACCGATATTCAATATTGGTAATGTTGGTATTTTTTTGAAAACCAATAATTTCAAAGAAAAATGTTGACATCTCAAGAATGATAAAAAAATCAAGTTTTCAACCAATATATCAATTATTATCAATACTAATTAATAGTTATCAATTTATAATATCAGATATCGGTATCATAAATTAAAGTATCAAATATCAGAAGTATATATTGAAATATTGAAATTTTATAAAAAATGCCAAGATATTATTTTCATAAATGTTTTTTAAACTGCTTATTCAATATAATGTAATTAATCTTTTTTCATTGTCACAATAAAGCAAGTCAGTAAAAGACGAATCTTAATTTTAAACACAACAGTTTTATTGTGATAATGAAAATCATTGTATTTTATTGTGGGGTATAAGGGCCTTTAGAATTTACAGTAGTACGAGATATACTTGGGCGTTCAATAATTACTAAAATATAGACAAAATATATACCATAATATTATGTACTTTATATAGTAATGGATTAATTTAAACACTAATTAATAATTTGTTTAATTACATACTGGGTTATTAGTTCTAAAAGGAGGACACTGAGCAACTGGTGATCCAATATTCACAATTGTATTTAATGGACTTGTCATAGATAGACCAGAATGAGTTGTAGGTGGACATGGACTCATTGGACGTTCTTTTAGACTATAATACATAATATAAAAATAAAACATTAAGACAAATTTTTTTTTTTATAACGTTTTGATAGAAACAACAAACTCATAACTTCATGTGAGGTTTTTATTAAAAATAATATTTGTGACAAAAAAATTATTATTGTGAATAAAATCTAATTGTTACTATAAAATCTAGTTTTGAGAAAAATTATACTCTGTTTCTCCTTGTCATATAAAACTATTAATAATTTAATTTTGACAAAATACTTATTCATTCAAGTTATTAAAACTTGAAACTGATTTAAATTGTATTATAACTGATACATGCCAGTGTAATTAAACTATTTAATTAAATAATTACCTATAACCATTGAGTAAAACTAGATGCCTCGGATCTTTTGCATAGTTTTTATTTTGTGAAATTTGTAAATCTCCACCAGCTTTTTCAAATAATTTTAATAATGCGGGAGTTTTTCTCGCAGATAAAATTGAAAGCAAAATTCCTTTCTAAGACACATAATATATGTATATAATACATATAAATATTAATATAGTATAGGTACACTAGATGTAATACTTCTTGGAAAAGATTTGCAATTTGATCAACACTACGTCCAGCATACATTTCACATTCCATAATTGGAAAATTATAAGGTGGTGAGTTACAAATTAATACACAATGTCTTTGTTTAGCTTCACGTATTTCTTGTAAGTCTTCAAAAAAAACTAATGCTGTTGCTAAGCCTTCGCCCATATAAGCATGCGATTCTGCCATACCACCAATCATACTAAAAAATAAAATTCCAACATAATATTACTTAATAGGAGCATGAACATTTAATTAAAACTTACTCTATTTTTTCAATCGTTTTTATAACTTTTTGTGGACTAGTAAATGTTCCATGTGTACGGCAACAAGGATATGGTTTACAATCATTTGCTTCATACACTACAATTCCGTAAATTGCACTACTACTCTGTAATATTATGTATTAATTAATTTTTTTAAGATTTGATAAGATTTCTTTCTTACTTCAGATAAATACTCTCGTTCTTCAATTGGTCCTTGATTAAAGTATCTTTAATTAACATAACAGTTAAAGAAAATTAAAAAACAAATTAATTTTAGGATTACCTAATTATGTAAATATTATATAAGTATAAAAGTTATCGAAATTTATAAAAAAACTTACTCTAATGTTGGAGTCACATAATTAGTTTTAAGTTCACTAATGTAAGTGTTCATTGCAGTTTTTTCTATTACAAATATAATATCTGTTTGAACAGAATGGTCTAATGGTGCTAAAACCATTTTCAGACCTTACTTAATTTAAACTTTATTTACTTAAATAAAAAAAAAAAAAATGATAGAATTGTCTATTAAATATTAATATGAGAACAAAATATTGTTTGGCATTTACTACTATTGCTACTGCTCAAAATTAAGGTATATTAGTTTATAATAAAAAATAGACGTAAGAAAATAAACCATAGACCAAGCGTATATATATATATATATATAATATTATATTACTCAAATTACGATTATCTAAATAACTGTGAGCACAAACACGAATAATTAACCACAGAATATAGATATAAAGATATCTATTGTTATCTATGAAATAAACACAACAGTATTGATTAAATCGTGGAGTTTTAAGTTTACAATACTGACTACTAATGTAGATAATAATTATCTATAACTGTGGACTGACAACATGGCTATAATAAAAATATTATTATCTGTAACAGTGGCTTGTTAGCCAGATTGTTATCTGTTTATATTTTCATAACTATTTTATGATTATCACTAAAATAAAGTCTTGATTTATTTATTAATAATTACTAATCTATGAACGGCATGATTACTAGTGAAGTAAAAGTACAAGTTGTAGTCTACGGTTCTACGATTTTATCTATTTTGCGGTTATAGTGTTCATGAACTAATCATTCGAGACATGATAAAATAATGAATAATTATTATTTATTCGTGGCATGAAGACTGGATTAAAATTTTAGTCTTCATGATATGTTGTTATGATTATGGATAAATAGATAATATAATCGTGTTCGTGATCTTTAAAAATTTGTTTGTTGGTTATTTAAATATAAATTTGCTTCGAATTTATTTAATAAACGGTTTAAACTATTATTACTATATGTCATTTATTATGTATAATTCATAATTTATTAAAAATATACAATTAATTGTTAATTAAGTTAGTAAAATGGATACGAAATTCCCATCCAAAAAAGCCGATGAATTTGCTAACGATTTGTTTGAAACATGCAATTTAACAGAAATTGAATTTTTACAAAATTCTTTAAAAAAAGATGTGGAAAAAAAAGCAGATCAGTTAAAATCTTTAGTGAGGTTTGTAAATTATGATAAAAATATAAGTGAAAAATGTATAATGAAATATATAATTTATAAATAGCTGTTTAAATGGTTAATTGACTGCTTGAAGTCTAGTCTGTGAATCGTAGAACATTTATTAGTTTGACCTTAGAGAACATTATTAGCACATTGCGATGATTATTGAAATGTTTAATATATGGGGGGGGGGGAGTGTTTTATTGTAATTTATATTATATTACAATATATATTAACGTTGAACTTTCAAATTTCAGTTATTACTATTATTAGATTAGTGCATATAATTGTTTACGTCATATACTAAATAAATAATTATGTGTGTATATTTTTTAAATGATTGTATAATGCTTTATTTAAATACAACTTTAATTTTTTGTTTAGTGAAAAATATAGAGATCTCATTGATGCAGCTGATACAATTAGTACTATGGCTATGATTGTTAGCGACATAGCAAATGTTACTGAAGATATCTTAAAAACAAATCACACTAATCATATAGCAACATTAGATAGGTAAATGCTCAATTCATATTTTAAAATTAAAGATTTTTAAATTTTTATTTTTTTTTATACAGTAATGACAATATACTTGATAAATTTGCTGCTCAGACAAAACTTTTAATTGATATATCTGAACAAATATGGGAATGTTTGAACTCAAGAAACTATTTAACCGCTACTCAATTATTTCAGTTTGCTTTACATATCAAAAAAAGTAAATAGAGTAATATGTTTAGTATAAGTATTAGGTAGAGATAATAACTTTGTTTTAGACTATTCAATGAAGTTCATAATTTAATTTAGGTATTATGATTGTTAATTTGTTATATATTTTTTTTAATTTTAGGTCTAGATGAAGATGTAGTAAAAGGACTTAGAAAAGGTAAATTATTTTTGGACAGAGTTTGGTCTACAATATCTCACTTTTTAACAACTATATCTGATAGAACTAGATTAGAATTATCTGGACAAATTTCTCCTGAAGTAATTTACTTACTCTTACATATTGTTTTAAATATATTGACTCTTAATATAAATATTATATTATATTACTTAATAGAAAGCGGCATGCTGTTTTATTAGTTTATCTATATTAGAAAAACTAGATGCTCATGCTTTGGTTAAAGAATTTGTTATATTACGTTCAAATATGTTACAACATATATTGACAGAAGGAAGTTCAGCCGACAAAAATATTGAAAACAGTTCTAATTTAATTATAAACACTATTTACAATTTATATTTGTGTTTTACAAGTAAAATAATTTATTTAGTTATTAAATATTATTATAATATATTATCATACTCTTATTTCACAAAAATGAGACAAATAATTTATACATATATTTTAGATTATGATATTTATAACAGTGGAGTAATATACATTAAAATTAAAGATATTCTGAAAAATGGACCTAATGTATTATCGTTAGTAGATTTGGATTATTCATTAAAATTTGGACTTGCATATTTACCAAATTCTGTTAGAGAATTCAAGTTTGTAGTCCTAAAATAAGTTTGTTTTAAACATGCAATACAAATAATAGTAATAATCATTTTATTTAAAATTAATTTTGATTTGAATTAGGATTGATTGTATGTTATATACAAATGAGTTATCAAATGAATACATAACTAATATTGTAACTAATTGGTTGGACTGGGCCAAACCATTTGTTTGTACCAAAGTTACAGATATGTTGGAAAGTGTAAAATCTTTTTCAATTCTTTCCTATTTAAATCACTTATCAACAGTAAGAGTACCAATTACATATTAATCTAATATTTTTTTTTTTAAATTTAAATTTTTAAACTTTAGGAATACCCTCAACACTGGACTGCTATATCAGAACAAATTGCATTTGAATCAGACTTATGGTCTGAATTATACTGTCCATTATTTGCTCAAAGAACTAAAGTTTTACTAACTAGTCACTGGGAAAATGTTTTTCCTATAATCATTTCAGATATAAACAATGCTTTAATTCAGTAAGAAGTAAAAAATAAATTCACACATTTGTTTTTATATAATTTATGTATTCTTTCAGGTCAAAAGAACCATACCTACAAGAAAGTTTATTTTCAGATACAGATGAATGTTTAGAAACTCGTTCAGTAGGTTGCTCAGATGAAACAGCTAAGTTGTGTGAATGTGTTGAAAATAGAATTTTATTATTAGTAAAGATGTTAAGTGAATTAATCTCTGAAGATGAAGATCCATGGGCTCTTAGACAACACCAAGGGAATTGTTGCTACAATTTTATTATGAGGTTTTGTGAAGTTTAATGAAGTTAAATAATTTTTTTATTAAATTAATCCATTGTTGAATTTGTTTAGATTGGGGAAAAAAATGATACAATTAGTTGAACAAGAAAAATTAAATGAGCATGGCTTATTATTAATAGCTAGATTTTTATGGCATTTACCTGTATTATGTCCAACATTAAAACAATGCTTAGTATCTTTAAACCAACTGGCAAGTATTTTATTTTATTATTTATACTTCTTCATTAATTCATAATATTACTATTATTATCTAATATTTATAAGTAATTTTGAGATTTAATGAAAATCTAAATTGTGATCAATAATATGGCTCATTAATTGTATTTTGAACTGAAAAGTTTTATATCAATTTATAGGCTAATATAAATATAGTTCAATAGTAAGTTTATAGTACTATAAAATGCATTAAAATGATTTTTTTTTCATTATAAGTTTATGTAAATGTAGAATTCTAATAATATGTAACAAAGATATTAATTTAATTTTTTCAATCACTATCTGTTTGATTCTTTAAAGTTTGTATACTTTAATAAATATTGATTTTAAGTTAAGAAAACAGAAATAAATCAGGTAAATAGGGGATATTGAGTAGTATAGCTAATGATAAGAGTGTTATATTAAACATTTAGCATGCTACTTTTTGTAAGTTAACGGTGATTTTAAAAATGTTAGAATGACTACATAATAAAGCTTTAAAATATCGTTTTTTAAGAGGTTTATTTTAATATTCTAAGAATCTTATTGAATTTTTAAAAATAATATTCCATATTTTATTTTATAATTTCCTTGGTTATAGATTTATTATTTTATTTTCAATCTTCAATAAAATTATCAACTAACTCAGTTTACTTTTTTTATAATGTGTTACTCTTATTCTTAATTTGTGGTTCTAGTAAAATGTGTTATACAGTAAAACTTGCAAATAACAGTCACCGAAGGGACCAGAAATAATGACCATCCTTTAGAGGCAACACTTGACAGGACCAAAAAAAAATTACTTTCTTTTAGGGGTGACCGTTAGTGGAAGTTTTAACTGTACATACAAGGTGATTCTTTTATCGTATGACACTCATTAGTTCAAAAAGTATTAATTTTTTTGAAATTGTTGTTGACGAGATATTCCAATTTTAAGTTTCAACATGAAAAAAGGAGTAGTGCTATTAATTTGTATGGTGGCATATTGCGTGGCTTTAATAATATTCCAACACCTCCCCAAAAGTAGGGGTGACAAAAAAAATATGGTAACTCAACTTTTTAGAGCAGCATATTTCTTACAATTTTGAGTATTATATGATAAATGAATCACCTTATATATTTGTTTATTTCGTGAACTATTTAATGATTTACTATAAATAGTGAGCTATTTGTAAGTAAATAAAATATATTATAGTAATTAAGCAGCCGGATAATATGTAATTTTTTAAACAATTTATTTTCTTAATTTTTACAAGAAGTGATGCATAATATCAAATTTACAATAATTAAGTAGCCTAAAAGTAAAACTTATGTAAAACTTTTGTTTTTAACCTACCCAATTATCTATACATACAATATTTTTAATTATGAAATGTTATTTATTACGTCCATTGTGATCTTTATTCAAATAATTGTATATATATTTAATATTTTATTTAGTTTAATTTTTGGACTTCATCAAAAGAAGAAATGCATAAGGCTTCCATAATTGTGTGGAATAAATGGACAAATGTAGTGACAACTAGGATGTTTAATAATTTAAAAGGAAATATTTTACCAATTACACTCGGAGAACAACTTTCTACAATTCCGGTAAAGTAAAAAAAAAAAAATGTATAATTACATCTAATACAAACAATATACATCACAAATGTTGTGTTTATGTTCTTCTAGTGTTTTAATTTAAGTGTTTTACTATATATTTAGTGTATATACCTACATTATAAATAAATAAATAATGAGTTTCTGGAATCAAAATCCTATTACTTGGAGTATTTTTATGTTGAATTTTTAATTTATACTTAAGTGTACATAACAACATGAAACAATTTCAATTAAGTTTTTTTTTTTTTAAAATATATATTATTTTTAAACTAATAAAATTCCTTCACAATCTAAAATAAATGAAAATACTATAATTTGAATTTTCTATTATTTTTAGAAATGGGAAATTATAGACATGGAAGTAGAAAAAGAAAACGGAGAACTAGTAGTATCTAAACTACAAGTACCAAATCAACCATCATTTCCTTTGCAAAATTTTATTCATAATACTATCACATGCCTTGCTCTAGCTTTACCACCTAAGTACTTTTTGTAGACATAATATATTGTATTCATAATGTTGATAATTAATATTATTATGTTTAGATTTGTCCAAGAAAAGACAATTGCCTTATGTATTGAATGGATATTAATTGAATATCGCGATAATAGTGTACTCGAAACCTCATTAAAGTCTAGATATCAAATACAAAAATTATTTGATCTAAAATATATTAATCAACTTTTTATTAGTATTGAAAATGAAGTAATAGTCATTAATACAATTTTAAGATAATTTAATATTTTAATATACCATTGGAATGTTTAGAATTTGTCAGCCATTTGTTCAGAGCAGATATCAGCTGTTGAAAATCAAATTGACCCAATTAATCTTGATGTTTTGGATGAATACATTGTTAAAAATGTTAAACGAGCTGTTGTTGCAACTAAAGTAAGAATGAAATGTATAATATATATTTTAACTATTGCCCTATTTTTTTTTTTTTTTATAAAGTAAAATAATATTTATTATTGTCAGGGTGTATTGTAGATTAATTCATTTAAAAATAAAATAATGATAAAGTACTAGTAATATTATAATTATAATTATAATCAAGTACTAAAGGCAATTTTTTTGTCATTAGTAACAATAGTTTCACAATCGTTATATCGGGTACAAAATTACAAATTTCAAATAGGGCGCCATAAATTATTCTTAAACAATGCAACAATCTTATCAATTTGGGCCCATCCATGTCACCACAATACATATTCAGTGTATACATAATTCAAGATAGCTAAACCATCAGTTATTAAAATTAAAATCGTACAAATAATGTACCCAACTAATAGGAATACCATTTTTAAGTGCAACATTATACTAAGTATTTTGTGGTATCAATGGTTCAGTTTAAGGTTTGTAATGTCATGGCACACTGCAGTAGCAATATTGTAACTGTACAGAAGAAACTAAACGAGACTGATAACATGTAACTAAAAAAAAAATATATATATATATACCAATGTAATAAGTTTTTGGGACTCATGACTTAGATTCTGAGTGAAAAATATTTTGGTTTTAAAATGTTTATTATTAATTTTTTATCTGATTAATTTTTCTACCAGAAATCTTACTTTGATTTTCATGTTTAGTACCTTTTCTGACTGGAAATTTCATCAGAGAGATAATTTCGAAAGGTATTTTTTTGATTTTCTAAGTGGTTTTCATAATAATTGGGAAAAACTTGGAAAATTTACAAGAAATGTATTATTTTCAATTTTGTTTTTTTTGTTGAGATTTAGTTTAAAATATTTGCAAAGACTATATAGAAAACGTATATTTGCCTTATATAAACATGGTAAAATTTTCAAAACACTGTAGCTATTTTTAGCTATTTAATGACATTTTAATTTTGCGAGGTGTTTATGTACTTTTTATTTTGTAGATACTCATTAAAAAAACAATTGTTAGACCAAAAAGTCAAAAAAAATACAGCCTTTTAAAATATATGTTACCAATTTCTTCTCAAAATTGTTTTTCTGTTTGTAATGATTAATCTATATTAGTACTAGTATCTACATTGCTAACAGATATATCAAACTCTCTCCTATATCCTACGTACTTAATTTAAATAGTCTTCCTGGAGTTTAATTCAATTTTATACTTGTTCATACTATCATTGTACATATTTTATTTATTTATTTATAAATTAACAAATAACTACCCTTTTGGTAAATATAATGGATATAAAATAAAATTAACAATACACTTAATATGATATAAATTAACATAATATTTGTAATGCATGCAAAATATGATTGGTTTAATCAGTAATAGTATATATTTTAAAAATATTTTTATTTTCAGTGCATTTTTGGTACTATGTATCCAAGTCAATTACCATCAGAATGTTCAGATGAAGCAAATACTTTGATGTTTAGCACTTATAGGTTTAAACTATTTTTAGTCACCGATTCTTAAAATTAATAATACATTAATTTATGGTTATTATATGTAAAATCTATATCTATCACTAATATTTTAAGGTTAAATTATATTCAAAATTTCTCAAAACGGTCTATATAAACCCTCAGGGGTGATTATTTTGCCCTATAAATGATCCATTTCATCAAAAATAAAAATTGGAGTGCGTGAGATGTAAATAAGAGTAATAAATGATATTGATTTAATTTCATAGTATCCAAGATTATTCCTTGTACTGTGATCGCCAGGTTGTCCACATAAAAAAAGTGTTTAGTATGTTATGGAATTGGTTGATCATTTGTACAGAGCAGCATTTCCTAAAGTGTGTGCCGCAATACTAGTATATCGTGAAAACTTGAACTTTTCATTTTTTATACGATAATAATTGAAAAAAAAATTAGTATACACTGCATGTGTTATATTATAATCTTAATTCTAAATGTATACAATTTTAGTGTGATAGATGATATTTATCTGAAGTTTGCCGCAATTCATTATAACTAATAATATACTGAAGAAAAATTTAGAAACCAATGATAGAGGATAGGTGCGCCAACAAGATGCTACTTTGGAGTAGTTTATTAGGTTGAATTCTCCATCGGCTCCATTTATTATTAAGTATTGCTGTAAAATGTCTGTTGTGTAGCATTAAAGACTTATATTTATAGTTAACCATGCCATATACCAGTCAAGTTCACAAAAATTGCTCCAGTAACTTTTTTTTTTCAAAACCATTTTTGAATGTAGGGACATAAATGTAGTAAACTGTCCCATATACATTTTCTCTGGTCAGTATTTAAATGACATTGTGATGAGATAAAAATATGGCTAAGTATTGAGTTCACAGGCTAAGACAAATATATCTTAGTTTATGATCTTTGATTTGAGATAAAAACATGGTACAGATATGAGTATGCTTATGCTTTAAGCAACCCTGTGTGACTGGACATAATATAAGTAATAATAAATGTTGCAATATAATGTTTTTTTTGTGTTCCACCCCTATGGTTTCACTTATTCTTTTTATTTTTACACTTATCAAGGTTTTTGATGTATATATAAAATTAAGAATAATTTTTTGTGATCACTGAGTCTATGTGCCTTTTTCTTTATAACCGATATTTACCACTGATTTTTGATATTAAACTATACGGTTTACACAATTTTGTGTCCAATATGTAATATCGATGTATGCAGTTACTCAAACCTAAGTTTTGGTTTTATCAATGAATTAAGCACATATCAAAAAAAAAAAAAAAAAATTTAATTTTCTTCTCAAATTCTTCTCAAAGTTTATCCAACTTTAGTTTTGTGTAATATTATTATAAATACAAAAATTCACATTTTGAAAGTAAACAATTGATAGGTTGTCAAGTTATACTCCAGTCTATCTTTAATATCTTTTAATAGTTAATGCTTAGCACTGTAATAATGATTTGTTTTACAATGCATTTCACAGATATAAGCTCACAGTACAAATTATAATTATCACATTTGTTTAGTGTTATATTACACATTTTTAAGTTACATTTCATAAACTAGCTAAATAATGCATAATTTATTAATCATCAATTTAGTAGTTAACTGTACCTATGCAAAAATATTTAAAAAAAACTTAACAACCTAATTTGATTTTAAGTTATTTTAAAATCATTACTTTTTTTCGTGCTCAAATCTGAAATAATACTTCAATAAACCCATCTCACATAATTTTAGATATACTTTTCAATTTTCATACAAATTATCTTTGGTTATCAGTTTTTCTTTTTTAAAAAAAATCAGTAAAAATGAATACAAAAAATAATATAAAATTCTACTTTGGAAATTTATTTTTTGAAAAAATATATATTAATATTAATATGTATTTTTACAATAATAATTAATAAGTAAACATGTGGTATACTAACTTGACGAAAAAAGAAAAAAAAAATAGAGTATACATTAATCAATTTTCAGCATAAATAATACTGGCCTATTTAAAGACCACACAGTAAAATTATTTATTATTATAAAATAATAATCAATAATAATAATAATAATAATAATAATAATAATAATAATAATAATTGTTTCAAAGCTTTTGTATGTTAATAATAATAATAATAAGAGAAATTGTATAATAAATAAATCAAGATAATAATCGTATAACAATATAATAATAATAATAATAATAAAATAGTGTTAGGCTTGTTCGTGTTTTTATTTTAAGACAAAGATATTGAGCAGAAAGAATTAAGTGCCCCTCCCTTTGTTTTTGGAATGTGAAAGGAGTGTTTAAAAATGAGTAATATGACGTCTTGCCAAAGTGCATGATTACATTTTTTTACTGGGCACATAAATATAATTTTATTATAAGCAATTATTATGCAGAACAATAAAATTATATTTAAATAAATAAAGGTACTTAAAAATTAAAGAAATAATAAATTTAATAAAAACTAAACTAAATTTAAAAAAAAAAAGAAAAAAAAAAACATTTTACATAACTTGTTCAACCATTTTTGTTATTACAACCTTAATAAATAATAATTTAATAATATTCATGATTACAGACCAGATATTAAAATGGTCTTATAATTCTAGATACATAATGGACTTACAGGCCTTAAATGCATACATATTTTAATTACCCTGTACAGAATGAACATGTGTTTACATGTTTTCAAACTGATCAACTCGGCGCTTTGTATTGCCTTTTCTAATTTCTCGCAAGGTTTTGTATTTATCTCGTCCCTGGCGAACATTCTCACGATGAATTTTATCCATTGCAGTCTCCTTAGTATCATCACGTGATTGAGCCAAGTCTTGTTTTAACATCTTTATATGAATGAAAAAAAAAACCCATTAAAATTAAGTTATTATTTAATTTTATTGCATTACCTTTAATTGATCTTGAAGTCTTTCATTGCGTTCAGCGAGTGTACGCCGTTCTTCTACTGGATCAACAATATCCATATCAGTGTCCAAATCTTGTGATTCATGGCCATTGACCATTTCATCGTTATCATCATTTTCATTTTCATCTTCAGTCACATGATGATGCTTAGGTGTAGCAGTAGCAGCAAGTGCCGCAGCTGCAGCCTCTTCTTGTTTACGTCTTGCTTCTTCAACTTCTTCCTTTAAAATAAAAATGTATGGTTTTACCATAGATTTTACTGATATGAGCAACAGTGCATATTTGTAATTATTAAAAAAAATTATAAATTTCAGTTAAACTTAAAACATTCAGAACACTTTAATTACTAATATCTGTGTAAGGTAGTTACAATATTTTTGTATTCTATTTGGTATCTAAGATTATTCAGCAAGTTGCATATATTGATTATAAGCTTGTTGAGAATTAATAAATTATTCATAGGTACTTAATAAGTACACTGGCCTTGCTCTGTGAAGTATTAGTCATATCATACAAATTTAACATAACTGAGTTATTAATTTTAGTCACATAAAAAAATATTTTATTTTATGTTTTTTATCACCATTGCCAACATTGAACTAAGTTTTAATGAATTTAACTTTTTCCCCTCCTATACAAAAATATATCAGAACAATATTTTAGAATACTATTTTAAATACTTACCTACAGGGTATTGGGGAAAAAAAAAAAATAAATATTATTTACTAAAATGTGAATCGTAAACAATTTTTTCACTCAATGTATAAGTAAAAAGTAATTTGATTAAACAAATTGTAATTAAAACAAAATGTAATTTAATAATTCAATTTTATCATCAAATAATAAATTCTCTGTCACACAGATTTTATATTTAACATACAATTTGTAACTAAAAATATCAAATTGTTTTATCTTCAATGATATTCTATATTAAATTAGAGTAATGTTGAAATAACACAATTTTAAAAAGACATCAGAATTACTTCTTATAATTTTGTTGCTATACATAACTAAATTTTAATAATTTAAAAAGAAAAAATTGTAATTTAGTTAGTTTTTAGAAGTTATATTTCACAAGAAAGCTAAAATATTATTAATTATTTTATATAATAATGGAAAAATTAAAAAGCAATCAAAAAGTTGGTTTCTAGTAGTGAACAGAGTGCTAATATATATTTTATTTTATTTACTTGAAACTTGGGAACTGGGAAAATTAGTACAATTCAATTCAATAAGCTTCAAAAAATAATAGTACCAGGATGTATCATACTAATTAATGAATCCTTATTCTAAGGGGAAATAAAATAAAACAGAGGACGTTTACGAAAAAGGGATAAGAGATAATAGTTTTGAGGATATAACTATCACGGAAGATAAGACATTGAACCATAGCATATTTTTCTTTACAATCATTTAAAATCTACTATAAATCTGTCAGTGGTTCCCAAATGGTACTCCGTGGATTTCATGAAGACTTTAATGCCATAATTCATCAATATTTTGTGTACCGGTAAAATCCCGATAAGAAAATATCATACAATTACTCTGTCATTTATTGTTATAAAATTTTATTTTGACTCCTGTATTAACAATTCGTGTTTATTACGTTTCATAGAAGATAGAACACAGGCAGATAAAAATTAATATTAAATTTTTCTTAGGTGTTCCATGAGAAATTTCTACTTAAAAAATAGCTTAGAAAAAGTTTAGGAACCGCTGCTCTATATATATATTAAATATGCTGACCTGTAAACGTCGTGTTTCTTCATCTTTAGTTTCAACTTCAGACTGAATACGCATGACTTCTTCTTGTTTAGCTTTGATCTCTTCTTCTAATTTGGCTCTTTCTACTGCTTCCATATTCTTTGATTCTTCTAAACGTTCCATCATTTTTTGAAGTTCATTTTGTCTTTGCTCAAGTTCTTCTTTGGCTAATTGAAGTTTATTCAATTGATCCTCCAAACGACGAATCATATCCTAAAATTTGTTAATAAATTAATTTTTATATTTATACGCATGGAATATATGATAAATTTAAGATAGGCTTACTTGTGCACTGAGTAAGTCTTGTTCACGTTTAGAAATTTCTGCTTGCATTTGTTTTAAGCGTTCTTCATATTCTTGATGTTTCTTTTCTGCTTTTTCTCTAGCTGCAATTTCTAGTTGAAGTTTTTCTCTAAAAATAATTGAATCAGTAATTATAAATACTTCAAACTAAAATTTATATTATGTCTATTAATACCTTTGTTGTTGTTTAGCTAGTTTTTCTTCTCTTGCTTGAGCTTTCATTTGTTGTACGTCAATTGTATCAGGTTTGCGTCTTCTCATGTACAATTCATGATTACCCATACAAAGAGCAAGAATACGTTTGTTAATACGAACACGAGGTGCAAAAAACACAAAATCAGGAGCTTTCTTGTCAATAGGTTTTATGATAAATTTTCTATCATTGAATGAAATATTACGGATTTCAGACCAAGGGAAACCAATTTTTGGGGTAAGTCTAAAATAATTAATATTAAAATTAAAATTATTTAAAACTACAATTGAATATTAAATTATTAAAACCTTACTTATCATCTTTTTCATAAATATTAAGGCCTAAAGCATCAACACCTAAAAATAATTCAGTTCCCTTTTTGTTAAGAATATCAAAATAGTTAACTCCATACATTTCAAGATCTTGTGCAATTTTTAAATATTCCATCATCGCATCTTCACGTAACATGCCTCTGTGTTCATGCCACCATGTAGTAATGCTGGACTCCCATTCTTCACGGGACATTTTATGTTGATCCATAACACTAAAAATTATATATTACAGATACTTAAAATATATATTCACTAATAGGTAAATATATAAAAAAAATTACCGTTGTGGTAACAAACGATCATTGGTAAGAAAACCGGGAGTATGAGTGAGTTTATTATAGTCACCATGCCTGGCTTGAACAGCATATGAAGCAAGTAACACAGACGTTTCTGATGGACAGTAAATATCGTCAGATAAAATAGCATTTTTCACCTAAAATATTTAATAAGTTAAAAACTAAAACAAAATATTAAGCTAATGTAATGTATTTTAATTATTTCATCCATATTGCTAGAATGTATGATACTTCAACATATATGTATACTTCAATCAACATTATTTAAATAATGCTAAAAAAACCTTAGAAAATATTAAGAAACTTTAAAAAAAATATACTAAATCTAAAATTAAAAAATACATAGAAATTTAATATTATTTCATTTAAAATTGATTATTATTTTAGTCAGTGCAGTATTGAATTAAAATGTTTAGGTCATAGCTAATCCCTAATATTATGTATGATCTTATTATTTATTATTTTTATGTAAAATCACTAAAAATTTAACTTATTATTAAAAAAAATAAAATTGCAATATTATACTGTATTAAAGCAAATAATACTTGTATAATACAAAATTTAATAAATGTTATATTATTAAAAGTATTTTTACATCACTATATATACCAAATACACAATATAATTATAGTCTGTAACACCCTATATTATTTGTTTTACATATTCTAAAATATAGTTTTAAATATTTATAAAATTATTTATAATATATTATTTGAGTCAGTAATTTAACAACCTTAAGATGTGACTACTACAAAAAATATTATAATATAAGACAATTAATTTGATTGGATTGGATAAGCAATATTTTTAATGCTGAGAGTATACTCTTACTGATACATTGTGAGTGTATTGTCTGGTATTGACACTCTGAATCATTTCGGCTTTTTGTGCACAAGTCAAAGACCATGAGATGAGATAAAGAGAACTCAATATGCAAGTGCATGCTAAGCTAAGAGTTTACTCATATACTCAAACGTTTTTGTCTCACCTAGATTAATTTGAAGCAAGTGCATTGTAAACATCATAATTAGTTCATTATGGAATTTATCTTCTAAAAATGATTTTTTAAGGCAATAGGTATTATTATTTAATTTTTAGCAATAAAACATTTTTTGAAAGGAATATTATAAAATTTCCCGAGGGAAAAAATTCTAATTTTTTTTTTTTTCAAATATAGTCTAGTGGTTTAAACTTTAATAGATTTCTAAGAAATTTCAATCAAAGTTCAATATTTCTTAAAAATTTTAAATTAAGATAAAATAAAATTACAAAATTATTTTTCATGACATTTTTTTTCTATTCAACAATTAACAATCTATACAGTATTTTATATAAGTGAAGACACTCATAATCTTAAAAAGTATTAACTTTGCAATATAGGTTGCCACTTTAAAATCTAAAGTAGGATAGTTTCACCCCCAACAAATGAAGATGACAAAAAATAATGTAAATGTAAAATTATAGAACTGCTTATTTCTTAAATGTTCTATTAAACAAATTTAAAAAAAGATATCCTAGGATAATGGAGATGAGCCTAGCCACTGTTATAGGTAATTTAATGTTTACCTGTAAGCAACGATAAACCATTGCTTACAATAAAAAAATTCTGAGCGGAGTTCAGTTGATAGTGATGCTTTGTCAACAATATATATATAATATATATATACCATAATTTAGTAAAACAATTAAATAGGCTCTATATATTTTCTTTAATAATATTTGTTTAATGTCGTATCAATTTCCTATGTTTTTCTCATGTTTTTTTCCATTTATTGAGAAAACTTAGGGGGGAAAATTGAAAAACGACATCTAGAAAATACCTCCCCAGTGAAATTACCTTTTAGAAAAATTTATTTCATTAAAAGTTGTTGTAAAATTGCTTTTAGAAAGTTGTCCACAGAAAAAATCTGTAAAACCAAAAGCTTCTTCACTCCACTTAGAATCTAATAAAGTTAATACTTTCCAAGTTAATGAGTGTATTTTCTTAAATAAAAAACTCTGTACATAACTTATAAGAAATTAAAGCCAAACAAATTGTTCTATAGTTTTTCTATCAGAACCCATTCATTATTAAAATATGATAAATAAAGAATGAGACTTATGGCAGTCCAAATATACCGAGAATAAACCTGATTATTGAAATAGCAAACTGAAGTACAATATTCACTAGGATGGGCCTAGTTGTAAAAAGTGTAGCTTTCAGCTACAAAAATAACATTAAGATTTTACCACTAAAAAACCATCTAATTTAATGAATAGCCCTACACAAATAGTAGTTGGAAGATCAAGATAATCAAAATGGTAAAAATGTTCAAGTATGAACTAAATTAGAGCTACTTGATTTAATTCATGAACCTAAGATTCCAAATTCATTCTATAGCGGGCGATGGAAAATGGGATACATTCTGGATCTAATCTTTGTAAATAATAATATAAGCTAACAATGATATTTCGCACCTCCATACCAAGAACACAACATAAAGTATTAAAACTACAAATAAACAAAGTTATTGGGACTAAAACGATAAAGAAATTTAATTTCAAAAATGCTAACTAAGAGAATGATGCTATCAAAAGTACAGATAACAGCAAGAAAACTTGATGTTTAATAAAAAAGCTCAGTGGAAACTCAATCATACACAGAACTCGCAAGAATGTCGCTGCTAAACCTTACACAAAACCTTTGATTAAAGGTGAAGTTAAACGATAAATGAAATGGATGGAGAACTAAAAAAAATGGCGAATAAAATGGGTAGCATACTAGTCCAAATGCTTTTTAACTTATATACAACTCCGAGACACAAAACACTTTTTTTACGCAGACGACCTAGCAATTGCACCTCAAACTCAGTTTTCAATAATGTAGAAAGCAAACTAACGAATGCACTAAACTGCTATTTACTAGTAGCAGTTCAAAATTTGGAACATACATCTGCAATTTTTTTTTTTTTGTATTTTAGAATTCAAGTTTTAACTTATGTTTGTACTTAGTACTACTGTTAATTGACATTGTGTAGTCGAATTTGACAAGAAAAAGTTATAATATGGTATGGTAATATTTCTTGAATGCTAAGAAATTGAATAATCTATTTGTGTATACACAGACATTATAATAATATATTATTTGTTCACTATTCATTTCTGACAACATTCGTAACAAACCCAGATTAAATATACTAATATTTGTAATGCTACTCAATTTATTCAAGCATATGTATCATAATTCAAATTTTTAAAATTATTATTTTAATCAGAAAGCTCTTAAAAAAAAGATAACTAAGGTTGGGTCTATACAAAATTGGTAGTTAGAAATGTACAGCTATTGGAAAAAGAAAATTAAATCAATAAAACATAATCCAACCTAGGTATCTGGATTTTGGTAAATACTAATTTGAATATGGTAATAATGTAAGACCATACATTTTGAATTTATTATTATATATTTCAGTGGTAAGAATGCTTTTATGTATTAAGTAACCTATTAACACTTGATAGTATACAAAAGTTAAACATATTATATAAAAGAGTTCCAAGAACTAATAATAAGAATACAAAATAATAAAAAGCGAATGTTGTTGGTTGAAAAAATGTATAAACAAGGAGTGGAATTTAAATTATGTATATGTAAACATATTCTATAATATTTTTAAACTCCCTATATATTTTAAAACAAATTACATTTATGTGTCTCAAATTATGAAGTACTTAACTAAGGTGGTCCAAAATATTTACCTGTAAATAGAATAATCTCAAAGTTATATCTTGTATAAGTTCTTCTGCAACATCTTCTGGATAAAATTTGGCTCGAAACTTGAACTGTAATGGATTTTCTTTCTTAACATCTTGACTCATGACCTGAAATAATGAATTTATAAATGAAAATAAAAATTAACAAAAACAGTTTAAAACATTTATTTGATAAACAATCAAGTAATGTGCAAATTAAAATTGAGTATAATAATGTAAGTTGTAAAATTGTCATAAATTACACTAGAAAAACAATTAACTGTTGAACACATACTACAACACTAACTAATATTATCTCTGAAATTTGAAATAATAACTTGTATCGAAATTTAAGAAAATAAATTGTATATTATACTTAATATTGTTTGTTAACTTTTGATTATCAAATGGCAATTAATATTCATTATTTCATAATTATAAGATTCAAGTATTCGCCACATAAATGAAGCTTAATGGTCCTTGATATATCCCTTCAAACCAGCCAGTAACTTGGGGCTCTATAAAAAAAATAATATTGTTTTGCAAAACGTATGGAATTTTTAATAGGTTGTGTCATTTATAAATTAAAAATTTCAGCACCAAACATGAGATTAAAAAAAAAAAATATGATAATCTTTTATTTTAGAAGTGACAGCACTTTCTGTGTACCTTAGATTTACTCAGAAAAGAATGTAGACGAAATTTAATAATTTCAAGAGTAAATAATTAGTACTCTACGCTAAAATAATTAAACTATATTCTTAAAAAAGTTTAAATAATAAAAAAAAAAAATTACATTTATAACATTTTAATAATAATGATAAATCTTTCTAAGCGGGTAAGATCTTTATATATTAATAAACCAATTATTATTTTAAATCAATTAAAACTCCTAAAATAGTGACAACCAAATGATTTTGTTGTTGATGGGATTAGTTTTTTAACATTTATAATTATTTGTATAATTTTTTAATAATATTTAAAGGTAATGGCATGCCAAATAAAAATCTTTAAATCAATATGAATTGAATCAATCATTTTGAAATGGGCTATTTCATCTAAAAATAAAAATTTTCAGGAAATGTAAAAAATCGTTTATTATTATTAATAATAAAACTAAGATAAATATAACCAAACTTGGTTTTTCAATCAAATTATAAATTGTAATTTGATTACAGTTAATAATTAACTGTTATCAATAATAGCTGGACAATAAACCAGTTGATAATACAATCTTAACGAATAATATTACTGATAAAGATATTTTGGAGAAATGGCCTTTTCGAAAGACTAATTCAATTATTCAATTAATGATTGAATTATGTATATAGAACTTCAATATATTATTATCCAAATTGTAAAAATTAGGAAGTTACAAACGCAACAATTAATTAGGTACAGAACAAATGTTTATAAAAATTGCCTATAATATATTATAATATGGTTATACATTCTACAATACTCTATATTCTATAATAATATAAAATAATAAAAAAATTTAGAACTTTTTTTAATCACCAAATAAGTAATAAATATCTAAAAAAACAAAGCAGTGTTGTGTTAAAAATTTTAGTACCTGCATCTTTATCAAATTGTTGCTATGTGACTAATTGCTAAAAACATAAAAATGTCGTAAATAATTATCATAAATCATAATTGACAATCAGGTAAAAATTTGAAAAACCTTCGTTCTAAATCCAACATTATTTTACTATTGACCTTGTAAAGAATTTATGCTATGAAATAATGACGTGAATAAAAAAAAGGTATATTTTAAGCATACACAAATCTCAAACATACATTTCTTAGGAAACATAAGTGTTTTTCCATCACATGCTATGGCTGCAATTAAAATTGAGAAAATGATAATGAAGGTCGAGATTGTAACCTCTATATAAGGACAAAATATAATATTTTTTTTATATGTAACCAAGTTTCAAAAAAAATTCTTAGCAACTTCTTAGTTACATATCTTTTGAAAATGTAAATTAATTGTATACAAATCAAAATTGTATAATAAACTTTATTGTTATTATGATAAAAAGAAAGTAGAAATGGTCAATGAAACCAGATGATATCTGTATAAGTATCATCATTATTGAAAAAAATATATCATTAGTCATTACTCAAAACAAAACCAGTTTTTCAACCTCGGTTTATATATTTTTTTAATTAATATTCATTTATTCTAGGTAATTCAATTTTACTTTTATATAATGTTCAAAATATATTATAACATTTAAATTTTGTAGTTTTTACTTTTTATTCATCAAATTACCAACAAATCTAAATATAATTTGTTTAACAATATTGTATTTATTCATAATTTATAGTTTCTTAGAATTTAAATATTTGTTTATACAAATTTAATATTTTTTCTATACGTATCTGATATACAAATACACACATTACTATAGAGTCTACAAAATGTATGTGTTGATTGAATTTAATTGTTTATGCAAAGCTTTAAGGTTTTACTATACTAATAATACAAATTACACAGGTATAATAGGAAACTGCATGAATATAATATTAACAATATTCACTTGTATAACACAAATATATATATGATGGAAAACCATAAAAACAAATTAAACAATGTGGGTAAACTCATTATTATAATGTCAGCAATTGTGTAACGAAGGACACTAACAATACAAATGGTCAGTTGGAAAATTAGAATGACTGCATAGAAATACATATATATGCAAAAAAATAACATAATAAAATATATAAATACAAACATATAAATATAATATAATAACATTATATATATACATGTTGGTGGGTATTAAGGTGAATATAAGCTACACAAATGTATGGATGATATTGGATTGATCAAAATAAAACTAACACACAGTGTGTTAAAACGAATGTATGACAACCTTTAATACCTGTGACCAATATTTATGTCTTGGATCAAAATAATCAATTGATTCTTCAACAAAAGTTTTCCTGGTATTCCATAAATCCCATAGCCTTTTGCAAATATTTTCTGGCTGTTTCATGAAAAGTAATAAAGTATTTGAACTTTTAGATGACAAATAGGGAATCATGAATGAAATTTATATCAAAACTAACTAAAAATGTAATATGTAATTATTTTATTATAGTATGTATATTTAACAATTTATTATATTAATATCTACAAACAAATCCAAGGGCCTCAAGTTTTACAATAATCTAAGAAAAAGTCACTTGAAATGATTAAAAAAAAAAAATGTTTGACCCGTAGAGGGGGGGGGAAGAGAAATTTTTTTAAAATTTTTTTTTTTTTTATACATTTTTAAATATTTTTAGATTTTGAATGTAGTGAAGATTTTAGTGGTATAACATAGATTTTCATTTTTTTTTTTCCAATAATGGGAAACACCAGGAAAAATATACAGAATATAGATATCAGCTAAACAATTTTTAAGGCCTTTGTTTTCCTGTAAACAACTTTTCTACTAGAAATTTCATTCCGATATACAGTGATAGCACTTTGCTTGACAATACATTTTCTTATTGCTCTAAATTTTATACATTTTTAATTTTTAATTATCAAGATTATTAGAAAGTAACAAATAATCTGTAATCATGAACCTATTCGAATTATCAAACGAAGAATATTCATGATAATCAAATTCACTTGAAAAATGTCTATAGATAATTTATCATTTCAATTATCAAAAATGAATTCAAGAATACAAAAAACTATAATTTCCATATTCGAGCAATAGTTTATAAATGTGATAAATTATCACAGCGATTCAATAATAGCAAAAACACACTAGTACAATGTGTGACACCATCCATCAATCAAAAAATTTCAAATTCACTTGTGGAGTATTGTCTGAACCGCTGCATGGCAAGTAGGTCTATGGTTAATAGTAGTGAAAATGTGCTGTATTTTGCATTTATGGCAGTTTCGATGAATACCATGTGACATGACTTTAAAAATTACATACAAATTTAGCATAATTAAAGATTTACTGGTTACGGAACAGGCTATGATATAAGAACATAAAATGAGTTCACGAAGTGTCTTAAACACAGATATAAATAACATAACTAGATTACTACGTTCCCTATACCTACCATATAAACGTTTGAAAAGACACATATCAGCCATTACTATACTTCGTTCCAAATAAGAACACACATGCAGATGATAATCTGTCAAAACTTGCACAGCCAACTAACGGCAGCCAATCGTGGAGCGAATAGACTCGGATAAGGAGACAGGACATCGCTCCGTGATACATTTGGATGTGCTGAGCGGTGCGCTCTTATATGGAACGGAGGGTATAGTAGGTTATTTATCTAATGATGTCATAATTTTGATAACACAATTTATTACAGATGTAGATAAAATTAAAATGTTTAAACAATATCTTTTTTAGTGAAGATAACAAATTCATTATATTATTTAACAATTTTGTTTATGATTTATTTTTGTCAATTTAATTTAAAATTGTAATGATGATCAATTTAATGATTTTGTGTTATTTATGGTTCCATAGAAAGTATTTACACTTGAAATAACAATTTACATGTTGGTAAATTTCGAACCATTATAAAGATTGTATTAGTTAAGGGCCTAGTTTCTCAACTGCCCCAGGGCCCTTTCCCATTAGCTATGCACAACAATACACTACCAACAATCTATACCAGGGTTTCTCAAAACTGTGATTCACGACCCACTTGGTAAGTAATGAGTCAATATTTGGTGGGTCACTAAAATTGTTTTGGATCATATAGATTCCAAGAAATTTATGTTTTTAGATTCTGGGCTGACAAGGAATCATTGTAAAACTAATGATATTTTTTTTTTATCTGTGAACATGTTTTATACCAGCAATTTTGCTTCAATTTTCAAATGTGGCACTTTTACCGAAAGGAAATCTTACTGGGGTGGTACTTTAAGGAGGAAATTTTTTGATTTTCCCAGTTGTTTTCATAAACTACTAATTGAAAAGTGAAACAATATGAGTCATGATAGGTTTTCGGGAGAAAATTTGGGTCGTGGTCTTAAGAAAATTAAGAACCACTCATCTATAACATTCAGAAAAAGAGTTGATGATAAGGCTAATTTTAGTTCTGTAAATATATAATACTAATAATATTAAAGAATAAAAAGTATTATTACCCTAAAAAAGTAACAGTATTTTAGTCATGTTTTAATACATGTATAGATAATATCCAATGCTAAATCTACTCAATCATATAATCTATGATTTAGTGGGTGCAATTTTTAATTCATTTGACTCAGAGATATCTATACTAATATACTATACATATTATAGATATCTGTAATTAAACTTATTCAAAATGCCAGATAATTCTGTCTTATCACTAGTTAGTAATCTATTATTTATATGCAAGTAAGGATATCTAATAGTCTATATCCGTGATCTTCGATAAAGAGTTGATAAGAAAAAACAAGTGGCACTATATTATTACCATGAATTAAGGTTTCGGGATTCATCAAACGCGTCAGTTTATTTTACTATTAATTAAGTGAACACTGTAATACTTTTCCTATCAGTCAAAAATAGAAGTGGTCTCGTTCAGTGACGCACACGGGGAGGGGACGTCAACCTCCCCGAAATGTCTTTCTTCACTACATATTTTTAAATCAAGTTTTAAATTCAACAACATAAAATCGAATGTTACAGAATAAAAAAAAAATTTTATTTCATCAAAAATCATTTATTCAGTAATATTAGTAATAGTACTGTACTTATAATATTAATTATCTTCTCTCTAGGAAATTATTATAAACTCACCCTAAAAAAAAAACTGCGTGCTCTACTAGTATCTTTGGGTAACTGGTATCTTTATTCGTGATAGGTATTTATTTAGTTATAAATTATCTAGTTTTGTTGATAGCTGATAACAACGTCTTATCAATCATAAGCTTATTAATACGTATTATCAAAAACGTCTCGCAGTCAATAATTGTACATATGTTTTCTTATTTATGTATTTCTTCTTATACGCCGTCAATCAGAATGATTAGTAGTACGAACCATACACGATTTGCTATATAGTTTTGTGCGTGACCTTGACACAATGATGTATCTTCGTTTTAGAAAGTAGTATAATACGGTGTGTCCGAAAGACAAGGCCAAATATCAAAACGTTCAACACTTAGTAATTTTTAAATGCCCGTGAAATGCTATCGGAATAATTGATCGATGATAAAAATAAATTCGAATAGATATTCGTTATTCACATTATATTAATTAAAAGTTTTACGAAATGTAAGACCGAAACTTGTAGGTATATATCAACCCGATTATAGTCCAAAAATATCATTAAAAATAATTGAATATCCACATATTTTTTCTAATTGAAATATATTATGTACACAAAATGTACAAATGTAGTAGTTTACCCGTTAGGTATACTATATTAGCAGTAAATAGAAACTAGTGACAATAATTCAGAGAGAAATCGGCGTTTAGCCGTCAATTAAAATGGATACATCCGGTTAAACCGGGCTTTTTTAATTAATAACGAAAGTCACGGAGTGTGAATACCTAAAGAAAAAATGAAAAACCAAACATCCATTAAAGGTAATATTTTGATGAAATAGCCGTAACATGTATAAAGCACACGGAATTGTTATTTCGTAATATAAAAAAAATCTAACATTTCCAACCATTGAGCACGCAAACATTTTAATAAAAAAAAGTAGATAATTAATTTGATGGTTTGTTGTGCAATTTTGATTTTTGACCTCGTACAATTTTTCAATGAATTTCCGGGAAAATAAAAACTATACACATCAACATTTTCTTATATTATGACTACGAAGAAACATAATATTAAATTACATTTATTTATGCAAAATATAAAAACACGGTTGTAAACCATACCTTTCTAACGCATATACACTTAATCCTAATAATTTACCTATTTATAATATAATCATCAATGATCTCAAATTAAAATGGTAGTATTTTCTATATGTATTAGGTATTACCGTTTGAATACTAGTTTCAAAAAGCGCACCCACTTGTTGGCGGTTGCACCCTGCCTTCCAAGCAGGTATGTAATACAAAATCAACAAGTTGGTAAATTATTTTAAAGACGATATACGTTCAATTATTGTGCTACTCGGCAATATCTTATAGGTACGAGTACCTACGTAAATAGTTAGGTATAAAATATATTCCATAAACAATGTCAAAAGTACATTAATTATTATCTTGAGTGTGCGTGTGTTTAAATAGTGATTAACGGAGATGTTTGCTTGTACAAGTCTATAAACTGGGTATTCATGGATTTGCATAACCTAATTGTTTGATGACATTAAACTGTGACTTTGGCACTAACGCATTAGTCACGCATAGTACGAGTTTTCGAAAATGCTAATAGAGAATTTGTATGGAGTAATTCGGCCACAAACACGCAAGAAAAACTACACAAAAATTGACAATATAATATCCAAAACTTGTCCCCATGGTAAAACGAATTCAAATAATATGACTTACCTACGCTTCAATTATTGAAATACCATTAGGGGTTTTACAATAATACCATCTCGTAATACATTAACACTATATATTCATGTTTAAAAAATGTGTAAAGGTATATAATAATAGGTACCTTTTTATATAGTTTGATCCAGGTCATATCACCTTTGTTGTCTGTATACTGTAGGCCGAAAAACCATACCTCCCTCAGGCCAATGGTTTTTACTACCTGGTCAAATAGCTGTTTGCCGGTGGTAGTTTGCTGGATAGCAAACTCCAGTTCGGCGTCCATTGTCGTCACCCTCACATTCATCTGAAATTGGTTGAAATTGAATTAGTAACAGTACCTACCTATAAAATATTATCAAACTTGCGAAGTAACGATTACAGTTCGCAGTTTAATACTATACATAAGTAAAATAACTTTATGATTTTATTTAGAATCGTGCATTGTTTACTGAAACTTTTAAATTGGCGGGAAAATAAAACAGATCGGTGATGTGTTATTCATAATAATTTTGTTTTACTAATTCAAAGAAATTATACCAATAACATAGAATAAAACAATATATACTTTCTACTAGTATACCTTTAATAGGTATAACACACCTACTTGTAACATACCTTGTATGAATACAAGATTACGTGATGTTCAGTTACTGATAAAAATACAATGTTACTAATTTATTAATATTCGATTAATTTACAATTAAAATCCAAATATACGAAATTTAAATCAAGATGTCAACGGAGCATTATCAGTTTTATTCAGGCATAAATAATTCATTGAGCTCGTTTCAAGCATTCATGAATGAGAGACATACGTTCTGTAACCCAAGGACTTACGGTTTTTCCGGAGACCATTTTGCGGTAATCGTTCCAAAACGCCCAGCACAAAAACTCAACACAATGTAAAAATAAGATTAGTAAACGGACGGCAAACGCACGCACTATACGAATAACAGAACTCGTACACCACCTGTTGGCTGGCGATAAAAACGGTTTTCGAATAGAGAATAAAATGTGTCCACGATTATGGCGGCGGCGGCAGAATTGACGAAGAACACTGGACGTAAGTGCGATTGAACGTTTTAACAGGTACGAGTTACTACGATCGGCAGCCAGCTAAAAGACCGAGTTACTTAAGAAGCGGCAACGATTCAGACGTTAGAGAACAAGGCGTGGCCAAGTTAACAGCAGTAAAGAGGGGAACAAAAAAATATTATCAGAAACCGGTTGTGAAGCGCCTTGTAGTGTGTTGCGCTGCACTACACTGCCACCTGGTTTCGAGCCAAGGCGCTGCTCAGGGGCGACAGATCGTGTCGTCCGTCGATATCAATACGGAAAAACTTTACGAACACCTTGCAATGATAGTTTAAACTCAAACATTTTTTTTTTTTGCTTCCATTGCCATTAACGATTGAAATACTTGGAATTTTTTTTACCGAGCCATTCATAATCACAAGTTTACGTCATAGATAAGGCGGGACGTGACGATCCATTTATATAATTGGATAATCCCCAACCAACGCTCGCTCACTCTCTCTCCCTCACTCCCTCCCTCACTCTCTCTCTCTCTCTCTCTCTCTCTCTCTCTCTCTCTACGCGAAATATTTTATATACATTTTTTATATGATATTGTTGTATTAATATTTAATATATATTTGATCCAGCGGGAGAGATTATATTTTAACTAATTTGTAAAAATAAAAAAGCCAGGTACATTTAGTAAAGCGTTAAAGGTTACCCTCATGAAAAAAACTTGGAATATTTATGAGAAGTAAACTATCATACTTCAGGTATAAGTGGTAAATTACAATATGTATGTGCTCAAGTCAATGATATCTAATAGAAACATAATATAGGTATGTAATGTTTTTATTAGTTTATGTATGGCTTAACTTGGATATTTTTTTACTAAAAAAAAAAAAAAAAATTGCTGATAGTTAAACAAAAATAATTTTAATACTTAGGTAATGTTGCAAAAATTATTAAATCATACAATACTATAAGAAAATTCTCTTAGCTGGAAAATATGAATATATACTAGATATTTTATTAAAATATGTACCTATTAGTCTTTATATACATAGGCAATAAATATGGAATATTTAGGGGAATAAAACAATAAATGCACATGTTTAAATAATAGTCTTATACATAAGTAAAAATTAAGATATGAAAAATGTATGCCTTAGAAACTATGTAGTACTCATAAAATATTGCATGTTATCTCAAAAGAAAACTCATTCTTAGTACCGAGATATCAACTAATTAACAGGTATTTTATACTAATATTTTTTTTCATATCAATATAAGCAATTCAATTAAAACCATTAAGTAATTCATTAAGTCGCACAATTTGTTTTTTTCTAAAAATTCCATGTTACATTATTTTGACTATAATGTAATTTTAATAATATTATACAAAAAGGTGACAAATCAAAAAATTCAAGATAAAGACTTTATTGTATAGCAAATTTTCCAACCTATTGGCTTAAACCTTTTTAATTTTTAAATCTACTCCAGATTATTTTTAATGTTCTGCAAATGATCTATTTTATGTTTGAAGTTCACAACATTTGGCCAATTTCTAATTCTATGCCCCTCTCCTCCTATAAAGTAAACTAATTTAAGTAAATTGGGAATTTTTTAACTTAAATTGATATAACTGATAAATAAATATATTTATCATTGTCAAAAAGTCAAGGTAAACAAGACTTAATATGTACATTTTTTAAATTTCCACCAGTATTTTAATACATTTAATACAACTTTAAATACATTTTTAACTATATAATTTTATATAAAAAAAGGGCTAGTAGGAAAATAACTTAAAAAAAAAAAAAACAAGAAAACTTTTATGATAACTTATGACTTGTATGAGTCATATTTTTAATTAAACATCCAAACTATTTATGATACACTATTCTTGATATTTTTAATTGAAGAGAAGTGATAAGCATCAATTGGGATATTTGTTAATACTCTTAACAGTTCCTTGAAATAACCAGTGATTATTTATATGAATACAATTTTTTTTAAGCTTTTAACTCAAAAATATAAATTACTAAATACCAAACACATCTGGGGAATCTTTGTATCACATATCTTGTGATCAATTAAAAAATAAAAATAATGTATGTAGTATTATTAATGACTGATAATATAGATAATTACAATTCATATAATACTCAATTAATATTGAATGCATATTGGATACACATTGAAATATGTAAAATACTCATCATCATAATAATAATAATTTTACAACAATACTACCTACTAGGTATGTAAATCAAAAGTCCAGTAATAGAAACAAATTAATAAAATAATAATTGTACTAAGCAATTCACTTCTTTATTATTATAATATACTTATAATCTATAATTTTAATATTACAATAAGTAAATGAAATAAAAATATTCAGGAAGAAAGGCAGGATTGAGACTGCAGATGATTCATTATCATTAACTTGTTATTTTGTCAGTCTTCAAATAACCTAAAAAATAACTTAATTTATTTTAGCTCCCTATTAATTAAATAGTTCTCTACATTATATATACTTATTATTTTTAAAGCTACAAATTATCAAAAAAAAATTAAAATAATTTAAAAGTTCAATTATCTTATAACTATCTATTTATACTTCAGTTTTACATAAGAGTATTTAGTTTTACATTATTTATTTATTTAAAAACAGAGTACAGTTTATTAGATAACAGGGTCCAGTTTACAGAATAATTTATAACTTAATTCAAACATAAATGGCCTGTCAAGAATTATTATTATTTTGTATGACCCTCTGTAAAAAAAGATTGGTCACCACTGATCTACACTAAACTTGTGTTACTTGTATACTAACCATGTAACATTGCCATTGGCATTAATAAATAAATAAAAAAATAAAATAATATTGATATATTTTTATATAATTCATAAGCATAACCATAAGTATATTGAATAAATCAAGATCTCCTGTGTAGACAATGTATGAAATCTATACCAATAACTATGTGGTAAATTAGACAAGGAAATCATAGGATGCAAGAAGATATCAGCTGATTGTTGTACCCGAGTAAGTTATATAGAATGACATATTATTGTGGTTACTATAAAAAAAAACCATTGTTTAAAATGTAAATTGAGTAGGCCTTTATAAATTGTATTATAATCACGTCTAATATATAATACCAAATATGTGGGTTGTTGGACTATACAGAGTGATCCATTTATCATGAACATAAAGATAGATTATTTAGGAGAATTTTAAGTGAAATTGATTTCGTTTTTTTTTTTTTTTTTCAATAATTATGGATTTATTTAAATTTAACGCAAATTCCAATTGTGTAACCCTACACTTTCGATTTTTAAATTCACATTTGAATAGAAAATATTTGTCTAAAACGGTTACTATGACTTATACCATTTATATCAGAATTATAGCTTATGAGTTATAACCGTTAATAAGATAAGACTGGAGTTGTAGGAAATGGTTATCAGTTTATCGTTAACAAATGAATATGAAGTTTATTACCATTCCTTAATCCTACAGTTTAAATTTCAAATTCTAAAACTGTAAATTCATGATTACTTATTAGTGTTATAAATATCTACATATTTAGAAAAATATTATAATTTTGAATATATTTATTAAAGGGAGGTTCTTATTTGACAATCCTTAAAGTAAACTCATTGAAAGTGTAAAATTAAAAATAATATTAAAATAATTAGTCCATAATATGATTTTATATAAAAAAAAAAAAAAAACCAGAAATTAAATTTACTTAGACCTCTGAGAAAATTGCTAGTTCATGCTAGATAAATGGATCACTTTGTACATTACAGACTTTAAACCCAGGGCTAATTTATTTATGCATAAAAAGAATACCATCACAATATTCGTGTAAATAAGTATTATTTATGTTATCACTTGGCTTAAAAATCAAATTACAATGTTTTTAGAGAATTTGATAATTATTATCAGTTATTTCCGGGAGTTTAAAAAACAATGAGATCATTACTTATAAGGTTCATTGTACATATTTATAATTTGAATTTAAAATATATAAAATGTACACAATTAAACAATTTAAAATAATGACATAGGATCATTTGTACAACAAGAATAATTTTTAATTTTATATACAAAGAATGCATTCTGATGGTTCTCAAACATTTTGGCTTATGGCTTCCTTTTTGAATTAACGTTTTCTTAGAGTGCCCTTGAAATTTATTTCAATCAAAAACCTATTCTAATCGAAGTAATATTAATCACGGTATTTATCCCGTGTATAGTTAAAGGTAACCAAGGTAAATAAAACCGATATCTATGTAGGTATCAACAATTATTGCCAGTTATTTTTTTTTTTTATTTTAGAGAAAAAGTATTAAGAATCTAGACATTTTTTATTTTAAATGAAGTACTACTGGGCATCTATATCTTCATTTTTACCAACTGAAAAAGTGATGTTTGAGAAAAAAAAAAGGGACGCTGGTTTAATTTATTTTTAAACCAGTAAATATTCAAAATTATTGCGTGGCGCCCCTGTACAGACACCAAGGGGAGTCGATCCACGACTGTAGTGGCACGTACTTTGGGACCGCTGTATTACCAACATACTATGACATAGATTACTCTTGGCAGTCAATTTTCAATCTTAAAGGCCTCTGATAATGCAATCTTACATTTTATCCTGCTATAGGTTTCTGTGTATTTATGCATTTGTATCATTTTAGCAATGTGATTAGTTAAGTTAAATGTTACTTCTAAAGTTCTAACTTTCTAATAGTTAGTGCTCAAGTTTGCATTTAATATAGCAAAATTATGATACTTAAACATAAATGAATTGTGAAGTTTGGATTGAAATTTGTGTTAAAACAGAAATAACAAAATTTAAAAAGGAGAATATTTTATTATTTAACTCCAATTTCAAACTATAAGAAAAATGAAAATGAGGTAAAATGGTAAAAATATTTAATATAAAAACTTTTAAGCTACACAAAAATTTAGCCTTTAAACTTATAGATATATCTGTGCATGACAGGAACAACTCATAAACTAAAATGGATGGTTTTGTAATAGAAAAATATTAACATGAAAACAAATCAAGAGAATAGATTTTGGTTGTCTTTACAACCAAATAATAGTAAACTAAATTAATTAGATGCACATAATAAAACGTAGCATAGATCTAGTTAGTACAGCTTAAAAAATAAACTAAAGCATATGCAATATATTTCAATATTTGAATTATAAGTTTAAAAATAAAATTTAACTATGGTTTAATGTGCTATATCCAGTAACTAATAAGTTACTGTATTGTGAAAGTGACAAGACAGGGTAAATCACAAAAATATAAATGACACAATCACAGTTCACCAGATGGTTATACATTAACTGTTGCCAACATAGAGGGGGCCTTAAAATGTTTTTTTATAGACATCTTAAAAAGTAACTGCTTAATAATTACTTTGTCCAACACAAATATAATACTATATATTTCAAATATTAACTAGAAAAATACATCCTAAAAATAAAAAATTAATTTTAAACATAATACCTCTGAAAACATCTTTACTAAATAAATATTAAGCATGTTTAAGAAAATTAAATTATGAGTAAAAAAAATAATATAGAAATACACACAAATATAATGTAGTTAATAATAAGTGGTACTACAATACATATATTATAGCCATGAATAAAAAAACTATAATTTATAAAGCAGATTTTAACTACTTAATCATTGATCTATAGTTCTACTTTTACTATAATAATAATAATAAATATTATAAAATAACTTACAGATTTTGGCATCTTGAATTGTTATTGTACGTATATAATAATGATAAACTATCAACCATAAAAACCTGTTATAAATAAAAATATGTTGAGTTATTAAAATAATATAATATTAAATGTGCAATATGAGACTAACAGTAAACTGAATATAGGTACTTAAAAAGTATACTTTAAAAAATATGTCCATTTATTTATTTTCAAACAATTTAAATGATTAGATGTCTATTAAAAGATTGATTACCTAATATCTACTATTTAATTGATCCCAATTAAAAAATGTTAACAATATATTATAGTAGGTGCCCATCACTAAAATAATTAGAAAATAGAAAAAATACCTATGGTAAATATAAATTTAAAAACAAATTAACTCTGATGTAGGTATATTATAACAAACAATATTCATATAATTTACACATTAAATCATTATAAGGTAAAATACATAGAATATTATTCAAAATTAAAACAAAATGTAATGCCAGACAGTTAAATAATCAAACTGTAGTCAGCCCATATTATTATTTAGTATTTACTTATCTTTGATAATAAAATTATTAGATTATAACCTATAATATTATTAACTTATCATCGTCTAGTTCAAACAGTGTAGTAAATAATATCGTGAATTGATATTTTAATTTTACGTATTTATTCGAGGCCAACGATGACAGAAATTTTTACTAAAACCAGCCATACAATTAACAAGTAGGAGGAAATTTAGGAAACCGAGATTTGGGAAATGGTTGGAAACCGCCTAAAAACGATAATATAGAATAATAATATACATATCTCACCCTGGTAAACGTTGTTGCTATTAAATCGGTCCGTAGGTATTCCAACGTCACCTCCGAAGTTCGTACACTACGCTGTACGACGATAAATGTGTCACAAACACCGCAAAATATTTGGTTTTTTTTTTACGTTGGAATATTTTCAAAAATACATTACGCATATAAGCACGGTAATGAAAAATATAATCACGTCACGTTGACTGGTGTTGCACGCACGCAAAATGGACCCGGGTCCCGGTTAGGAAAAAAACCATCATAACAGGTGGCAGCACTGCAAAACGGCCCATGCCAGTGTGGCTATCCACAAGGGGAGAAATAAAATCCAACAATCATATCATTAAAATTTTTATACACATATTATTGTATTTGGTTTCGTATACTCATTTCGTCTAATTTTCAATTTTAGTTTCACACAAAAATTATAGATGTAATAAATTATTAATAATATGGCAGTAATAAAATACCCTCACAGTGACGTACCCACGATTTTTCATTAGAAGGTGGGCTAAATTAAAAAATAATGTTTTGAAAACTTACAAATAAACAAGAAAAACTCAATTTTTGTTCCGAAAATATTAAAAACTGTCAGCCATTCTTTAGGAGTTGAATTTTGAAATAAAAATTAAACAATGAGGAAGCTCTAGTTTTTAATGTCAAGTGTGTAACGTTTCATCCAAATCTGAATAAAATTGTAAATAGTTCAATAGTTTATATATAAATATATTTAATTTTATAAGACCAATGGAGAAGGTTGAAGCCCTTTAGACCTGGATAGACCACTACAATCTCCGGAATTCAAAAGTTAATTTTGAATTTTATTCATTAAGTTATGTACTATAAGTAGGTATTAAAATTAGTTAAATAGATACTATAATAATATAATATTCGTACAAATTATGCGTTTATGTATTCGAATACTACAGACGAAGTATAAATGACGTCTCATATTTTTTAGTTTATTTGAAATAGTATATACAGTATTTGAATTTTTCTTTTTCCTTTTAAATTAAAATAACAATGACAAAAAAGAGGTAATACCTGGAAATGAGTGTGCTTCTGTTGTAAGTGAGAAGTTGGGGAGGTAGAATACATAAAGTTATTTAATTTATACCTGTAAGCAAATATAAACCATTGCTAACCAAAAAACGATTTGGAGTGAATTTGATTTATACATGTTTGGAAAGGCCGTAAAATTAATGATTTTAGTCGAAATTCGATAATAACTCTTATAAAAAATAAAACTACGCTCAAAACATTATCCTATTAAATTTTCAAGTACTTCTGTCCTATCTAATAATTTTATTTACAGAGTACCTAGTTACTTACAAAATATAAATTATGTAAAAAACTGGTAGAATTAATGCTTATAAATATAGCTCAATTATATTTTTATTATAGTTTTCTTTTCGCAAATTAGTTTAATGACAGAAAAAAAAAATATCATAGTCAAAGAAAAAGCAAAAACAAATAATAATAACTAGGTTCCTGTATTATGATCTATGGATAATCAGTTTATCGTATAGGTAGCAGGTACTATACCATAGACCTACCATAACACTTGGCATATGCCATTAAGCTATCTATATTTAAGTATACATACCACCAGTGCTCGAATTGGGAAAAATAAGTAGAGGAACTCAATTCAACGATTTAAAAACTGCGTTCCAAGCGCACAATCACTTGATTCAAAAACACGAATTCGGGGGGAGCTTCGCTCCACACCACCCCGTTCCACCTAACCAGCATTTTGAATACCACTTTTTAGCTACAGACATTGAAATTCTAAATATATTTTGATAGCAATACCTACATCCTTCATGTTGCAGTAGAAAATTGAAATTATATGAATATTGTACCCTGATGTTAATATTTTACTATTTTTTTTGTTATCGCTGCGGATAATGTATCTAACCACCATACAGTAATTACTCTATGACAACCACATAGTCAAAAGTTGAATAAATTAAATAAATTCAACTATGCGATATCGTTTGATTATTGTGGTATCGTGTGACAAAATATCGATATACCTACGGTATTTTACCATATGGTAAAAAAATATAATACGATAAAAAGATAATAATATCAAACTAATATTAAAAATAGTAAATTCGTTATATAATTGACAACAATTGAATCCATATTTTAATAAAAATTATTTCGGACATTAGTTTGTACCGTCCCCCCGTTCCAGTAAAACAATATAGTTGGGGTATGTCGAAAAAATAAAAAAAATTAGTAGAGGAGCTCCGTCCCCCTGCGTACCGCTCCCCCCCTTCGAACATTGCCTACCACAATATATTGTAACTTGTAAATATATAACTATAAGCACAGAATGTCAAATACAGAAGAAATAATCTAAGTTTTGTGTAAATTCACACTTTACCTACATACTTTATTTAATCGTTCAATCAGTAAAATTGTTAAATACTTAGGACAAAATAATATACAATATATTCACTAATTCCTAATGGCTAAGGATAAAACAGGATTGCGTAAATGCATACCTTCGTTATCGGTGATACCTTTATAAGCAACACGATTGTGTACGGAGTTTTAAGCGTTGTTGCCAATTTTTTATACCGGTATATACAATATATCATACGACTATACAAGTGAACTTGAAATATTCATAAATATTAAATACCTACCTCCTACTTGCGTTTTCTATAATGCTTATCAATGTTTATCAATGCATTATCAAATATACATTATGGATTATGCTGGGAAGTGGAAATTTCGTTATTTCAAATGTATTGGTATTTTTTGATTCTCATTTTGTGGTTGATCGTCGCACATGTGTAGTGTGTACCTATACATAATATCGGCATTAATTATAATAATATAAAAAATTCTAAAATTCTAATTTATAAAATCCGAAAAAAGTAAAAAGTTAGTACTTTTAAATTTTAATAAACTAGATCGATTATACAATTAGTTAATAACGGGAAAATAAGGAAAATGTCAAAAAAGATTTTATTCGAATTAAACATATTATAAAGAGGAATTAAAATCTAGGTATTTTAAAATAATTTATTTTTTAACGATTATTTTACTTGGTGTAGTAGTTTTTGGAATTATTAGTAGTTATTTCGCATTTAGAAAATTATTATTTTTATTTACTTTCTCTAACATGTTTACGACATCTTATTATTATTTTTTTTTTGATTTATTTGTATTCTAATATAACTATGGGTTTTATGATTTTATAAGTTTTATGGCTAAGGAAACAATATCACTACCATCGCCCACGGCCAATACTTGTGTGTAAACTGTAAGCAATCGATCAATTTATTATTAATAATTAAACAAAATATGACCTTTAAAAATTAATTGTTTAATACTGAATTAAAAAAGAAATAAACTTATATTTCAAATGCATATAATATAAATGCATCTGAATTTTAGATTCTGAGTGGAGCGAAGAAGCTTATAGTTTTCCAAAAATTTTTTTTTCATCTGCGCAACTTTTCTATCAGAAGACTTGTTCGGATTTTTACGTGTAGCACTTTTTTTAAAAGAAAATCGGTGTGGGGAGGTACCTTAAAGAAGTCATTTTTCGATTTTCTCCAGGGTTTTTTCAGCAAATGTGAAAAACTGGGAAATTAGGAAAAGCGTAAGAAAACCGAGGAAAATAAACAAATATTATTAAAGAAAATAGATAGAGCCCATTTAATTATTTTACTATAAAATGACATGTATATTGTAAACAAAGCATCACTAATCAAGTGAACTCCGCCTAGAATCGCTTTTTCATAACCAATGGTTTATTATTGTTTACAGGTAAATATTAAATTATCTATAATAGTGGCTGCACCCGTCCCATTATCTTAGAACGTCTTTTTTAATTCATATTTGATTGCATAATTTATTGCATGCTTATTTATGCGGTTTTTTAGTGCATGAAGTTATGAGTTCTGATTACAGGTAAGTTATATTATTATTGTTTGTTCCTATAAAATAAATTTTTCCCAACAAATTAAAATTGTTGTAATTAATAATTTTTGGGTCAAAATGAGTCAATTCATTTAAAATTAATAATTTTAATCACTTTTTATTTTATTGTTTACTTATGAACCTGTAACAACATACCTAAATAATTAAAAGAAAGTAATTTGTATTATTTCAATTCTATATGTAATCTGGAATTATTATGCATACATCTTAAATAAAAATAAACCAATACAAATTTGAGTAGGTATTAAAGTAGCATATTAAGCTTCTTATTTTCATTGATTGGACTGAAAATCAATGGGAATCTTCTTTAGAGCCTATCTACGAGTTTAGTGAAAACTAAGTTGTCTGTATGCGCATGCAGACAGATTGATAAGAACAAATTGATAAAGTACCTAGCGTATACTGGGTCTCTACTTAATAAAATATATATTCCAAATTATTCAAAATATAATAAATTTTATAAGTTAATACTAATGTCAATGCACTTTGTTGTTCATATGATAAAAGTTAAATTATTCCATTGCTTATTTAGGTTTTCCTCTTTTAGTTGTTCAGTATTTTAACTGGTATTAACACCTTAATTCTTCAATCTTCTCTTTTTGCTCGTTTTTTTAATATCTATTTAGTTTTTTACAGGTCTGTGAGATATCTAAAGTTTGTTCTCGGCTCCTCTCTTCCTTTTTTTTTCTGGTATGATTCATTAAAGAACTAGATGTAAGATTTTATGTGTCTCCAATTTTAATCCAATTACCAGTCATTAACTAATTATTTATTTATATCAAAAATTTATTAAACACGGTAATCTTTTCGGTATAATAGGTTTTTTATATCAGTCTACATCACCTATTTCTCCTGTTATACTAAGTGATTTTTATTTTTCACTCTTATAATAACATATATGTTACTAATGAACATAACATTTCTAGGTCAAAAAGGAGACCTCTTTATAATTATAATTTTACCCTCTATTATGGGTACATACCTAATATATTATATTATGTAAGTACCCATGATAACCAAATTAAATAACTATTTTACTGAAATATTGTGTAATATGTATCTATCTTTGTGTTATCATAACAAATAAGAAATGTTTTCTTAGTTTGTGATAGTACTTTTTCAACATTCAACTTAATTCTTATAAAAATCAAAAGTAATTTATTTACTTAATTAACCAGTTATTAATGTTACTTCTACCTATACTAATAAATATTTTTTATTATTTTTATATTAACTAATTAGAACATTTTTATTGTTTTAAGTGTAGTACATACAGGGATGGCATAACTTAGAAAATCAAAACTTGCAAAGGCAAAATTTGTAAAATAATAATTTACATTATGATGCCGCGTGTCATATTGTTTTTGCTGGATATCTAGATTTTAGTACATTATTAAAATAAATTATATGTTATCTTTTTGGAACAGTAGATATATGACCTTTTTTGTAAGTGATACAGAGAAGAATTATCTATAAAATTATCGTATTAACACAGAATTTTATAATATTAACTAAATTTATAAAATTGAAGTATAATCTTTTTTGTTACGGCAATCAATATATTATTATATATCTACTCTTATGATTGAAATCAAATCATTATGCAAAGTAGTTACCATAAATAATTACTTAGATACAAACTATGCTATACATGATGATTTTTTAATAACACTATAGAAAATTGGTTAAGCATAACAATTAAAATGTCCTAATTAGTGTTTATAAACAAATTAGTGCCTACTTACTTATTAGTTATTAGCATAGTAGAAGCTGGGTAATTAGATAATTAAGGTAGTATTTAATTTTATATTTTGATAACATTATTGTCTATAGTTCTATAATATATATTTAAGTACCATTGGTGCTAGGATAGGTAGGTACCTACCTACATAATAACCTATAGGTAATATATATTAATTATTAAACAAAAGCAACTATTGAAATAAAGCAATTTGTCCACAGTTGTTGTTTGACATAGATTAAATAAATTAGGTATATTGGCTATAATTTAATCAATTCTATTTTATCCATATCTTAATAACTAAACTTTAATACTGGGTATTTATAATGTATTACTTAATAAAACTTCATTAAGTAAAGGTTTTCAAATAATTGTACTTAGATGTGTAATCTTATTAATGATTTCAATTTATCTCCAATAATTATTTTCTATTAGTCTACTAATGTTTAAAAAATTTGAGTTAAATTATATCACATAATTATAAAATCCTATTACATTAAAAAAAAAAAAAAAATTTTATATTTTTAAAATATAAATAATTGCTATATTAAAGATCAGTTTTAACTTATTAGACATTCACTATTGTAATTTGTACTTACCTATACCTAATAATTTTGTTATCAAATAATATTTTTATAATATTGTTAAATAGGTTTTTATTTATAGTATGTATAATATGTTACTTGTATAAAATATAACAAATTACAGACATTTTGAAATTTAATGTCATTTAACAAATTCTTTATGCAGAAAATTGAATATTATTATTTTTAATTTAAATTTCATAATTTGCTTCCTCCCCCCTCCCCCCCCCCGAGAGGCCTTTTTGACATTGGATATATTTTACTTAAGTTAACATATCACTTTACCTATATAGTTTTATAGAATTGCACATTTATTTTAAATAACTATTCATATATAATCATAGAATTGTATTAAATAAACTTAAATATAAAACAATATTTAATTTTGTTATATCAATTAATAAACAATTATAATTTTCACTTGTTTTTCTTTTTAGGAAAATAATATGGTTCAAAATAGATTCATCATTAATTCTGTTATGAATTATGTATAAAGTATTTATTCCAATCTTCTCCAATAGGACTTACACAGTACTATCTACGTAGGTGTAGAAATTAAAGACTAAGAAAGAACCAATATGTTGTTTTTACCTATTAATCACTTATCTGTTTATTATATTTGTATAATAGTTATTTCGCTAAAAAAAACATTTAAATAACACTAGATGAAGAAAATGGTTGATGTCTAAATTGCTGTGGTATTTTTATTAATATTTCTTCATAATTATACTATTATTCGATATAATAAACAAATACAGATATAATTGTGCTTGTATTACATAAAGATTTAGAGTGATATAAGTTATGTATAATTATCAAACTAAGTGCACTAGTGTTGATAGATAGATTGTTTAAATTAAAACCTCGGAAGTATATTATATTGAGTCTGTTGAATGATGCAAAGCTTTTAATCGTCTTCTATTTCTAATACTAGGTAAAATTATCTGAAATTGTTTTTATTTAATATTAAAATATAATTTAATTTATTTAAACAATTATCATTAGATATGAATATGGAAACTAACCTGTTGCAAAGTAAAGTTCACTATTTTTGCTCCATTACGAGGATTGTTAACGACAGTTACTAATTTAGTTGAAGGTAAATATCCATCCATAGAAGCTGTAATGTGGTAATCACCATTTGTAAGCAGTCTGTAATAGTCACCATCTTGAACTGAAATTTTTGAAAAATATTTAATTAAACTAATTTTACAACATATAAATATTATTAATTGCAATATAATTGTATGTAATACCGGATGTAATATCGTGTAAGATTGGTGTCATTATACCATTTGTTACATTTACCACTTTAACAAATGCATTTGATATTGGTTTTAATGTAAGTGCATCTAGAATAATACCTTTAATTCCCAAGTGTGACTAAAAAAAAAATTGAATTAAAAGTATGCATTTTCCAATATTCAAAATAATTATTTGAACACAACTATACAAATTGTACACATGTTTATATACTATAATCATACAAGTATCTGGTATATCTAATATGTATACCATAAGGTATATCCTGATTGGTGATCATGTATTATATATTTTTTATTTTTAAATTTAATAGACAGTAAATTTAGTATATAGTTTAAATAAAAATGTGATAATGATAATATATATTTTGTATATTATATTATATTTTAATAACATATATACCTACCTGCCAAATCAAGTTAATGAGTGCATTTTTATTTCTTTCCCATTCATTTTTTAATTCACCTTCTTTTGTATATTTATCACAACCTAGCTCTAAAGTGATTTCAAAATCATTGGAAGACAAGTAGTTAAAGTCTTGCATACCTAAAATACAATTTTTAAATATTATGTTTGTGATGTAGGTAAAAGGTACAAATTAAATTAGTATAATAATTCTAGGTATGATTATAAATAAATAGTTGGTTATGAACTCTGTAGTACGAATGTTACATACGTAAAATGACATACCTACATACCTATTTATTTATTTATTCAGCTCGATGAAGGCAATAGAGTGGATTCCGCTAATCTGGACACCGGTTAATGTGAGCAACTGCCTAATAAAAGCATAATGGTTTGGTCCCAATTATAAAGTATAACGACACTCATTTCGGTTAAAATGAATAACCGCTTAATGTTGTCAAATTTAACTAGTCCCAGCGTGTCCACATTAGGAGGAATCCATTGTATTTAAATAAAATCTTCTCCTTTGTTTTTATCCAAACTATTGATATATTCAACTTCATTGAACTATAACGGCTACCCTCGTCCTAAATTTCCACTTTACTAAATTTATCACAATATTCTCGCATACTCTGACCATTCTCATATTCTCAATTATATTCACCCACCTAATTTCCGGTCTCCCTTATAGTCTCTTTCCTCTTGTGTTTATTTGCTAACTGTTTCCGATTCCTCACTCCTCATTACAACCTATATCGATATCAGGCCTCTATTTTCATTTATTTACTATATACATCGGGGCCAAACCAAAGCTACTTCTTATATACACGTTCCAAGCTATGTATATTTTCTCTCCACTCCACTCATTCACCTAAGCATTCTCATCTCCAATACACTCATTCTTTGTTATATTTTTCTATTTCTTGTCCAACACTTCAAATCATACAACATAATCGGCCTCACCACACTCTTGTAGTACTAAGTACCTATTTACCTCTACACTGGAATTATCTTGTCACATTAAACACCTGAGTACCTAACGCTTCTCTACGGTTTATTCAACTATACTTAATCCTATGTTTCAAATACTCATCAGAGCCACCACTATTTTGTACCAAAGATCAGACATATTTCAGTGAAATATTTAAAAAAAATAAATTTAACTTACAATTATTATAGGTACCTATACCTATTTCAATGAATAAAAATAAACGTACACACTTCGCACGATGGGGGGGGCATTGTAGTAGGTGAGAAGTTGGGAAGTTAGAGGGGAAATTTAATGTATACACAACGATTAATGCCAATAAAAAACTATTCTGAGCAGAGTTCGGTTTATCGGTATGAAAGATCGTAATATTTACGATTTTAAAATAATACATTTTACCTTAATCATACCTAATCAAACCTAATCAAAAAATGACCTCCCTAAAGAAGTATCCCAGTCAAATTTCTTTATTTCTTTTTTAAAAAAGTGCTATACTTCAAAATTGAAGCAAAATTTCTGTTAGATTTTTAAAGTTCATACATTTTTGTTTTATATTTATAAAAAAAAAATGTCAAGTATCAATAATAATAGTTAAACAATGGTTTAAAATAAAAAAAAATCAAGAAATACTCGTAATGTTGGTAGGTACCTATGTAAATCTTGATCTGGAAAACCTTCAAAATTTCAGAATATTTTTAGAAAATTAGGAAGAGATTAATTGGGAAATATGACCTTAGGTGGTTTACCCTGAGGCACTATTATACTTCACACTAGTCTGACGAGATTAGCAAGTAGTAATATACCTGATGGGAAATATTTAATTTTAAACATCTCAACTTTCAGAAATTTTTCAGAAATGTTGAAAATAAACTATTTACTTACATTTCTATTAAGACTAAAGGTATATTTTATAATACTCGCAATTTATTTTACTAATTAATTATATAATTTATGATATTTTTATTTTTAGTCATTCCTACATTTCCATTTGAATATCTAGAGACTATCTAATTTCTAATTATTATAAATTGATTGTGATATTATTACCTCCTTGAACACTGTACCATTTAGCACCATTTGTGATGCCACCTTCTTTTGCGAAATTGGTGTCACCTCCTCTACACGGTATTCTATTAGGATTAGCCATATCAGCATGATAATTTGCATATGATAATGCTAACCATCTATTTAAATATAATAATTATTTATTATAGTTTGATATTTAATTATTAAGTATTTATTATAAATCATACTTAAAAGTATCATCATCAGGACTTTTTGAGTATTCTCCTTGTACAGTACCATCTCTACTTTCATCATATGGATAGTTAGCTACTAAATCACCTCCATGAAGATTAGCAGAAGCTACAAATGGTATGGACATAATCATTTTCATTACAGCCTTGGTTTCTGGTTGTATCTAACAATATATAATATGCGGGTGCAGGTATACAAATAGGCAGGTACATTGTATAATGTATTATATAAAGTATTTGTTTTTTAATAATAATTATTAATAAATTATATTATTTAACTTGACCTAAATTATCAAAATAGAACCATAGATCGTTTACTCATATGAACAATTTGTTATCATAACTATTATATTATATAGATACTTACCTACATGATAATTATTCATACCATGCCTACCTCTTCGGCTCTCCATAATATCTATCTTGGTAGGTATTTAAAAAGCAAAAATAATTTAATTGATCAATAAAACTTATAATTTATATTTCTATAATATATACGTTTAATAAACGAAGCTATTATATAAGTAGATAATATTATTGTAGGAGGTATATCTATATTTTATTAAATGTTATTATTGCATAAAATTAAAAAGTAGGACGTACTTCGTACCATGGGTAGATCACTGTAGTATGTGGAAGTTTGAAATATTTAGAATTAGGGTACCTACCTACCTAATTTAATTTATAAAGGTTTCTATTTTAAATACCGATCAAAAATGAAACATTTGTTGTCAGTCTTTGAAATTTCATAGAAAAACTGTTAGAAATAGAATTTAATTTTGTTCCCATAAAGTACCATCGGGTAAAAAATCTGCATCTTTCAATGTACGGAATGGAAAAATCAGAAAGTTAAAACTAATACTTATTTAGATGAATTTAGAGTCTAAAATTCAAGTTGGCTATAATCATTAGCGCACATATGGGGTTGCCATTAATAATTCATATTGTATAGTATTTATATTATTTCATTATGTAAACTTATATTAATTATTTTCATATTTTTAAAGAGGTACCTATGATAGGTAACCTATCCATTGTTGGTTATTTATTAAGCAATGAAAGATTCATAATTGACAATTGGATCTCATTATTTCAATTTTGTTTATTTAATGTGCAAGTAATATATAATTTTAATTTGAAATGTCGAATAGATTGGGGGTATTGGGAGGCAACCCCCCCAGTGATACCCTATCGTAAATAATTTCAGCACTCCCAAGTTTTAGACTGAATATGCGCCAATGGTTATAATAAATTATACGTAAAACTAATTTATTACCCTCATACCTACCTAAGTATTATCATATTACAATACAATATATTACTTTAAGGCTATTGTTATAATGATAATGAATTTATATGAAAAATAAATAAAAGAGAACAAGTTGTTTACCGGTTGCGATAAATGATCCACCATTTGCATCAAATGATTGTTAACATCTTTGTAGTAGACCTCATTATCAAAAACAATTCGGTCTAAATTTGGAAAGTTTCTATTCAAATCCACTCCTGCGGCATTTTCTCTTCCTATTAAATAATTGTTTCCACCCTAAATGCATATATATTTATATATATACATGTATATTATATATCAATTATTATTATATTCATTTTATAAATCAGCAAATAATATACAATAGTTAACTAGGTTAAATATTAATTTAATTATACGTCATTTGTGGATAACTGCCATCCATCAGGATTCATTGACGGCAATAGGTGAATTCTGGTTGTAGTTATTAGTTTTACAATTTCCTCGTTTCCTGTTTTATACTCTTCACAAAGGTAATCTGCTAATTTCAACAATAACTCCCTCCCTAATATTTCATTTCCGTGCATGTTAGCTATGTATTTGAATTCTGGATCCACTAAAAATTTTACTGTATTGTTTTAACTGAATTTTTAACATTTTGCAATAAAGTATTAATTTTTGTCCATATAAATGTTTGATAATTTATGGGAGCATAGATAAATAGTTTAAAAATAAAATACTAACATGTTTTATGTTCATTTGGATGAACAGAAAATACAATCACTATAAGTGGACGGCCCTCTACGGAATTCTCTGATAGTCTGTAAATACTAGTGATGCTTGGGCATTTTTCATGTACTTCCAACATTGTATTAAACATTTCGTCATTGTCATGATACTTAAATTTAAATTGCTTATTTTGTTCAAACGAATTTACGTTAATTGCAGATGAAACTAACCACAATGTAGTACATATCAACAAAGGTAACCTGAAAAAAAAATGTTAAATTCTTTTTTAGAAATTAGGTAAGTATATATATATATACATATATATATGTATTGAAAATATTGTAAAAACTTGATACACATTTAAGACAATAAAAAATATTTAGGTACCTGAAAATTTCGATTTGTTGAATCATTGTGAAGAGTTAGTAAGACATTATACTTAAAGTAAAATTTAAATGAGGAGTATTAAAGTAGTCTAGCTACAGATAACTTATACTAACGTCCAGCTGGCTAAAACAGAATGGCAACGCAAGTTCACGGTCTGAGCATGCTCAAAACGTATTCGGCAAACTGTCCCACCCGCCAGGTTCGTATTTATTGATTTCACCACTGAATTGCGTCAAGACCTGTAGACATTTTCGTTTATGTTAGTACAACAAACTACACTTATTAATCAACATAGAAAAAAAAAGTCTCGTTCACATAATTAAAAAATATAAAAGCCTTTAAAATATCAACTTTATTCATGTTATAACTGTTACCTATTATTGTAACCTATTTTTCTCAATAAATTTAAATATTTAATTATTCATTATATCTACATTGTACAATTATAACTAAGTTACAGTCAAATTTACTTCATGTACCTATTACTGTTTAGAATTAATATGTATTTTTGTACCTACATCTAATTTTAAATTTTATATATTCAATAAAAAACAAAAATTACTTACATTTCTATAATTTATATGTAAGTACAAGGTATATATAGGTGCAGTAAAAAATAAGTTATGTTAGCATAGCACTTGAATGAATGATTGACATTGCGTTAGCATTATTAGAACATAAACTAAATCTATATTATTGTGTACATTATAGCAGTGGGTATACATCAACAGAGTTACTAAATATTTAAATATTAGTTTAAATTTACTGACACGTAGTCTATATATTTATATGGGTAAAGACTATTTAGTGAATATGCTATATGAATATCAAGGTGAATATTTTATTAAAAATACTCTGTATAGTGTACCTATATAATTAAATACATTATTACATTTTATAATATTTTTAGGTTATTTTAGGCCGTTTTAAATTTATTTTTCTACTCTATTTGAAAATATTGATGCACTAATAGATTTTTTTAAATTATGTTAGCATTTTAAATTTAGATCACGGAAGTTTTTCTTATTACTCGATTCATATCTTCTATCTTTAACCTTATAAATGCTAATAAATAATAAACTGTTATTGTTTCATTATTCGATATTTATACTAACAAGGGTTTAAAAATTGTAACATGTTTATATTTTGGTATACCTACTATAAACTTGATTGTCAAAAATTAAAAACAATAATAGTGTATATTATAGACAATATACTGAGAAAATGGTTGGTTTATAAAATAAAATCACCCATATAATATAAATCCTGTGGATTAATATTTAAGTACTTAATTTGTTATTATTAAATTATAATATCAAGGTTATATAAATAAAAACAATATTTTAGTCACTTCCTTTCTGTCGTATATAATTTAACACTACAAATAAAATATATTTATTCATTCAATTATTTCGTAATAACCTTGAAAAACTTTTATTAAATGATCTTTTCTTAAACACACTCGTATTAAATCGTTTAACGTCTATTATAATTTATATAATAACACTGCTAAGTGCTCTAACCCATAGTTCTGAAAACTAAAAGTTAAAAAGTTATCACATTTATTACCTTTAAATATATACTTTCCAACTTAATCATTTAAAAGCCCAATCCAGCCCGACTCTGCCCGGCCTTTGTAGATTTATACTACTTACAACAAAACTATATTATACACTTTATTAGTTACCAAATTTATATATTTCAATATTATGTCCATAAATGTTACATAAATAGGTAATAAAAGGATAAAATAATTTTCATGACGTGATTTTAACCGGGTAAATTTGGTTCGATTACTTTTCAGTTTTGCCTCCAGAAGTACGTATGACAGATATAGGATGAGATGGAAATTTCATTTATTTTTATTTTCACCAATTAGAACAACTATTAATGAACATCCTGTCAAATGTACAAGTATTTCTGATGAGTATAAAAATTTTATCCATAGAGTAACTACAAAATTAAAAATTCGTAAAATTTTGCCAAATTAAAATGTCTACAAATAGTTCAAAAATAGCTAAAATATTTTTAAACTTTGACTACGTTTACCATAGGTCAATATAAATATTTTGTGAAAATAACAAGTCTCTTTAATAATTTTTAGTCGTATAACAATAACAATTCTAAATGTCGCACACTTTGCCAAATTTCCTACGTTTTTTTTTCGGTTTTTCGTAATTATTAGGAAAATTCTATGAAAAATCAAACAATGACTTTCTTACTCATCAGATAGATAAATAAAATAAATTCAGAAAATATGTTAATCTTGAAATTTGGACAAAGATTTTCGGTAGAAAAATATAATCTTAATAATTTTAAATAATAAAATCGTTGCACACCAATTTGGCTTTTCCCAATTATTATAACTACTTTCAGGGCCTGATTTAAAGAAATAGAAGCCCTGTGTTTTACATGAAATACTGATGATTTTCCATTTTTGTTTATCGGCCAGTCTCCGAGTGTTTTATAATTTTTTTTACATAATGGGGAAGGGTCCTAAGAATTTGGGGGCCATGCACCGCATGCATAACCAGTATAGTGATCCAGTATGTCCAGTAAGTGGGCCCTTGATTCGCATGGGCCATGGACAAATACCCATAATGTCTTTGCGTAAATAGAGCACTAACTACTTTATATATTAAAAAAAAATAATTTTCTCTGTCAATGGATATATTTATTAAAAGGAGGAATATTAAAATCAATATTATCATAATTCACAAAAAACAGATAACATTAACTTATAAATTATAATCTAGAGCGCGTTTAATAATTCATCAGAATTCAAAGCATCATAAATCTTAGGATTCATTAATCGACAATAATACTTACGATATTGTATATATTTATAGATTCTAAGTGAAGCGAAGATGTTTATTTTTATATTTTTTCTGTAACAACTTATCTACCAGAGGACTTGTACCAATTTGTACATATAGCACTTTTTCTAAAAGAAAATCGGTGTGGGGAGGTACCTTATAGAGATCATTTTTCGATTTTCTCTAGGGTTTTCTCAGCAAATGTGAAAAACTGAGAAAAACATGGAAAAATTAGGAAAAGCGTGAGAAAACCGAGGAAAATAAACAAATATTATTAAAGAAAATAGATAGAGCCCATTTAATTATTTTATTATAATATGGCATATATATTGTTGACAAAGCATCACTATCTAATTCTGCTCAGAATTGTTTTTCCGTAAGCAATGGTTTATCGTTGTTTACAGGTATACATTAAATTACTTATAACACTGGCTGCATCCGTCCTCATTATCCTAGGACGTCTTTTTTTAAATAGTGGTCACCATGCTTTACCATTCTTTGTTCGTTCGATGCTGGAATACGTATTACTTAACTGGGACTCTCAACGACAGTCTAACATAGAGCGACTTGACCGTATTCAAAAATTCCCCGAAAATCGTTGTTATAAATTTAAAAACCTTATCTGATAGAATATAATGTGCAAATAATGTATTCGTGGTAATTAAACTACTTAAAGCTACTTAGTTCAATCGATTTCCCTAATATGTTATCTTTAATTTCTATTGTTGTTCTATCTTTCAGCTTAACACAGTAAGTACCTACTTTTAAAATTTACATTTAAATGGAATTTCCATAGTATTAATTTTGACTATGCATCCCCCTCCCCTAGATCGTAATTCTTATGTTATAATAAGGTAACATGACATATAGATCTCGCGTCATCGAGATCTCGGTGATATACTGATAAGAATTTTATACCGGGTCAGAGACATTCAGATCTCGAAATGATATAGTCCCAAGTCATTTAGATCCACGATATTTTTAGATCTCCGCCATATGGATCCATTTATTATTGATCGTAGTTCATAATTTTATTAGTAGCGCTATCTTAAAAATTAATATAATATGTACTTTACCAGTGGCTTATCCCCCCGTCACGATACAGAGGGGAAGGTTGGGGATTCCAACTCCCGAAAATTAATAGTTTTGTAATTTATTTTTATCAATTTATTATTTTTTTTTATAAATAATGATGATTGTAAATTTTTTATGAACCCCCCCAAATTTTTCTTTTGTATACGTGCTTGCATCTCTTATATAAATAAGGTAATTTTGAACTGACACAGAAACGCCATACTATAGATTCAAAAGTATAAAACAACAAATACCTAATGCTATTCAATTTAATCTACCTAATGTTAATTTAATTAAATTGGTATGGTGTTAATAAAATATTGTTTGAGAAAATTTAAAAAGCTTTTTCATACAATGAATTAATTATTACCTAGGTACTAGATTTTCGAAAATTCTATTTACCTTTAACCATATAACCATATTCTTTGAATTTCATGACATTATAATACATTGTAGTACTTAAAATTTAAAAGACACTGAGTTTGGGGTTCTGGCAAGTGCTAGGTTTATATTTTTAAAATTATTGTGAAGGGCTATATTATTTGAAAGTTTAAACAAATATAAACCTATATAACCACGACATACCACTATATCAGATATTACGATATTGTATATACTGCAGGTAACATTCAGATATTTGAACTTTTAGACCAAGACAAGATAATTTGATCCCGAGACAACTAGATACACACTATTTCCAAAGGTATGGTTGGAATCTAAATGACCCGGGTATTCATATATCTATGAATAATATGCTTAATGCTGATATATTTCTTAACTATCATATTTCATTAATAATGTACTTTTTTACATTTTGTGTTGTAACTTATCATTTTTATAATATCTATACTCATAAGCTCAACTAGACCACCAACTTTGGGGGTACTAAAATTATAGACACACAGAGTGTACTGTCACAACAATTTCCTTTACTTGACATTTACACTTGTGGCAAAAAACAACACATTTCATTTACAATTTTTTATGTAAAAATAATATTATAACTCTTAGATTCGTAACGTAGGGAGGAATGAATTGATTTTACAATGACATTTATTTTTTTTTTATGCTAAACACAAAATTTCTACCTAAGGCTTGCTCTGATGTATCAAGTATATCACTTTTTCTAGAAGGAAATTTTATCTATTTGGTACATTAAAGAGGTCGTTTTCCGATTTTCTAAGTAGTTTTTATAATAATTAGGAAAAATCGGAAAAAAATGTAAATTGAAAACTGATACAAATTTATGACGCTATAATTTCATTATTTTAAATTTTTCGCTTTATGTTTTATACTAGCTATATTGCTCCAATAAAAATACGACTAGAGATCAATGTTGTTACATTTTTAATCTAGTTGGTGAGTATAAAAGTTGTTTTTTTATTTTTGGTGCAATTTCTTTTAATAATTGAGCAAAACCGAAAAAAAAAGTAGAAAGAATATACAAATTTACGAAAATAAGGCTTTTATTTTAATTTAATGTTTTTGCTGTAATTAAGTAAAAATATTCGTAAAGACTTGAAATGTCGACAGAAAACTATAATATTTACTTTTTCTAGACGTGGTAAAATTTTCAAAATATTTTTGAGCTATATATATATAGATACATTATAGGTTTGCGAGTTAATACATTATTTTTATTTGGTAGGTACTCTATGGATAAAATTGTTAGACTAAACAAAAATACTTGAAATTTAGGAAAACAGGAGGTTCATTATAAGTCCTGATTAGAGATAAAAAAAAAAATATATTGTAATGCAGTAAGTATTTTATGTACATTTTCTCCATCACCCCCACATACGATTTTTAGAAATTTTTTTAGCTAACATTTAGTGTGCAATTTGTATAAATTTGTATGACTATTTTCAGAATTTGTATAGCTTTAGTTTTTGCACCTTAAACAAAAAATTGGGGCGGTGTTGGAGAAACGTTCTTGCAGCACCCCCTCACGAGATCAGATTGTTTTTTTTCACTTCAATCATTTAGTACGAAATTCGTATGAATTTGTATGTCCATTTCTGATATTTGTACGATCTCCTCTCCAAGTCCAAATAATGATATAAGCATTAAAATAAAACTGAAAACACAATAAAAATGTTTGCATTCAACATGAGTTACTTAAGCAATAGTTGAGGTTGTCAACTTTTAAACTTATATACAATACAAAATAAAATTTGTATAGATTTGAACATGTTATGTAGATTATAACATGTGGTAGGTATTTAAAAATTATCCTAAGATAGGTACCATATTTAGGTCGTGAGAATTCGGATTAAACACCATACCCAAATCGATCACGCTTAGATATTTCATTAAAACCAGCAAATCAAGTATAATAGGTCTTTAGGTGATTTCAAATATTTTTAATTCCTGTAGACATCTAATTTAAATATTATTTATGTAATACCTACCTATATAGGTAGGTAATTTTATATTATTTGACAGTCAAAATCTAGAAGGCCTGCACACACGGAACACAGCTTTAGCTAAAATGTTTCAATAGATTATTACATTCATAAATACCCAATATATATTATAGTAGGAAACTAATTTTTAGTTACCAATATAGATACATACCAATTTCATTGTAGTGGTATTGTATGAACATTCTTGATTGTAAGTAGTTAGGTAGGTATTATTTTTTTGTTTCAGTACAGAAATATTAAAATTAAAATTAGATATTTGTTTTTTAACCTAAATCATTTGTTTGTCATTATTTCTATATTCAAAGCCACTTTTATCAATAGGTTTAAAAGGAAGTGTTTGTTTTTTGCGATTCACATCTACAGCCGAATTTATTCCACTGAAAGATTTGTAAATTTACATACATCAGTGGATGAACGATTCCGTGTGTACCTCTAAGCCAGATTGCTGAAATTTAATCTCTAAAGGGTGTCTGATAAGGTTTTTTGTATTCTTGGAAGGAAAAATTGAATTATTTTTGTGGATTTATGGGTTACCTTGGCGACACGGATGTTACATAATAGTAGAAAAGTGTAAGTTCGTATAATATCTATAATCACAAATATTATATACTTAAACAATATCACACCTAATTTATTGCAACTCCAACAGATAAATTGTATGTATATTCTGTACCTATAGAGATATTAGAGGTTTACACAGGGAAACTGCTGACATAAAAAGGGATACAAGTGTGACATATTAAATTAAATTTCTTTTATTGATTTCGTTTTTTGAAAGGATACCTATTTTTAAATAATATGATTTTTAAATGGTCCAAAAAAGATAAGTGATTTAGCACTGGCAACTTTCAATGATATCTATTTAAATTTAGAAAATTTGTAGATTATCGTAGTTTTAAGACATTAACATTGAACATGTTTGTAGAAGGTAAAATTTTATAAATACATTAGGTGTTAAAATGTTTCATTTCCATTAACACATTGGCGAGATATTCCTAGTTTATATTAGAGTCAAGTGACAAAGTATTACATAGAAAACTAACTTTTTAAGAAGTTGATATCATTGCTCACAGATTGGTTATTGTTATAGGTTATTTGAAAAAATATAATATTGACAGGTAAGTAAATTAGTTAGTTTATTGGAATGTTTTTTTTTGAAAAATGTATGAAAAAACTAGTTTTAAAAATATTACATTACTGTTAATTTTTGTGAGTAAAACCACTAGACTAATTATTGATTTTAAAATAGAAACCCTCATTAAAATTTCTTTAAATAAATAAAGTTAAGATATAAGAACATTTGATGTTGAAATGTTTAATTTCCATCAACCCACTGATGAGATATTCCATTTTTAAGTTTGTCGTTTTGCAGGTAGGGGTAAATTATTATTAAAATAATCAAAAAACCGGCATAAGATGCACAGATTATGTTTTTACCTATAAGTTTGGTAAAAGGTTAATTCATTAAACCATTTAAATCTAAAAGCAGTAGATGTATGTAAGGTATCTTTAATACATTTTTAAAATGTTATTAATTTCTATTATATAAGTAAGTATATAATTATAATTCCATCATTATTATGTATTTGTAATAAAAAATGAGTAATAAAATTAAAAAAAAAATGTTAGGTACTTTATGAGTTTTAACTTATAGATATCTGATCATCAGAAACACACCAAAAAGTATTTACTTAAAAAAAAAAAAATATTAACAATATCAATGAGACATAGCTCCACTACCTATTTTTTTTTCTAAATCAAACATAATTCATAATTTTACATTTAAACAAGTTTATTATTTTTAATTTAAATATGAAAATTACAAAAGAGTGAATTTACTAAAAAAGTATTTTATATAGTATATTATTAGTAATAATACAAATAAATATTAAAAGAATTTTTCTTTTTTATGATCATAAAATTATCACAACTAATAGTGTTAAAAAAAGATTTGGTTCTAAACACTATACATTAATATAAATATTAGTACATTAAAATTGGGTGAAAGTATATCTAACAACTTAAAACTTCTAAATTTCAAAAAGTATTGTAAAATAATTAATTCCAATTTTGTTTAAAAAATTCACATTAACATTTAGGCACTATTAATGTATAACTAAATCTTATATTCTGGAAATAAAATAATAATTATTATTATTATTATATTAAATAAACTAATAACATAACAACTTAATATAATTATGTATTGCTAATATGCTTGTAAAGGAACATGTAAATTAAACACATTTTGAACACATCACATTTTCCTAGTTTTTCTTAATGGTGTATTGTGTTACATATTGTATAGCACAACCAAATGAGTGATATAAAATAATTAAATAATATGACATTTAAATAAAAATGATAACATAAATAACATATTCAATATTCCATATACTTAAAACCATACATTTTTACGCCACAAAAAATAAATTTTGCTTCTAAACTCTACTAATGAATTTTAAATGCATACATTAATATATTATATATTAAATCAGGATTTGTTTTGTAATATTTATTAATTATGATATATATATATAATATGAAACTTTTTTTTATAAGTTAAATAATAGTAATTATAAATAATGTAAGCGTATTATAATTTCTATGTTATATATTTTTTTTTTTTATGTTTAAAAATTAAATTACAACTTAATATATCATATCTAACTTAGCAATGATAATTAAATTAAAACCCATATTAAACATATTTAATCTATTAACTAACACACAAGTAAATTATTATAGTATGTTAATAAATATAAGCTTTATTTATTTTATTATAAAAATTAAACAATGATAAAAAAAATACAGCCCTAGAAATTAAACAATGTCAGAAAATAACTTATATAATGAATAATTGACGGTTATTTTCACTCGCTAGTTATTAAACAAATGTGTAATTATGTTTGTACATACTTACATATAGATTTTGGCTACACACAATAAAAAATGGAATAGTAAATTAGGATGATTAAAAAAAAAAAAAAAAAAATAATAATATAAATAATAAAAATAATTACAAAGAACAGAGAAACATAAAGGAATACAAGATAAAAAGAGACAATATTATATATGACTATGTGTCAAGTTCGGAAGTAATCGTTGAATGGATAAAAGCAAAAAAATAAACCACTCCCAATGGCCCATGTTGCCGAGGGTTCATTCTTCATAATAATAATAATAATAATAAAAAAAAAATAGTTATTATATTAGCTGAGATATTAAGTAACAATTGAGCTAAATATAAAATGTGTAATTTTTAGTTAGGACTTTCTGACTTTTCACTTGAGTCCGATTCTGTTTCACTATCATCATTCATGTCATTTAAATCCACTTCTGCGCCATAAAACATGTATCTTCTTTTTTTCAACATAAAAAATTTATTTGCTGAAAGAATAATTTTATTAAATAATAATAATAAGAGAATTTTATATGGTATATTACATGGTAAATAAGCAGAAAGACTAGATTTTTGAGGATCATCTGGATCAATTCCACTATCTCTTGTAGATTCAGTAGATAAATGACGTTGCTGTTCACCTGAAGAACCAGGAGTAAATCTTTCATCTCCAAGTGGAGGCGACATACTGTTGGCACTATCTCTTGTTGAATCAGTTGACATTTCATTTTCTACAGTTTCTATTGGAACTGCATTAGATCTGTTGATAATATTTTAGATATATTAAACACATTTAAAATTGTTAATAAGTTAAGTTGAAAACAAATTTACCTTGGCGACGATGTTGGTGTAAATAAAGTTTTTGTTTCAGTTAACTCTTCTTTGCACCAACACACTTCAGTCCAATCTGAACCAAGCCTGTTGTAAAATATTTTAAGAATTTAATATTAAGTTTGTATTCATTATTATAATACAGTTTTCATGTTTTCAGATAACTCTAAAATATTATGTCTGGATGAACTTGGATTCCAATTTCATTTTTAAAAGGTAGTTGAAATACACATTAGGGATAAATTTCAATTTTATAATACTTTCATTACCCCCAACCTGTGGGTAATTACCCTCCAAGGGGTAAAACACGATTTCTTGAGGGGTAAAGGCCAACTAATTTTTTTTTATTTTATGTACTTTATATCTATTATTATTAACTCTGAATCAGTTATGTGTATTAATATAATTGTCGTTAATAGTTTTGGGAATTGCCTTAGTTCTAATGATGCTGATTATTGTGATCCATTTTTGGTTTTCCACTTTTTGTTTCAGAAAAGTATGTGTATATGATAAAAAAAAATGTGATTGGCAGCACGTCATTGACCGAGTCGCCATGGTTGGCCAGTTGAGTGAAATAAATTTAAACGAAAGTTTTGTGTGTTTCATTGAGTTTGTGAGAGTTAATATAGTTTGTTTGAGTTCAATTATTATTTTATTTTAATTAAGAAATATACCACCTTTAATTTATTTTCCTACATAATTTTATTACCTTCAAAAAATATTTATAATATAATATTTCAGACCATTTAGTTTTTATGGTATTTATTATTATCTTGGATTTCTTGGAATTACTTTTGCTATAACAAATTTACATTTGGTAAAATTGGTAGCGAGTATCCATTATTATCGGAAAAAGCCTTGAAAATACTGATCCTTTTTGTCCAAAAAGTATAAGTGTGAAAATGGGTTTTCAACAATGGTAATAATGAAAACAAAAGCAAGAAACCGATTGAACTTAGAATGTGCAGTGGCCGAAACTGAATCGAACATTAAACAAATCGTTAGAAATAAGCAATATCAACCATCTCATTAACTAACATTACTATTACTCATTGGTTGTAAAATAAAAACTCGTTTGATAAATTACAATAAACTATGAATATAATTTATATATTTTTTTTTTTACTCAATTCTTTTTGAGGAAGGGGTATTAGTTATGTCTAACCTGAATTATGGGTAATAGTCTCAAAAAGGTTGAGAATCACTGTTTCAGAGCATGCATACACACACATAAAATATTTTATTTATAGAAACATCTATTTTTGACACTAGAATCAAATAATAATTTTATTATTGTCAAACAATTTTGAAAAATAAATGATTTTTTATATAATGTAAAACATGTCATTATGTATGTTATTTTATAGTTTTTAAAAATAATTTATTTTCAAAAAATTAGTAGTCTTATTTCTTTACTTTTAAAGTTACACACAGTTAAACCCCTTGTAGATGGCTGAATCTCAAGTTATTTTTGAGATGTAAAAAAAGCTATATAAACCAAGTGGCTTGAAAAAATATGACTTTATAATTTAGTGTTAAAAATTTGAAATTTATTTTAAGAGTATTTCAATACTACATATCACATTCTGAAAACGAACTCAAATAAGGTTATTCAGCAGAAATGTTTAGTTTTATCTGAAAACATGAACACATTTTATATCTGACACTTACATGCGGCAGAGGTGATCAACAATTACATCACTATCACCAAGAAGTTCTACATCAAAATTCACGTGCGGAAGTCTTTCCCGGTTTATTAATATTTGTGGAACATGTTTTTTTAACATATCTAATAAAAAAATGTTCATTTAGTAATTAATTTCTTTTCATTTTGATTTAGTATGATAAAATTTTGTATAATACTTACTAGGTATGCGAGCAACTGGCCGTACTTTTAACGAAGATCCAATTACTATCAACAAATCACAATTATTCTTATCCTCTTCTATTGCCTTATGGAAACTGTCTGGGAGACCTTCCCCAAAAAATACAATATCCGGTTTCATAATACCTAATAATTGGTCCAATAGTTATCAGTTCTTCATTAAATATTTAAAACTATTAATTTTACCAGTACTATTGACACATATTGGACAACGTGGAATCCTTTGTTCAAAAACATCAGGTCTTATTGTTTCTGCTGATACTTTATGTCCACATTGTGTACAAGATGCAGTAGCAAAAGATCCTACATTATACATTCATTTTTAGAAATAATCTTAATTACACACTAAATGAATAAATTATCTTACCATGACATTCAATAACGTTTTCAATACCAACCACTTGTTCTAGAGTGTCAATGTTCTGAGTGTAGTTACGCAAAAGTCGCTCATTCTTTTCCAAAAGTTTAATAAATCTGAAAAAAAATATGGCAAAATGTAGTATATAATTTTAGTATTTGTAAAAGAACACATTAAAAATTGAATATAATTATCAAACTTCTTAGGTCTTGCAATTTTTAAATGATAATCCTTACTTGCAACTTTTTAGACTAAAGAACAGAATGTCTAAATATTAACATATTAATAAATATTTAATTCAATGAGAGAAAAGGTGAGGTCATAATATACACTCACTTTTTCTATTAAACTTACAAAATATATATTGTCACAACAATTGTGTAAATAACACACACACACACACATTATTTAAATGTAGAAAATAATATTTAGATATAATATACATAAACATTACACATATTTATTAAAAAAATCACAACATACTGATGAGATGGTGATGGTTTAAATTGTCCTGGATAAATTTCCCTGGCAAATTTAAAAAAAGGCCTAGGGTCTTTTTTGAAATAATCTATACAAAACATAGATTGAGGATCAGGCAAATCAGGAAATTCTGTAGCTAGTCTAGCATATACTCCGTTATGACTTCGAAAATCTGGTATTCCACATGAAACTGATACCTAATAAATATTTTATTATTACCCATAAATTTATGTAAACAATAAACAATTCATTTCTAATTACTTACACCTGCTCCAGTCAGAACCATAATACGGGAGCTTGTTCTTAATAGTCTTACAACATCATCAAGTAAACTCACACTGCGCAAGCGATTGCGAACAGGAGAATCATCGGTCATGTTCATTATTATCTATTTATACATTTTATTAATATTTTAAACATTTAAGATATTATTAAATGGTACTTACTTTCCATAATGTTATATCTTCTAACTGAGATGGAACAGAAGCGCCAAAAACTTGATGTAATAAACGCCTTGGATTTATGCCACCCATAATTTGTCGTTGAACCCAGCTCATTGAACCTACAATAATATTTGAGTAAATAATTATTAATGCTACAAAAAATAAAAATTGCTTAGTACCAGGTACTCCTTTTTCAGAATCTGCATTATCAGAGTGTGTGCTGGAATCTGAACTGGACGTTGAAGATGACGAATCATCATCTTCAGGTTCTTCTTTAGTGTCTGAACTTTCATCAAATATACTTTATGCAAAAATTAAGAAAGTCAAATTTTAAAATTAATAATAATAATAGTAATAATGAATGTTTAAGTTTTACCTAGAGTCTTCTGGGGATTCTGGCAGACTAGATGACATTGTTAATGGTGTTGGTGAACTTGGTTGTAAATAATCTGCTGATAATGTGTCTAATGATTTATAAGATGGCTGGTACAAATTATTGGCTAAAATAATAAAATTAAACATTAACATTTTTTATCAATTTATATTATATAAAAGAAGAAATTAACTAATTGACATATCAATACACAGATATTCCTTACATTATAAGGAAAACTACTATTACCAGTAAAAGGATTTTTCAAGATTCAATCACAAATAGGATTTAAAGAGGTGTCTAAATATGTTTGATGACATATTAAAATGTGTTAAATACCTTAAAACTTTGGGTAGGTACCTATAGAATTAATCAAACAAATATTTGGTTGATTTTGGAATTTAAAATTTAGGCATTGAAATTGAGAGTTCAAATTCTGAATGAAATAATAATACTTTATAATTAATCAAAATGATCTAGTTACTTAAGTTAAAGCTATTTTGATGTTCGTGTATGTCAGGAAACTGAAGAAGTACAGTGTAGATAGGTAACTACTTTAGGGGAGCATATACTATCGGTGTAATTTCAATGAAAAATCATATTGTACTTTTAATTTAGATCTATTATCTACATTAGTAATCTGCTATTTACCTTTGATACCCCTAAGAGAAGGTATTACGAAATCCTACATGAATGAGTAACTTAGAACAGATGAATAAAGTTGTTAGCAATGTAAAACATAACTTACAAAGAAATATTAGTGTATAATGCAACATATATTATTATATTTAAATAATTATTTTTATTGGTAACATTTATATTCTGAATTTATATATTGTATAAAATGAACTTATAAAATGTATCTATTAAAATGTATTGAATAAAAATTATTAGTCGAGTAAAAAAAAAAAAAATTTTTAATAATTAAGAAATAAAAATCAAATTTTTTTTTTTACCTTAGTAAATAATTTATAGAAATTAATAAAGTTAGTTGTACACAATCCACAGCTAAATTGAATGAAAATAGTAGAAATAGTAGTAATTATGTGATTATTTTGATTAGATAGTTGCATTTAAGTAATGTCTTTAATTATTTACATAAAATTACTAAACAATTTTAGTACAAAATAATAAACAAACAAATATCCATTTTTTTTAAAATTTTTTTTTTTAGGGCATATTCAAAGGACCAAAAAGACCTTTAAGTTAAAGTTTAAAATTATTATAACATATAGGTATTTTAGTAATTCTTAATACTATAAAATCTGAAACCCAATTATTATCATTGAATGAAAAATAAAAAGAATTACCAAGTTAGGCCAAAAACACATTAAATTCTCATTTGGGAATCAAATTAAATAAATATGTTTGTCGAATGTTGTTGACAAACCAAATTTGGTGGGTTCAAAGGTATACTGAAAATGTATGGATAGAATACAAAAATTAAACATTATTGTGCAACAATTAATAAAATTTAGAAAATAATAATTGATAGTGATAATATGGTTGTTATTATCTCGTATGGCGCCGATTAAATTCTGTGGAGTGCGCCTTGTGAAACTAAGTCGCGGGAACTTGGAATAGGCGACGAACGTGATCGTGGAAAAGAAAGTTAACTGATGACGTCATCGGGACAACTGATGAGAGGAGGGTGGGAGGGGGCACACCCTGTCGTCACCGGTAACATGTCGGCACGTAAACGGGAAAAATCCGCCATGTTTGCGCCGTATACGGGACAACAGGCGTTCGGAATTCAGCTCGCTGCGCTTTAAATGCACTTACCGAAACAATCTCCAGATGGAAACCCTGTGAATCGCTGTCCGAAAGCTTCAAAATGCGAGTTTTGGGCGACTTCGTCGGCGAATGAATACCGCATGCGTTTTGCAGGTGCTGCGGCTAGATCCGTGTCGAAGTCACCGTTGTCGGACGCCATTACGTGTGTGGTGTATGCAGGCGCGGTGTAGACGGCGACGCGGTGACGACAATGACCCAAGCCGCACGATCGCTTTGACGGCACTGACCGCCGACCAATCGCATACCGTAAGGTGAGCGTGAGCCAATAGAATCGGATGGAGGGAATATGTTACGCACAGTGCAGCCGGCGGCCTGGTTCTCTATCACCGCGCTTATTTGAATATTATATTTCGGATACTTCTTTTAAAAATACAAATTCGTTCATGTCATTCTCATTATTAACAAATGATATTATTTATTTTTATTTTCATATCTTTTTACAGATTATGGGCCTTGGTAATACTTAGGTATTTTATTTTAAAATGCACTTGGGACGTTTGTGATTGTTAGTTCAATGGTAGTAGGGCAGTATACCTATACCTGTCCTAGCTATATTATCGATTTGAAGTAAAACTGAAATGTTAGGAGATTTTTTTTTATTATATAAATATATTTATATTCTGTAATTTATATACAACGGAAAACAGTGGTTTCAATCGCATTTCTAGTTAATATTCTTATTTTTTAAAGAATTGATCTATACAAGTTATAAAAAAAACTCTATTGTAGGTTAAATAAATTGTTTGTAACACAATAACAATATTTATAATTATTATTTAGCTAAGGCAAATTTGAAACATTAAATGTATATTTTAAATTTCAAGCGAAGTATGGGAGTTATTGGTTTCACTAAGATGTTAATTTTTTTTCTAGTCTGTGGACACAATTTTTCCTAGTAAAGTGCTCCGATTTTTAGTGTGGTAACTTTTTTGAAAGCTCAATTTGTTTATATTGTAATTTAGATAAGTCAATGTTTGATTTTTGATGCTATTTTTTAATTAAAAGCACTTGAGTGGGAAAAACGTACAATTTCACGATTTCATTATTTTATAAAAACACGGACCTAGGAATTTTAATTTTTGGAAATTTTTTGCTCTAATTCGGTTATAAATACACGAAGAGACTTGAAACTTGGTAATATTATTAATATTGGACTTATCTAGACGTGGTAAAATTTCCAAAATCATCGGACGACTTTTTTTTAATTTTTGTATCACCGAACTGTGCTTGGAATCGTTTTTCGTCAACAATGGTTTATCTTTTCTTACAGATATAAATGAAATAGTCTTATGTATCCCTCCTTCCCCGCTACCCACCTACAACAGTGGCCGCACCCATCCTCAGTAACAGCTCTTTTTTTTATCCGAGTACAATTTTTCTACTGGTAATTTTTTGATTATCTTAGATATTTTTATAATAAATGAGAAAAACATTGAAAAATCTGGAAAAGTGGTTCAATATATTAAACAAATATTATTAAAGAAAATACGTAATGTACCTACATTTAATTATTTTCTATATGACATATTATATTGTTAATAAAGCAACACTATTAACCGAACTCTGATCAGAATCGATTTTCGTAAGTCATGGTTAATCGTTGCATACAGATATACATTAAATTTCCCCTCTACCTTCCCAAATTATCACCTACAACAGAGGTCTACTCATCTTGTGAAGTATTTCCCCATCTTTTTTTTAACTTAAATAACATGTACCTACTTACCTTATATAATATTACCTACATGGCCACATAAATATATTTTCTTACAACTTTTTTTTAAATTTAGATTTTAATACAAGTATATGAGAAAATTGTTTTCAGTTGTGTAACATATTGGTGTTGTTGATAGTTATTTTTTTCTAAATTTGTATTGGATCTATAATTAGTTTTAAAATCATTTTCTAAAGATAGCTGATACCTTTATATATTTTGTTTCTTCAGTTAAGTACCTACCAATAAATAATTAGAAAATGTAGGTAATAAATTTAAATTTATATACCAACAATTTCTTTGTGTGGTGTTCATAATATTATATTTTATATTTTTCATTTTTATTTTCTCGTATTTCTTCTGAAAGAAGTTCAATTGATAATAAATAATATTTATTTACAAGAGATCTGTGAATCAATATTTTATGTACGATTGGTGACAATCTGTATCAATTGTATAGTTCAATATAAAGTTATGCTGTCATTTTAGTATACCTATCTACATATTAAATTTCATAACTGCTATAAATTCCAATTGTGTCTAATTATTTATTAGTATCTAATTCGTTTGATGAATTCTAAATTTATACTTATATGTAGGGCAGAGGCCTTGTAGATTTAAAAAAACACTAAGTATATAAGCATTTATGCACTTAAAAATTTTAAAAATATATACATCATTTTTTAATAAAATTCAATTTCTTAAACATTTTTTTTCTAATCTTAAAAAATAAAATTCTTACTAATTTAGTAAAAATTATTAAAACCTGTAGATAATTAAGTCATTAGTATTTCTACATTGAATAATCAAATTTTTTTTTTTTGTTAATTGTCGAACTGGAAAGATTGTCTATTGTCAGCCAATAGTACTTTGAATATCGAAAATGGTCTTTCTACATTAACTGGTGTATATTTATAATAGACAAAATCTTATTTTATTGTTAAGTTTTCAGGTTCAAATTTTGAGGTATAAAATGGAAGAAATATACCCTAAAACCAAAAAAAATTAAGGATGCATTTAAATTTTAAAACTAGCTTTATAAAAGCATGAAACGTATGTTTTATGATTGTGCAAACAAATATGTAAATACTATAGGTCCTCTGCTCTACCTGTAATATCGATTTTTTCTTTTGATTTTCAAAAAATCGCGCTATCTTATTACTGATATTATATGTCAGATTCTTGAATTTGTCCAATTTTATTCTCATTTGGTTCAAAATACCTTTTTATTATTTTTTTCTTTATACAACTTACTTTTTTTGATTATTACTAAACTTTCAGTAGATTTTGTAGCATTCAATCTAACTAATATACTAAATCCATTATAAAAATTCAATCCAATTCATTCTAACCATCAGTTTAGTGAAAATCTTGATAAATAATGTAGTCAATTTCTATCACTATCACCATTTTAATCAGTGTACATAGTTAAGAAACAATTAGTTACTCTTCTTGTTCTATTACTCTTTTTTATGGAACAGTAATATTAGAAATGTTCAATTAATACATGGATTCAAATAGTATATGAAAGAACTAGGGAATCATAAAGTTAACTAAAACAATAGTTCTAATTAGTTACTTTGTACATTCCTGCCCAACAGTTACTCTGTATTAAATTGTACTATTTTTGATATCAAAATAAATTAGATGTTTACATCGACAATGTATGTATTATATTATTGAGTATAAAAACTTTTAATATTTAAAGTTTAGTAAATTGACAAGATTACTTTTCATCAATCACTACTTTTTATTATTTTAGATAATATAGTTTATATTCAAAGAAAATATAATTGAAATTGTATTCAATTATTAGATACAGTTTTTGTATATTTATTTTGCGCAGTTGTAAAATAATCAGTTTGAAAGAAATCTGTTTAATATTATATCAAGGCTAAATTTATAACTTTATGTTGTATACATAATTGTTTTTTAGATATAAGAGGAGTTTTCGTCACATCCTATTTACCTTTCGTTTGGTCAACTACCTGTTTTACCCTTTAAATTAACCGCAAAATGGTGGTGATGACATACCGCATGTGATAACATAGTAGGTACCTACATTTTAAGCTATTTGTGCTGGTTGGCTGTCAATTATAGACTAATACCACCCTTCAGAAGAGCAGAGCTTTGCGTAGAACTCAGCTGCTAACTACTATTCTTATTTTGGATAGAGTAGATACTTTTTTTCAAGTATCTTGTTCATCCCTAAGTAGGTATTCGTTTTTTTTCTACACCTATTTTTAGGGGTTTAAGCGAATAAGTGTTTACATATTTTAAATTGTTTTTAAAGCTACATGTCCTCTGCCCTAGTAATTAACTAACAAGTTATTTAATTATTATTGTTCAAAATTAATAGAAATGTATAGGCGCAATTTATAAAATAATAATATTCAACATTTGCAATGAACATATTATACACACTTACTTAGAAGTCAAGTTTTATTTCAAACATTAATAATATTCACAATGTACAATGTGTTATACACTTTGACAAGTAATTTATAAAAAATGAAAATGGATTGATAACATAAAATAACTAATTGTAGAACCTTGGGAGTATATTGAAATTTTTGTTTTTATACGCATTTGTTTTACTATATGTTTTATAGACATACACATATGACATGGTTAAAAGAAAACAGATGATAGTGAAAGATCTGATAAAGGAAAGAAAATGATCGGATACAACAAATTTTCTAATAAATTGAAAGAAAAAAGGTATCAAACTAAAAAATAATGGAATTAAGTCCAACAATTTTATTAAAGAAGTGTATTTACATTTAAAAGCATATTAGCTGCTTCTTTCTTTCATACACTTCTAACAATCATTTTACTGAAAAAAACATAAGAAAAGTAAATCAGTTTATTATTGTAATTATTATATAAGAATTATTATTATACCTTTTTTCCTGATGTTGCACCAACTTTAGTCTTTTTGGTACCCCGAACTTTCTTCATCCTGTTCTTCCTTTCTTTCCTCTGTTTTCGGGTCTGTGTCTTCTTTTCAAATAGTCCGTGCTAAAAATACAATTATTCATGTATTATAACTTATAGACCAATACTTTTATAAAATTTAACATTTTTTAGCAATAAAGGGTTATCAAAACCTCTTTTAATTAGCATTCTAAATAGTTTACATTGGCTGTTAAATTGCCCTAAAGGTATTTCTGGTTATTAGTAATACAGTAAAACAATTTTTTTTCTACGTTTGACAAAATCTCACCCATATTGCATTACAGTTATTAACTTTGATTATATCTACCCATTCCTTTAAACAATTTTACAATTTATTAGTTTAGTGTAATAGATTCATTAATATCCAGTTAGATAACACGAGTTTTTCGACAAATAGTAATTGCAACTAAAAATAGATAGTAATTAGTTGAACAAATGTAAGAATTTTTGTTGAAAACAGTTACGTTAGAATTATCTGTTACTTTTTGTATCAAATAACTCTTATTCAATAGATAATTTACAGCTGATAATGTAAATATTCTTATTTTCATCTGATCATCATTCATACATCATATTTTAATTAAAAATGTCACTGTTGTTAGTTTGCATTACCTAGTATTCATTTAATTTGGATTTAAATTTCATTTATTTGAGGATAATACAAATTACAAAATAATATTCAGTTGTGTTCATATTATTTATGAGAACCACAAGCAAATAGACTAGATATTTATTACATTAATATTTGTAAAAATACTTTAACTAAGTTTTTGTTTCTATTATTTTGATTTACTTATTTTATTTACAGGCGAGCACTTTAATAAACAATAAGGTACATTAAAATAAATAAATAAATGACAAAAATAGTTAAGATACAAATAATAATTTGATATTTAACCTAAGGAAGGGTCCGCATTGACTACATTTATCTATAGATTGATTCATTGGTCATGAAATTAATTAAAGACAAGAGGGTAAATAAATCAAATGCTCCAGATAATAGACCATACAAATTTTTCATTTGCATTAAGTCACTAGGGAAGAAACATTCAGTGTGATAAGCTAATCAATTATGTTTCACATTGGAGATCTTTAAAAAAAAATTCAACAAAAATGTATATTAGACTCTTTCTAACTGATTTGAATCCCAAAGTTATATGGATCCTTGATAACGGATTTATATTATAATATTGTACCAGTCAATAAAACACGTTAATGTTTGAAATTGGAAATCTCTGTAGTCTCATTATCAAAATTAAAATATCAAATGATTTACAACATTGTAATACATGCAAGCTAGAATTAAGGCCTTTATTGAATTTGAAATCAAGATTTCTAATATCATACTCGCAAAAACACTAAATAAAAGGAGTCAGAAACGTTATAAGACCAGGTTATAATTAATTAATCATATTATTTTGCACTTATAAATAGACGACAGGATAAAAATGTTATTAGCGCTAAAAGAAATACTGCTAAATAAATCAAAAGATGAATGAAGAAAGATATATGTCATTCTTGCTTGCTGGACATTTTTAACAAATACCAAAAGCCACGAGGTGCTTTGTAGATGTAAATGATAGTTCAATTTGCTCTATATATTTGCGGTAATTTCTTTTGGAATAGAATATTCTTATTACCACAAACCTTAGTAATGTACAGCATAAAATATTGAGCACGTTGAATAAAAAGACAACATAATTTATGGATACTAAAGATTATCTTATCTGTGGTTTTTAACCTTGTTCAAATTATGACCCTCATTTTTTTTTTACAAGACAATCCCTTCAAAATTTGTTGGATATACCTTGATTACTACAATTGACAATATCCCTAATTGATAGTTAGTTTTTGGTGAACCCGAGGTAGAAAACCAGGGCTTTATGCTAAATCGGGTAGGAAAATTGATGGCTATCTACATTTCTAATTTATGCCCTAAATACCTAGTTGTTTAGGCAATGCGCTTATTGTTAAGAGTAAATGAAAACTAATAGAGTAGGTATAATAACAATAATACAAATTATTATTATTTTAAGGTAAATAACCGTAATATGCAGAATCACTAGATATTTCCTTATCAATTTTATTATTAATCAATCATAATCAAATTTAATTTGTTCCTTTCATATCTTTCTTAAATAGCTATCTGGACCATAAAATTACATTTAATAACACTGAAAAATGTATTTACCAAATAACTGTAATTATTAAAAAAAGGTGACATAAAACGAGGCCAATTATAAAAAAACAAAGGTTAGATACCATCCCAAAAAACTATTGTTTGCAATGTTTAGTGTATGAGGATTTTTAATACCAAACTGAAATGATAAGCAACATTGTAGTTACACATGTAAAAATGTAAATTATACCACTTACACCTTGTATAGGCGGGTATTGATTACAGGCAGCAGTCGCAAGAGCCCGTTTTAGTATCAACTTTTGTTAGAGTGTGGCATGTGATCCAGCGGTTTGATGAAAATGATAGTATTTAAATTGAATGCAGTATGGTGTGAAAATTATAGAAGACATGAAGTAATTAAAAATACAATTAAGACTGACAACTTTAGAATTTGAGCACTTGAAATCATTAATTTAGGTATAGGTTAAGAAAATGAACACAATTTTATTCCACACATCTTTCCTAAAAGATTTGTTGTAGTAAAGTGGAGATTTATAATTCAACAAAAAATCTTTAGCGCTATACAATTCTATCAAATCAAAACACTTTTTGTTATCCATAGTAGTATGCAATCAAAATAATAACGAAAAAACCATCCCAATTACAAGTTGGCTTGCCATGCGGCAAATTTTGAGTTCAAGGGTTTGCCGTGCGTAGTAGATACCCACCTTAAGTTGTATTGTATACTTAAAGCATATGATTAAGAGTTAAGGTTGAAGTATTTTTTTTTTATAAAAAACATATAATAGGTCCTCTATCCTTAATTTAACCAAAGAGTCACAATGTTTTAAGATATTATAAATCCAGGTTGATTAACAAATCTAAGAAATTATTTTCTACTGAATAACTACTATCATAATGATTAGAGCCCTGCACTTTAATTTTTATATTTTATTAAAATTAAAATTTATATCTTGTTAATTTGATTTTAAATTGCGATGTCAAGATGCTATAATAATAATAAAACAAAAAAAACTTATTATATTTGATAAATAGTCCCGTTATATCCTGTATAGTTATTAGAAAAGGTCCATATTTTTAAGTTTAAACATACCCTTTGTAGTCTGTATTTTGGTTCAAACTTCTTAGCATGATCTAAAGTATCATAGATAAGAGCAAAACCAGTTGATTTTCCACCTCCAAAGCAAGTTTGGAACCCAAAAGCAAATACAACATCAGGTAAAACTTTGAACATCTTAGCTAATTTTTCTCGAATATCAGTCTTCTTTGGAGACGGCTTTCCAGGGTGCATGACGTCAACTACCTAAATTGATTAAAAATTAATTTTATTTATTTAATTAATTAAATTTTACAAGTGAAATGCAGTAGCATAATATGGAAATTGATTGTCTTATATAATAACAAATAAACTGAATCACTGAATTATCACAGTAATAATTGAGTAGCTTAAAAAGAAACGCCACAGTAATATTTGCATACTACCAATAGCATTTCTCAATTAATAAAATCAAAATAAAAATTATTTTATGAAATTAAATTAAGAAGAAAACATTTATTTATGTTTTCAAAGACAGATTTCTAATATATTCATTATAAATTAATATACTTTATTTTTTAAAGTTAAAAATATAACTATGATATGGGAAATATCTTTTAAAGCATAATAAAAACTACTATCTTTAATTTTATGGAATAGTTATTATTATACCTATTAGATACTCAGTACTTATTAAAAATTACAAAACAAGATAGTTCACCATATTTAGTAACATTTTAGCACAGTAAAATGTAATTTAATTCATACTCTATCAGTAGCTTTATTGTTGAAATTGATTAGTATGTGTACAAACTAGTTTAAGATCACTTTGTTTATATGAGAAGTTCTAACAATTGAATAGCAGTGTTAAGAGTATGGTGACAATACCATAAAGCATAGATTTAAATTTGTAAATATCTTTAGACAAAAGACTATAAAATTAAAATATGAAAGTAGTTTTATCTATTCAGTAATTTAATAGTTTAATTTACCCAAATTTAAATTGTAAAAGCAGGTAAAGTTACCTAAACAAAGGTAATAGACCTGTATTAAAGAATATGCATTCAAGAATAAATAACCAAGTTTATTTAAAACTGATAAATTATCAAACAATAACCTTTAGTTACTTAAATCACATGAGTTTGTTATTACTAGTTAATAATAATGGAATTTGAGTCAGTAATGTTGTTCTATAGATTGACTTACCATTTGTTTTCTGCATAGTAGACGGTTAGTCATGAACTTACGAGTTCGAATTGTAGCGGTAGAAGTATTAGCAACCTGAAAATGTATATACAAATTAGTATACCACAGGTACTAATATGTCAAATTAAATATTATATCCATTATAGGTAGTAAAAATTATTTGCAATTAACAACAAATTAATAATTCAACCTACACAAAATTAATGTCATAGGTATAATTAATAAGAAATGAAATTGACAAATATAAAAATAGTCTGTCTATTGGAAGTACTGCTAACAGTGTTTGTAAAAATCATGATTTATACTTGAAGCTACCGATTTTTAGATATTAAGCTTAAGTTAAGATACCATCAATAAATACACTTCAGTATTTTGTGTTCAAATAATAATTATTCAAATTATAGAAGATCAAAATAACCAAGATATTAAAATGTTATTATTTTTTTTTTGAAACAATTCGAAAATCTTTATGTGAAATTTATAAAGACAAAAAAAAAATCAATATAATAATAGACTTATGTTTGATGGAAAGCCTGGATTTTCTCATTTAATAATTTCGTGTAATAATTCTTGGGAATGTTTAACAGAAGATATTTTTCAGAACCCGAAGTTGAAAGTCTTGTACATTTACGAAATAAAGAATATGAGATTAAAACGGATACAAAATAAAACGACTCACCATTTTGGCTGTTGGATATTCGTAAATTACGGACAGAAAAACAAACTACATCTAAATTGTAGACATGAAGTGAACGAGTAAAGACTAGGAAACAACTGTTATGAACTTCATTTGGTTACGGTTTGCCGAATAACATGAACATAGTAACAAATAAAAGGTTAATCAATTCAATTTTTACTATTGGTGACACTGTTATCATTTGTTTACTAAAATATTTTACAATCACTTTTGACAACAATTTCCGCGGTCAGTGTCTCTGTCGTCTGTTGTTACTGTTTAGTGTTTAGTGTTATTAATTTTCTCGAACTTGTATCTCTTTAGTTGTTTGTTTATTTGGATTGTCGAATATTTTAATCAATTTCAACTTTTAAGTGAAGTTAAAGTTTCGTGTATTTGTGTATGTGTTTGTAAAATAAAATGATACCAGAACTTGGTGTTTTAATTTCAAATATTGCGATCAAATCTTTTAACCATTGACAATTTTTGGCGCTTTGTTAAAGATAAAATATATTATCTATCATTATTTAAAAAATGCCAGCAGCTGAAAATGGTTCGTTGCACGTAGAAAACGATCTAGATCGGGCACCAATCATTAATGGCATGGAAACTCTACCAAAAACCAAACAGGTAATTTTGCTATTTTATAAATTATATAATTATGAAAATGATCCCTAATTTAAAATTTTCAATAGACCCTTATTACTTTTGATGTTTATTTTCTACGTTTTATAGTAATAAAATGACTCAGGTAAAGATAATATTAATTGAATTGTACAGAGATTTTTAAGAAAACTATGCCTACCCAAATTACTTTTAGGCAAGTACCTACTTAATATTTTTCATGTGTAAAAATTAAATTATAGTAAAGATTTTGGATTTTAAGGAGAATTTGTTCGATTTATTTGGTGATATTATAAATAGGTAGTTAACTAGTGTAGGTACTTGGGTTATGAAGGCATCTAATTTTTTACTTGGGTTTACCAGGTGATCCATTTAAGTGGGGTACAAAAAAAACTTTTTCGGAATTTGTTTTCTAGAACATTTAAGAAATAAGCTATTCTACAATTTTATATTTATATTATTTTTCACGTCACACAAATTATATTATATAAGTATACTGATATATTATATACTCCAATCAAAACTTAAAAGTGTAATATCTCGTTAACGAATTGATGTAAATTAAAAATTTAACACAACAATTTATTTTAACTAATACTTCATCTATTTATAGACTTTTTAATATATTTAAAAATCAAAAGTAGGTAGTGGTTTTACTCCCAAAAATAAGGGGGTAAAAAAAAACATAAATATAAAATTGTAGAACAGCTTGTTTCTTAGATGTTCTAGAAAACAAATTCTGAAAAAAGTTTATACTTTCCGAGATAATGAGTGTTCCTACTTAAATGAATCACCTGCTACTTACTGGCTATAAATATTTTGTTCACTTAAATTTATTGTTAATTGTCATGTATGAAAATCTTAAAAAAGATTGATATATGAGTTCATGTTTGTATAATAACATTAAACCAGTTTTAGACCAATACATATTTATTTGTATAATATCATCATGTAAACATAGAAATAGTCATATGATTGATATAACCTAAGTAGTACTTATTTTGTTAAAAATAATTGATTTAAATATTACTTACATCTGGATATTTATGAAGTTGAATTTATCTCTTCTAATGACTCTTTGACTTTCTCCTACGTAAGAGAGGTCAGCTATATTTATCTTTGTTCTTCTTGCATTCTATAGGTATCCATCTCCATTTTCTCATATATTCCACACGTCCTCATATCCCCTAATAACCTCTAGCCACTTTTACTTTGGCCTACCATTTCCTTGGCTTCAATCTACACTCTTCTATCTTCTTTTCTATTTCATTGCTTCTCTTTCTCTCAAAATACCCACACCATCCTAATCTATTCTCTCTCATTTTTCCTATTATAGCTTTTGCTTCTAAACTACCTTTTATTTATTTATTCCTAATACCGTCCAACATAGTTATACCACACATCCACTTTAACATTCTCATTCCTGCTACTTCTATATTTATTTCATCTCTTATGGAATGCCTAACATGTACATCATTGCTGGCTGCATGTAACTGTATACAATTTCCCGTTTATTCTGTTATCCTTTTATGGCACCTTATTATCACACAACACTTCAGCCGCTTACTTTCATTTCATTCAACTATTGGGAGTCTCAAATTATTACATCCTGTTTTCAGTGTTCATACTTACTTTTATCTCACTGTAAAATCGTCTGTTTCTTTGCTACAAATGGCCCACATGTATAAATTATTGATTTTTAGTTACCTATGTTCGCTTTAAAACAATATATTTTCTATGTTGGTTGGTAGGTATGTTAAATACAAATATTTTTTGTTCTGTAATTATAGAAACCCTTAAAAAGCATCATGTCTCCTTATGACATAGTTTAAACTTTAAACTGTTTAAAATATAATTTTGTATTGATATTATAAAAAATTGACTGTAAATTATTCAAATTTCATTAAAACAATAATTTTTAGGAAAATAAAAAAGTAATATTAATATTTATATATACTTATATAGGTGTTATGAGATATTGTATGATACATCTTGAGCCATGACACGATTTATTTTCAAATATTACCTAGAATACGTTTTATATTTTTATATTATAATTTTCGTTTTATTGGTAGGTATATGGAACTAGTAACAACATTAAAAAAAAAAAATATTGTATTCGCATGGGTTCATTCATTCCAAAAACTACTTCCACTTCGGAAGTTAGTTTCACTAACCAAAACTGTTCAGGTCAATATGGTAACAATGGAATGGTTTTTATTGCAAGGACGAATGTTTTTGGTTATTCTATCATTTTCACTGGACCATGACACAATAATCATCAATCAGGTAGTTCATGTTCTTTTGGGTGGACTGATGTTTTCAAATTATTTTTGGCGTATTTCAAACTATAAATAGGTAAAACATTATTTTTTAGGCGAATATACAATTTTTTTTTCAATTTGGTATTACACCGCAATCAAAAACATTCTCGTTGGTAGGTATTAAGTACTACAAGTTTGGTACCCTCGCTTTATTTTTAGTGATTTCATTTATTTACTGTTCGGATTTTACAGTTGTACATTGCAGTGTACCTTATGCAATAATAATGAGCACTAGTCACCACCAGCCATTACGATTCCCCTTGGTTGATGCTAGAACATTGACCTTGTACCTACATTATTTTAGGTTGTCTATTAAAGTTTCAGTTAGTTCATGTCGTTTTGCGTTATGTAGACTATTCTTTATTCAAATATTTTGGTAAGAATTATATAATAATATTATAAATATTTATCTATTATTTTATTAATACAATTTCAGTTGTTAATATCTAACATTTAATTAATGTAGGTAGGCAGGGCGTAACTGGAAAATAATTTCCGATGGGATAGGGCGTTGTAAACTAAAAACTGTGTGGTTATAATTTTATTGATTGAAATTATTATTTTATCCGCACCATATTTAATACTACTCGAACAAATTCTAAGGGATGGGGATGAAATTTTCAAAAATCCCCCACGGATACGGTCTTGTAGGTACCTCTCAAAATATACGAGTATTGGTAATAAAATACTTGTATTGTAGTGGTGTACCTACTATTATAGCATAACTTATTATTATAGTAATATTTTGAATATGAAATAAAACCTACTAATTATGAAAATGAACGAAATAGTTTCTTCAAATTTTATTGTTATACCGTTTTACAAATAATATTATTTAGCGGCTTTGGATCGGGTCGGTTGATCTCATATTAATGCAAAACATAATTAGGTATGTCGGCGAAAGTGGACGATTTTCGAAAATCTCGATTAGTTTCAGATACTGCGATACCTACGCTTATAAAATACCAATACGACGAACCTAGACATTTTCAATTTTGTATTCCGGTCTCCGGACGAACTTAGCCGTTCCGGGAATAAATTCAATGAAACAAACCCAACCGACTTCGAAAAACCGGTTATAGCGTAGACCATCGCTACTAAACTAACGTTAGTCGCACATTTGCGCAACAATACTGTAATTGTATTGCAGAGTATACTACATGTCTACATTAACTGTTCACAAATAATTTAACCTTCCTCGTGTGCTATAGGTTTACGGTGTACGTGCACTTAATAATATTATTATAGCAAGTGTTAGCATTTTTTTTTTTGAACTGTTCATGGAATCATGGAATTTATTCTTATACCCGCTTGTTATAATTGTTCCGAATAATCATAAACAATACCTATCAATAATAATATAAAATAAACTTATTACGTATTATTATTATTCGTGTGCCCGTGTTCAATTAAACAGCTGAGTGGATAAAGGACAATATTCTAAAAATACGAAAAATAAACTGAGGTAGCCATTAAGGGCTTTTTTATATAAAAAAAAAAAAAACAAAACTATCGATTATTATGATCTCATATTTTAGGAGGTTAAAAGTGTTATGATGTACTAGTTAATGTATGTTGTACAGACAAGTTTTTTTATTCAACTGCAGCTTGAGGAAATAAACATTTTTTTTTTTAATTTTCCGATAGTTAGGTATTCAGTAATATTATCCTTTTTCACTGATAGATTCAATTAAATATAGTACATAGTAAATAACTTTCTGAACCGCCATATAATATACCGATAATCAATGGCACAATTTAATAATTTCGGAGATACCCAAGGAACTTTTATTATTATTTTTTTTTTTTTTGAGAAAATTAAATTCTTAAAACCAATAATGATTAAATTTATTTTTATGAAAAACAAATATTTAACAAATCAATTAATAAAAACATATCTGAAATTATAACAAATGGAGGCATAACCGAATACCGTTTTATTGTAATTATTCATATACAATCGAACGATGATTTCCACTTATCGTATTATCTATAATTTCATTTTAAATGTTAAATTGTAGTAATGGTTTTACAATATTAAATTTTTGTTTTTTTATTCTGTGAACAACTTTAACACTAGAAATCTTGCTCAGATGTATCAAGTATAGAACCTTTGCTGCAAGAAAATGTTTTCTAGTTGGTTTTTTAGAAAGGTTATTTTTTAATTTTCTAACGGTTTTCATAATAATTGGGAAAATTTATGTGCGTGTATAAAAGAAACTTCTTTCTTTCCGAATTTTTTTTTGTGAGCAATGGTTTATCGTTGTATAAAAATATAAATTGAATTTCTCTCTATATCCCCTACTTTCCCAACTTTTTACCTGCAACAGTGGCCCATTTATCGTACGAAGTATGTCCGTCTTTTTAAAGCACTTACTGTGAATTTGTATTATTGACCAAATGAAAGGTATAATGATGTAGGTTTAATAGGCAATATTATCGATTATGATATTATGTATTTGAATAGAATATCGCTAAATGCTATAAGATAACAAATTATAAAAAAAAATCGATGCTTCTTTGTTATCGCTCCGCCAGTATGCCGTAAAAAAATTGTCGACCCGCCACTCTTGTTTGTTATCGCCCCGCCAAACAATACGAAAAATAAAAGTATACACAATTAAATTGTATATTATTGTGAAAAAAATTAAATTGTTTTTAAACATGTAAAATTGTAAACAAAATATTATTATTAAATTAATTAAATTGTATATTATGATACCAAAAATGATGTCCTATGATATAGTAAAAATTATTTTAAATTAGGACGGAGGCCAGTACTCAAAAATATCTTTTAAGATAGTTTCAAATGCATCGTTCTCCAAGCCGTGTTGTTCTCATGCATTCTATCAATATACGATTCCAAAACATTTCTTTTGGTTTTTCTGCGTTTTTTATTTCCCCTTTTAGCAGAACTCTACAATATCTCAATGTTTTGGGTGTGTGCCCTTGTGTCCGGATCAACCAAATTATAGGTGTGGTAACAGTTGTTCGTGTTGTTTGGCGGGGCGATAACAAACAAGAGTGGCGGGGCGATAATTGTATAACGGCGTATTGGCGAGGCGATAACAAACACGTAACAAAAAATCTGATAATGCCAACGAGTGTGACACTGTTTTAGGTGGGAAGTTGGGAAGATAGGATTGTATAGAGTAATTTATATCAGTACTTCTCTACCCATCGATGAACCAATTTTAACGAAAACCGATTTTGAGTGTTTTTTTTTTTAAAATGCCCTGATTTTACGATTCCCATAAAGATGTACATTTTAAATTCTTATAAACAAATTATTGTATTACGTTCAATTATATTCTTTTTTTTTTACAACTACAACTTATAGTGAATCTTATGTAAATTTTTCAAACATTTTTGACCAAACAGATTGTGTACATAAAAGCGAATAAAAACTTAATGAAATTTCAAAGGGCTATAATTAGCTAAATGTTAGAAAGCTTTGACAATTTCATTGTTTAGAAAGGGCATATATTTCAAGCCTCCCGTTATTTCTAACTGAATCACAATAAAACAAACAAAATCTAAAATAACGGCCATTACTTCCATTCATTATTAAGTATTTAATACAAGGAAAATCAAGAAATGTCTTTCTCAATGCACCAACTAATCAAAATTTGCTACCGAAAACCTTCCCTGAAGTTGATTATCGAAATAATACTTCTTGTTTCTCAAACTAGATTTCTGTGATTTTGGTTGCGTAACAAGAATATAATCTAATTTTTATTAATCATTTAAAACCCGAAGAAAATGATAAATCATCTCATTTAAAAAAGCAGAAAGGAAAATATTAGTTTTAAGTAGGTACTTATATTTCGTTTCGTCATTTCCAATTTCGTCGAAAACTAAAGAAAAATGTATCAATATTTTAATTATCTTTATAATTACTGGATGATTTTTAAATAATAATAGTAAAAAAGTATCATTATAAATAGTTTTCTTGTTTTGTCCAGAATACAAAGTGTAAAAATGGCTTTTGAATAGTTTTAAAAATTCAAATATATAATACATTTCTATAGATGTTAAATTAAATATCGTATGGCATTTAGTTCTAATATGCTTAATGTAAAATATAATAATAAAAATTGTACCTATATTATTATGTAAATAATAAATTATAGTTTATTATTATTAGTTTAAATTAAATAATAAGAAAATTACAAATATTTTAAGTAGGTATGTTATAATTATTTAACACTACCCATTGATAATGATGATAAGTTAAATAATATGTGTAATTAAATCCATTTGTTCGTTATATTGTGATAATTTTGGTTTATTTATATTTTTTAAGTAATTATTTTAGGGATATATTCATCATTTGTATATTAGAATAATTGTTTACATATTTTAAATGTTATTTTTAATTTTTAAACAATCATAATATTATTGTCATCAATTGAGATAAACCTATTAATAGAACTATACACATTTTCATAACTAGTCAGTGATTTATTTGTAAATGTCTTAAATAAAATTGTATTCGTAAAATGAAATCGTATGTTTTACACGTGACACGTCCTACTCAATGTATTATTATTGTGTTGACCAGACATAGTTGTTTTTAATCTCTGTCGACGATTAATCATTAATTTTTATTTTAAGTCGTGTTTAAATTTTTAATAATATACAGAGTAATTGTTTTAGTATGGTTTATAATAATACGAGTATATTAAAAAAGAAAAAAGCGACATGTTTTGCACGATGAGTGAGTCACTGTTTTACGCGTGTGTTGGGAAGGTAAAAGGGAAATTTAGTGCATATCTGTACTCTGAGATTAATCATTACTAACGAAAAAAAAATTCTGAGTGGAGTTCGGTCATAGATGTTTTGAAAGGCCGTAATATATTGTACAATTTGAAAATAGTAAATTTCGTATTTTTTCCCGGTTTTCCCCATTTATTATGAAAATACATGGGAAAATTAAAAAATGACCTCCTAAACCCCAGTCAGATTTCCTTTCAGAAAAGGTGCTACACTTGAAAATCGGAGTAAAATGTCTGGTAAAAATGTTATTCACAGGCAAAAAAATAATAATAATCATTGCAAAATCAATGCATTCCTAATCCGCTTAGAATCTGAAATATATTAATTTATGTTTTTCCTATAGTCTATGAATATTTTTAATATTCAGTTTAAACGATTACCTAGTGGATAGTAGTTGTTTCTATATTACTAAATTAAATTATTGTCTAGTAATGTTTTTTTAGTTACGGATTATAATTTACGTAATTTATTAGCCGAGTTATTGGAATGCTCTTATAAGTATAACATTAGAATATAAGTATCTAAAGATATATTTACATTAACAACCATCGACAAAGGAAATTGTTGTTTGATGAGGGGGCGGGAAGAGACATTCCAGAGATAATCTTAGGGCTAACTTTCACATTACCAGATAGCAGTGGCGTGTCCAGCGGATAGGCCCGGGCATACCCTGATTTTTTTTTGAACCATTATACAGTAGGTATTAACTAAATTAGTTTATTTTTTTACATCATGATTTAATTTTCAAAGAAATGTAATTTATTAATATGATAAAACGGAAAAAGTTTAATACTGCGTAAGTATACGTAGAATATCGTGTATAAAGTGACTTGTCTAAAATGAATTCAATTCAGATTGAAAAAATAAATAAAAAATGTCCATTAAAAAAAAAAAGTGTACACAAAAATTGGCCAGAAAGGTGACTAACTGACATGTGGTCAGCAACACTCAATCATAATAATATAATATTCACTAATAATAATTTTAAACGACGTATCTAGTTGCAAAAAATAACTTTTATCAATCATTATTTACGCAGTCTTTGATTATTATACTTTAATATGTTATCCGTACAGTAGCATAACCTCCCCAATGAGGATCGATTATTTTAGCATTGAAGTATTGTTAATAACAGGATGTGTTTTTTTCAGTGGCACGAACAACAATCTGTTACGATTTAGTTACCTTGTGTAATTTATTTTTACACCGTCTTCTTAAATTACGTTAAACATATTTAAATGTCATACTTTTTTAGAATGCCGTCTAACACATTCTTTACGCTTTAAATACGTATCAAATAAAGAATACGAGAGTGAATTACCCAGTTAAATATTTTTATCGTAAAATTGATCACTCCATTTGACCTTATAGCCTATACATAATATAGGTGTTATATTGGAAGTATATTGCATACGACCTACACGATACATCTGGACAGTGCATTGTGTTTGACATTTTATCAACGATTGAACTATTAATACCTATATCTTATAGTTTTCGATAATATGATCAATAGCAGCTATAGCTTGTGTAGATACAATTATTATTCGAACATAATTGGATTTATTCTATTATTCTAATATTATAAATAGGTTGGTAGTTAAATACTCGGGAATCTGCTTTGATTTTGTTCTATAAAACGATATTTTGAATTTCTTTTAATACCTGCTAGAAATAATTAATTTTTTTTATACAAAACTATGTTAAGAAGAAAAAATGAACACAATATTATGCATAAATTTATTACCGTAATATATAAAAACAAAATTAATTTTTTCATCAACATCCGTTTGTCATTAATAATATGTGTATGTGTGTATTATGTATATTATGCGTGTGATTTATGTTCCGAGTACAAATCATAATGTCATTTGTTTAAATTGTCATCCGAAACGAACACCCCGTTTACTTTTATTTGGAAATGAAATAAGTATTAGTATTGATTTTATTATAAATATAATATAATATATTATACGCTATCGCGTATATTATATGACATAAACTAGCAGAACCTACTCCAACGCACGTTCTCACTAACATAAACGTTGATTTTTAAACGGAGTTTTTTAAGATAATCGACCAGTCGTGGTCTATTATCAGCTGTAAACTCAGTTTAAGAATCAGATAAACGCCTTTTTTTACGTCGGTGAGAACGGCCCTAAGTATGTATCTATGAGTTAGTCGACGTATTTATGTGTATTATAATGGAGATTATCCTTTGTTGAAATAATTTAAATTTAGTACAACATAATATATGATATTATTTTGTATTGCAGATTGAATCCGATATAAATAAAACAAAATATATTGTTTGTTCCAGTTAAAAAAAGAAAAAAATATTTTTAATTTATATCACTATAAATAACGTAATATTTAATGCAGAAAATGATTTTGGGTTTTAATTTATATTAATTTGTGTGTTTAATTTTACAACGCAGGTAGGTTTGCATAGATTACAAATCATGAAGATTGACATGTCTAGTGTCTCATGTTGTGTAACATTATCTATTCGCATTTCGTTCGTGTTCAAAAATTATTTTAACTACAGTCAACAAGGTAATCTTCCTTTAGACACATGATGACGTAGGTATGTTTTTGTTAGGAAATATATATATATACTAAACACCATGTATTAATAAATGTTCTATTCAATCAAGGATAATGAGACACCTACACAGGGTGTGGTAGCTAGTTTTCAATGGAAATATTAAAAATTATCAAGATAAATATTTAATGTGTTTGTTTACTGTTTATTGAAAATATTTATTTCAAACAAAATGGTAGAACACGGGTTAATCCTAGAATTGTAAAAGTATGATTTATGTAGGTCACTGGATGTAACCGCGACCAGCTCAATAGTTATTCACCCATATATTTAATATATAATATAAATATATGTATTATAATATTCTATCAATTCACCCCTTATAATTTTATTGTGGTTCATTGCAGATTAAAATCAATGGTTTTTAAATATTTTATTCAGAGAATATTAATTATTACAATAAATTGTATTTTAATTTTTGTAGGATGTAATAAATTATAAAATATTACTTTATAAATGTTATGAATAATAATATGCATTCTTGCAATGTAAATTATTTTAAACATTGACGTATTTCAATTGCCCTTGAATCAAAATGCTTAAATACAGATGTAAAATTAAAATCAATATAAAAATGCAAAGACGTAATCATCTAATTTTAAATGTTCTTGGGCGTATACATTAACACAGAAACCCTGGTCTTTGGATATAATAAGCGTTTTTCTTTTGATTACGTTTTAATCAGGAAGGATGCAAAAATAAAATTATGGAAATTATTTTCACTGTGATAATCTATTGGCAGGAAAACAAAAATGTGTCGTTTTAAGATTTATTATATAGACAGATTATATTTTATTGAGTCGCTATTTACAGATATATTTGTATACCTACTAGTCTATTTATTTTTATATTTTTAAAGATATTGGAGTTAAGGAACTGTGAAATTAATTTGATTGACGGAAATGATTTATTTTTTATCTTTTCACCAAATTTTAGAACGCTCAGTAATTGACAGATTTTTTAGTAGTACATTATGCTATACACAATTTTATTCAACATGGAGAGGGAAGACAATCCTACTTATTCTTTCACTTATTCCAATATTGGTTAATTTTTGTGATTACTTATTCCTTAAAATTAAATAATTGATTTTTAAAATTGTGTACAATATAAATTTTGAAATAGTTCTAATATTTTTATGAATTTTTCATATTTGAAATTTATATTTAAAAAAAAAAAAAAAAAATAATACATTTGAGTGTAATTTTTCATTTATTATATGTTTCATTGTTTAAGGTGGATCCTGCAACATCCTACTTAAGGGCTGCGAGGTCAGGAAATCTAGAAAAAGTTTTACATCTACTTGAAAGTAGCGGTGTTGATGTGAACACAGCAAATGCTGTGAGTGTTTGTTTTTTATTTTTGTAATTAATATTTGTATATTTTTAATTGTGTGTGTTCAATACAGAATGGGCTCAACGCACTTCATTTAGCTGCTAAAGATGGCCATGTAGATATAGTAAAATGTTTATTAAAAAAAGGATGTTCTGTAAATTCAGTAACCAAAAAAGGAAATTCTGCTCTTCATATTGCATCATTAGGTAAGATTTTTTTTAAGAACATACATGTTTTATATTATGATTGTGTGTTACAGAGATATTAAATACTGTTTTTCAGATTTAGTGACCACATTTTATTATTAGGATATATAATATATTATTATTTCATATTATATTTAATGTGTATATATGTATAATATTATTAATACATAATTTAATTGAGAGGACACCACACCCACATAATATACTGTTTCTGTCTATCCAATGTATAATAGCTACAGCTGTTAAAAAACAAATATTATTTAAAATTCTCTATCTTGTTTGTTAGATTGTATTTTACAAAAAAAGCTACATGATGGATGTTCAAATTCTAAATTAAATTTAATAACCACAAAACCACAATTTAAATTCTTTGTATCATAATTTTGCCATTTTGATAAAAAGAACAGTGTTTGTAGATATGGAATTGTCTTAAATTTAAAACAATTGTTTTTTTAAATGTATTGTAATGTATAATTAATACAATTGATTAAAATAATTTTTAGTCATATTAATGTATTTTGTTATTATTAATTATAATAATATATTATATGGTATTAATATATTTTTTTTGGGGAAATGTTTGTTTTATATACATTTTATAATCCTGTTCTATTATAATTTAGAATATTTTGAAAAATGTTTCCATTATTCCTGATATGAATTCACTTAATTTTTGTTTTAAATTAAATTTCCATTTGACTAGCTGGACAAGAAGCAATTGTTAAAGTATTAGTGGAAAACAATGCTTCTATAAATATTCAGTCACATAGTGGTTTCACACCACTTTACATGGCTGCACAAGAAAACCACTGCAGCATTGTCGAATTACTTTTACGAAATGGTGCGAATCAACTTTTAGTAACTGAGGTGAGGTATATATTAAAATAGATATGTTTATAATAATATTAAGTTTGCTTAAGTGAATAATTTATGGCAATTCCAAATGAACAGTAGGTATAGTGTTGCTAAGTTGATTGTATTCAAGGTTCCTACTAACAATTGGGTGTATTTAGCAATTTACTCTTGTTGATGTTGAATAGTAAATGAAGTATGGTTATTCAGAAAATATTAGCTAAATGTTCTTAATTGGACTTTTAGTGAATGGACCCTGAAAGTTTTGTTTTATAATTTTATCGCATGTTAAATATAAATATTATGTCTAGTTTTTTTCTTATCCAAGGTCACTAAAATACATTATTGTTAAATTAAATGATTATAGTTATACTGTTAATTTTTTTCTAAATAAGTTACAATTTTTAGTAGGCACTAGACATATCTAGAAATTAAAATAATAATATTAATTGACTCAATTACTTTTAAATTTATTATGCTGTAATAATAACTAATTTTTATAAGTTATAAGTATGTTTGTATAGTAAGTGATAATTAGTGTTTATTATGTCTCAGTATTACCCTTTTTAACATATCAGCAAAATGGATGATCACAATATAAATTTATTGCTATCAATTATATTTAAACTTCAAAAAAAGTTTAATAACCTATCTACAATTAACATTAAATGTATAGTGATAATGTATACAGATCTATATAGTGGTGTAGCCAGGATTTCACATTGTACAGGGGAAGGAGTAAAAATACTGTCAGAACATTGTGGGTTGTTTTGTAAATTGCCATTACTCATCTTGTACTGTATATACTGCTCATGCTCTCATGGATCTCTCAGGGCTCTGTTGTTGGTGGGAAGTTAAGAAGATAAAATAAATAGAATAACTTATTTATATATGTACACAACGATAATCAACGAAAAATGATTTTGATTAGTTATGTTTTGATAAAATTAATGAATTGAAAATTATATTAATTTGAACCTCATTGCAAAATAAATTACAATTGTTATACAAACATATTAAAACATACATTTTTCACTATAATCTTAGAATTTAAAAAAATTATAAAATAAAATTTCTTTATAAAAAAAAAATACTACACTAAGCTCAAATTTTTGTTTTTTATCACAAAGTACAACTTTTAATAAATTTCCTGTTAAACTTTTAAGCATTTCTATATAGTTAAGCAATTTTATAACAGAGTACTACAAAATAAAAATTACGTTTAGAACTCACAAAATTAAAATGTCTATAAATAGTTTAAAGAAAGCTAAAAATTGTTGAAAATGTTACCATGTCTAGAGAAGGCAAATATAAGTTTTTGTACAAATTTCAAATATCTACAAGTATTTTTAACTGAATTATAACAAATAACAAAATCGAAAATAATAAAAAGCATTATTTTTGTAAATTCCCCGTTTTTCTTACGTTTCATCCCGTGTTTTCCTAGATATTATGATAATTGTTTGAAAAATCTAAAAAATGACCTCCATAAAGAACCATCTAGATAATATTTTATTTTTGGAATCGTACATATCAGAGTAAGATTTTTGGTAGACTATAACACAAACTTTAAATGATTATAATAGAAATATTTTATAACTATGGCTCATGAGGATGGGAACAGAGATGCATGATTCTACCTGGCTATGTCACAAGTTCCATACATTGAAATAAAACTAATACTAAACATTTGTTTAGGATGGATTTTCTCCATTAGCAGTAGCCATGCAACAAGGGCATGATAAAGTTGTTGCTATATTATTGGAAAATGATACTAAAGGCAAAGTTAGATTACCGGCTCTTCATATAGCTGCTAAAAAAGATGACACAAAAGCCACCAATTTATTACTTCAGGTTTTGCTAAATTAATTATTTTATTTATTTATTGACATTTTTGACAAGTCCAATATACATTTTAAATTAATAATTTCACGTGTGCTCAAATTTTAGAATGATCATAATCCTGATGTCACATCTAAAAGTGGTTTTACTCCATTGCATATAGCAGCGCACTATGGGAATAACAATGTTGCTTCTATGTTGGTTCAAAAAGGGGCAGATGTGAATTTCACTGCTAAAGTATGTAAAATTTACTATTCATTTTAATTTGAAAACTTAAAGTAATATTTAAAAAAATAGCATAATATAACACCATTACACGTTGCTGCTAAATGGGGAAAATTAAACATGGTTGATTTGTTAATACAATTGGGTGCTAATATTGAAGCTAAAACTCGAGATGGACTTACTCCATTACATTGTGCTGCAAGATCTGGACACGATCACATCATTGAACGTTTATTACAAAGCAATGCTCCTAGAACATTAAAAACTAAAGTATGTTTGGTTTTATTATTAAAATTATTTTTTAGTTTAATAAATATTCTGTTAAAATAATTTAGAATGGATTAGCTCCTTTACATATGGCAGCTCAAGGAGATCACGTAGATGCAGCTAAAGTACTTTTAACTTATAAAGTACCTGTCGATGATGTTACTGTAGATTATCTTACCAGTTTGCATGTAGCTGCTCATTGTGGACACGTTAAGGTGGCGAAAACTCTACTAGATCATCATGCTGATCCAGATGCTAGAGCATTAAATGGGTTTACACCCCTTCATATAGCCTGCAAAAAGAATCGGATTAAAATTGTAGAACTTTTACTAAAACATGGTGCTACAATTGAAGCTACAACAGAAGTATATATATTTTTTAATTTGAATTAATTATCGCTGAAGTTGTGTTGAACTATTTCATTATTGTTATTTTTTATTTTCAGTCTGGTTTAACACCACTACATGTTGCCAGTTTTATGGGCTGTATGAATATAGCCCTTGTTTTAGTTAGTCATGGTGCTTACCCAGATGCCAGTACAGTTCGTGGAGAAAGTCCTTTACATTTAGCTGCCAGAGCAAATCAGTCTGATCTTGTAAGAGTCTTGGTGCGTTCTGGAGCAACAGTAGATTCTAAAGCTAGACATGGCCAAACACCACTTCATGTTGCGTGTCGACTTGGTCATACTCAGATCGCTACTTTACTCCTACAACATGGTGCTTCAGTTGACACTACAACTACTGATTTATACACTCCTTTACATATAGCAGCTAAAGAAGGACATGATGAAGTAACAATGATTTTATTAGAGAATGGAAGTTCTTTAGTGGCTACTACAAAAAAGGGATTTACACCTCTTCATTTAGCTGCAAAATATGGAAATATCACTATAGCTAGTACACTTCTGGAAAAAGGAGCACCTGTTAATTCTCAGGGCAAAGTAAATATTATTAAACTTTAATCATTTTAATATCTAAAGTGAGAAATATACAGAACATTTAATTAATTGACTTACATTGAAGATTTTTATTTTGTATAATACTGATCAACAAAATATAAATAATATTTTAAATCTAATAATCTAATAAATTTAAAAATATAAATTGCTTCATAAAATTTGTTTTGTAAATTTAATATATTTTGAAAATATTAATCTTTTCAAATTCTTTTGACAAAAAATAATATTTTTAGTTTTATAAATATATTATATAACATTTATTAATTTATACTTCAACTATTTTTTTACAAATGTTGAAAACTAAAAATCCAGCCAATTTATATAAACTGATATAATATCTTTTATATCCTCGAATATATTTTTAAATGATATAAACTAATAATGCTTTAAAATTAAAAATTATAATATTATAATTTATAACAATATCCCATAGTAATCACCATGTTGATGAAGTAAACCAATTTTTAACTTTTTTAAGCTTTATTTTAAGCTTTTAGCTTTAAAATAGCTTTTTCAAGTAATTTTAACTGAATTATTATATTTTGAAATATATCTTTCAGTGAAATCATTATTTACTATTTAATAATAGAAGTTACAAGCAATACAAAAATAATATCATTCTAATTTTCATTTTATATAAAATAAAAAAACAAAAAACACATTTAATATTAAATTTGCCATCCAACTATTGTATAACATTAGAATTGTTTAAAGTCAATTAATTTTGGTTTGTAAATTAGAATGGCGTTACACCGTTACATGTGGCTAGTCACTATAACCACCAAGATACAGTATTCTTACTTCTTGACAATGGGGCATCACCACACATGGCTGCTAAAAATGGTCACACACCGTTGCATATAGCTGCTAAAAAGAATCAGGTACACATTGCATAATTAAAGTTTAGTTTATTTTTTGTTTTGTGGAGCATATCTTTGTAATATACTTGTATTCTAGTTGGATGTTGCTTCTACACTGTTGATGAACCAGTCAGATGTGAATGCTGAATCTAAAGCTGGGTTTAGTCCGTTACACCTGAGTGCACAGGAAGGTCACGTGGAAATGTCAAAACTGTTATTGGAACACAAGTCGGACATCAACCTGCAGTCTAAGGTATCATATGACAGATGGGTTTATGATTAGATAATAAAATCTCTTATTTATCCATTTAATCATTATCATATTTGTCCTTGTAGAATGGATTGACACCGTTACATCTTTGTGCACAAGAAGATAAAGTAAATGTAGCAAGTGTATTAGTTGAGAATAATGCAAATATAAATGTAACTACTAAGGTAAGTAAAGATAATTTACTACTTTGGATTTATTACTTTTAAAAAAATTGTTTTTTTTTTTTTTTTTCTAGACTGGATTTACACCTTTACATGTAGCTTGTCATTATGGCCAACTAAACATGGTGAGATTTCTTTTAGAAAAAGGTGCTAATGTGGATGTACAAACATCATCTGGTTATACAGCTCTTCACCAGGCTGCTCAACAGGGCCATACAATGGTCATTACACTTTTACTTCAGAGTAAAGCTTCTCCTAATATACAAAACATGGTATTGTTATCAAATAATTTTAATGTAGTGTTACTAAAACTTTGAATTTGGTTATATAGCAAGGACAAACACCATTAAATATAGCTCACAAATTGGGATATGTAAGTGTTGTAGAAACGTTAAAAGTTGTCACTGAAACAACTATAACAACTACAACAACTAGCACCATTGAAGAAAAATACAAAGTTTTAGCACCTGAATCAATGCAAGAAACATTTATGTCTGATTCTGAAGATGAAGGAGGTAAAGTAAAACACATTTATTTAGCGGAATCAATTTAAGCTTCAAACTAACAAAAATAGTGTTTATTATAATTTTTACTAATGGCATTTATAAAATTAAATGGTGGGCAGTTTTAAAGACATGTTGATATAAACCCATGTTTAAATGGAGCTTCTCTTGAGTGGTTTGCTTGTCCTGTTGAATATTATTATTATTTTTTTTCCGGGACAATTATTTGAGACAGGTGGTGATGATGTCTTGTCGGTGATCATGAACGATTACGGCAAGCCAACACATGCGCAGCATATTTATCTTCCATACTATCAAGGTCAAAATGTACTACGTAAGTTGTTATAATAAAAAAAAGAAAAAATGATAGGAAAAAACATTATTTACGTTATTTATATTTCGCTTTACGCCATCAGTGTTAACATTGCATCGCTTCGGTTTTTGCTTAAAATAGCATTCATTTAAAATAATTATAATATAAGAGTCGTGGTTAAAGTTGTTGGTCAGTTATTTATACATTAGAATCTACTTACTGAAAAAAGTTTTAACAATTTTTAATCAACCCATAATATATTCAGTCTTCATATGAATATTTTAATTTTATGAAATTCAATATTGAGTACTAAAATTTTTTTGTTATGTCCCAAATAAACTTTGTTGAGATGTTATTTTTTTTTTTTAAAAATTAAGTGTAAACATATTGAATATTAGAATAATGCAATATTATTATTAATATGAAACATCTCTGTGATAGCTTATATGAAGTTTTAGTATTCATGATTTATGTTTTGAAATTAAATAAAAACAATATTAGATTATAGGAACATACATTTTATTTATGGGCAGATAGACAAATTGATGCTCTATTAAAACATTCAAAGAATTCTCACTGTTTATTATATTCATTAGATATTAATATATGTTTTATATTATATAAAAACAATAATTAAATAAAAGATTTTTTTTTTCTTTATTCAAATTAGTCATCTAAAAATATTTTCTAAACAAAGTTTTCAGAATCATTATTTTATTTATTTATTTTTAATTATAATATTGTTAAAATTTGCTATTCAGGACTGATTTAATTAAATAATGATTTAATATTAAAATATGAAATCAGTTTAATATGAATAACGTATTTCAATTTCGACAAATAATTAGTTCCCCATAATAATGCATAAAGTTTAAGTTTATAGTTTTATACCCCTTATTTATAGCTGTTAGTTATTATAACCCAGCTTTCAAATAAATTTATTTAACATTTCAGTAGGTATAAATGTAATAACAATGTATAATAGGAACTTATGTTATCTACAGGAACGTTGATCACATTGTATTTTATCTACGTCTCTGACATAAATGTGAGTCAGACATTGACATAGTGTGCTTTTATGTCGTAGGTATAGTTAATAGTTATGTTATTAGCAAAACCTAATTTCAAGATAAACTAGTTTATCCCTATGTTGGTGAGAAGTTGGACAAATAGACGAGAGATTTAGTATATATCTGTACTCAAAGATTAATCCTTGCTTACGAAAAACGATTTTGAGTGGAGTTTGATTAATTAGCCTTTTTGAATGGCTGTAATATTTACGATTTTGAAATAACACATTACTTAAATTTTCCATTTTTTCCTATTTGTTAAAAAACCACTGGGGAAGTAAAAAAAATAACTTCCTCAAGTACCAATCCACGCAAATTTCATTTCAGAAAACGTGCTACACTAGAAAATCTGAGTTAAATTTCTGGTAGAAAAGTTATTCATAGAGAAAAAAAAAATTAACATTTTAAACTATTACATTCCTTGTTCTGCTCAGAATGTAAAATTATATTATTGTATTCTGGTTTCAAATTATTATAAGAGTTATTCATTTATATGATGGAATATAGACAATAATTTTATCATGACTCTAATAATTTTAATTACAATATGCTTGCATGTTAAAATATTGCTAAATTAAAAAAAAAAAAAGGTATTATGAAGTTAATTTAAATATACAGGTAAGTTAATATGTTTTTTTAAACTTAATACAAAATGTAAATATATTCAATGCTATTAATACAATATATTTTTGTGGTATTTATTTACTGATGTACTTTTAATGATATTTTTTCTTTTATACAAAATGTTTATTTTATTACTATATAATAGTTATTGATATATAATGCATTTATAATTATTAATTTTTTGTTTAAAGTCTAATTTATAAAATCAATAATTTTCCAATTTAACATTATTATGTATTGCTTAATACATTTCTAACTATTTAAATAGTTTATTTATTTTATTTACATACGACAGTCATTTTTCAAACCCCGATTAACTTTTAATTTTGGTGATATTGGCATTATTTAATTTTTATATTCTAAATTTGATTACATATTCGACAAGTTACTTATTATTACTACTTATATAATATATTAAAATTCATTCTAAGTCAATAAGAACCGAATTAACTATTAATTAATATGTTTATGTTTTAATGATTTTGTTTTCAAGAAGTATAATCTATATAAACAAAAATCATTATAAAGTGATATGAACAATATTATTATTTCAGCAAACACACTCAAAATGATAAAATCATTTTGTATTTAATTATTAATTTGCAATCATTTTGAGTGGGCTTCATTAAAAAAAATTAATAATTTTATTGTACTATTTAGATAAATTAAAACTGAAGTTTAATTTACTCTCAAGATAAGATATACTGAATAAATAAACCTTGCAACTTTGGTTTTAGTTAACCAACTTTATTATGCATAAAATATTTATATTTATTTTTTTTTGTGTTTATATTTGGAATGTTTGATATGTTTATTATTTTATTAATATTTGATTGAATAAAAGTGAATGTATTTTATGTTTAATAATGTAGAACATATTATTTAATTTCATCAAATAAATTATTTTTTAACATATTATTTATATTGATATAGCTATTTTGATTTTTAATAGATGAAGATCCATTGTTGAATAATCAACATGAATATCGGTATATGACTGTAGATGATATGAAATCTTATGGAGATGATTCATTAAAGATTGATGTTACAAGGGATGAAAAGATGGACCTGGTAAATGATTCAGTCGGTAAGTATTAAATGTTGAGTTGAATGTATAATTTTAAGTTGAAATGTCCCCTCCCTTCCGACTCCAAAAAATGTCCTACAAGTTTCACACAGTTTTTTTATCAATTATAAAATTGGTAATTGGTTCTGAAGATAATTTTATTTTACACCTTTTTAATACTTATAATATTTTATTGATTATAACTAGTATATTTTTGAATTTATGAAATATTATAAAAATTGGGTTTTAAGTTTGAGTCATACTTAATTTTTAAATGTATAACCTAATTTACTACCTATTACTTTATTTGTTTTAAATTAATTTGTAATTTTGTGTTCTAAGATAAATATTCTGTTTTCTTATTTACATTGGTTATAATCAGGTCATGGGACTTTAAGCACTTAAAATCCATAAAAGAGCACTTATAAATGTCAAAAAAAGCTCTGAAATATTTGCTCAAAAAATATTTAAAAAGCAAAAATGTTAGATGGGATTTAAAAGTCTTTCCTCTTATGGCTCTAACTTATTAAATAAAAATATCTTTACCTGTTATGACCACTCATTTTTATTTTATTTGTTAATAGTGTAATTGTGTAATTTTTTGTTCTATATGGTTATTATTGTATTTATCTACATCAAATTATTTAGATAGCATAAGATGACAATAAAATGGGAAAATATAATTTTAAAACATTATTACTAATTTTTCACTCTATAATGTATTTATGGTTAAATTTTGAATTTTTTCAACCATAGATAGAAAAAAAAATCATATATTAATAGAAAAAAGTCCTTAAGTTCATAGGTCGCAACTCTACTCTACATACTATTTATTTAAAAAAAAAAAAATTACTGATTAATCATTTTTGGTGTTAAAAATTTGCGTTTAATAAGTTAGAGCCGTTAAAAGGATTGACTTATAAAACCAGTCTACCATTTTTGCTATTTTAATATTTTTGAAATTTTCAAATGTTTTTTTTTGATTGAATGTTTTGATTTAAGTGCCTAAAGTTCCGAGCCCTGGTTATAATCACTTAAGTTGATTAAAAGCATGCAGTTTTTACATTTAATATTGATTATATACAATTTATCTAATTAAAAATGTTTCTTTTTTAATATTACTAATGTTATATAATGTGTATTATTTAATTAACAGTTGCTAACGAGTATATAAGTAATACTCATTACATTTCACCCCAGTACTCGCCCAACCCCTCTGGAGGTAGCATACTATCTGACAACATTGATATTTGTCGTTCGCCCGTAAATATTGGGTAAGTTCAATTTATTTTTTAAATTAATAAACTGAATAGTATAAAATAATGTGCTTAATCGTGTGTTTTAAGAGTACAAAATGTACATATTTATTTTAGAGGTCTCGATTGAAAACGTGAATTAATACGTTCCTGTGTACGGGAGTCTATGTACACGTGAATGAAAATTTTTTACTTGTGTGAATTTACTATCCATACTCATATATTCACAGTTATTTGTTTAGTGGATAACATACTATATTAAATTTATTGTGGATTTTGTATGATTTTAATTTATTTTACTGTACAATACGTGAATACGCGTATACAAATTATCTAGTTTACAGTTTTATAGATTCTATATGTTCCTTAATTCATTTGTGATGACATCTTTAGTGGCATCATTGATAACAACTACATCTAGTCCATCACATCTAATTACCCAACTCGTAAGCAAGGTGAGTGATAAAGATATCTTAGATGCCACAAATATCAACTCAGTAGAATTAAGGAACATATGGAATTTCACGTGAATATGTGAAAGCGTTGTCATATAAAATACGGAGCTTATATTATTTATATTAATATTTTAATGTCCAAATATAAATATTGAGGGTTTTTATCTTCTTAAACTTTCTATGTATAATAAAATGCTTTGGTATAATTTATTTAAAATCAAAATTATTATCATCATTATTGTACTGTAAAAAGCTTTATTTCACTGATCTTTGCACCTATGGTTAGTTTGTAAAGCATTATTTGAACACTAAGCACAAAATAAACTAAAAAATTAACTTTGGGAGTTAAATGTATTATGCAATTTCAGTTGTAATTATTACGATTATTGTTAAATACGTATATTTCTTATTTATTCTATAATTATTAATATACTAGCATACTAATATTGATATTTAATACTATTAATTATATTTATATAATATATATACGGTGTCCAACAAAGATTTACTCAGTTTACCCATACAGTAACATGTTCAAAATGTTTATATCTTCGCAAGATACTTGTATATATATTATATAACAGAACCTTAATTAAAATAACATAATTTTTTATAAAAATAAGCAGCTAGTTTTTCTAAATTATAGTTTATATATCTTCTACTTCATTTTATAATTTTATATTTCAATTTTAATTTAATAATGAAAATAATGATTTTAAATGGAAACAGCATTTGAAAATTGAAGAAAAATAAATTAAAAATATAGATTTCATATACTATTGAAATTTTTTTTTAACCTTTAATTTAATAAAACTAATTCGATAATTTCTTAAAATATTATTATTGATTTATATTTAATTTTAATTATACACAGTTATGTTTTCGAAGTACTAAACATTATTTTAGGATTATGAGTATAATTTTCTGTAATTAAATAAACTAAATAATTTTGAATTAATAAAAAAATTTTGTTAACAAATTAATTTTATGAAAATCATTAAATTCATAACATTTGATCTAAATGCTAAAATAAATATTATTACTTAGTAGGTAATATTTTAATTTGTAGTTGTAACAAATAAATATGATGTAATTAAGCATAATACTGGCTGTCCCACGAAGATATATCCCTTGAATATCTCTGGAGATAATAAAGACAATCAAAATATATTTATGTAATTACTCGCAGGGATGAGGGCTACAAATATTTGTATTTGAATTTAATTTTTTTTTAGTGAAAAATTAACTTTTATTTTATTATTTTTGGAAAATGTTAAGATAGCCAGTCTGTAGAGTTGATTTTTCTAAAAATTTTAATGCATTACATATTTTCATCTAATGAATAGTTTCTAAGTAACAGCCGTTTTAAATTCTATTAATCCGTGTGAAAATCGATGTTATAGCGTAACACAGTTAGATTATTCCCTAGATAATATCGATTTTCACACGGATTAATAGAATTTAAAACGGCTGTTACTTAGAAACTATTCATTAGATGAAAATATGTAATGCATTAAAATTTTTAGAAAAATCAACTCTACAGACTGGCTATCTTAACATTTTCCAAAAATAATAAAATAAAAGTTAATTTTTTACATTTTTTTACAAAAAAAAAAAAAATTTTAATTCAAATATAAATATTAGTAGTTCTTATATCCATGAGTAATACACAAAAAACATAATTTGATTATTTTTATTATCTCTGGATATATTCAAGAGGTATATTTTCGTGGGACAGCCTGTATTGTGACTCACAAAAATGAATTTATGTAACTTATTATTCAACTTTTAAGCATGAAAATGGTGTAAGTAGCTTGTTGGTCTTTTTGAATAATTAACTATGTAAAATAACTATTATTTGTTGATTTGTGTACGAGAATGCATTTTAAATTATATGCATCTTGTGCATTAGAGAAAACCCATTAAACACGTCCCGATTGCATTTTATACCGACAGGTTGGATAGACTAGAGAAATCATTGGAAATGCTCGGCCCTTGTGGAAAAACTACTGGAATGTGGCGCGAAAGGTAGACTGAGTGATTGTTTTTGAATGAAACACAACACAAACACATTAACTTGAAACACATTAATTGTATTCTTTCTTATTTTTCATTAATGCTCTATTTTTCTTTTTAAATTTTGTTTAATACTTCTAACGATATTTTGCTGTGCTCTGAATGCCATACAATAGATATGCAATGCTATAATAAATTTAATACATGTTTTGTGCTCTATAACTGTTATCTGTCAATTTGATATTTAGTATTAACAAACTCATATTCACATATTTTAGTATAATTTTTATTTATCTTTGGTTATAATTTCACATTATGGTTAGGGTTTTTGTTTGGTAAAGTTACATACGTAGTATACTGGTTTTTTTTAGTTATTCTAACATTGCATGAGTCATGAGTATGTTCTATTATAATTTAAGTTTGGTATACATATTAAAAATTAGTTTTAACTTTCCATTGAGTTCCAAATCAATTTTCCAGAAAATTATCATAAAAGTTTGTAATGAAAATGTTAAAAAAAAGGTCATTTAGTATTATAATTCGTTGTAAATAATTTATAATCTGTGGTCCAATAATATTGTATATTTCCATATAAATAATACACATGCTAATAAGTTACATTGTGTGTAATGTATATTAACAAACTATTTTATATTTATAAACTACATGTTACAAATTTCTTTTTGAAATTTATCTGTTTATTGAACATTGTAAATAACAGCACTAATTTAAAATTTTATGTTTTTTAAATAAAAAATTGAACTACAATGGCATTGTACAGAAAAAGCCGCTGGAAAAAGTAAGTTTTCAATAAAGCACACAGTCATTTTATTCCTACTCTATAGAGAATATATAGAGTTTGTGTGTTTTATAGTTAGATCAATAGAAAATGTTTTATACAACATATAAATATTTCCTCTAAATATTGCTAATACCATTTAGGGCATGAATAGTCTAGAGTACATCTAATCGTACTGACATTAATTACTTAGCACCTTATAGTTTTTAATTCTTTAGTGCACTGTTTTATTAATTTTTTAATTTTTTGTTTTTTTTTGTTTTTTTTTTTTTTTTTTTTTAAGGTAATATTAAATAGCTTAATTTATTATTTAGTTTCCTAGTGAGTTTTTTGGTGGATGCTCGAGGAGGAGCTATGCGAGGATGTAGGCAATCTGGTGTACGCGTGATCATTCCACCACGAAAAGCACCAAGTCCAATGCGAGTTACTTGCCGTTATTTACGGAGAGATAAAATGGTTAATCCACCACCATTAATGGAAGGAGAAGCATTAGCAAGTAGAATACTTGAACTTGGACCAGCTGGAGCTAAATTTCTTGGGTATTTTCAAAAAATATAAAACTATATTTTCAATGTTGTTTTATTTAAATTTTTTGTTTACATAAATGCAGTCCTGTTATTATTGAGGTACCTCATTTTGCTTCATTGCGAGGAAGAGAAAGGGAATTAGTTGTGTTAAGGTCAGAAAATGGAACAACATGGAAAGAGCATACTTTAGAAGCTAATGAAGAAGCTGTTCAAGAGGTGCTTAACGATAGCTTTGAAGGGGAAGAACTCAGACAGATTGAAGATCTCAGAACAAGTCGTATTGAGCGAATATTAACTTTAGATTTTCCTCAGTATTTTGCTATAGTTTCAAGATTGCGACAGGAAATACATCCTGTTGGCCCAGAAGGAGGAGTGATATCTTCTACTGTTGTACCACAAGTTCAAGCATTATTTCCTCCCAATGCATTAACTAAACGTATAAAGGTTGGCTTACAGGTAAAAAATATAAATTATACTTAAAACTATACTGTGATTATTTATATTATTATTGCTTTTACTATTTAGGCTCAACCTATTCCAGTAGAAATTGTTACAAAATTATTTGGCAACCGTATAGCTGTATCTCCTGTTGTAACCATTGAACCTCGTAGGAGGAAGTTTCACAAAGCAATTACGTTGACTATTCCTTTACCTCAAGCTACTACTAAAGGAATGATCAATCAGTATTCAGGGGATGCTCCTACATTGAGATTACTTTGTAGTATGTCAGGTTGGTGAAAGTAATTAACTATGTTATAATGTATTCAGTTGTATTGAGGCTTTAAACCATATTGTTAAACATGCACCACAGGTGGTCAGTCAAAAGCCCAGTGGGACGATGTCACCGGAGGAACACCATTGACATTTGTTAAAGATTGTGTAACGTTCACCACAACTTTATCTGCTAGATTTTGGTTGATAGATTGTAGAAATGTCAGTCAAGTCAAAAATATAGCTACACAGCTCTTTGTTGAAGCTAACTATGTTCCATTTATGGCAAAGTAATGAAAAAAAAATCTATTTTATTTGATTGTACCTATAAGAAAAACGGAATTATTTTATATTAGGTGTATAAATATATTAAAATTTTAATTTTTAGGTTTGTAGTATTCGCTAAAAGAACAGATGTTATGGAAGCACGTCTTAGAGTATTTTGCATGACAGATGATAAAGAAGAAAAGACATTAGAAAATCAAGAACATTTTATGGAAGTAGCCAAAAGTAGAGATGTAGAGGTGTTACAAAACAAAAGCATATTTGTAGAGTTTGTTGGTAATCTGTTGCCAATATTTAAATCTGGTGAACAACTCGAATTAAATTTCACTGCTTTCCGTGAAAATCGTCTACCATTTACTGTTCGTATACGTGACCTGGAGGATACTAATGTTGCACGTATTCTATTTATGCGCGAACCCAAAGTAAATCGTGGTGATCCTGCTCAATCACCTTTATGTGTGTTAAATGTGACTATTCCCGAAGATATTATTAATGAAACATCCAAGTCAGAATCAGATTTATTAAGCCTTGACCGAAGCTACAATTTTAATGAAAATGGTTGTTTTGGTATGATATTCATTTTTATTAATTAAATTATACATTTTTAGTCCATGACAAAATAATTATTTTATAGACCAACAAATCGATACTATACATCGAGCAGATATCCGTTTGTCAGATATATCAAATATGTTGGGTACTAATTGGTCTTCATTAGCAGCCGAACTGGGAATTCTTCAGTCAGACATTAGTATTATTCAATCAGAATACCCCGGTAATGCTCAGCGTAAGGCTATGGTTATGCTGAAATTGTGGTTGCAGACATTTGGACAGCAAGCTACAGGAAATTCATTGGAAAAGGCATTAAGAGCCATAAATCGTGAAGATATAGTAAATCAATGTATTCATAATATTGAGATTGTAACTGATGACATGGAAAAAGCGGTAGCTAAAGTACAATTGGATCAGTCTGGATTTGATTCTCTGAAAGAGGAATTAGGACCTTCAAGAGACGGTTCTCTTGGTCGAAAAGTTTCACTATCTAATCTTAAGGTTATTAGTTTTAAATTAGCTTTTATTTTTTTGTGAAAACTATTGATAATGGTTTGCATTTTGTTTCTAGAAAGTTAAACAAGTAGAGTCAAATAATGTTGATCAATCACGTAATGTAGATGAAGAATTAATAAATGCTCTTAATAAACAAATGATAGTTCAAAATATAGATATAAAACCTTCAGTTCTTGGTAAATTATTGAACAATTAATTATTATTTTTGTTTCAACATAAGAATATTGATCATTTTGTAGATAACAAGTATGCTGCTGAAGTTAAAGAGTATGATACAGAAACTTCTAACGGTGTGTTAGAAAGAGTAGACACACCTCCGCCAAGTCCAGCTGAATTTTTGGACAAAACAGATAAAAGTAATAATTTAGCATTTAAAAATAATAATGACAATTATAATGTGTTATATTAAATTATTTCTATTAGGTAAAACTTCTTCAAATTATGACAGTAATGTTTCTGAAGAAGTTGACAAGAATGTTACTGGAACACATTGACTAGCCAGTGATTAGGTAATTTATGACTATTCCTTTTAACAAAAAATAAAAGCTGATTAAATTAAAATTATTTAACTATATTTAATTGTTTTGCTAATTTATTAATGCACAAGTGTTATTTATATGAAATCAATGCTGATAATTTGTTCTTATTGTAGACAAATATTTAACTGTAATTTGTTCTAACAAGCTTATGGCTTAATTATATTTGTATCAAGTATCAACTTGATTTATAAAATAATTAAGTAATTTTTCTTTTTTTTTTATATTTGCAATTTGTATTAAAATATTTATTTTTAATATTGTATCTAATTTGTTTAAAATGTACTACTGGTTAGTGATGTTTTGTTTTGACTTTGTTGTTATTATTAATTATGCCTTATAATTAATTATTCTATGTGCATTTTTCATCAGATATATCAAATAATAAATCCTGATTAATTAATTTATTTATGCATATTGAAATTCAAAATTATATATATTATATTAAATATATATATATTTACATATTTATTTATAAAAAAAAATATTGTAAATTATGATATAGATCAGATGTATAAGTACACATATTTGTTTTGTTGATTAATAACTGTTTGGAAGACATTGTTGTTCAATTGTCTTTTTAAAAGTAAAAATTAAATATTCAAAATAATTAAATAATATTTAACACATGTGTGAATATAAAAATAATGTTTTTTTTTTTTTTAAAATAACAAAACCATTCCTTGGTTAAAATAATAATATACTTTGGTATTGTTAATATTATAATATTCGCAGTCCAGATAATGATTATTCTGGTAGTAATCATATTGCCACCGCTTGTGTCAAAATTCTGAATCCCAGCCAGACGATTCATCTGGTGGTATATCTCTGTCTTCAGGATAAATGTCGAAATTTGTAGAATCTAGAGAGTTGTTGATCTGTTATTGTGAATATGTGAAATTTATTAACATTTTTTTTATTATCAATTTATTTGTGTATATATTGGCTAAATGATAAGTACATACATTTGGAATGATTGGTGGAATTATACTTTTGCTCCTCAGACCCGCCCAGTCAAATCCTTTGAACCACCTACCAGACAAATTTGAATCAATGTAATGCCTAAGAATTTAAAAAAGGTGCTATAAAAAAATTACTCATGTCTCCTGATGTCTTGTATTCCACCCTTTTGATAGCCAATCCTTTCTGTTGGATCGCTACGGCACAGCTGTTTCACAAGACTTTGGGTCATTTTGTTCATCTGCCTCGGAAAGTTCACTGTTCCGATGCCTTTAAGTATCGCATTATAGATGTCCATTGGCTCTTGACCACTAAAAGGTGGTCTGATAACAAAATAAAAATAAAGCAATTTGTTTAGTTGAATACCAAGATATTGATATTGAACCATCAAATTAGCAAGGCAGTGTTATATTACACAGGTAGATCATTTTTATATATCAGCTACCCATTTTATTTAAATACATACTGTACAATTTGGAAAAGAATTGCTGCAATGTTTTTTTTCTCAGCTATATTTGTATGTTTGTGCAATAGGTTTGTATTATTTTAGATTCTGGACTTAGTGAAGAATATATTGGTTTCGCTATGATGTGTATTTTTCTTTTTTTACTTATTTACCGTTTAAAAGGGATCTTATTTAATATACACTTTAAAAGGTACTGGGTTTGGGAACTGCATGGGACGTACATAAGGACCACAATGTCTGTTCCCATTCTGTGTTACTGTAAACTGGGATTTGATTCTTACCCGTTATTTCATAATATCACAAAAAGCTATACCAAATTTAACAAATTAAATTTCACATTATTTTTATTTTATTATTAACATTTAATGGGACAAATAGCCCTTTAAATACAATAAACAATGATAAAATCAAAAATAACAAAAAAAGACAGAGAGAAAAGAAGAAAAGAAAAATTAATAAAATTGATAAAACGTACATTAACAAAGTAATGTGACACATATAAAATATAAAAGTAAGTTTTAGTTTGAAAAAATAAAGCTTTTTACCCAAAGCATTCCCAGGATATGAAAAAGAAATCAACATTAGTAAAAATTAGATTACAAAGTAAAAATGCTCTCGAAAAAAGAATTGGTGAACATTTCTTTTTTTTTTTTTAAAAAAATGGTACAAAAAAAAATTCGAATTTTTAATCAAGTAATTGTTTGTACAAATACCGATATTACATAATAAATCAGGGCAATCAATATTATTATTGAGAGGACGAATAATACGTTGGCTAGCTTACGTCTAACCACACATGGCTGAATATAAATAGGATCCGCTATTAATGACATTGAATCTCTGGAAATAGGTAAATTTAAACGGAAATCAATTGACTTTGGGAATTTATATTGAACATTGTCAACAAGTTTATAAGTGGAATTTTGACCCTATACCAATGAACCAAATTCCAAGTTAGACCTAGCAAGGGAGCAGTAGAGCGTTTTTAGTACATGAACATTTTTAAATTCTTTAGTATTTTTTAATATGAAGCCTAACATTTTAAATGCCAGTGTCCAGGGGATCTGGACACTGAAATAATCTCAATAAATGCCGTCCAAAAAAGAGGAATTTATTAATAGAGATACCTATTAAATACATATGATTTTTCAGGACCCCTCTCAGAAAAATGTTGAAAATCCGCTACTGTACCTAATATAATGTTACTTATTATGAAAATAATTATCCGATGTACTACAAAAATGCTATCGGAAGGTATTGCGTATGATCCTTTGGGTACGTTACTACATTATCACTATTGAACCGGTTGTCGGGCAATAAGCTGAACACAACTAAAGCAGGACCGTATTACTGCTTAGGCTGATCAGGCTACGGCGCCAATTTTAAAGACGGCAACTAAATAGCATACTTATTTTTATGGTTTAACATGAGAAATATTTAACGTGACATTATTTGCTCGATTTAAAACATAAACAAGAGCTATTCGAATGTTGTACCTTGCACGGTGTGAAACAATATTGCCATTATAACCTCAGGCGTAGTTAATTATATATATATGTTACATGCTAAGTCCGGAATTGTACATTTCCCAATTTGTACCAGGTGATCCGTTCAAGTGGTTACACTCATTATCTTGGAAAATATTAAAATTTTCCGGAATTTGTTTTCTAGAGCATTTAGGGAACAAGCTGTTCTACAATTTTATATTTATGTTATTTTTGGGGGTAAAATCACTACCTATTTTTGATTGCTAAATGGCAATCTATATTAAAAATTCCATAAATAGATCGAGTATTAGTTAAAATATATTTTAGTGATATATTAGCAATACATTTTTGATTTCCACCAATCCATTGACGAGATATTTCACTTTTAAGTTTTTGGTTTTAGGAAAGTATAGCGGAATGTCATTTGTGATGCGGTGGGGTGCGTGACGTGTTAATATTGCACCACTACTCTCCTCCAACCTAAATTTAAAAGTGGAATATGTCGTTAATGGCTTGAAAAAATAAAAAGTTTCAGCACTAAAATTTATTTTAACTAAATACTCCATCCATGTATGGACTTTTTAATATAAGTTACCATTCGAAAATCAAAAGTAGGTAGTGGTTTTGTCTCCAAAAATAAGGGTGGCAAAAATAACAAAAATATACAATTCTAGAGCTACCACCTGGTATATAGTTGTGGGGTTTAATAATTATTTTGCAAATTTATCAATGTCCAATAGGGAGCGCTTACATTCCGGCCAGCAACTCATATATGAGTATCCCTAATGCCCAAAAATCCACGGCCCTGTCGTGACCCTTGTTGAGCACCACTTCCGGGGCCACGTATTCGGGAGTGCCGCAGAACGTCCATGTTTTCTTGCCCCTTGGCTGTAGCTTTTTGGCAAAACCAAAGTCCACCTGCGAAAAACGCGCACATATTATCGCGATGACGTTGGTTTGGATGCTGTTTTAGTAGGTCCTTCTCGTTAACTGACCAGTTTCACAAAGCCCTGACGGTCCAACAAAAGATTCTCTGGCTTTAGATCCCTGTAAACGACGTCCACGCCGTGTAAGTAATCCAAAGCCTCCACCACGCATGCCGCTACAAAGCACGCCGCGTTGTCGTCAAAACACCTCCGTTCCCTGAGCAACGTCCACACCTCACCGCCCAAGCACGCCTCCATCAGCATGTACACGTATTTGTCGTCTTTGTACGTACGGTAAAGTCTGCAAAACAATTGCTGATTATTGTAGATAGGAGGGATTTATCTACAGAGTTTTAACGAAAAAGGTGTCGATTTTTGATATTTTATTTTAACTGTCCAATATTTCATTCTAAGCCATGTGTTTTTTTACGCTTTAATTAGGTACTTATAGCATGAAAGAAAAAATATCGATAGTTATTTTAAGTTTTACAGGCATGTATACATTTCTCTTCCACACTGTTTTGTTAATGGGTGTTCTCATTCTAATTTCAGTCAGTAAGCCGTTATTATTAATCAGTGATCATTTATTTTCGTTTATAAATTTCAAAAATTATTTGAGAGATATTTAGTCAATACTATGTAAATAGCCTTAAACTCGGCAATTTATTAGACTATCTCATTACTGTAATGTTTGTAGTAATCCGTAGCTTAAAAAAAATTTAGGTACCATATCAGATATTTCAAAGTTAGATAATATATGTGAAATAATATATAGTCGAACTTACATAGTACCTAGTTACAAAAAATAGTTTTAGATTTTGATCGAAACGAGGAATGTATTGGTTTTACAATAACCAAGGTTTTTTTTAAATTTTTTTTTTTTAATTTTATGTACCAAATTTCTACCGGAAATCTTGCTTCGATTTTTCACTTTTTCTAAAAGGAAATTTTCCTGATGTGATATTTTAAGGATGTCATTTTTTTTTTTTGACTTTCCAAGTAGTATTCAAAATAATTGGGAAAAAATGTTAGAAAAATGTATGAAAACAATGTTTTTGTTGTTATTAATTTTGTTTTTTGTTGTTAATCAGTTGAAAATGTTTGTAGAGACTTGAAATATGAACAAAAACATTATATTTGCCTTTTATAGACGTAGTAACAATTTCTAAATATTTGAGCTATTTATAGACGTTTATTTTGTGAGTTTATATGTAATATTTATTCGGTTGGTACTTTGTAGAAACAATTGTTAGATCAAACAGACATTTTTGAAAATTTAACAGAAGGTCTATTTTAAGTTGTGCTTAGTGGCGAACAAGAAAAAGCTGATTTTAATGTAATATTTTTTATTTGTGTATAAGAATATTTTAATATCAAATTTTGACGAAAAACGTAAATATTACGGCCTTTTAAAACATGCATAACCGAACTCCGCTAAGAATCGTTTTTCGTTAACAATAATTAATCATTGCATGTAAAAATACATTGAATTCTTCTCTATATCCTACCTTCCCAATTATTAATTTATAACAGTGGTTCCAGTGGCGTAGTCACTCGTGGCGTAGGCCTCGTAGGCTTGGGCTTACCCAGTTTTCTCCGAAAATTAATACAATTGTAAAATCAACAATTTGTATTAGTAGTGTTTCCTATTCAAACATTTATATTATTTTATCTGGCCTACCTAGAAAAATATTCCTAGGTACGACTCCGAGTGGCCCACCTATCGTGCGAAATGCATCGGTCTTTTATTTGTATTTTTTTTTTGTGCTTTTATTGATTAACCTTGCAGCAGGAATTTATAGATTTTTCGTTTAATCTGGCGTGCAAAGATATATCGTATAAAAGTACTTACTTGCTGATAAAAGGACTCGTACAGGATTCTAGTATGTTTTTCTCGTTGTACACGTGTTCCTGTTGTTGCATGTCAACGATTTGTTGTTTTTTGAGTTTTTTCATTGCGTACGATCGATTTCTGTCCAGCTTCAAACACACTAGATCGACACGGCCGAAGCCACCCACGCCGATCGTGGCGATTGTCTCCAAGTCGGTCAACTCCACGCGAAATAGCTCCGGGTAAAATATTTCTAGAACAAGACACGCACATCAGTAACGGTATTATATTTGACGCGATGAATACGTTACACGCGTATTATGACGTGTATAATATATATATATATATATAGGTCACCTACTTTCTGTCGATGCTTGGACCGACGGTTTTCGCGGGTGTTCCGTGTATTTTTTGTTCTTTAACTCCTCCAGGTTGCCGATAAAGTGCACGAAAGGCCTGCAATAACGAAAGTAAGTCCGTAAGTTTCTCCAATGCGCGGTTTCGGCCGTGCACGGTTTTTACGTCGATCACCGTAAATCTTGGGCTAGTCGCCTAAAAACTATCACCGAGAAACGCCCACCCCAGTAGCAGTTTATACGATTCTGTTAATTAGTATACAATGAAGGGTTTTAATTTAAGACCTAACGCGTGCCTATACAGTATACACGTATTTACTGCACGATTGTGTCAAATATAGGTCGTACCTAATAACATTACCTATTACAATTGGTACCAATATAGGTAATTGTTTGTACTAAAATAAACTGGTACAACTAATTAATAATAATAAATGCCGAAATAACGTTTATAGTGAATATTACGGTGTATGGACGTAATAATAATATATTTTACAGTAAAAACAAAAGGTTAATAATACTCTCTGTCTAGTGTCAGGCATTCCGCTCCCGGGTGCATGGCGACGACGTTGGCAGTTCTCTTGTCTTTTTTCATCAGTGCCACTTCTCCGAAAAATTCTCCTTGTTCCAACACGCCAAATTCTTCTTCTTCGTCTTCCCCTGAAAACCGTAATTTTTCTTTTGCGTAAATTATACTGTGTAATATGATAATATTATATTGTGCTGATTTGTTGTCGTGATTTTCTCGAATGTATTTTTATCAAACTGCACAAACTTCACGGGAAAGCAATTCAATATTTTCATAATTTGGTTATGTGCATTAATAATTTAAAGCAAGTTCAAAAAAAAAAGAAGAAATATTCGTATCTATTCAAAAATTCAAAGTACAAGACATTGTTTTTTGTTAGGCAAGTAGATAAGTACATAATATATCATAACAATTAATTTTTTTTTTATTTTCTTTACGCTTCCAGTCATCGCTCACCTCACCATATCATGGAAAATTTTTGAAGGTAAGTGGAAGAGACCCTCGAGCATTTATGAGGGAAGATGAGGGAGATATACGAAGGCTAATCCAAACGTATCGAGACTGATAATATTAATCGGAAACCGGGCGTTGAAGAGCAAAAAGATTTGTAACCCTGGCTTCTATGACTTCTACTAAGCACATCTATTTTTGTAGAATCTCTATACATTTCTTCGTTTTGATTTGACAATATTTTTCTAAAAATTTTTTTTCATGTTTGGTGATTTTATAATGAATCCAAAAAAAGCGAGACTTGCTGTCATTCGACGGCGCATTTGAAGTTTTTCAATTGAAATTTATTGGCGAAAACCATGAAATATTGCATTTCTCTGAAATTGAAAAAAAAAAAAATGCAGGCAAATTTTCTAAAATCTCCAAAACTGTCAAGTCGGCTCTTCTTTGGATTTATAACAAAATCGCCAAACTCGAAAAAAATATTTAAAAAAAATATCGGTGAAATAAAACCGAAGAAGGTTATAGAGAATCAATAAAAACAAATATACTCAGAAAAAGTCATAGAAGCAAGTGAAACCAATCCTATACTGCTCTATGATGTTATGTTTCCCAGTGATACTACCAGTCTCGTCCTAAAAATACGAAACTGGTTGAGGAGACAAAACAATTTCATTTGTACGTTTGGATTTTTATAAAAAAAAAAAAAAACTTGTTTAGATAAAACATATATATACATAATAAAATATTATATAACAATCATTATTGTAGCCTTTAGCGGGTTTAATAATTAAATATTTACTACAAAACGGTAATTATATTTATTTGTAAAAGACACATTAATTTTAACTAAACATATATTTTATATTCATAAAATACTCACCAATCTAATATTAATATTTGTATTTGTTAATAATGTATTCTATGTTTTTGATTATCTACCTACCTATATTTATAAAAAATAATATACAGCTAGGTAGGTAAATAGGTTAAATAGGGTGAATAAGTTATAATGTGATAGATATTCGGTTAATCAGTTCATTGAAAAATGTAAAAAATCGCAAAACGCAACGTACTGTTAGAGATATTTTGTATATTTGTATAATCCGGGTTCAACCGAAGTTCGTTTTAAACATTTCAAACAACGGAAACCGTGTAAAATATTCCAACTCCCGTCATTGTCATTTCGACGCGATGCGCGCAATTTATTGTTACACTACTTGCCTTTATTGGTTTTTGTGACTTTTACTCGGCCCTCGCTAAGTATATAGAACTTGTCGCCCAAAGTGTCTTGCTTTATGATGTAGTGCCCTTCCGGATAAAATTCCTGAAATGGGTTCAGTTTTATGAGAAAACTACGGTCATTAATTAAGACTAATCAATGGCCAGCCATTGTGCACGTGGCATGTATTGTGCGTGTGTGTGTGTGTGTGTATGTAAACTGTAGGTATACGTATACTAAAATGGTATACGCGTTTTGAGAACTTTCAAATACGTCAAACGCGGCGGGTTTGATATAAAATGCATTGTGCATTGGCAAAAGTTGTACGCTAAAAGGTCATTAGTCATTCTCATTACAGTGTTTCCTTTTGTTAAGGCGCTAGCAAATCTCAAAGTTTGTTTTATTCATAATTATATTATATCCGTATCAACTGTTGTACACTTATTATTATTATGTAATGGGCACATGAAATAATTTTCATTAGGTACCCACCTATATCCAATGAGGTTTTTTCCAAGTAATATTTATAGTGATTTTATAAACGAGAGTCGTTCAATTACGGTTGAAAAAAATGTTTGTATAGGTACCTAGGTTTAAAAATAATATATATATATATATATATATATATATACATAACACGTAAGTCAGCTATTTTATTGCGTGGACATCAAATAAATCTTCGAGTACCTACCCACTTTTCGTCTCTCATAATGCGTGTATAGTATACATACACTGTATACATAATACTAAAATATTTATGCGGGTATGTATGTATGTATGTATGTATGTATGTATGTATGCATGTATGCATGTAAGTGTACACAGCATGTTTGTATTTTACCTAGTAAGGCTTTGGTCAGGGGAAGATAACACGTGTCTAAAGCGTCGTAATGTCCATATTTCAGCGATAAAAAGGTTAAAATCTAAGTAATTCAAATTCTCGTTGAACAAATACTTAATAGTACGAGGTATACAGGTATAATTTGTTGGTTTACATTTAATTGTGGAATGCACATTTTTTTATTTCGAAAAACTACAATTGAATAATTGAATCGTTAAACGTTTTGGCGGTACACAATTTTAACACGGCGTCTATATAGACGGCCGTCATTCGGCCGTAGATTGCATTGTTATCCGAAAAGGCTAAAAACTCTAAAATATTAACAAGTAATTATAGAAAACCGAGCAATGCGATCAATCCATCGACGGGTCGTGGTGTGGTTAAAAATATATTTTATTAAAAATTTAATTTTCCGAGCGCATGTACACGGGATTTGCAAATTAATTTCTATTGTTAGCGTAATGGAGGTGTCCGCCTGAACATAATATGTATTATTTATTCGTGAAAACCTTCTCTAAGCATAAATATATATCAGAAATTAATAGCACCGCTATTTGTTCCTATTCTGTGGTAAAGCATACAATACAAATTACAGAATTGACATTTCGGAAATTTGATCATGGGGATGTATTATATTGGTATGCCGGTCAACGGTCAATTTTCCACGCGATCAGGAGAGGTCAATCGGGAGCATGTTTCCATAAATCTGCCAGATTTCATTGTGAAGATTTTGAGGGTTTGGATTTCGAATTGAAAGCAGAAATAAATTTGTGGAAAAATAAATGGGCGAAAATGCAAAACAATCCAAAAATTACAGTTGAAGCATTGGAACATTGCGGTGAATTTTTACCCAACATCAAAATACTTTTTACCAGGTTACTAGATTCAACAGCCAAAGTGGAGAGATTTTTCTCAACTTTAAAAATGTTAAAAGATCCACTGTGTCTGAAGTACGTCTAAACGGTTTGGCCATGTTAAATACACATAAATATACAGTGATAGATATTAACCAAGTTATTGCTACATTTGTGTGAAAAAAAGAGATGGATGGGTTAGAAGATTGGTCAAAATGATCCAACAATTTTCATTGATTTTTCGTTCATAAACTATAATGAATATGTGGTAGGATTTTAATTTTTCGTTTAAACATTTATTTTATTATTATTACAGAGAACATTATTTTTTTTTAAAATATAGGAATTTGTTATAGATGTGTGTTTTTAAAGTTTCCACTTATGTTTATCTTTTTGAATATTAAGTACATTGATTTTTTAGGATTAAAAAAAAGGTCATACTATCAGGATGGATTATACAGAATACGATACCCTAACATACACTATTTCACAATAGCATTCTCCATACAAATATCCTTGATCCGCCACTGGTTGTATGAATGTGAGGGAATCGCTTGGAATTTCGAAAAATGTCACTAATAAATAACCATCACCTCATCCTTTAAGATACCGTATGTATGAATAATGTAATTAGCATTTTTATTTTAATGTATCTAGCATCTAGTATCTATTTAAATACATAAAATATATGTATTTTGAGTATCTTACATAGCAATACTTTTTATAAAAGTATACATTATCTTGTAAATATCTAGCTACTTATAATCAATGTGTGTAGTATCGTGTATCAATAGATCCTCATTTTTAAGTATTATGCCGCTAATCAAATGATATTCCATTACTCTCCCCCAACCCAAACTTAAAAATGGAATATCTCGTCAATGGATAGACGGAAATCAAAAATTTCAACACCGAAATATTTATTAACTAATACTACATCTATTAATGGAATTTTGTTTGTAGGTTGCCATTTGAAAACCAAAAGTAGGTATTCGTTTCACATCCAAAAATAAGGATGATAAAAAAAATTAATAATTTAACATTTAATTAATTAACATTAATAAATTTAACATTTTGGAACTATTTGTTTCTTAAGTTTTCAAAAAAAAAAAAAAAAAATAATAATAAACAAAAAATGCATACTTTCCGAGATAACGTGTGTCTATGATAGATTGATCATCCTGTATATCAACGACCATAGGGATAGCCAGATATATTTTTTTTTGAGGGATTTTATAGGGAGAGAACTAGTGAAATTTGTTGATGAGCAAAATAAAAAAAAAATAAATTCCAACCTACTAGTGGTAAATTCACTCTGGATCCGGCCTTGCATATCATCCATTCATAATATCATCCTCGCATACATTAGCTATTTTCTTATCATCTCAATCGCGTTCAACCACCTCTTTTTCGGTCTTTTTCTTCCCCTCTTTCTTTCTATATTTATTTTCATTGAAATTTTTAGTGCTTCTCCTTATCTCATGACATATCTAAACTGTCTAAGTCTATATTTTCTCTCAAGTTGCCCTTTATCGAATCGACGTCTATGCTACTTATATGTACTCGTTCCTTATCCTATCTTATCTTGTCGGAAATGGGACGTTAGGTCCGTTAGGGACGATGCTCAACACTTTGACCATACAACATAGTCGGTCTTATCAAACTTTTTATACATGATATTATCTATACATTAATAATAATAATAATAATAATAAAAAAAGTAAATAACAATAATTGTTAAACTATTAGCATCATCCACATCCTTATGACAAAAAAAAATTTGTCATCTTTTGCACGTAACGTACCTCTTTTAAAACGTCGGCGATTTTCGATAAAAACTCTTCATTGAGATCCTTCATTAATGGTACGCTTTTCAGAAATCCCACTCGTTCATCAAACCTTCTCATAGCGGAAGTCTTCATGATTTGTTGATAAGCAACCCTTTCTAGTGTCCAAACTCTGACATCCTGAACGGCTAACAACAAAAAAAAAAATAGATAATAATAATAATAATAACAGTACAAATATATTATATAGTATAAGGTAATATAATCCATAAAGATAATTTTGGATTTGCGCACACCTTTTACCGACGCAGTCCGCGGACAATTGTAAAGTATGGCCAGTTCGCCAAACACTTCACCCGGCCCGATATAATCAACCACTCGGCCGCTTTGTATCACTTCGAATTTCCCTTCATCGGCCACGTACAAACAAGAACCTGAAGTTACAGCATATTATACAAACTATACATTTGTACAAATTATAATTATAACAAGTGACTGATATCTTCTTTTTTTTAACATCGATACACCTTTTCCCCTAATAATTGGTCGGGATAGGTGCGTGTAAAAAGATAGGGGGTTAGGGGTTTAATCCCCCCTCAAAATTTCATGAAAATTGTGACGAGTGCAGCTAAAGTTATAGGTAATTTAATGTATATCTGTAAGCGATTCTGAGCTGAGTTCGGTTGATAGTATTGCTTTGTTAATAATATAATGTCATATTAGGGTAAAATAATGATAATTACATGTATATTATGTATTTCCGTTAATAATATTTGTTTAATATTGTAATTGTTTTCTCATTTTTTCCGGTTTTTAACATTTACTGATAAACACCATTTTAAAACTAATACGTTCCTCTCTCCACTCAGAATCTAAAATTAATATTATAAAACATTGACAATTTTAATGAAAAATAAATAATTTTACAATAATTAAAAATTATGTTAACTTTTTTGTTATATTATTACGAAAGTGTACAACCTTAAACCCCCTTTGAAATATTTTTTTGTAAACGCACCTGGGTTCAGATTCAGAGCGTGGGCGTTTTATATATTTTTTTTACTTCTCTAAATATTGTGCCCAGAAGTATCATTGCAATATTATTTGTTTGGTTATAGCTTGAAGGGCATATTTATAAAACATAATATAATGCACAACATAAATTAGTAAATTATATACCAATATATATTTATAAATTATAGGATTTGGCCATTTTAATATTTTTTTTTTTTTTTGATTCTATATATAATCTAAAATGTTGTATAATGGTGAGGTTAGGTTACTTCTTTTGAGTTTCAAATAGAGTCTTTTGCATCGTGTGGTCTGATATAGAATAATATGTTCTCGAGTTAGCTAGGATACTAATTGCTAAGTCTCGAGAACTAGAGTTATTTTGTAGACGGATTGCAGTGTCTATCTCCATTGGAGAAATCCAGGGGGGGCGTACACGTATTTTTTTAGTGACTTTTTTCACTTTCAACCCTCGTCCCACCGGTCTCAAAATTTTTTTTGTAAGTATTATATAGTTATAATATAATATAATATGGTAATATTATCATATTCTGCAGGTTGTGCATTGTTTTACAAAGAATGTGTCTACAATACAAACTGGGTCGGGTAAAATTTAACTCTATAGTGACAGAGCTTTGATGTATTTTTTCATAAAATCACTTTCAAGTCTGTAATGTATTTTACAAAAAGTCAAGGGGGAATTCCCGCTTACCCTATTCCGGGTATTATATGATATTATAACAAAAAAGTGTGCGGCTCACCCGGATCGCCTTTCCTGATAACGTACGCTCCACCTTCGATGTCTTTCGGGAACATTACGTCTACTATTTCGGAAATCTGGGCGGTGTTGAGGTTCTTCAGAAACGGATTCTTGCACAGCGCCTGTTTGATTAGGTGTTTGGTCCTGAAATGCGCCATTTAATATTACCACGTCCTCGCGTATATTTGCGAACGTCGTTGGTTGGCGTAGCGCATCGTACCTGATGGGTTTTGACTGTTTAGGAAACGCGACCGGCACAACTTCCGTTAGAGCAGTGGAACATTCTCCCGACACTCCTTTCTTTTTGTTTTGCAACTGCACCGACGGCGGTCCCAGAGCGAAATTTTGATTCAAAACCGAGGACTCTATCACGTTCTACGTAAAACAAAATTTGGGCCAATTGAAGGGCAACATATAGTAGGGTGGGCGCAGTCACGCGGTCACGACAGGAGAGTAGCCGGTCCGCCACCCCCCTCCTTGGACCCTCCCCTATATTATAATTTCCTTTGTTATACGAAAATTCAATCAGGAATTCAATTTATTAATGTCTAATGGGTAATAACCCCCCACCCCCCCCCAGTTGTTGTTTTAGACATAATTATGATATAATCGCAGTATTCACTGTTTCAAAATAATATTTTACGAATTAAATATTATTGTCGCAACGAAACTGTCACCCGTATACAATATTATGCTATAGTACGCGACAAACGCGTAGGTGTAATACGGACGAAAATACCAACGATACTTCGAAAAATCGAATTCAAACTTCAAGACGGACGGGTGGACCGGAGGTTTTCAGGGCTCGCCACGGCCCGCACAGAACCGCCGCCACTGCCATCGGTCGTATCGCCGGAAGCACGGCGTAATATCGCGTAATATCGCGCGTACGGTTTCATACAGCGATAATGACGTTTAGTGGCGTCATTTTCGTACGTTACAGTACTATTACAATGGTTGTGCGTAACGCACGTTATCGCTCGGAACCCGGTAATAATGTAATCGGGAGTTTAAAAGCGGGTCGACAGCAGGCGTACAGCGTCCAATACAGGAAGTGCACTTTGTGTCGCGGTAATCGCAGTTGTAGTGACGGACATTGGGACGCGGACAAAAGAATACAACTTTACATTATTTCTATTACCGCGCGAGTACAATGACACACGTACACAACGATAATATTATCGTAAGTACAGTTACGTCTCTCGGCCGGGGCTTGTAACTCGGTTTTTTATTCCTTCCCCGAAATTCTGGTTGAAACTCTACCATATTTACTAATATATTTCCCAGACAAAAACATTTTATTATTTTTTCAAATATTGATTTATACTGGCTTAAATTAATTTATCGAGGGCCTACAATAATTTGACACGCGAACAACGACGTGATCTAAGTGTCGATCTCATTGGTATTATTGTTATTTTTTTTTTTTACAGGGTTTGAAACATTTTGAAACTAAATTAGGGATGTTAAATATAAATACAAATTTAAACGTTTTCGATTAAACCGATTCGAACCGAACCGATGACCAAAAGCATAATTGGTTACACGCTGTTATTACTCGCGGAATACCATGTCAGAGATACGTTTATAAATATTGAAAACTAGGATACTGTACATACGCGTAACGACTGAATAATATTTTGTTCATTATGGAATTGATTAAATGGATTGGCCATGCCGGCACTCCATAGAGATGTATACCGATCGACCCAACTAGAGGACCGAATGATGAAATGGCTCTGAAGCCAAGAAGAGTAGATCTGTTATTGTTAAATTTATTTGTTATGAACATCTATGGAAACCTATGAATATCTGTCTACCGATTATTCTATTAGTGTCGTTTATTTTTAAATGTAAGACATATTATTGTGTACTTCGAGTGATGACGTTTATTTTTCTTCTAATCCCTATCTGAAAATAAATCTTGGATTACAAGTCCGTACCACTCCCCTACTCTTCCCCCCGTTCCGTACAATTTTCAACAGTTATCCAATCCACTCCCCGTCCTCACAGACCTAGCCCGAAATACGCCGCTGCATCATCCGACACTTGTATTGTGTTCGCAGCATATGGGTATAATACTATACCCCCGATTTGTATAATGTATCGCGAACAAAAAAAAAAAAAAAAAAAAAAAATATATCGTAATATTATTACGGGCACTCACGCGAATTTCGTCGACGTTCCGACCCAGCCGTTCGATCGCCCGATCCCTTTCGTCCATGGCCGCTTTCAGGCGCTCTACTTCCCGGGCCAGTTCGTCCATGGAGACGACGGCGGCTTTCTTCGGGTCCGCTATTACGCCGCTTGCGGACGCTTTGCCGCGGCCGCCACTACCGCCGCTACTAGCCGTAGCACTGGAAAACGCGTTGCCCATGAACAACAGCAGCACGTGGCACATTTCCTCGGGGAGCGCGCTCTCTCTCTCTCTCTCTCTCACTCTTTCAGTCCCCGTATCACGTACCCGCGTCACCGGTTCCCCTGCTGCCCGCGACCAAAATTCCGCAAAAGTGTTCCGTCCGCAGTAACTCCGCGCCGCCGCCGCCACCACTGCCGTTGCGTTATAACTCACGAGTTACGTCAGTTACGGTACAATACCGTGTGGTGCCGGTCGCATGCGGGCGCCGCGAATGCCGCCCGTCTGCGGCGCGCCGTACCCGCCGCCACCGCTGCACACGTATAATTATTATTATATCGCCGCCGTGTATAATATCCTTATCGTCCCCTATACACAATATTATATTATAATACGTGCACGCCGCCGCGTTTTATTGGGTCACGGACCGCCTACGAACACGATACGTACTGTAAGCGTATAGGTACCGTACACTATTGTACGTATACACACACATACACATGTATACGTGTACAGGGTGTTTGTAAAACGAATGGGTACCGTCCGATTGCAAAATCTTACTCGGCGAAGGGGGCGATCCAATGACGAGATATTTTACTTTTTTTACATTTTTTCCGTACGCCCAAAACTCGGGCCTTTTCCCCTTTCAACTGCTTGGAATATTCGCATACATTTTTAAAAATACACACACACACACATATATATATATATATTCCACTGAATTCGTGCATAAACACCATGGTATAGTTTATTAATCGACAATATTGATATACAATGATTAATAACGACAATGAGTAAAATATTATCGAAAACAAAATATAAATAATAATGTTTGCAAAGTAATCTAACCGTGTTGACGGTCGACCAATCAGGTATACTGGACGGCGATACACAAACCACGCACGGTGATATTTTCTGTAAAATTCTCGTACAAATATAGATGACGTGTTTCGTCATTTTTTTTTCCATTCTGGTGACTAGAATAAAGGTTCAAAAACTGTGTAAAAATAATGTGACACCTTAGATTAAAAAGGGAAGATTACTTCTCTAACCCCATCCTTTCCTCTTTCCTACGCTCCTGATTATTCGTACAAGTCGATTGTACTCGTGACTGCGGTATGAATTTAAGAAGCACGCTGTATACAGTTATAGGTGCTACATTTTAATGCGTTAGAAAAACGTACTAATATTAGACTATCATATACATGTAGACGAATAAGTAATTTTTTTTTGGTTTTGTAATATTTGTACGCGATAAAATGTTTTCCGCCCGATCGTCTTTCCTTTTCGGCCACCACCGTGGTCGAAACTACGTGTCCGTCGTTCGTGAGGCTTTTGCGCACTGCCGTGCGACATTTAGGTTTGTGCATTTTATACAACGGCCGTCGTTCATAAAATTACATTAAACGAGTATAACGATACTGTACGATACCAGTGGCGTTCTCAAAGGGATTGATGCGGGTGATATATCACCTTCCAAAGAGGTCTAGAACCCGGGAGTTTTTTTTTTCTGTTTTGCAAAAACTTGTTACACGCAGTACCTATGGCATAACGCGAAATATCAAGTGTGAAACATGTCGCCTTTATTGGTTATTGCTAATTGTTTATTATTAAAAGGACGTCACATCTACGGTATCGGTCCATTTATCGAGCAACGTTTAAAAACACGCAGACTGTATATAAAACCAGCTTAATTTAGAGTTAAAGTACTTATTATGAAATGTATAGAAAATAATATTTTGAAGGAAGCCTCATCGAGTTTTTGTGTTATTCTAAATAATATACAGCTTGATATAAAAAAAAGGCACACAAACGTTTTTTTTTTGTTTTTATTTTTTTTAAATAACTATAATGTTTTTAATAGTTTAAATTAAAAAAAATTACCTATGCAATTCTCTCCAAAATATTGTTTTATATAAATTTCATAATAGGTACTTTTACTATAAATACAAAATTAAGCTAGTTTTACTTAGTCTGCGTAAATATTGTTTTTGCACGTTGCCCGGTAGTCGGACCGAGATAGATGCGAGTATGGGCGTCCTCTATAAATGTTAATCAAATTGCGTGGTATATTATATTGAAAATTACGATTTTTCCTTGATATTTTCGATAAATGTTCATATCACCCCCCTCTCCCTACAGAAACGTCCTAGTTATGCTACTGGTGTATCCTTTAGAAAAAAACCTATTAGAAAACTACTAATATTTCTCAAATAGTCATTTCGGAAAAACTATTAGACATTTTAATAATTTACTACTAAACAAATTTTAATAGTTTCACTACTAGATTTTAATAGTTTATACTAAAATATGAGAAAAAAATGCAAACAATTTGAATTTCATTTTTGTCGCCACCTGGAATTGAACACAAGCCTAAGTTAACCTAACGCTTCATTCACTACCCTACTTACCTAATTGTTGAATAATTGAATTTTATGACTATATAAGTTATTAAGTCAATTTCAAAATATTGTATACCTATTTATAGTGACATCTCGAAATTGCAGAATTGTTGGGAATTTCAACTTCTCTGAATAGTGGACACCAGTGCCAGGGAGAGGTGGGGAGCGAGAAGGAGTGGGAGGACGTACCCCTTCTTTTTGTTTTTTGGTTATTTTGGTGTATTTTGTATCGTAATATAAAATAGCAGTTTATATAATAATGATAAGTGACCCCCTCTCAAAAAAAATAAAAAAATTTACTACCGTACACCGACGAATAATGGACAAAGTTTTAGTGATCTCGAGGGTCTGAATGTTTAAACAGTTTACATTTACTAGTATTTGATTCAGCAAGAGGAGAAGTATGTCTGTAGGGGTGAGGTGGGGTTAATTTCAAAATATTATATAAATACTGTAGTATGACACCTCGGAATCACGTTTTTTAAAGAACTTTGTACTCCAAACTGAACTTATTAAAGCTGACATTATAGTACGATATTCAGAATTTCAGAAGGTACTAGGGGCCCGAGCCCCCCCGGTATTTTTAGTTAAATTGGTTATTTCGGTTTTTAATAGTTCTAAAAAATAGTAAGTTATGAATGGCAGCGGCGGGTGGTGGCGAGGTATACCAACATAGATAAGTTTAAATTTCACTAATATATAACTACTCACTGTAATAGTTAATAGGTTATTAGATGATAGTTCACTACTAAAAAACTACTTATTACAATAGTTAGCTATTAAATACTAATAGTTTTTTTTACTAAGGGACACCGTAATTATTATTCGATATCGGGCGTCACGAAGTCTAGTCAGCCAAGTATAATCACCTAGTTGTCCGTAAACGTATTATCATAATATATAATACAATAATTGCGGGCGATGGCATGGTCGTTTTTTTTTTTTAATGATTATTTTATTGAATTTCGCGGGATAACGCGATGTTCGAATCCGAGGGCGAGCTTAGGAGCGTGTAGGGAAAGTAGGGAGACGGGGGAGGTGAGCGTGAGGGCGACTGAAAAAAACCTCATGGCCGCCATCAACAACGGCTATTGTTATTCGCGTCCGGGGTCGTTAAATTATCGCGATGTTATATTATTATTATTATATTATCGACGACCGCGACGAGGCGCCATACGCGTTTTCTATTCAATTCGAACGTTCGTTTTAACCGTGAAGGGGAGGAAGGGAGGAGGGGCAACTATGATTTTGGGACATTTTCCTACGACGCGTTCTACTGCAGTATCTGTACGGGTATAGGTACCGTAAGAACACCATCTGCATAATATCAAAACCGTTTTGAAATAAGAGAATCTAAAAAAAACCCCTAAAACGAAAATGTTATTATATCGATGGTGACATGGAAAAAGGGTCTAAGCGACACGGCTGCACTGTTGGATGGAGAAATACGTGTTTCGTCCATTGCGTGTGCGCAAAAACAACTGTGACCATTGTGTAACGAACAATTTGAATTTTAAGTTTGCGATATAAACGATACTTTTTATTTTGTCTTCTCAATTATAGGGTCTAATCGAAAATAAAAGCTTAATAAACTATTCGTGTTCATATTAAGGACGTACAAACAAAAATAAAGTATTCAATGAAAAAATTCCCTATTCCAACCGAAAAAAAGTTATTACCAATCTTAAAAATAAACGTTGAAATCATAAAGAAAAGTGTTTTGTCTCTCTTGAAAACTATGAATTTTGTCGCTTAGACCCTTTTGTCACCATCAATATTTTAAACGTTGGCAACAAGGGAAAAATTTGACTAATAGTACTTTCCTCAGAATCGTTTTTTGTTAACAATGGTTTAACTTTGTGTATACAGATTTAAATAAATTTATTCTGTAAAACCCTGTCCATATTCTTACCCCGATATCATTATCGGCTTTTTTTTCGTTTATTTGTATTGTATATATAATATGTATTCAGTAAAACAAAGCAGAAACGACAGTAAGTTATTTTATATTATCTAGCTTTGTTTTACATCAGAATACATATTATCATAAATAAATTGTATACACGTGGATTTTATTCGACATAAAAACCTGTATCCTGTAAAAGCCCTCCCTCATTTGTACTATTCTAGCTTTTTTTATATATCCCTTATTTAAACCGATTTTCGAAGAGACAAAAAATGTACACCTACCTACTGTTTTAAAATTTAAGTTAAATTGTTTTATACTGCTTACAGGTTATTCTAGAGTCTAGAAAAAAAAATCAATAATATTGTATGTTTTATCAGTTTTCTATTTTAAAGGTATACAATTTTAAAATTATCTCGTCTTGAGAAGACCGATCAATACGGTATAAGCGTTTATTGCTTACAATTAATAAAATACCCTTGCGATAATGGCGAGAGCTTGCAGCAGCGGTGATGTCAAAACTTACCGTTAATGTGTAAGAGGTATCCAAAGACGATTTAATGAAACTAATGGCTTGCGGTATATGACCCCGGATTAAGACTGCGTGATTATTTTTTTCTTCCAATAATCGATTATTTAAATATTTTTTCGATTATAATCAATTAATTGAATAACCAAAAGATCGATTAATCAAATAGTTGAATAATCGATTATTAGTTTATAAACAGAACAATCGTATTATAATCGATAATGAATACTACAATGAAAACCGTATGATCGAGTGACATAATAATCGTGTAATCGAATAATTATTTTATCTTAAGAATAAAACGTACGCCCAAGATAATTATTTGATTATTATTATAATTATTTACCAACTTGGGTTGAATTAACTAGTAATGTAGTGATGGGAATAATTGAATAATTTCGAGTCAACAAAATACAGTTACACTAACTGACATATTTGTCAAAATTAAATTAATCGAATCACTCAAATAAATTGCCAATAAAAATGTATCAAGAACTATAAAACTACATAGGTAATTGTCATTTAATCGTATATATCATTGTAGTAAAAACAACTACTGCCGGAAATAAAAATAATAAGCATACACAAAAATATTAAATAATAACAAACCATATGGATGTTAACTTTTTTGCATTTATATTTATATTTTTAATGTTTACTTTAATTGACTGTTACATTAAAAAGCAATTTTACGCCACTAATTGATTAATATTCCATTATTTATTTAACCATATTTTTATTTCGATTATCATTCAATTATTCGATTTTTTTTTATTATTCATATCATTACAATATTAATCTATATTATTAATTTGACGGGTAAAAAGTTATTTTTAAAATCGATACACGATATAAATCAAAAAAAAAAAAAAATGTTTTAATTAAAATTGAGGAACTAACAAATACTAATGTAGAAGTAAAAAAATTGGGTAATTTTTGTTCTGATAATTTTGACGAAAAATTGCAATAGGCTTTTTTAAATTTTTGAAGATCACGAAAAAAGATTAAATTCAATTGAAACTTTGGATTCTAATGATCATCTAATGGGATCATACTCATCCCGAGTATGATTTAAATAAATTACAGTGTAAAATGTACATACCAATAATTTAAGTCAATACGATTGAAAGATGTGCAATCTGCATATGTGAATAAGTGAATAATTGATTATCTTCACAAAAAAATACCGAATTTAACTTCATTTTAATAATAACAAACAAAATTTAATTCATTGGCTTACGAATACTAGTAGAATGACAGAGTATTAACAATTTAATATCAAATGCATGGGTAAATAATAATCAAGTTTNAGCGACTTCGAAATATGTGTTTATCTAAATTATATTTTTACCACAACCATTTAATAACATATAAATCAATATTATGATGTAAGATATTGGAAAAACAATTTCTTTTTTTTTAGCTTATATAGTTTAGTGGCACCTTAATATTCATACACACATTAAAATATGTCGTTTATGTCAAAGATTTATTTCTGTCTTAGAATAATATCTAATTTTGTCGGTTTTCATTTCAACTTATCAATGACGTCTTAAAAGCACAGACAACATGGCCAATCCATTTAATCTATCCTGTGAAAAAAAAAAAGGGGTTCGAACATCCAAAACTCTATCCGTATGTATGTCACTGATTGTGTATCTATAGGTGAAATGTGACGTATTTACATATATATGTAAAAAAAAAAATGTTGGTTTGAAATTTCCACTAATCATTTATAATAATATAATAATTTCATAGTTTTCAAACATATTTTAGGAACACAAATTCGGAAAACAAATTAAAAGGATCCTCAATATTATACATACCACGCAGAAGCAGTAGCATAAATAGAGGGGGGGTTTAAAGGGTCAATATTCCTTCTCCTCCGAAATGCCTTCCTTCACAAAATGTTAGATTTGGAGCGTAGCGAAGGATCTATTAGTTCACACTATGATGTTTATTTTTTAGGTAAAACGGTAAACCAAATTTTAACGAAAATCGTAAAATTTACGGCATTTCAAAATATGACTTATAACGAACTTCGTTCCGAATCGTTTTTCGTTAGCAATAGTTTATTTTTGCGTACAAATATAAATTATAACTTTATGTATCCTATTTCCCCAACTTCCCACTTAAAAGAGGGGCTGCACCCATCCCAAATCAACTCCTGTTATAAGCATACACATTTCCAAAAAAAAAAAAAAATGATCGGAATCATTCACTTTACGAAAAATAAAGTGAACCGATTTTGAATGAGAGTTTTTCCTGTGAAGCATGTTTTTGAGCAAAAAAACAGGTCACAATGTAATGAAACTAGCATGTCTTTTATGTTCTGTGTAGATGAGTTGCAATCACAATATATTTCCTTGATGAAAGCTATCGATATTATTGAATGCGGTTATTTGAATATTCAAATATTTAATATAAACTAATTACGATTATACTGTAAGGCATAAGTGTAAGGTATTCGCGTACCTATATTTAAAATGCCTGTCTCATAATATTTAATATTTGCTGAGTTAAAAACCAAATGTATGGAACGGTTTTGTTGGAATTATTTAGTGAATAATATTTATTTTTAGTAATAATTCTTCAAAAAACCTTTATATTGATAATTTTTGAATCACAAAGTTGTTTTTATTTTTTGATTATTGTAGACTGAGTGAAATATCCGAACAAATAAAGAAATATAAACAAATTAATTAGTTTATATGATAATATATAAATCGTTAGGTTTAGGTATATTTAGCTACATTAAAAGACAAAAGTGTATGTCGAGTATAAAGTTTGTTCTCTGTAAATCTTATTCAAGGGTATCTATCTTAAAATACTCGATGTACTTTTAAAAGCTTTTAAATGTTCCTTATTTAAAGTTTCACTCATAATTAAAATAAAAATGTGCTCCGCTTGTTCAACCACTGAACAGTAGAAACATTTTATTATATATATTTATGTATTTTTTTATTGAATATATATGATTTTTAGATCCAGACTTGTCGAGTGGTTTTCTATTATAGATTGTCTCGATAAAACTATTGAACTCCAGGAATTCGTATCCATTTATTTGTATAAGCGTATTCCAAGTACGGAATAAATTTATTTTTAATCAAATTACTATATTCTTAGAATTGTTATTTTTAATATCAAGTAGCTTTAATTTATAATTCAGTCTCTAAGTAACATCACTAATCGAAATGTATATAAAATAAATAACGCATGTATGATAAATGTTTAGTTATTATTTTAGTTTTATAGCGAATATTCAAGTATGGAATCTTCTCAAGAAGTGAAATATTTTGTAAAAACAAATATAATTTCGAAAATAGAGGATGATCCCAGAGATAAACTATTATGCCGAGTAAGAACGTATATTATATAAACCAGTTAAATGATAAAAGAGACCATTAAAAAAAAAACCTCTCATTATTGTACCTACATACGTGTGTTTTACAGTCACAAGACTTACGAAAAAAATCCGCAAAAGCAATTAAAAAATATCGACAAACAAAGAACGAATATTGGTCCAGTTTGGCCAAACCTAAACGTCCATATATTCCTAAAACAGCACCCGTATTTCTAAAGTGAGTTTAAACAACAAAGTATACTTAATGTAGCCTTTAGATTTATGGAGAATACATTTATTTAGCACTATTTTATTTTTTTAATCGTCATTTAGTACCAATAAAATTAAGAATAAGAAATCGTGGAGTATTGAACGTACAAATGAATTGGCTAAACCCAAGGTCGATTTTTATGAATTCACGTGAGTACCCTCATACATCGCGTTTTATGAAATTACTTACATAATGCGTCATTTTTCTGAAATTAATTTGTTATTAACGGAGTTAAGCAAAAATAATTATTTTAAATTATTTTTATTATAAAATGTATAAAAATGTATATAGGTAAAGATAGAAGGTAATTAGTTAAAATGTTCCTGGATCAGTGTTTTCCAATATTTTTTATTCTACGCCCTACTTGTAGATTGTCAAAAATTGTAAATTTTAGATACAGTCAATTTACACATTTTATATTTTTTTTTTCTACAATTACGTCATGGCTATATTACCTTCTACGCAGTATCTAAATTTATTTTTTGTACGGAGAATTCCCTCCTGTTGGTAAACACTGGTCTAGATAAAGATACAGATAGTTAAAAGTGTAAATTATCTTAAGTTAAAATACTATTTATCTAGATTAAAAAAAAAAGGATAAACATTTTAAACTTTAATAATTTACTTACGTAGGTATATTTTTTTTATCAATTTATTCAATAAAAATAAATAATTAGTATAGTGAATGAATATATAAATAAAACATTTATATATATATATTATATATATATAATATATATACTATATTTATTTACGAGTAATAACCATTTTAATAATTTTGTTTTTACTTTATTATTCTATTAAATAATTAGCTGTCCCACGCCCGGTACCCGTGCCATTTATTATTATTATCATTTTACCCATATTCATTTTTGGTTTGGGCCGTGTCAGAACTGAATGAAAACAAATAAGTGGAAAGTGGGTAGTCCACCTTCGGCGGACTAAATGCGTTCCATTGTGAAATTTTAATAGTTTAAATAATAGTAATCATAATTATTATAATAGTTTTCTTTTCAGTAACACCTGAATAAACAAAAATAAATAAATATGCAATTAGATATTCGTACCAAATATACCTAAAATCCCCTATTTTACCCCCTTAGGGATTGAATTTTCAAATATCCTTTCTTGGCGGATGCCTACGTTATAATATAGCTATCTATGTGCCAAATTTCAGCCCGATCCGTCCGTCAGTAAATTAGTCAAGACATGTTATTTTATAAAAGTAGACGAGTGATTAATGTACTATTATCTGATGTTAATTTGTATAGATTGGGTTTTTAATTTAATTTCAAAATGTATATTATTGAATTAGTATTGAGTACTAACTTATTCTTTGTATTGAGTTATTTTTTTAATCCAGAGATTGATTTTTAACAAATTTGTTTACACCAAATGCTTTGTCCATGATTCTCTGTCGTTTGCCAAAATTCTTCATTATTTGGCGCATGTACTTCGTTTGGGATGTACCTCTTGATTATGTTCCTTTCATTATTCCTTCATATTTCAATTATGAAACTGTATAAATCGTCACCATGATACAATGTTTGTCTTGTCATCTATCATCTTTTCTTTATGATATCAATTAACGTACGTATTTCATCTATTATCTTTAAGACTTCTTCATTCGTTCTTCTTTCATTCCAACTTATCATTTGTATTTTTCTCCAACACCATATATCCAGAGCTTCCAACAGAGCGTAACTAGGATTTGTTTAAGGGGCTGTTAATTATTATAAATATTTTACTATATACATACAAACTATAACTTTAGTACCCGTTTCTCGTTTCTTATAAAAAGAAACTAGCTCGTTCCTTTAAGCGTTCTTTTTTTTTTTTTTTTATGAATACGCATATTACATATTCATAAACATCTATAAAAGATATATAAGATGGTGCAGCTACTGTTGTAGATGGGAAGTTAGGAAGGTAGAATAACTAAAATTGGAAACTATTCTTACTTCTTAGAATCTACATGTTAAAAATCCTAGTAAATAAAATAAATATCCTAGTTGCTATCTAAAAAATGAAAAAAATATATTAAGCACAAACATTCAATTTACTAAAAATTAAAATTAAATTATATACGTATATACATACGAGGTTTGGCTATTAAATAACGAGACTGCGCGCGCTGGGAGCGTCCCAAAAAAGTTAAGGGAAAACCGAATACAGCGCTGGTTAGCTGGAAGTGTCTATTACGCCAGTACAAAATTGGGTTTTTGTTGGTGCATTAGTATTTTTTCTGTAGCGTTTAGAAACGAACATGTTTTTTTATCTTGCCGAAAACGATGTGTGACGAAAAACATGAGCAACGGATAAACGTAAAATTTTTTCGTTTAACTAAAAAAAACTCCAACTTAGTGCTATAAGTTGTTAAAAGAGGCCTATAGTGAGGATTTTCTATCTCGGGCACGTGTTTTTGAGTGGCATAAATTATTTTCTGAAGGTCGAGAGTGCACCGGAATTCAGTCGTAATCCAAATTCAAAACCATGCTGATGGATTCTTCGATATCAACGGCATCGTGATGACTGAATGGGTTCCAGAGGGTCAAACTGTGAACCAACATTACTATTTGAGAGTTTTGGCAAAAACAAGTCGTGGATCTTGCACCAGAATAACGCACTTGCCCATAACGCGCTGTCTGTGAAGCGTTATTTGGCCGCTTAAGGCACTCCAGTACTCGAACACGCGTCTTACTCACCCAACTGGGCACCCTGCGACTTTTACTTGTTTCCGAAGATAAAGTCTGGCTTAAAAGGAATCCGGTTTGAGTCGATGGAAGAGGTGAAACAAAAATCGGCGGAACTCCTGAATGGTCTTACGAAACAGACTTCCAGCACTGCCTGGAGCAATGGAAGAAACGAATGAAACGGTGTGTGGCGAGGGGAGGAGAGTATACTGAAGGGGAACATTTGGTTGTGGAATAATTTTTAAAATAAAACCATTTTTCATAAGCAGTCTCGTTATTTAATAGCCAAACCTCGTATATGTATATGCTGTATCTACTGTTATATTTAATTTATGCATGCGCATATTTGTGAAATGAAATGAAATAAATAATAAATATGTATGTTATATATATTGCACAATATTACATTCCAGACGTAAATTTGTCCAAATAATGAAATGGGTAATTTTTCGTCTAATTTGTAAAATGATCAAATAAATTGCCCATTTCATGAATTGAGCAAAACTAGTGATATGTATTATACATTTTTTTATTCAATTCGCTTTAAAAACTATATTCTTTACAAATCTCAGAATCTAAATAAAATAGATCTAATAATTATAAGACTATTTTGTACAAAATAATTTTAGTATAAACCTTAATACATAAATACATTTATTTAGATAAATCTATTATTTATGTTAAAAAAGATAAGATAGTACATTTTGATACTTATCTTGATGAAATATGAGATACCTAATTAATCATTTATCTAGATTTAACATTGGTTGTTAAACAATATTAGTGATGAACGATTATTATATTTTTAAAGTCTCCACATTTTTGTACACCATATTGTTTACAAACGTTTGTGTGTGGTGATGAATATTTCTATTTTTGTGCACGTTTTTACGTAAGCATAAATTAATATTTCGTAACGCACTCGTGTTATAATAATATATTATGTTCTGTCACAAATTTTTCTTGTAAATATATGATTTTTATGACTGTCTTTTTATGCACGTATATGACCTGTTTAGAAATGAAAATCTTGGTAATAAACTCGGTGAGCAGTATATTATCTCAATCCGACACTGTAAATAAAGATAATTAATTAAGTATCTATTACTATAATACTTTATTTCCGTATACGTCTTTTCGTTTTAAATGTTTTCGGTGTTTTTAAAATTGTATTTCAATCGTGTATATCTCTTTTTAATATGATTATTCTATATTTTTCTATATTCGATAAGCGAACAAGATACATTTGTAACTGAAACTGTTAATTATTCCTACGTATAGTAAAAATTAAATTACCTATATATTTCACTGGCCGTTGTGTAATAGAATGTAATACTTCAATGGTAACGTTCAAATTTAACGAGAATAATTGATTTGATTTCAACGAACATGTAGTTTTTATTTCGAAATATCATTTAATCTAATTTTTCAATTTCAGAGAGCAGTTAAAGATAACTAAGCGCTTTTTGCGGCCTTCAAATATAGGAAGGATTAATGAATTGGCCATTCCGCGGATGACACCATTAGACGTCAATCAAAATATGGAGCGCTTGGTATTATTGAAATAAAATAACATTATAAAAATTAGAATTCGTATTATTTGTATAGAGCGCAAGTCGCAAGGTGCCTTTGTCGATGTTGTTACCGAGATTAGAAAGACTTTCGATTCCTCCGAAACGGAATGACATGAACGAAATCAATAGATACGACCATGAAACGTTTTCAGTAAATACTATCATTTTTTTTAGCTTTAAGTTGTCCCGTAAATAGTGAGTTATAGATACGCACTTTTTTTTTTTTAAAAAAAAATTGAATTTGTATGATTTGTATAGAGCGCAAGGCGCAAGGTGCCTTTGTCGATGTTGTTACCAAGATTAGAAAGACTTTCGATTCCTCCTAAACGGAATGACATAAACGAAATCATTAGACCCGACCATGAAACGTTTTCGGTAAATACTATCATTTTTTTAGCTTTAAATTGTCCCGTAAATAGTGAGTTATATATTGCACTTTTTGTACATATCCATACATAGATTTTATTTTTATTATGTTAGTACGATAGTATATATTATTATATTATAACCTTGAATATGAGTTAATGGTCAGGGCCCAGAGGACGTTTGTTTTTGCAATAATAAGTAAATATGTTTATATTAATGAGTGTAATCTACGTTTTCAGGTTAAAAAGTCTGCCTTAAAATTCGTCGCTTCCGACAGGCTGATACGGTTGGCAACCCCGCGACCAGTGATCAGTAATTGGCAATGATGTTTTAATTATGTCCGCCAGTAAAAACTGCACAACCCGTTATCTATATTCTTATGATATCCCACTGTGTGTTTTTAAAAATAATGATAATAATGAAACAAATAAAAAAGAAAAAGAAAAGAATTTTAATATAGTTTGATTTAAAATGTGTCCAATTATGTTTAATGTTTGTTTTGCGATAGATTAATATATACATATTTTGTTTATTATGAATTATTAGAAAGTTCATAACAACGGTCTTTTAAATTGTACACGGTAATTTTTAATTAGACGTATGATTAATTATAAGACCATCGGAGACATATATTTATCGCTAAAAAAAAAAAAAACCGTAATGTCTGTAGTATACGACAAAATGCAAGGTGTTAAAAATGTCCACATTATTATTAAGCACCGTATCGTCTAGTGTGTCGCAATTTTTTTGTTTGTTTTATATTTTTTTTTGCCGTTAATTTTTGACAGGGCAAACATTTTGGCACACACGACCGCATCATCTGTTGGTGACGGGTTTTAGTTTGATATTAACCATGACAACTAAAAAAAAATCCATGTATGCTGTCTTTTAAATTCTGTAAACGTTTCTTAGTCATTAGATTTGTATTTATCATAATATTTTGTTTAGTAGCCAAACTGACCTCATAATTATTTTGCACAAAAACACATCATACTTATTAAAATAATACATGTACCAATAAATTATTTTCTCATATCTGCAGGGCTACCTACATCAAAAATTAGATATTACACGTGTAATTAAAATAAATTATTTTTACATTTTAACATCGCAGATACCTACAATTAATTAGGTCTATCATTGTTTATAATTTATGTTTTATTAAATTTAATGTGACGTTTTTATATTTGATTTTTATGCGAAATGCAGGTATATTTCTTTTTAGAATTAGACGACTACTTTCAAGGCTACTATTAATGGAAATCTCAAGTGTAATTTGACAAGGCATCTAAAATAAACAAAGTATAGAAAAAAGTCATGCATTGCGAATTATTTTTAAATTTTATAACTATTAACACATTTTTTTTTCAACGATACAAGCATAGGTATTATGATGAAATATTTGTTGTGAAAATGACCTTAATTTAAATCGTTTTCCTATATTGTATGTAGACCAACGTACGATTTTTAAGTATACCGCAAAGTGTTGTACTCGTAAATAAACCATATTAACATTAGCTATGCCAACTTCTTAACATTAATTTTCTACTCATGTAAAGTACAATTTTGGTTAGTGTACATAACAAAAAAAAAAAAAATAAAAACAATACGATTGAAATTATTTTAATTAGGGGTTATGAATACAAAAAAAAAAAAAAAATCGTATTTAATTTTTTAAAAGTTATATAATTTATTTTCCGTATAATTAACTAGAAACTTTATTAAAAATGAGTTGTACAAATTGTAGAATATATGTCAACTTTTGTGTATTTTGTTTATTGTAAATTCAACCGACAGATCGTATACTGTATATAAATAATTAATGCATTAATAACTTCGTGAACCTTATGTAAAAACAATTTATTTACGTCCAAAATATGTATGTGAAATAAATCACATAGACATGTGCGTTAATTCCTAAGTATAGAGTATAGAGAGTTAAAAAAAAAAAAAACGATAAATTTGCATTATATAAATTGTAATTCAGCCAATTTTAAAGATAATTAATTTGAACAAAGAACGAAATCATTCCGTCCGAATCAAAAATATGGAGTATTATAGAATATAGCCAATGATTATATGAGTGATATATACCTACCACGAAGAACTATGATTTGTTTTTTTCGGAGTCAAATTTTCATTAATTTAAAATTTGTATTTTTAATAGTTTTTTCAAATTTTTTTTACAACGTTGTTATATTAAATGTTTTGACGAGTTATTTATTGAGTTCATCGTTGTACAATTGTCTTATTATACCTGATGGGTTTTTTGATACAATAGCAGAATGGTGGACCTACTTGGCACGATGGGTGGGCCTCTGTNATCATTCCGTCCGAATTAAAAACATGGAGTATTATAGAATATAGCCAATGATTATATGAGTGTTCGGTGTTCGGTTTGAAAAAATCGTAATATTTACGATTTCAAAATAGTATAAATTTCGTACATTTTCTCGTTTTTTGTACGCGTTTCCCGGTTTTTCCCGTTTATTGGGAAAACTCTTGGGAAAATCAAAAAACGACTTCGTCAAAGTATCACTCCATTCAGATTTCTTTTCAGAAAAAGTGCTATAATTGAAAATCGGAGTAAAATTGCTGATAGAAAAGTTGTATACAGAAAGGAAAAAAAAAAAATTAAATAACAATTATAAACATAATTGTATAACTAATACATTCCTCGCTCCGCTCAGAATCTAAAACAATACAAAACGCAGGTGCGCATTGTGTATTGATGTGTTTTGGTTCGCAGGATTAATTACATTGAGCCTTTCAAATCCGTCTCATCAATGATATGATGGTTTTATATCATTTTCCGGATTCATTATTTATATTAAATTATTATATAATGGCGAGGCTATTTATTTTTCTCTACCCGCTTATATAATATTAAAGTAATATATTATGTGTTTGATTGTTATTGATGTTTAAGGAAAATATTTTATTTGAAATTTGATTTTGTTTTCTTTGGAAATTTAAATGTTTTGGCCTAATGTTTTATTGTTAATAATATATAATATAATTAATATATCGAATTATTAACTCCGCATCTTTATATACTGGTGTACAACGCACAAGTATATAAGATACAACAAAAAAATAATTTATTCATCCGTCTGAGTAAACCAATAAATACGATTACGACATGTGAAGTGATCTGTTTGTTAATTATTGTGTTAATGATTTATTATTATGGTCAAAACATCAAATAACATACAATTTTGTTTCTTGTGATAGATATTACAAAGCAGAAACCCGTTTATTCGTTAAGAATAAAAAAGTTAATTATTAATTTTACTTATCGTAAACCAGTAAAAACTAAAAAAGTACCGTACAAAATTATTTAGCTATATGTATTCGTTACTACACTATTCACTGAGTATTCATTAGTGGTTTTTTGCACGTTAATATTATCACAATAACTATGGTGTGGAAATTAAAAAAAATAATTATGTTCTAAATAATAGGCATCATTGCAATTCTGCTTTTCTTGGCCATCCTACAGGGAAGGGTATGGACATTTCGTTTTTAAGTATATAATTTAGTAAGATAAGACGTTATGTCTCATCAATGTTTGCATTATCTATAGCTATGTACTGCAGTAAGTATTATTTATTTAAAATTGTATTGTATTCTAAATTGTGCTGATTATTTGTGTAAACAAATATAATTTATGTTATATTGCGTGCTCATCACGTGAATATAATAAATTCGTCACATACGGCATGTGGCGGGGTGACATGGTGAATGATATTTGATTTGTGGATAAATTAAATTAGTAAAGAATGTATTGGTTTTACTAAAATGTTTATTATAATTATTATTTTTTTTATACTGCGTACACAAATTTGACCATAAATGTTACTCAGATATATAAGCGTGGCAACATTTGAAAGAGAATGTTGTTCAGATTTTTTTTTCATACTATTGGGAAGTCATTTTTTTGATTTTCCAAGCGATTTTCATAAAACCAGGATAACACGTAAGAAAAACGGGAAATATATAAAAATAATGCTTTTATTATTTTTCAATTTTGTTATTTGTTGTAATTCAGTTAAAATATTCGTAGAGACTTTAAATTCAGATTTAAAATTATGTGAAATAAATCTAATTCGTCAATTATATTTTTATATTTTTTTAAAATTTTTCGATGCATGTATATTGCCGATTTAAAAACGATAGGAAATTCAGAATTAAGCGGACTGACTCAATTTTGAAATTATAGCTTTTAGAAGTTCTGATATTATGCGGATACTATATGTTACGTAAAAATAATTCTATATTGTATTTGTGCCAACATATTTGTCGTGGTCTAATGGTTATTTAGATCAATTATCATCCTAGGGGTTCCGAGATCAAACCAGTATTTCGTAAACAATTTTTAGCATTTTTTAAACTTTTAACTAAACAAGGAAAAAACAAATTCATTTTAGGTGTTTCTAGGGACCCAATCCATCGCTTGCTTGGGCTATTTTAATCGCAAAATACTCCTCGATTTGTTGCGCAAACTTTTCTACCAGCAATTTATTTCTGATTTAAAATGATAGCGCTTTTTCTGGAAGGAAATTTTACTGGGAAGGTATTTTAAGGGGGTCATTTTTTGATGATTTTCCCAAGAGTTTTTCCAGCAAATGTGTAAAATCGGGAAAAAACACGGGGAAACCGGGAAAACGGTAAAATCGGTAAAGTATTAAACAAATATTATTAAAGAAAATATACAACGCCTATTTAATTATTTTACTATAATATGACATATATTGTTGACAAAGCTGAATTGCGCTCAGAATCGTTTTTTCGTTAGCAATGGTTTACAGATACACATTAAATTACCTATAATAGCGGCTGCAATCATCTCCATTATCCTAGGACGTCTTTTTTTTATGTTTAATTCAGTCAAGTATAAAATTATTTCACGCACGCGACTTATCATTTATGGCGCGGGAAAAAATATTTTGGCCTGACTGTATCTTATAGGACTGATCATGACTTGTGCACACATGGATATGACTCGTACATTTCACAATATTTACCATATGACTAATCACGTTTATTATATTTACATATTCATTTGTCAAATGTCTCACGGTAAGTACTCGTATATATCTGAAAATGCGTTACAGTTAAACGCAGTACAGAATCCACGTGAGAAATATTAGAGTTTGACTTATCCATGATGTTTCTCACAAAAACCGTAAAATATGTATAATGTATATTATATTATTTCGAACCGAGGGACAAATGACTTAATTAAATTGAATACAAATAATCTTAAAATTATAATCAAATGAAAAAATCGGTGATTATAATAAATTATCAAGACCATATAAATAGCCGAGACTGAGTACTTAGAAAAAGATGTGACACGCAAATGAAAATGATATTGTAAGTATTTATAAAGATGGCCTATACATTAGATTACGTGTTGATGGACATCAAGAAAATGAAAAAAATTTAAAAAAAAAATAATACAACTCTTGACGGAATTTGCCCAGTGGAAACAATAATATATCTTCCTAATACATTATTGCAGCGCGTTTCTTCTAAAACATTCTAAACAATTGTCTGCGGCCGTGGCGGCGTCAGGAGTCGTGCGACGGAAATAAAGCTCTTAGCAGGTCAGCACGCAAAATTTGGCTCCAAGCCCGTTTATTATATTGTGTCCCTCCCCCGAATGATATCTAAATAAGTTCGGGCACACTATTTTCACACAAATCGACGGCGGCGACGAGCAAATGTTTAGTTAGAACACACTCGAATCGCACAAGTATTTATTGTCGCTTACGCGGGACACACGCATTTCTACGTGCAGTCGTAAGTATATTATGTGTAAAATATTATATTATATGTGCCGCTGCAGATTTCGAAAATATAGTCGCTAATCGCTTTTTTTTTTGTTTTTAGTTTAACGGATACGTGTTTTTTTTTTTTTTTTACATTTAACAGCTATTTTTTACCGAATAAATTGTTAAAAAAAAAGAAGAAAAAACTCGGAGTTTAAATTTTACCTCGAGGTTAATTTGCATTAATGCGTAATAGTAGATTGGCGAATAATGTTCGCGTATTATATGAGTACAACTATAAACAAAACGGATAGAACGGTTATTCGTTTGTTTTTGTTTTTAATTCAAAGGTAACATGACATTCAAAGTCGGGCAATTTTTTTTCTGTAAAATTAGTTCTCCTAGAAAAAACAAAACAAAAATAAATAAATCAATAGCTAACCTAAATTAAAGTTCAATTGAAAATTTGGACGAATTCGAATAACTAATTTAAGTTACTGATTTTTAAGAAAATGTAACTTATTCAAATTAAAAGTTAAAAGTACTTTTCTTAAATTACCCTATACTATTCATTAATTTTGTACTCTGATGTATGGAAATTTAAAGATTTACCATGCACACAAGTCTTTTGCGGGTATCCCATATCCCTACATAGGCCTCGTCATGCCCGTCTTGCATGGTATGCGATAATGATAATCACGAAAAATACGTCAATTTTCGTCGATGTTAACTATGTTACCGACCAGTTTTGATCATATTAATTATTATCAATGTAATATTTTCTATTGAACGTACTTTTGGCATAAAATATGTTAACAACAATAATATGGATAATCCGGTATTGCATACGTTGTATCTATAGACATTATGATTATTGTCGAAGAATACTTAATAGGTAATATAATATATAATTCTTAGTTTTCCTATATCCATAGACTGTAGAGCTGTTCTTTTTTTTTTTTTTTTGAGGAATTTTAACTATTTCATATTCTGGTTGAAGCGAATTACATTCAAGTATTACAAGTAGTTATAGGTACTAATATAATACAATAATTTTTTTTGGTTAGTAGAAATGTTATACAATTTGTAAGCAGTTCGCGAATGAAATTGTTTTTGTAGTTTAAAGAATTCATTTGACCTGAATTGAAAATTTTGTGTAGATAGGAGTAGATAGGAACTGAGTTACTGTCAGAGCAGCAAATCAGTTAGGACATAGAGAATATTTTAACGATATAGATGTATAAATTCGATATGACAAAAACAGACACTGAGTTTAGATTTTAGTAGGTTTTAAACTTTGTCCAAAACAAATTTGACATTTTAAATAGTGCCAAGGGAATTTCGTAATAAGCATAGACATTATTTAAAATGTAATTGTGTATAATATTATATTGTATTCTTATTGTTTAAAAATTGTTAGAAATATTCATAATGCTTAGATATTATGCGTAATTTCTAAATTATCCATATTGCAAAAAAAAAAAAAAAAATAAAAAAAATAATAATAATGCGCAATTGTATGTACAATTTATAGGTTCGAGTAAAAAATTATAATATAAAGATATTTAGAGAATCGTGATGGTTTCTAATTATAGGTATACATTAACGATGAAGTTAATCAGATGAAAAAATTGATTAAAAAGTTGGCTGAAGTTGGTAAGGTAGAATATAGAGAGGTAATAATTTATATCTGTACGCAACAATAAATCATTGCTAATGAAAAACGATTTTGAGCGAAGTTTCTTTTATACACGTATGTAAATTTTCCCGTTTTTTTTTTACGTTATTCCCAATTATAATGAAAATCGTTTGGAAAATCAAAAATCGACCTGTTTATAGGACCACCCAGATATAATTTCCTTACAGAAAAGTTACTACACTTGTAAATCGGAGCAAGATTTCTGGTGGAGAATTTGTTCGCAAAATAATAAAAATAAATAAATAGCAATAAACATCATTGGAAAACTAATACATTCCTCGCTAATCTTCGAATCTAAAAGAAATAATGTAATGTAAAACATACATAACTAGGGCTGTGAATTTAATGCAATACAAAACTTTAAAAATGCATAAAATATTTCAAAAAATGTAATAAAATATGCATTTATAGTCTCAAAAAATGCAATATTAAATTATTTCTAATTTAAATTTTAAATTTATTTTGATATTAATGCTATCGATGTATCGCAAACCTACAAATAATTTATCTAAGCAATATTGCCTTATTTTATCGAATCCTTTTTTTTTTTACCTAACCTGTATAGGTACAGCTTGTGTAAAATATTTTATAAAATATAAATTTGACGTATTCACAGCCTGTGTAAAACAAAAAAAATATGTGTGTAAAGGTGTTAATTGACGGAATTTAATTAAAAATACCGAAAAATGAATTAAAAAGGAAAATATGACTTAAAAAGTCCAAAAAATAATCTTAAAAATTAAAAACTTCAAAAAATGAAAAATAAAAGTTTCATAAATGAATTTGTTGTTACACAATTCAAATTATGTACTTAGAAAGCTGCGTTTCAAAATCAGCTAAAAAAATCCACTTTCCTACAAATTCACAGTCCTATACATAGCAAATTACGTGTAGACCGAGATTATAACTATTATATCTCAAAGGAAATAGTATATAATGTTAAAGCAGTTTAGCTCACGTTGAACACATATTATGCGAAAAATCACTGAATTACAATTACTATGTATACAGTTATTTTTGTGGACGATTAAATTGCTTATAGTCGTGGTGAAGTGTATAGAACAAAAAAAAAAAAAAAACATAATAATATTGACAAACTGAACGGAAACAAAACATGTTTTTCAAGATTACGTATACGAATCAATTTCCGAAAAATTTCGAATTAATTTTGTTCAGAGTTATCTTTTATTATCTACATTAAAAACAAAAAAAAAAAGCCCTCCTTAATATAGGTACCTAACTAGCGTTATAATAATGTACGACGATATGCATCGTTCAAAATAAGGTAGGGGTCGGGAACCTGTGGCGCCTTAACATGTAATCTGTGGCTCTTTGGAAAATGTATCAAAATTTAAGACGTATTATTATGTTTTTAATGCCTACCGATTCCCAATGGAATTACTTGATAAAATATATTAGTGGTTTTTCGTACTATTGTGGTGTACATTTTTTCACCTTACCAACCATATTGGCGGCTCTTTGAAAATCACGGTTTTGCAATTTTTTTTTTTTTTAATAAAAAAAATGACTCATTTACACGAAAAGGTACCCGACCCCGACGCGATAGGGGTATCGTTAGATTTTTTGGTTGTCGTTATAGGATTGAAATCTATAGATAGAGATAGCCCAATGATGATTCAGGGCGGCGTATTCGTAAACTTCGAAATTCTTCGCGCGTTTAGCTATAATAATAAATTGAAATATTTATTCTATTATAACGCGCGCCGTACGCGAATAATACGGCGCGCATATACGATATTTCCGCCTCGTTATTTGACACGTGCAGCAAATAGCAGTGTATGCAAAATAATTTATATATATTCCTCGGTCCTACACATTGCGTCGCATTATACTTTGCTATTATGTCGTGTGCGAATATTTTAACGCGTATATGATTTTCCGAAAATCCCTTTGTGACGATGCCGTTACACGGATTCCTGGCACGGTGGATTTTTATTTTTTAACCGAGCGGGTCGCCAATAATAAATCGGAGGGTGCTGCGCGGCGCGGGCCTGGCACTCGAAATAGAAGACCGTCTCTAGAAACGGTCCGCTCGTTGAGTTTGTGCGGTCCGATAGGACCTCGCACCGTCGAGTGATACGCGTATAGTCTACCGGGTGATCGACATCTCAGCGCGTTCGTAGGACGGCCAGTCGTCTCGGGCAGCATTGACATTTTTCGGTGTATATTCTGTTTCTTTAGAATATATATATATAATTAGTTAAAAAATATTGAAAAAATTACTAAATACGAAAAATACGGACATACGTCGCACGATGGCCAGTGTTTTGTATATGAGAAGTCGGGCTGGTAGGATTCGGAGGGAGATTTAATAGGTATTTTTCTACGCAACGATTAAACGATCGTTAACGAAAAACAATTCTGTGCGTGGTTCGATTATACGTGTATTAATAGGCCGTAATATTTACGATTTTTGTCATAATTTCAGATATTTCTTATAAAAGAAAAAAAAATACTACATTCAACTCAACCTACAAATTAACCTGCTGTTAAGTTTTCAAGCATTTCTGTTTGGTTTAACAATTTTATTCACAGAGTATACCTACTGAATAAATATTACGTAAAAAACGTAAAAAATTACGTAAAAATTGAAAATAATAAAAGCATTATTTCCGTAAATTGTTCAGTTTTCCCTACGTTCTTTCCCGGATTTTCCCAATTATTCTGAAAACTGTTTAATAAAAAAACTGATCTTCTTAAAGTACCATCCCAGGAAAATTTCCTTTCAGAAAAAATGTTACACTTGAAAATCGAAGCAAGATTTCTGGTAGAATTTTTGTACACAGTATAAACATTTTTTTTTTTTTAAAAAAATATCATTGTAAAACCCCGAAACAATAGAAGCTCTAAAATGTTTCATTGTTTTTATTCTTGGATGTGAAACCACTTTTGAAAACTTCATTAAGTAGCGACCCGGTTGCTATTTGAAAATCTAAATTGGGTAGTCGTTTGGGCTAAAAAGGACGACTATAAGTTTATCGGCAATGTAACATTTTAGATCGGTTTGTTACAAAACAAATCCCGAAAAAAGTTAATACTCTCCGAGCTAATGAGTATCTTATGTTGCGTCGATCACCCTGTATGATAGGAAAAAAAAATGACATATCGTCGGACGAGCTGAACATTGTCGTTGAGCGATATCGATACGGTACCCGGGGAATTGCTGCAGACAACTCTCGTGTTCTCGCGTTACTCCACTGCGGCATCAGTGGTGCGAGTGTCCGTTTTCATTCGTATTTAATAATATATTATTTTTACGCCAGTTCGCGTTTATAGGACGGGCCGCGGTCAAAATGTGAAAACAATTTTTATAATATTATATCGTGTTGCGTACAGACCGTTCGGCTTTACGTACATGCGTACGACACGCGATGGTGTACCATCGTTAAAAAAAAAAATAGAAAAGAAAAACGTACGCTTTAAACGACTATTAATTATAATAATTATTTATGCGGCATCACTATAAAGATTTGAAATTAATAGGTCGAGAAATTATGTGTTATCATTATCAAAACAGTGCTCCCGCGCGTATATCATAATATTACAAATCTAAATAGACAGATTGTTTCACGTACTCGTACAATTAAAATATAAAAAAGATTCTGAATGCAGCACTATGAAATTAATAGTTTTACAATGCGGCGTGTCCGAGTTAGGTCCCGCGATCAAAAATCCCCACTATAGTATTGGATCGCTGCCTTATGTGTGCAGTACTAGTTAATTAATTATAATTTTAATAGTTTGGAAACTTAGGAAAATAAAACTCAATATTCTTCCGAATATCTATACCGGTGTACAGACGTTTAAAAAAAGTACCCACATATTAGTTACTAGTATTAAAGTAGTATACACTAGTACTAAAACGAGAAGTTTGGGAAAACAATTTAAACGAAGCAATTGTTTTACAAAAAGAAAAAACGTGTAAAAGACCAAATGACAGAAAAAAAAATCAGTTGTGAAATAAATCCTGAGTACTAAGTCTGTACAAATGAGACGGTAAATGTATTGTACTGCTTTTAAACGTTCGGACCCAACTATAACACAATATTACCCGAAATTCATTGTGACCGAACTAGTACCTATCAAAACCACTATAGTATGGTCTCTGATCCTGCTCGGATGCAGTCGTACAAAGATGTTACCT